TATTCAATCTTGAACTTTTCATCTTCTTAATCCAACTCTCGTTATCGCATACCGGATCTTCCATTTCAAATATCCGCACTGCAAATCCAAGCTTTCTACTCCTAATAAATTCCCTAACTTTCTCCACGATTTGAGGATTCTTCTCCAGATCACTAAACCTTGTTGTTGGGCGTGCTATCAGTAGCACACTTGTCTCAAATAGCAACGGAAAAACTGATATCCCTATTTTCGATTCTTTTATTTCTCCAATAGAGCCTGGTAGTCCCTTAGGAATTATCTAGCTGCATATAAATCACGTCGAAAAACCCAATTACTAATACTTTCTGCCATTCCATGCCTACCAACCTCACTTCTTGAGAAGAATTTTACTGTCTCCTTTTCCATTTTATTCTAAGTTTTTTTCTATGGTTCAATCATACTCCACTCTATTACCGATCCTTCTGTCCTTCCTTGGAGTTACTCTATTATAGGCCAATGGTTCCTTTGATTGGAAGGTTTCTTTCAAATGTCTGTAATGGATGGAAGTCCTGTCATTTACCACCATTCCTGGCACATGATAAGACTTTTTAGATTTCATTATGTCCATGCTCTCGGAAACAGACTGAGAAGAAACACCAAAATGTATCAAGCTCCTTTTAGTGTCCATCTTCGAGTTCAGGGTAAGGATAGGAAGACCGAAGAAGATAAACTGCATGGCATAGCACTCTCTTTCTATTTGAAAACTACAAGGGATTCTCTTTATGGTCTTTTTGTCCAAAACATATAATTTTCCTGCAGGCCTGTACTATTATATTATCCTGGTGGCATTTTCATTAATATTTGGCAGTTATTGTGTACACTTTTTAAAATTTTCTAGAAGACAGATTTTTACTCGATCTCATCCAAAATCTCGATATATCTTTTATCCATTTCTTTGAAAAAATCGCTAGGAAAGGGACTGTTTTTAAGTTCTTTAAAATATTTGAATATTATCAATTCATTGTTGTTTCTAAGTCTGGACAGAACCCTAAAAATGTCTGATCGATCTCTAAAGCTGAGAATTATTCTGAATACCTCATCGAATGTCTCTTCAACATGAATAGTATCCAAAAGTATTTCTATGTATTCAATGTTATATGAACTGTGGAGAATACCATGAACCTTCTGCAGCACAAGTCTAATCAAATTGTCATCCTTGTTTATAAGCATTATGTCTCTGAATTTCGATAAGGAATCCATTATGTCTGTTTGGCTTTCTAAGTTGCTAAGTATTTTTCTTATTTCTACTGTGTTTTCATGTGGGGCTGAGGACATTACTTTGGGGAGAAAGTATATCTTAAAAGTGTTGCCAAGGCTATTTATTAAGGAAGTCAACTATTTTTCTAGAGATTTCTTTACAATTCAATCCGAAGTGGTTATAAACGTCCTTCCAAGGCCCACTCATGCCAAAGGTATCTACTCCAATCTGAAAGTCAGAGTACTTGGACCATCCAAATGTACTCAGGGCCTCGATACTAATCTTTGGAACATCTTTAAGAATACATCTCTTGTATTCTTCTTCTTGCTCTTCAAACAACTCCCAAGAAAAGAATGATACGATGGAAATTTTGAGTTCGGACAAGGTCTTGGCCACTTCATAACATAACTGAACTTCGGATCCTGTCGCAAGAAGGATAAGGTCTGGGTTTTCAACCTCAAGAAGATAATATGCACCTTTTTTGGCCTTTTCCATACTAGAGTGAGGAATTTCTGGAACGTTTTGCCTTGATAAAATCACTGCTTTTGGTCCCTCCCTGATCAATGCAAGATATAGTGATGCCCTAACCTCTGTTCCGTCGCATGGTCTCATTGTGAGAAGATTTGGCGTTGCTCTTAGGGTAGCCAAAACTTCAATTGGTTGGTGTGTTGGTCCGTCTTCGCCAAGACCTATGGAATCATGGGTTAATACATAAAAGAGGTTCAGGTTATCCATGCATCCAATTCTGACCGATGGAAACCCATATGAAATGAAATTTAGGAAAGTTCCCGTATATGGAAGGAAATATCCGTGGGATGCGATTCCATTAATTATTCCACACATACTATGTTCTCGAATTCCAAAGTTGATGTATCCTCCGCTATAGTTTTCTGCATTCAAGTCTTCTTTTCCTATTTTTGTTAGGACTGAAGATTGCAAGTCGGCAGCACCCCCGATAAGATAGGAGGTTTCTTTAAGATCCTTTAGAGCCTCTGAAAAGTGTTTTCTTGTAGCTTTTTGTGTTCCTTCTGGTTTGTATATGGACTTGTAAGGAGTGTCTATTTTCTTCAGCTCTTCGAGATGTTCTTGAATGGTCGGTACCTTGATTCCTTTTCTGTTCCATTCATCTCTTATTTTCCGCTTTTTCTCCTTAAGACTCCTGAATTTTTCTAACAATGAAGGAGAGACGTAGAAATCCACTTCCGGAATTCCGAACTTTTCTTTAAGTTTTCTTACACCGTCTTCACCCAAAGGTGATCCATGGGCCTTACAACTTCCTTCCACAATACTTCCGCGTCCAATAACAGTTTCCAATATGATGACCATGGGCTTTGTAACCTTTTTATTTAGTGCCTTTCTTATTCCATCCAGATCATCGCCATTGGCAAGTTCAACCTCGAATCCAAGACTCAGGAACCTTTGGATTACATTTTCGTTCATAGAGAGAGATGTTGGCCCATCTATTGTTGTCTTGTTGAAATCATATATGAAGACTATGTTGTCCAGCTTGAGGTTTGCAGCTAGTGAAAACGACTCCTGCCCTATTCCTTCTTGATAGCACCCATCTCCAAATATACAATATACACGATTGGAGAGTCCGAGATGCCTAAGTTTCTTCAATGATATTGCAAATCCAACAGCATTTGCTAGTCCTTGGCCCAGTGGCCCGGTGCTCGACTCGATTCCTGGATACTTTCTTTCAGGATGTCCAGGAGTTCTTCCGCCAACCTGTCTGAAACTCATTAAGTCCTCCATGTTTAAATATCCTATGAGATAGTTCATAGCATACTGAAGGGCACATGCATGGCCGTTTGATAGTAGAAATATATCCCTACCTATCCACTTCTCGTCATCAGGGTCGAAGTTTATAAACTCTGTGTATAGAGTATAAACAAACGGCGCCAGACCCAGAGGAGCCCCAGGATGCCCGCTACGGGCTTTTTGGACCATGTCTGCACATAATGTTCTGATGTTATTTATATCATCCATCCAAGGGTTGAATATCATGATCTTATTTGGATGCTCAATACCTTTGTTGTGCCTTAGGAATCATTAGAAAAAACATGAATTGTGAATCTAGTTAATACAAACAGAAACATGTCACAGACAAAAAGATCCAAGACTTTTTCTCTGAACGTATAGGTATAGACCACTTCAAGTGATTGGAGCTTCAAAACTCTGACCGAATTTCTTTCATCGTCTGCTAAGTAGATGTAGTCTCTGTATATTTGATCTCTATGTCTTTTTGTTTGTCTTATGCCTGAGTTGAAATAAATCTCTTGTTTTCCCTGTATAAAGTGTTTTACTCGAAAGTCAGGGCCTCTAAATGTTAGCAAGAGATTCTCTCCATACGCCGACATATTTGTACATATAGAGTAAGGCTCAACCTCCAGTTCGCAGGGTAGGGCATCACCTGAAAAGAGAATTCTATATGTTTGGTGGATGGTAGAAGCAAAGACTACTAGATTTTTTTTACATATGGAGTGAATGGATATATTCGATATCTTGAAACTTCTAAACGGCTCACCAGACGAAATGTTGATGAAGTATACTATCCCTTTGTCGTCTCCGCAATATACTGTGTTCCTGTCATCTCTGTCAAAGCAGGTACTTTCTATTCGGTTCTGGACCTTGCATTTCATCATTATTCTGCCATTATATATGTTAACGATGTTTAACACATTTTCGGTTGGGAACAGCCCAATCCCCTCGTTAAACGGGCTTAGAGATATGCTCCTTATAGACATTCCATTCCCTAGCTCAATGAATTCAGACTTGCCGAAGTCGGAGCATTGGAATCTTTGGATTCCTGTACTTTTTCCGTTCTTTCTCGTGACAATTAAAGTGCAGCTTGGCTCATCATATCCTATCAGGGAATTGGCTGCGCTGAACCCTGTACTGATATTAAACTTCTTCTTTTTATGTATAAGAAAGATATTCCTTTCTTCCTTGGCACGTATCAATTCTGCCTTTAATGCTTCAACTTGAGCTTGAAGCTCGGCACAAATTTCCATGTACTTGTTTTTTTCCTGCTCTTCTTTTAGACATTTTTCCAGGAGTTTCTGCTCATTTCCGGTATCTATAGCTTGGACTTTCGATGCATACACCGGCCTCACCTGTTTTTTTGTGCTTTGAAGTGAGCACAAAGGACATTGCATCTTGTTTTTCCTTCCAATCCATTTCTGAATGCACTGGCTTCCGAATAAATGGCCGCATTGGAGAGATACTATTCTATGGCTTCCCTCGCTTGTGTATTCGGAAAAACAAATCGGACATATTGTCCCACAATCCATTCTCGAGGAGAAGGAATTTAGCAAAGGAAAGTTTATACTTCGGAAATGTCTGATAAGAATACTTTTTCATCCCTTTTTCTAATGAAACTAAATCTTTTTAAAAACATCAAGAGGAAGCCATTTTCGATTGTCGCAATGTCCTCAAATGGCACCACTATTGTTCTTTTCAGGAAGGATAAAACTTTGGAACTGTTTGACTCCTACACTCTTGTACCATACTTTACTATGGAGTTTGGATATGAAGTTGTGACCAGTAGTTTTGTGGACTTCCATACTGTGGCCTGTGGAACAGAATGTGGGAAGCTTGTTTTCTTCAACACTAGAACTCTAGACATAATGTATACAAATGTCGATGGTATTCCTTCGAACATTGCAGCAAACTCTTATGGACTTAGATATGATCAAAGACTATTTTATTATTCTATTGGATGCAACGTGTACGAAAAGAAAAATATGGATGCAGATCTTGTGTATCGAGGAAACTCTAAAATTACATCTCTTTTCCTTTCTCCTGATCAATCGCTGATTATTGGAGATGCCGAGGGAAAGATAAAGATGTTAAGATGTGATAAGATGGTTTCAGAGATCCAGCTTTCCTCTGGAAAAATTAACATGATATGCCACATCACGGGAAACACATATGTTTCTGTGTGTGATTACGGAAACTTTTACTATTTTGATACAGACTTGGAACTTGTTCTACAGACAGTTAAAGTAAGAAATAGCCCACTAAATGTGTGTGCATATGTAAATGATAAGCTTCACTTATCTGGTGCCGATTCTAGAATAGTTGCATTCTCAAGAAATGGGAGGAAGTTTATAAAATCCTATCAGGTTGACACCCACTATGCCGAAGTCAGAAATATTGCTGTGGACAACGGAAGGGTGCTTACTTCTGGGGAGGATACAATCATGAGTGTTGTATGGCCCACACCCAACAAGTATCTTGAGAACAAAATATTCCATCGGTCAGTCGAGTTGGAAGTTTCTAAGGTTAACAAAATGTTTTATATCAACAATAGGTCGTCTATTGATTTTTACTTGCTCGATTCCGACCCGAAGGATAACAACGATGAGGAAACCTCGGAAGATCTTTCTCAGAATGATATGGGAATAACCTTCAAGCTTTCTCGATCCTCGATAAAAAATATCGGTTACAAGAGCCACGACTACAAGTACAAAATCAAGATATATACAGAAGGTAATGCCTTTTGCTCCTCAGCCCCCGACGACTTTAGTTATCTAGCATATTCCAATTCAACGGAAACAAGGGTTATAAGTCTGAGCCCAGACCAGGAAATCAAAGTTAGGAATAGACTTGGAAAAGCTAGCCGATTAATTACGAGGAAAGACTTGATTGTGCTCCAGAGCTACAAGCGTGAAGTTCTTCTTATTGATCTTAAGACTGGGGAAACCCTTAGAAAGATATTATTTGACGATTATAGGGAAGTGGTGTATCTTGTAGGAGACTTACTAGTCTTAGGGCACTCAAAAGTTATATATTCGATAAGCGATCCAAGCATTTCATCAAGTCTAGATGTAGAAGGGGAGGTTCTTAATGTCTGTGAGTATGGAAAAGATCATTTCATTGTGCTTAGTATGGCTAAATCCTTGGAAGCCAAGAAAGAGTATTTCGTATACAAAGTCTCTCTTTCAGACTTCATTGTAGAAAAAATTAAGTTCTTTGAAACCTATTCCTTAATTACATCCGTTTCAGTATTGGAGGATAACATCATCTTTTCAAGCTCCAATGCCATCCAAATATTTGACAATGAGATGAGGGAAGAAAGATATTCTTTGGGCGCCGTTATATATTCCTGTAAGGCGATAGAAGGAGAGATTATAGCAATTCAGGATTCATGGAACAACATAAGACTTGGGTTGCCGCCAAGTATCTTTAAAGAAAAATTTTCTAATAAATAACCATAGTTAAGGAAATTTATCTTCACAGCTTTGAAATTTGTTGTTGATTTCAGGGCCCTTTGACAATGGAAAGGCTCTGCTCACTTATCAGCGCCTATCTGATAGAGGAGATGGATCACTCGGCTTTGGCATTGTCGGAATATGTCTATAGAAGAAAGGAAACAGATGAAATCATAATGCTGCTGCTTAAATCTATGTATAGGCTATCGTATCACGAAAGATGTATCGAGACAATAGAGCTTAACAGCTCGGTGATGAGGATCCATGAGGCTAGAGTTATATACTATCGATGCAAATTCCTGACTGGAAAGAAGAGCAAAGATCTCCCTACAGGAGTAGAGTGTGACAAAGAGATAAAAGGATATCCTCCAGCAGAAATATCCAAGAAAAGCATCAGGTTACTTTTTGAGGGACTAACTAAAGAAGATGTTAAGAAGAAAGAAATTCTCCTGGAAGCTTACAGATGTGATAATAATAACTTGGAAGCATTGTTGAGAATGAAAAACGATTCTCTTGTGAACAACAAAGAGTTTCTTATGCTAATTGATGAGTGTAAAGATAAAGTCATGAAAGAAGTTTACATGGAGGTGTTTTATCCGTGCTTTGAACCGGACTTTCATTTTCTGCCTTTCTATTCTCCATGGCATGGAGTCAATCTAGCCAAAAAATACTATAGAAGCGGGAAGGACATACTTCTCTTTAACCTTGGTGTTTCGATGGTTAGATTGTATCCCAATTCAGAGCATTCATTTGCTGCATTGGGGCTATTTTTCTTGATGTCACTTAATTATCCTGAAGCCAGGAGATGTTTCTACAAGGCTGCGCAGATAAACAACGAGTATGGAAGAGGCTGGCTATATCTTGGAATGGCGTATTCTGGGATGAAGGAATGTGAAAGCAGCATAACATGCCTGAAAATAGCACACAAAGCGATGATCGGATCGTATAAGCCCTCTTTTTACCTGGCAATCGAATACCATCGAATGAATAACTTCGAAAGGGCTTCATTCTTTTATAAACACGCTCTTGGAATAAACCCATCGGTTCAGGTCCAGGAAAGATACATATCACTTCTTATATACTACGAATACTATCCAGAAGCTTTGAGTTATCTGGCTGCTCAAAAAAACAACTTGCTGGGATTGTTGAGAGTCTACTGCAACCTATTTTTAGGAAAAGTTACCGAGGCACAGAAACACCTTTCGGTTTGCAAAGTGGACTGGAGATACTATGCCACTGCTGGATTTATAGATCATCTTTTGAACAACCTTGATTCCGCAGCAGACAACTACAGCAAAGCCCTTCTCAAGACTCATGTAAACTTAGTCGAGGAACTTCTTGGGCTTGCAGTGGAGAACATGACGTGCAAACAGACTAATAACGTCTACGACTATGCTACCGATCTATTTGACAATATGATGCCCAAATATTCTTTCGAAACCATCTGAGAGAATTAAATATAAATTTAATCACAGACTCTCCATTTCCTTTTCATACAGCTCTTTGAGTTCTTTTTTCTTCTTTTCCTTACACATCTTCTTTTCTTCTTCTCTTTCCTTTCTTCCTGGAGCTTTTGCTCCGATCTGCCAATACTTTTCTAGTTCCTTTTCCCTTTCCTCTTCTTCCTTTCTTTTCTTTTCCATTTCAGCTTCAAGCTTTCTCTGTCTCCCCTCCATTTTCTTCTTGTTGTTAAATGTCCGGCTCATGAGGGTAGTCCCCGATGAACTGCTTACTTCGATATTTTTCACCATTCATCCGTGAACAATGCTCCCGTTACGCTACTCCTTGATTTCCTTTCCAAGCATATTTACAAAAACTGGCTGTTCATAGAGAAGTATGTATGTCTCAACACTTTCTTCGACCTTATATTTATATTCTTTTCCACCCGCCTTCATTGTTACTGTGCTACTGGTCTTATCATACTCCACCTCCTCAACATCTTCAGGCTTTATATTCAGAGCTTCTATGACCACGTTCATTGTTTTTCCAAGGAGTATTTGGCACAAGCTTAAAGAAAGACACAAGATTTCTCTACATGGCTTGATTTATTATTATATAAGTCTAAAGAAATTCTCTGCATACTCAAGCGGTTTCAGATTCTTTCCCAAAGATTTTCTAGACATCTCCTCGATTAAGCTTTGTGCTTTTCTTATCTTTTCCTGAATACTTGGAACTGACTCCTGAATCTTAGCTATTTCCTCTGGAATATTGCATCTTTCGACGCGTTTCTTATAGGAAGCTCTTCTTTCCTGTACAGCCTCGCGCATCCCTAAACCCTCTATCTTCTCTTTTGTCTGCTTAATATGATCTTCAAACACCTCCTGTGCTTTTATTGGCAAGTCCTTTCTCATCAACGCAAGAGAAAGTACCTTGAAGTCTTTCTGGTCGTTCTTCTCAGCCAGTTTTTCAATGTTTGGTCCAGGCTTCACAACAACATTCTTCTCTATGGCTTTCCTGAGCAAATTAAGAAACTTATGATCTTCTTTTTGCGACGGTGGAGCCAACCGAGATATTTGCTCCATTATCTCATCGATATCTCCAATCTCAAGCTTCATTTCAGGGCTACTTCAAATTTGTTTTCCAAAGCATTCCTAAGACTTACCCCATTAATGAATAGTCTGAAGGAGTATGTAAAGAACATAGACTTTGGAGTTGTAGACGATCCAGAAATATTGGATAACGTCTATAACGAAATAGACGGGCAGGAAAGGATACTGATCTTGGATGTCGAAACAACTTATCAGATGGAAAATCTTGTGAGAAGAAGTAATTCTAGGCAGATACTAGATCTTTTTAGAAAACTGGATATAGAACAGATTATGACTAAGAAGCTGGGATCCAGAGTCCTTGAGGTAATATATGATGTTATCTTTGATATGATCTATGTTCAAGGCCAAAGTATTGATGTTGAAGTGTTTGTAAAGCCTGTGGAAGATGTGCTGAAGACCAAGTTCTTCGACACAAATGCTACACATATTATTAGAAAGGTTTTCCAGCTGGTAAGTGGAAAAAAGATCCGAGGAGACAAGATTCAGTCCTTTAGCTCTGTAGCTCCTGGGCACATAGAGAGATACAAAGAGACAATCACCGAGTTGATTCCCCGTCTTTCGAAGGAAGACAGTTTTATCACGCTACTGGTATATACTTATTGCTACCGAAGTAAAAGTATCATCCAGGAAGTAGTAAAATGCCACTTCACCTGGGAAAAAGCTTGTGACCCGTTGAAATCCTACTTTTTTGAAAAAATAGTAAGGCTGGCAGGAAGGAAAACAAGGAACTATATCTTTGAAGAAATCAAAGACAAAGTGATGGAAATATGTAAGGATAGATATGGAAATTACTTTATTGGCGAGTTTATTCTCCACCATCACGAACAAGCCGATTATTTTTATAAGGAGATAAACTTGTCCGAATTTAGCAGGAATTCCAACATAATCATGAAGCTTACACATTCCCTGATAAAGGCAAAGTCGTACTCAAATGTCGACAAAATAATGAGGGACTTCTACTTAGAAAACGGAGATGACATTATATCTTGTACATTTGGTGGTGTCGAAGGAAATTTCAAGCAAAAATATGCTCCGATGCTCTCCGAGCTTATGAAGCTTCCTAATTCACGTAACTACGGGATAAATGCTGCTTTCGGAAAAAAGTTCTGCTCCAGATGGATCAGATCGAAAGGAGGAATTGAACTTCTCCAAGGGTATTACGAAGGAACAGACGATAACAGTTCAAAAAAGAACTTTACTAAACGGATTGAAAGACACCTGCCTCTTATGGCGGATAGAAAGGAGTGCATCAGAATTCTTGAATTTATGAAAGCATACGGATCACAGAGAGCTGGTAGAGAAATAAAGAGAAGACACCAGCCCGCGAAGAGAGATTTCCAAAGACATCAAAAAGATATTTCAAATTCAGTAAGGTAACCCCTGGAGATGTCGGCACTCTTTAGCATAGATTCTTTGTTTAGATCACTTGTCCTTGCAGTATGCACGGCAACATATCTGAAACAACATTTTCCGTCGCTTGTCTCAAAAAACAAAAAGGGCTTTTACTCCGTATTTCACAAGCTTTCTGTTGTTGGAGAAAGGCTTTCTCCCTTTGTAGCATTGTCTTGTGCATTCCTAGGATTTGGAAGGATGATTTCCATATTTCTTTAAAGACTCAAAAGGCATTAAATAAATTTAATGAAACAAACTATAACTCTTTTATGTACACACTATTATTCAGAACTCCTTTAATTCCTTCTGTCCTTGCTTCTTTTCGATTCGTATGGTAGCCAACTTCTCTTTCTATCACTGTACGCTCTCTTTTGTTGATATCCCTGCCGAGGCTCTTCTCCAGACCTTCCTGTTCTTTTGTTTCTTCCCTGTTGGCTCCTGTTTCCATCTACTTCGTTTGAAGCGAGATTCTGTGGAGACTTGTTCTCCAATCTAATTTCCGAATCTTCTTTTGCCGCCAAGGCTTTTGTATTTTCATCTTCTTTTTTTTCTACCATTGTATCTGCTACTGTTTGGCTGGCCTCCAAGCCGCCGGGAACCTTAGGGGACTCGTCAAAAGACTGCTCTTGTCTTTTTGTTCCATCGTCTTCTTCCTTTATATTTTTCTGCTGGGATTCTTTTGCTAGACACTCATTTCGGAGCTTTAAATATGCATCCTTAATCTTCTTGAGCTTTTCAATAACAACTCTGTATTTATCGATTGCTGCATAGTTATTGGCTATTTCCTTTTCTGCTTTCTGTAACTCTTCCTTTAGTAAAAGATTTTCTTGAAGCGCCTTATCTATATCCAACTGAAGTAGATGGCATCTATAATCTGTCTCGCCTAATGCTGTGGACTGCCTAGACATAATCTCCTTTTCAGATGCATAGGTCTTCTCCAGCAAGCCAAGCTGTCCTTTAATGGATTTGTTTTCTTCCTCTAGACTGCTTATCTTCTCCAAAAGATCTGAGGAGTCTCCAAGGTTCTCCATTTTGTTTCGAAGAAATATGTTTTCTTGCTTTAGGATATTTCGCTCCTTCTCCAAGAAGACAATAGTTTCCTCATTGTGGTTTTCCATCAATGATCTTAGAACCCCGTTTCTTTCTTCCAAAGCCCTTTCTACTTGTTCTAGCTCTCCGTATATCTTTTCTACAAGCATCCTTCCCTCCTTCTCGGACTTCTCTATTTTCTCAGCCGTGTCCATTAATCCTCCAAGTTCTCTTCCAATCTCTCCCATAAATTCATAAACACACCTCACATCTCTCCCGAGCAAGAATAGAGCATTCCTGTACATCCCCTCCCTTTCCTCGTGGTGTCTTATCCTTTGAACCATACTATTTTCATTGTTGATGAGAATTTCGTTCTTTCTTGCAAGGCCCGAAACTTCCTCTTCATACCTAAAAAACAGATCCTTAAGTCTTTTCTGTTCCTCTACTGCTCTCTTCCAATCCTCTTCAATATCATAAATATGCTTAAAGTCTGTCTCCAGCTTCTTCTTGATCCCCTCAATCTCTCGCCCAATAATAGCTACAATGTTGGTTCTATCTTCCAGTATGTATCTATTGTATCTTTCCTCGCTCTCTGCTAGCTGTGTTTTCAACTCTCTTATTTTATTTCTGCTATCCTTTATTATAAAGTTATTTTGGACTATTTCATTGTTCATCTCGTTAAGCTTTTGAGAGGCATCTCCTAGTATTGTATTCTTCATCTTTGTATTCTTTAAGTCTATCTTCAAGCACACAATCTCTTCCTTCATCTCATCGATACGCTTTTGCATTGCTTTTTTCTCCTCATTCATCCCAACCATCTGGTTGTATAACTCGTTCTTCTCTCTAAATACCTTATTGTATTCCAGCTCTAATATACACCCGTTTTTCTTTACTTCGTATAGCTCTTCCCGTATTTTTCTGTACTCTTCTCTTTCTGCTTCAACGCTCTCCCCACCCGAAGACTGCAATAAAGAAGTCGAATTTCCTCCCGATCCTAATGTCCTCTCCAATTCTTCGTTTTTTTTCGAGAGTTTTTGCACTAGCCTAACAAGCTCGAGGCTGTCTCTTCCATTATCTGATCCAGAGACTTTCTTTAACAAATATGATGTTTGGTTTTTCTGTTCCAAGACTTTTTCTGTGAGCCTTCTGTTGCTATTCTCTAGTTCCATGCACTTCTTTTTTAATATCTCTTCCCTATTCTCAAGATCCTTCTTTTCCTTGGCAAGCAAATCCATCTCCCGAAGTCTAGTCCTAGCCTCTTCAAAAGATTTGGCCCTTCCTCCGTCTAAAAACGCCTTTTCCTTATAATAGGCAACTTCCCCCCTCAGAGATCGGATTTCTTGTAAATACATTTCATTGCTCCGCTCCATAACTAAGCACGAATTTTTCATCTCCTTCGTCTCCACTTCTTGTTTAACCATCTTTTTGTTCAAATCGCTTATAATCTCCTCGCAGAGCTCAGCCTTTTTCTCTAATTCCCTGACCTTGCCCTTTGCCATCTCTTCATACAAAGCCATTTCTTCTCCAAGCTTCTTAAGCAGCGATTCAGGCATTAACTGCTGCTCGTCAGCCGTAAGGACATTCCTGAGCAGTGACGAGGCAAGCATTTCTCAGGGCTATTTTTTCCTTCAAATATAACCGGGATCCTCTGCACAATCATTTATTCATAAGAGATCCTCTAGTCACAAAGACAAAGCAGTCATCATCCTATCCCTCCTTAAAAACCTCTTTTAGCCTTTTAACTTCTTCCACAACAGAGACTACTCTGGAAAATGTTCTTTTCGCCTCGTCATACCCCATAGAACGGTTGTCAAATCCAAGTCTCCTTTTGTTTATCTCGTTAGAAACCGCCCCATAAGCCTTTTCGCTACTCCCTGTCTGAACCAACACTTTGAAAAACAAATCAATCATGAAAGCCCCAGGATGTGGAAGATAATATTTTTTCTGGTCTTGGGTTACATCCCCCTCCATTACTTGAACTATGTTGTCTTGAAAGGAAACGCTCCCTTTCTAGCATCTTTTGGGATTGTGATGTGCATAGCTCTCTCTTCCTTCGGTACCTCGAAGGGATACCAAGCCATAGGAAGATACATGATAGGAACTTCCATAAAGACCCCGCGTGTGGGTACAAGAGCCCTCCTGGGAATCGTCATCTGCGAAGCAAATTTCTTCTTTTGCTTAGTCATGTCCAATTTGCTCCTGGGAAAGATAGAGAATGTCAAATCTTACGGGGGCCAGTTTATATTATTTTCTGCTGGATTTGTGGCTGGCGCTTGCTCCTATTGCTCATCGCTTGCAAGTGGGATTATCTGTGCAGCTATTACAATGATGGATGCAAAAGACCCTACACTTTTCTACAAGCTGGTTTTTCTAGAGGTGATTCCGGCAGGAATAGGCATTCTCGGATTGGTTCTTGGGCTTGTTTTGTCTGACAAGGCAGTATAAGCTATCTATTTCCTTTCTACCGAATAAAGTGTATAAATAAAATATTTGTGCAGTCTAACCTTAGTTTTTTGACAAGTAGCTGTCTTTTCCGTCAACCCCATGAAGATTCAGATAGATGAGGTCTTGGTATACTTTCCTTATGATTCGGTGTATCCAGAACAGCTAAAGTACATGAGAGAAGTTAAGCGAAGCCTGGACAACAATGGACATTGCTTAATAGAAATGCCCTCTGGAACGGGCAAGACAGTTGCCCTTCTTAGCATGACAATAAGCTATCAATTGTATATGAAGTCAAAGAATACCAACTTCAAAATAATCTACTGCTCCCGTACTGTTTCCGAGGTTGAGAAGGCATTGAAAGAGCTAGATGGAGTGGTGGGGTACATAAAAAAACATCGCCCTTTCGAGTTTCTTGGGCTAGGACTTACAAGTAGGAAGAATCTATGTCTGAACAAAGCTGCACTTAAAAGCTTCAATGTGGATGTTTCGTGCAGAAGGCTTGTCAATAGATTGTCTGAGTCTAGATGCGACTTCTTCGAGAACCTTAATAGTTTTCATGAGGTACCTGTTGCTGTGTACGACTTTTCACAGCTCAAAGAGATCGGAGAAAAGAAGGGAATCTGTCCGTATTACCTCGTGCGAAGATCTATCCCTGTATGTGACTGCATAATATATCCGTACAACTACTTGATAGACCCGAGGATTTATACAATAGTCTCTAAGGAACTTGGGCCTAATAGTGTCGTGATATTTGATGAGGCTCACAACATAGATAGTCATTGTATCGAAGTAATGTCGATAGAGATTAAGCGGAACATTCTTGAAGGAGCTTCCAGGGCAATTAGGAACCTAGAGAATCTTCTTAAAGAGAAAGGATCTGCTGCTGGGAAAGAAAGTGCACAATATGAGCAGATGAAAGAAAAACTTGTTGAGCCTGTAATCGACTCAATCCCCTATTTCTATGCGACTGGAGAAGGAAACTATGAATTTATCCCTGGAAACCTCAGGAATTCTTTTCACTTTGTGTCTGCATTGAAGAGAATAGCCGAGTTCTTCAAAACAAAGCTAAAAACCACACACTTAACCACTGAATCCACCGAATCCTTCTGTAAAAGCATCAAGGAATTGTCGTTCGTAGAGAAAAAGGCCTTAAGATTCTGTTCGCAAAGATTAGGGATGTTGTCCCAATCCCTGGGGATCGACGATGAGGACATGGGACACTTGAAGACTGTAGCAGACTTCTCTACAATGGTTTCCATGTATTCAAAAGGATTTGTGGTGATATTTGAGCCTTTTGACTCTCAAGCCCCCACTGTCTTTAATCCAACTCTTCGCCTAGCATGTTTAGACTCCTCAATAGCAATGTCTTCAGTCTTTAGAAGGTTTAGGAATGTAATAATAACAAGCGGAACGATGAGTCCCATTGACATGTATCCAAAGATTCTCAACTTTGTTCCTTCGAGAATAGCAGAGATCGGGGCAACTCTCGATCGAAACTCCATTTCTCCCCTAATAATAACAAAAGGTAACGACCAAATGACGCTCAGGGCTCTGTCCGAGGATGTGGAGGCTGTGGATACACACAAAAATGATTCTCTTACCACATCCTTTTCTCTTAGGTCCGACCCTTCTGTGGTCCGAAATTATGGCCATCTAATGGTGGAGCTTTCTAAGGTTGTTCCTGATGGAATTGTATGTTTCTTTCCCTCGTATATGTATATGGAGGAAATAGTGAGCCTTTGGGCAGAAACTAATATAATCAGCGAGATAAGCAAGAATAAGCTTGTGTTCGTCGAGACGCCCGATGGCAGGGAGACCGAGATGGCCTTGGCGAACTATAAGAGGGCATGCAATAATGGAAGAGGAGGAATGCTTTTCAGTGTTGCTCGGGGAAAGGTTTCCGAGGGAGTTGATTTTGAAGATGGGTATGGGAGATGTGTTGTGATGCTTGGTGTGCCTTTTCAGTATACAGAAAGTGTTCGTCTAAAGAAAAGACTGGACTTTCTTAGAGAGGAATACGGAATAAAGGAATATGACTTCCTGACGTTCGATGCAATGAGACATGCAGCCCAGTGCTTAGGACGTGTTCTGAGAAACAAAAGCGACTACGGTCTCATGATACTTGCAGATGAAAGATTTGAGAGAAACGACAAGAAAAGTAAGCTTCCCAAGTGGATACAAAGCTGCATAGATGGAGGGAATTGCAATCTGAGTGTTGATATGGCTCTTTCAATTGCAAGGAGATTCTTTAGAGAAATGGCACAGGAATGTATAGGAACTGGGAATAGTCTTCTAGGTGAAAAGGACATAGAGACCTTTGTGTTTGAGTAAAGCCTCAAAGAAAATATTTTACTCAATTTTGAATAGTCAGGGGCATGTCGTCTGAATCAAGTAGTGAGCTTGAAGAACTTGGAGTCAATCTAAAGGAATTTGCCAGAAAAAGGCAATCTAGGTTGGGAATTGTGCGAACTGGACAACAGAAGTCTGGGCCAACGTCTCTTGTAAGCAACATCCCAAGCGAGCTTGAATACGACACTTTGCTCCGTTGTGCGATGATGGTTCTGAAAAAGGGGAAGGACTTGGGGGAATCCACGAGGATCAAGCTTCCTCTGGATGTAAAGAGAGAGGCGCGAAAGACATCTGTCAACATTGCAGAAGTGGCTGGAGTCCTGAACAGATCTGTCGAGCATCTTGTGAGTTTCCTCTGCAATGAGCTAATGACAACAGGGTCTGTAAACAAAGATGGAAAGCTCCTCCTCAAGGGGATGTTTATAAGATCAGAGATCCAAGAAGTCCTTAGGAGATATATAGAACATTTTGTTGTGTGTAAGATATGTGAAAGTGTCGAGGACACTGACATTGTAAGAGACAAAAGACTCTACTTTTTGAAGTGCTCTAAGTGTGGAGGTGCGAGATGTGTAGGGAATGCTGTGGAAGGAATAACAACCAAGGGAAAGGCAAAGCCACAACTTAGAGGAATGCTATGAGTCTTTGGAATTAAAGAATTTATTTAAGCTCTTATCTGTGTCTATCCATCTTTTTCATTTGATTTGTTCCTTGATCTAAAACTGGGAAGTTTCTCCAAGACATGTTTTATGGATAAGCTTGTGTTACTTGGGACAGATCCTTCTTGAAGTACAAGGGATAACCTCCCCAGAATCTCGCTGTTACTTCCGAAAATAAACAGGTTTCCTTCTTCAATTTCTAACCTAATTATCTCGCATACTAGCTCAATAGCAGGAAGCATCACTCTCTCATAGCTCCGGAAGTTTTGGCTGAAAATCGTTTTCATAATCTTTATAAATCTTTCTCTGGTCTTAAATACCATTTCCGTAATGAAGATGCATAAAGATGTGTCGGATGATCCAATTGTCCCAAGTACTCCACAAAGGAATTCTTTCAGATGCTCCTCCTCAAGGTGTTTGGATGCAGCTATAGATGCTGCAAATAACATCCTATCGTTTCCCAATTTAGACTCGGATTCCAGCCTTTTAAATTCATTGTAGAAAGCATTAAGAAACCCAGACACCAGCCGAAGTTTGGAGGAATCTACAGAATATCCTTCTCTGTGGATATACTCAAAGCCTTCAGGGAAAATTCCACTATTCCTGCATAGAAGAATACATTCATCCCTTAGTGTCTTCGACTTATCAACAAAGTATCTTACAAAATATCTTGACGAAACTAAATTGTCGTCCATTAGGAAGGAAGCCATCAAACTTTCTCTTCTTAACCTGAAGCTTACATCTCCTCTGCTATCAACATAATAGTTTTCCAGTCCGCTAATAATGTGTTCTTCGTATTCCTTTACTCTTCCAGAGAGCCAAATTGCCTTCATCACATATGTTTTTGTATCAATATTTCCGTTCCGAAGAAATTCCAGATATTTTTTTCTTACTTGGTCTTTATATCTTTCATTCCTTGAGTTAGAAAGGATAAACCCTTCAGTTCCTCTACCAATCGACCTGGCTAACTGTGCTGCAAAGCCCTCATTCTTGTTAATAAAAATCCAGGATACTTTGGATACCTCTTCAGGAAGAGAATTCTTTGTAAGAAACATATACAAGTTTTCGCAAACAACGCTTTTGTTTTCTGTATTTTCTAGGCCTTTCACCGCCTTCAGATAGTTTTCCACAAAGACATGAAAGTCCTTGTATCTACAAAAGGAAGAATCAACCTTTAGCTTTGCAACTATTTCCACAGCCTTGGCTATTTCATCCTTCCGATTCTGTTCGGTGAATTCCTTGACGAGAACAAAAAGACTTGTAAAGTCTGATGATGTCTTAAAACTGGTTGAGCTAATGCATTCCATAACTCTATTTCCTCCAAAGTGCTTTGAAATACAATGTCCGCTTTGGTATTTAGTTTCCAGATTACGATGGAAAAGGTTTTTCAAGAGAATGTCTTCAAATATTTCTTCACATCCTAACATTTCCAAAACTCTTCCTACGACTGCAGAGCAGTTTCTTAGCCTTTTGACTGAATGGAAGTTTATCAGAGATATCAATTCTTCTCTTCCCTCTTCTGGAAATCTTCCAACATGTTCTAAAACAACGGCTGCAGCACCCCTTCTGCAAGAAAGGGAGGGATCAAATAAGGCTCTTCCAACTGCCAAGCACAAGAGATCCTTGCTCATTGCACTGTTTCTTCTGGTTAATGCCCATAAGAGAAACAGGGCAGACTCACGGACCATCTCGGAATTACTAACAAATTCGTTCGTGTAGCTCACTCCTTTCCGAATAATTTCTGTTACATCTCCAACATCCAATTCTCGAAGAGACATCATCCCAAGGATTGTCATGGCATTTATCCAAGTACTCTCGTTGGCAAATATCATATTACATCTCTCCTTAAGAGCCGAAACAACGGAATCCGTCTCTGTATATTTAGTAACCTTGAGGAAGGATTTGCATAGCGTCCAGCCTAGCCTGGAATCCCTTTCATTTAACATCTCAAAGAAGATCTTCAGAGTATTGCATCCTGGGTTATTCGACATGATTTCTATCTTCATTTTCTTAACAACTATGGAGTCATTACTTTTGATGGGTATCACTCCTACTTTTCCTCCGAGGGCAGACAACTGGCTAAGAAATCCATAGTATATGATCTCCGAAACCTCAATTCCATGTATATAGAAGCGGGGCTCTTCTGTGTAGTGGTATTTGACGTTTGCTTTCTGTCCAAGCATCCCTAGGGACCTTAATGCTGATTTTCGAATTGATTCTGTCTTGGTAGCCTCCAAAAAAAAGTTAATCACCTTTCCTAGTCTTTCCTCGGAGATTTTTAACGGAAACGGATTTTGGAGTAATATCTCCAGCCATTGCGTGGTTCCATGTCTATTCTTCGATCCTAGGAAATCGATATGGTCCATTATCTCCTTCAGATACCTTATGTCAGTAGGAAACACAGAGACCGGGCCCTTGGAATGATCCTTGGCCTGCTCATAGGCTTTTTCCATCAACAGAATTAGCTCGTCCAAGTCTCTCATGAAACACTATGATGGGTAAGATGCTGGTGATATTTGCGAAGGTATGAAGATTGTGTTGAGGGAAAATAAATTCCGAGGAAATAAGCCCTATAACATGGAAAAGGAGGAGAAGGAAGGGAAGCAGGATGGTCGGCCTAAGATGAAGGAGAGTAGTTCAGGTGGAAACCGAGCCCAAGGAGACAGGCCATATCCCCCGGACTGGCATAACCATTACGATGAGTTGAACAGGCCAAGAAGAAGAAAAATATGCTATCAGCAGGGGAGCAGTGTTCAATATAGAGACAGAGGAAACCATTTGGTACGTCCATCCTATACTCCGTACCAGAGAGCTTGGAACACACATGGGGCACATCCTAGTAACAGATATGAAACAAAGGAAGGAAGATGGAATGGGCCCGAGATGTATCCAAGAAGCAATGAAGAATACGAGAGACAGGAGCCCCATTTCTACAAAAGTGAGAAGTATGGGGTTAAGGCAAAGAGAAATGGATCTCCTTCAAAGGCAATTGGAGTGTTCGGGTTGGGAGCATATATAACCGAGGATGATGTCAAGGGTTTTCTTCGAGAAAAAATCAGTGAAATAACAAACTATAGAGTTGTAATAGTTTATGACAAGTATAATGGAATGTCTAAGGGATATGGATTCATCCAGTTTGATACAGTTGATGATGCAATAACAGCTAAAAACAGATTGGTAGGCCAAACTATCAAAGGAAAAGAAATTAGAGTTGACTATTCCATTGAGTAATCCAACTATAAATGATTTGTGTAAGTTTTCAAGGAAATCTTGTTTCAAAGTTTTGTAAAAGTGGTTTGAAGATTCATCCAGGGAGATTTTAATTTAAAAATTACTCTAGACCCTCGCCGTCTGCAGAAGGTTGTTGGCCTTCAGCATCTTCAGCAGAGCCCTCACCATCATATTCCTGGGTTGTGTTTCTGTCCCCCTCCTTTGGGCTCTCCTTGATCTCCTTCTTTTGTATGGCCTTACTTATCAGGGCTGAGGTTCCTTTAAGCTCGCACCCAAGATTACATCTTTCAGAAGCAGTTTCAACAGTCTTCTTAGGTTCGCATGGCTTGCATTCATCCTTGTTGTCTTGAGGGAATGTTCCCTTTGCTCCAACAAGCTGTCCGATCTGGTTGAAATACATCTCTCTCTTTGGTTGAGGAAGATTTGCCATTATCTTGGATTTCTTCTTCTTTGGTTTGATAATTGGCTGAAGTCCATAGTCAACATTGACAATTAGAGCAATTAGTTTGTCGCCTCTATAGAGCGAGGTGCTATTCTCCACATCCGAGATTCTGTACTTACGCTTGTTCACAGCCTTATCAATTATTCCTGCAAGAATACATCTGTCGGTGCCCTGTACAGCTTTTTCTATGCACTGGCCGCTTTCCTTTTGAGGTCCTTTACTGACCTCCTTATTGAATGTTTCTACAGCCTTTTCATTAGCCCTTTCAACCATTGCTTTTGTTGCCTCTGCATTTCTCTTCTGGCATTCCACCATGTTCCTTCTCATTATTTCAACACCATCTAGTTTCTTGTTAGTGCACCCGTTGGCCATGCCCCCCATCGGCTGTCCAGGAAGAATCGGAATGGGTGTTGTAGGCTGGGAGACAACACCTGACTGGACTGCTGTAGCGCTAACAAAAGCAACTGCTGAGAGAAGTAACAACATCTTTGGTGATGTGCAAAAGAGATCTTTTATATTTTATTCTGCTGTGCATGTTTCAAAAGCCACGAATTAATTCCGTCCTTTTCTCGCTGTTAGAAATCTGTGGGGTGCCCGTTTCGACTTGACTCTATGAATGACGAATTAGATCATGAAATTCAAAACATTGTAATGCGACAGAACCTTACAAACCAAAGGTCCATCTTTCCGGGATATAAAACTACAGGTAACCCATGAAGTAGGACAAAATACCCATTTAAAAGAAATTCCAAAAGTATTCCATTGTAAACCTCGGTTTGGGATTCTTTTGGTGTTCTAATTATATGTTTGTACCATTTTTATAGAAACAATGCTATGTTAATACTCACGGACAGTAGGGTTATTTTTAAGACAAAAAGCAGTCTTTAGAAGAGTATACACAAAAAAGCATTGAAAGTTTTAGCAATAAAGGCCATCGGAAATAAAAACCTATCAAATTTGGATTGGAATGATCGGTTGCTGATTGTTTTATCGATGAGATAGATCTAAGTTAAGAAATCTCTTGAATTTCTAAAAGCAATATTTTAGATTTGTTTCAAAAGAGTTATAGATTAAATCAAATGAATTTAATATTTCGAATCATATCAATAATGATTGTTTTTAGAGGGATCTGGAAAACCTATTATTACAAGGGAACCCTTATAGAAGCTTAAGTTGCCTGAAAAGAGATTAGGAGTGCCTAATATAAAATATTATTTATGGATTTCTTTTATGTCCTCCATCTTATAAAGAAAAAGATTAACTCATTTTATTTTAGCCTAGCATTGTTGTTGGCAGCAAGCGTTGCATGGAGAGTTGAGTGAATTATACATCCCCGGGCTAAGGAGATACTCAGCATTTCCTAGAACAGCAGTTGGAGTTGGTGCAGCGCATGCTTCCATTCCATACTGTGCTACAGGCTTTTCTTTTGGTTCGCAGGATGATGTTGACTTCTGTGTGTCGATGCAAGGTCCCAATTGTCCAAGGGTTGGGGCGTACGCAGTTGAGCTGGGATACCCATTACTGCTGATACCCATAGGAGTTGGCATTACAGGGTTTGTGATTGGAGGAGTGCAGCAGCATTGCTGTCCAGATTGGCTTTGGCTAACAGAAGGGGTAGGGGTTCCAGAAGTAGCTTGATCCGGCTGGAGGCTTCCAACAGGAACGATTCCCGGCAAGAATTGCTGTCCAGGGGTGTTTCCGCTACTTTGAGTTCCCTGTACTATTTGGCAAGGAATGGTTCCAGATGAAACAGCGCCTGGTAGCTGCTGGGGGGTGGAGCTTCCTGTTGTTCCGGGCACCACTTGGCAAGAAGAGGCACTTGGAGAGAGAACATTACCTGTAAGTATTTGCCCGGGAATTGCACTATTGTAGTAGCCTGGTGCCTGGTTGAATGGAGAAATGATGGTTGCCGGCTGGGCAGAGACGGCCTTTGGAGTAAGGATGGTAACAGCTGCTTGCGGCGTCTGCACAGAAGCAACAACCAGTGGTGTGGCAATTGTAGCTGCTACTGGCTGAGAGGGGGCCAAAGTCTGTTCCGGTTCGCAAGGTGTTGATGATGTTCCTGGTGCATCACAATGCTTTACAACAGCAATCTTGCATGTTCCCACATCCTCTGTAGGAGATGATGTTGGAGAAGTAGGTGTCTCGCTCTCACCAGTTGTGCCTGGCACTGTGGAAGGCATGGTAGTAGGAGTAGAAGGGACATACATGTTCTGTGGACTGTATCCACAGTTGGCTATTGTCTCTGGTGCACTAGGAACCAGCACATATGACGGTTGGGTTGTGCCCTGCAGTCCTTGTGTTGAATCTCCACACAGCACAGTTGTAGAATAGACACCCTTCAACTTCATTAGGACAATAGAGGCTGAGAGAACCTTAGAAATACCTTTCATTTTGAGTCACTCTCTTTTGGAGATATTTATATTTTTATCTCAAACACCGAGGTTTCAATGTTTCCAATCGAATACCATGATCCTGTAGAGAGTTTCACTTCTACTTGTATGACCAGCCTCGTGTTCTTTAAAGAATAATTGGCCCTTGAATGAAACAACCTGGTTTTGAAAAATATTCGAGAGCATTGTATAGGAAATCTGTCTGTCTTGATTTTGTATAAAGTACATCTGATGCTTGTATATATTTGGGGAAGGATTTTTATGTTCCTAGAAGACCAAGTGTCTTCATATGTCTTTTTCATGCTATATAACAAATGATATCAATTTTAATCCCAAGGTATGAGACCGAATTCAGAGGCTGATGGCTCCGAGAACAAAAGAGAAGGACTTAAGTACATAACCCAAGCTGTATTTCAGCTGCTCAGAGAGAACAGAGCATGTACATATTCGTTCATATGCAAGAATATTGCATTTCCCAATGCTGAGACTCTAAACAGAAGAATATACGACGTCTTAAACGTAATGAAAGCAGTGGGCCTTGTTTCCAAGAAAGGTAAAAGATACTTTATAGTGGACCATGAGAACGATGCCAATAGAAGGAGGGAAGAGGCCAAAAAGCTGATGGAAATGAAGAAAGTGTTTAAGTTTATTGTAAACAGGAATTCAAGCAGAGAAGATACTCATCTTGAAAGATTATACTTGCCATTTATGGTTGTAAGCACAAATAAAAAGGCAGACATCCATTGCGAGACCAATGAAGAAAGGAATTTCTTTGTATTTAAGTCGAGTAAGCCCCTGAAGGTCAACGAAGATCTGGACATACTTCGCGAAATATATGAGAAGGCTCATTCCAGAGAGAGACCAATCGACTTTTCAATAGTGGACAGGCTAAGCAGCGAAAGATTTGAGAACTTTGAGCAGAACGGTTACCAAAGAGAAGAGCTTGACCTCGATCCGTTCTTTTTAAGCTTCTAAAGCTGTGTGTTTAACTCTCAAATAGAAGATGGGGCTTGAACTTCGAGCATTGGATAGGCATTTCAGGTGAATGAAATGGATTTCTTGTTACATATTTACAGTAATGGGAATAAACTTTCTCAAAGAGGGAATCCACAGGTTCATCTGCAACAAATACAAACACCATGTTTGTAATTGTTCTAAAGACAGTAATGACTCGGTTTTGGAGACGGATGGTCTGCTTTGCTGCAGACTTTCCCATTATTCTTGATAATATCACACTTACCGAATACAGAGAGCTTGTTAATATCAAAAGACTGTTGATACTGGTCTCTCCCTCTCTTTCATATTTGTAGACCATTCCTCCTGATTTGTTTATTATGAAAAACTGCTCCACAAGCATAGGGAGGCCAATAGATAGAAAATTAAACTGGGTCTTAGCTATTCAAAATGAGTAAGGAAAAAGTTTATTTGAATTCAAATAACGGTGTTCCGGGATCTGCTCTGGGACTAACACAAATAATGACTTCAAGCCCTGTATTGTCTTCGATATAGTGCTTATACGACTTCAGAACCTCATACTCGTTGAACTTCATCGAATAGTTCTCTGGATGATTGAGGTAGTCCATTGAAAACAAAATCCCTTTTTTCTCGGGAACCCCGAACCCTTTAAGAACTTCCCTTACTGCCTCTATGATCTTTGAGGGAAGTGGGGATTCATTTCTTTTGATCTCTTCAGAAATATTAATATTCAAAATCTTGCATTCGCAGGCTATCTGATCGACAATCCCCATACATCTTCTCTTCCACTCCGAATACTCCATTCCAACCAATATCTCGACAGTTTCACACTTCTTCTTTTTCTTCTGTACTACCAGCCTCTTCAGAGTATTCTTAAGATGCAGGACTCCATCGACCTCTGATGTATCTGCCAGGAATGGAACTGGAAGTAAGAAACTCGAATGGAAGTACGTTTCAATCAAATGGCGTGCCAGCGAGGGTATAATCGGATACAGCAATTGCGTCATCGTCTTGTAAAGCAAGAACACAATTTCTTCGTTAGTTCCCTTTAGAATATGATACATTTCTTTTGCATGTATCATTTCATAGAACCCGTATTTTACCACATCTCTGTACACCATATCTTCATGTGCTCGAATCGCATGGGAGATGTTCATAGAGATAGCCTGTAAAAGAAACTTGTCTGCAAATCCCATACTCTCATAGTCCTTCATGAGCTTCAGAATGCAGGGATTAAAGTTCTTCCCAATGCACAACTCCTCGATCATCTTTACATATGAATAAAGCTTGAGAGTAAAGGCATTGGCATTGGACTCTACGAAGTTTGCATCTTCATTTGTATCTCCACACACTGCTAGGCACATTCTTGTCGAACTTACTCCAAACTTGGCTAGAGATTCATCAACAGTTAGAAAGTTCCCCGAACTTTTGCTCATCTTCTCAGAATTCAGCATCAAATACCCATTTGTAAATATCCTTCTTGGCCAATGCTTCTTCTCAAACAAGGCTACGTGATTGAATAAAAAGAAGATTAGATGATTCTTCAGCAAATCCTTTCCACTGACACGAAGATCGACTGGATAGAAGTAGTTGAATGACTTCCTACAGTTACTTAAGATCTCTTCAAAGGGTAGAAGGTCCTCCTTTATACCTTGATTAAGAAAAATGTAATTCCATACATCACTAGAAAGCTTACTACTTGGAAATATCTCTTCTTTTCCTTCCAGATCTTTATACAGAAAGTGTTTGAAGGTATACATAGCCATGTAGATAGTACTGTCACTGAGCGAGTCAATGAGATATTCATTCTCCCAGGGAACTCTTGTTCCCAATCCAAAGGATCTGGAAAATCCCCATTTTCCTATCCATTCAACAGCACTTTCCAAAATCGCCCTTGTATCGTCGGTACAGACGATATTAGCAATACATTCTCTGACCTTTTTCTTCCACTCGCTATCGTCATAGTCTATATACCACTGGTCAGTCAGAGCTACAATACATTTTCCTCCAGACCTACTTATGACTTCTTCCTCGGGTTCATAGAACTTCAGAAGATCCTTCGTTTCTGCGAGATGGGATTCAGTGTTTTCAATCTTGCCGATAAACTCCATTTCCTTCTTGATATACTTGGACAAGTCAGAATCCTTCTTATCGGGTACTCCCTTAGCAATGCATGGCACATCTCTTTCAATGCAATCGCCTTTTATCTTCTCGCCAAAGCATTCGAAATTCTTTTCGCTAAAAAAGTCCCCCGTAACCGATTCCTTTCTAAATACTCCATCAACCTGTGCATCTATGTTTTCGAAAATGTCTTTTTCTGCAAAATACTTTGTGTTGTTATATTCAAATCCTACAAAATCACTTCGGCGGCCAATAATAACCTTTGACGGAATCTGTCCTTCCTTGAAACGTGCAAGAAGAATCCCGTCTTCAAACTTCAGCTTACACAGAACCACACCAACTGGTTTTACATTCTCCCCTTTCCTACGATCATGATCCAGGCATGGCTGTTTGTCAAGAGGGCAGAATATAGAATGTCTTTTTCCAAAAGACAGATAACCTAGCTCATTCAGTCTGTTGAACTGCCATTTGATAAACGAATCATAGTACTTGTTAATGTCTGTCGTGATAAACGATCTTCTCCAGTCTATATTGCTGTGGAACCTTTTTAGAGACTTTATACATAATTCTGGAAACGTCCTTACCCAATGGACAGGGTCTGTGAATGGTCTGGCATCCTCAAATCCAAGATCCTTTATAATGTTCTTTACAGAAAGATCCACGTTCTTCCCATTCAGTTCCTCCTCAAGCTTCTTTGCAGATGCACTTATCGGCATTCCTGTGCAATGGAATGCAAATGGGAACAGCACGTTGTAACCTTGAAGCTCTTTATAGTAACTAAAAAAATCCGCCTTAGACACCGAGAATAGATGACCAAGATGCAACCTTCCGTTCATATAAGGTATTGGAAATGTTACAAAGAACTTTTGTTTCTTAGACACATCAGGAGTTGTGTCTCTGTCAATCTCAAGGGAATTCAGATACTTCAGCTTAGATTTCTCTTCCATCTAAAGGGATTATAAAAAAATTGCTTATCCTTTTTGGGTACGACTATACTTGTAACCGGCTATTGTCCAAGTCTAATTAATCAGAGTTGCTTTAGTGAATCATATTCGGCCGTTTCTCCTTTTATATTGCATGATTATTAATTAACGGACTTTGCCGCCCACACATGTTTTATACGGCACTGTTCGTAAATATCATAATATACCATGGATTGTGGCGGAACCTTCTCAAACACTTGTTTATCAAGACATCCTCCTTCCCAATAGGCTAGAGAAGAATCAAGAATGATGAAGGAGAGGAAAACGGTCTAATAAATATTTTTGAACTTTAGTATAACGCACCAGTCTCTCCCAAAGATCCCGTGACACAAATAAATTAAAGGCTTTTCTAGCCCCATGGACATGGATGACTGCTATTTCTTTCTTTACTCCTCCTGCAAATTCAAAGATAGATGTACATATAGGCATAATGAAAAGTGTAGAAACAATCTGGTTACGTGCAAGAATTGGGAGAGTAAGATACCATGCAATGAGGACTGCCCCTATCGCCATTCAAAGTTCCACTTAAAGAAAAACCGCCGAGAGGAGATGTGCTACTGGGAAGACAAACCCAGAGGATGCACCAAGGACAGATGTGAGTATAGGCATACTAATCCCATGAAGGATGCATGGAAAACTGCGGGTCTATCTGAGGAGGCACAGGAGCTGAGTCTAAACACCTCGGGATCCTCGATGTCAGAGCAACAGGGCCTTGAAGACATCAGATTAAAGGACTACGAAGAAGTGATGAGCATCCAAGAACAGCACACAGACCCAAAGGCAGATACATTGACTGGTACAGAATCTCCAAAGAAGATTGGCCAAAAAGAGACTAGTTGCCAAGAAAACTCCACTCTATTACAAGAAAGAAAGAGTGAAGCTACAAACGACACCGAAAAGATAGAACTTCATAGCAATGTTCTAAAAAATAATTCCGTTGAGGATGTACTAAAATCTCAAAATAAGAGAGTTAAAACAGAAGAAACTCCTAATGTTACGGGAAAAACCACAGTGAATCTAGAAGAACTAGATAAAGAGATCGAAGAGTTGGACGGAATTCTGATGGATTGAGCCATTTCAGCAAGTTCATCAAGTCTGGAAAGGATAAGAGATTCACTGAACTTCTTATGTGATTTTTCTTGAGATCCAATCTTGGCAATAAAGTAACTTAAAGTAACAGAAAACTATCCAATAAAAATAGATGGTTTGATTTTTTATTAACCCGATTAGGAAATTATGATTGTAATATTATTAAACTAGAAAAATGGACCCCCATAATGAAAAACTCGAATCTTCAACTTAAAGATGTTGTTCTTCAAGTTCCTAACCAAGACTTATCTTCTGGAGACCCATTCGCTCTGCTGATCGACGATTTGACTGTTGATTTTCAACCTGGAAAGATGTATGCCTTCATGGGAACTAGTGGAAGTGGGAAAACCACGACAATGGAAACCATTTCGGCATTAGTTCCAAGTGGATCTAAAACAAGTGGATCGATACTGATAGAAGGATTAGAGAGAGATCCCGACCAATGGGGTAGAAACCACGCATATGGAAAGCAAGAGGCATATGGTATGGATAACTTAACACTGGAAGAATTTGTCTCCTATTCCATCTCGTTTTACTTTCCCGATGAAAGTAAGGAGAATATTAACCAGGTAATGGATACTGTTCTTAACGATGTCCTCAACTTGGGTAGGGTCAGGAGGAATCAGATGAACCAGCTATCTGGTGGGGAACAAAAAAGAGTGGGCCTTGCAGTAACCTTTGCTAAAATGCTTTTACTTCAAGGACAGTTAAAGGTGTCCCTTCTTGATGAACCCACTAGTGAGCTTGATTCTGGAATGGCGGTAAAGGTAATAAGATTCCTTAAGGATTACGCCCAAATGACCGGCTCAATAGTGATTACAACGGTTCATCAACCTGGTCCTGAAGTCTTCAGTACCTTTGACAATCTCCTGTTTCTGCACAAGGGATCAAAGATATATCTAGGACCGGCTGATGGATTCATGAACTTCTTGAACTCCAAAGGAATCTACAATCCGGGTTCGGAAAGTTCCAATATGGAATTTCTGTTCAGTCTGTTTACACCGGGGACTAGAGAGTCTGAGAAATACAAGGACCAGCTTAAAGAAATAGAAAATGAGATCAGGGAAGAGAAGCTAAGAAAAGGAAAAAAGGAAAAAAGAACATTTAGGACATCAGAAGATACAAAAATCAATTTTGTTCCAAATTTCCACACAGCCCTCCTCTTAGTTAAGAGACAGTTGACTTTAGACTGTTTTAGATCGAAAGAATTTTTAGTCAGTACGGTCATACTTCTTCTTATTGTAGGGTATTTCCTTTTACAGGGCTTAGCGCTTAAGGGGATACCCTTTCCCTTAACAATGATATTTATTAGCTTCATACCTTTCTCAAATACAATACTTAATAGAGGTATTCGTTATTCAAAAGAGGAAATGGATAGAAGACTATACGATACTGCAACACTATGGCTCGCAGCTCTTATTCTAGAACTTATAATGATTTTTATCAGGTGCACCATCGCAGTTGGAATCATGTTTGCCTTTGGTCATATTGGCCTGGAACACTTACCTTTCCTATACATCAGCCATATCTTCCTGCTCTTCTTAAATTCCTTACCTGCCATGATGGTTGTCTCCTTGGTAGATACTTCTACAACCATCGGGAAAGTTTTACCAGGAATTATTCTTGTTGTCCGCTGTTTTAGCATGGTATGTCTCTTTAAAAGTCTGGATTATATACTTAAGACTTTAAGAATTCCATCTCTGATAAGTAAGTTGATCCAATCAATCCTGAACTTTCCATTTTCAAATTTTTTGCTCAAGATTATTATCTGTCCTCAAGGGTTTCTTTTTCAAAAGATCTTAGAGTACTATGATAACGATGCTAAAATTCTCGAAATATTTTCGAATGATTTTCTTCAGAAATGTAAAGCTGATTTATCTAAAGCTTCCGGAGACCAGGTCGATGCCAGTAGTACCCTCAGTGGTCTCAAGGAGGCCGCCGAAGAGTTCAAGAAGATCAAAGCCTCTAGTTACCTTCAAGCTAATCCTGAAAATTTCCCTTTTGTTATTTTGGTGGGTGTGATCTCTTTCATCGTTATTAGCATTATATCTATAATCTTCCTAGATAAAAGATTCTCGCCCTCTGTAAGATTCCAACTATCCGAGGATGAAAATAAGGATAAGTCCCTTCAATCAAGATTGAAATCGCTCACCAAGGGATCTTGGCTAAAGCGATTCCTAGTAGTTTTTGGGATGGTTTTAGGAATAACAGCTATAGCCCTTATTATTCTCAGGAGTTTCCCTTTCTTAATGAAAAACAAGGAAGGGGGAGGGGGGCAACAGAACAGTCAACCGCAACCGGCCGGGGGGGGGCAGCAGTCAACAGGAACTAATGGAGGAACTAGCGGTATCAATTATTGACTAAAAAATCGAGATTAAATTATTAGGCTTTTATTCCATCGGCAATTATCGAATACTTTAAGTTTTTATAAAAAATAGGCGGCTGAAGTACGTGCACACTATATAATATTCATTTTCATTAGCGACAATGGCTTATATACCTAAGTTTATTTTAAGTTGGTGATATATTGTAGCTTTTTGATATCTTATCTTGGCAGCATCGAAAAGAATGAGATGGGACTCGGAAGGGATGTTCTTTGAACTAAGAATCTTGGAAGGAGGATGGAGAGTTTTAATTGGAGGAAGATACTTTTTGTGAAATTAAGGTCGCTTTTTTCCAAATTGTTTATGTTTACAGAAATAAATGTGTAGTCGGATAAACATTGGAAATGGAAATTTCTACCGAGGAAAGCTGCTCTTTTGACGAGAACCTTCTTGATCAACAGACTTTTAAGAACTTTTTGAAGTTAAAGGGGATTCTGAAGCAGTTCCCAAAAAAGAGCGGCATTGAATGTACACTCTGTGAAGAAAACATAAGGATTCGAAATCTTCATGACATGTTCAAAGCATATGCATGTGCAGTTTCTTGCCTTTCCTATCATGTTGAGTCTGCCGGTGTGGTCGACTTTTTAGTGTTTTTCGAAGTTGAGGACTTTGTGATGAAAAGGATAGAGAATAGGGAAATGAGTAGCGTAAAGGAAGTCCTAGTATATAAGAAAGATACCAAGGAGATGTACGAGGAGGCGTTGAGGGACCAGCTCATTGCGGTATTTAAGACACATTTTGTGGAAAAGGCCATCAAAATAAACTGTGAGCAGGATGTGGAGTCTATAACATACAAGTACTACAAGTTAGTGGACAGCAATGCAAGAAAAGAATTTACAACAAAAAGTCTGGAGCTTTTAATGGTTCTGCTATTCAGAAGAAATGAACTGATCAGGTTTTTCAAGGTTTTTTCGTGTAGCAAGAAGAGTTATGCAGCTTTCAAGCTTTCTCTGTTGCTCAGCATGAGACAGGAATCCCATGTTTCGGCCGAGGGATTATTAAAAGAGTTTGAAGACTTTCCATTTGAAGAAGACAGCCTGTTTCCATATAAGGGAAGCATTGAAAGTCTATGCAAGGTTAATGAGGTGTTAAGGAACCCGGGGAAAGATACTGAAGAGTGGCTTATAATACAGCGGAAGAATATGGACTGGGCCGAATGTGTTCAGATGTGGGCTTTAAATCGGGAGAACGATCCAGAAGCCATGGACAATTCGATGATGGAGCTCTGCATAAGAAACAAATGCTATGAAGATGGGTGGTTGATATATGAAAACAACACGGAGAGAACAAATGTAAGTGTTAACAAGGCCTGTGCTCTTTGTTTCCGGGGGTTGAAGGACAACGATGGGGTTCACATCTGGAAGGTTAGAATGGCAGAAGTCGTTGAGTATTCCATGTTCTCAGGAGATCTTGATTCGCTATACGTCTTGATAGATGATGTTATGATCAAACTTCACGAGATCTCAGTAACACTTAGGATCTTTATTCTCAGAAAATTCTCGAAAATGATTGGCTTTCTCCATAATAACGAAGACTTGATTGGGAATTTCTTGAGGGCACTTCAAGTACTGTGTAGCAAGTGCCAAGATTCGGAGACACATGCCCTATGTGTAAGATATTCGGCACAAGCTTACGACGAATGGAAAAAGATCAAAAGTAAAAAGTTCCTGTTTTTCAAGAAACAGAGCCACAGGGACATTCAGATATATGCAAGTGTACTTGGAATCTATGGAACAGTAGGAGATTGTGGAAGATTCTACAATGTATACCAAGACCTTTTAAAGTCCGACATTGAGCTAGGTAGGGAATTATGTGCAAGACTAGAAAGCCTGCATATCCAAGACTGCGAAGAATGTATCCTAAGAAGAAACAGAATCGTTCTGAACAAGAGTGGAAAGGCACCGCCGGTCTTTAATTTTTTGAATAAACCTTGATGCACTTTCAAACGGTCATGGAGATAAGATATTTGAGCACAATAATCCAGAGGCTTTCAACCACCGAATTTTATAGGATTGCAGTTGAGCGAATAGTAAAAACTCCATTGAAATCACCCTAAATGCTCGGTGATTTCAAGATTGTAAAAAAGTGCAGTACAACAGATGCAAGAGTTTCGATATTCGAATTGAACGACACATGCCTTGAGTTGCCTATATTTATGCCTGTAGGGACATATGGAGCGATGAAGGGCATTCGCGTTCCTGACCTCCAGGAGAATATGATTTTGACAAACACGTATCACCTTAGGAAGCTGGGGAAGAACATCAAAAGATTTATGAAGTATAATAGAGGGATGCTAACTGATTCTGGAGGGTTTCAGATTGGGAGCTTACCCGATGTTGTTGTGACAGAGGAGGGAGTGAAGTTTGAGAACACCTTGTTCACACCAGAAGATAGCATGAGCATACAAATGGAATTAGGTGCAGACATCATCATGCAGCTCGATGATGTTGTAAATCCATGTGATTCCAAGGAAAAAATAGAAGTTGCAATGAGGAGGTCCATAAGATGGATGGATAGGTGTATTACAGCGGTCAACCGCCATGAAGTTGATGAACACACTAAAAAATTAAAAAAGGAAGATCTTCCTCAAATAAGACTCGAGGAAGGGAGTACACAGATATTATTTCCCATAATCCAAGGAGGACTTGACGAAGAGCTAAGGGCAGAAAGCATTGCCGAAGTCCTCAAGAGATCTCCAAAGGGCCTTGCAATAGGGGGATTAAGCGGAGGAGAAGAGAAATCCGAATTTGCACGGATTGTTCACTTTTGTATAAAGAACCTTCCAGAAGGAATTCCGAGATATCTCATGGGAGTGGGGTATCCCGAAGATATAGTGGTGTGTGTAGCACTGGGAAGTGATATGTCCGACTGCGTATATCCAACAAGGACAGCCAGGTTTGGAAGAGGGTTTTCTGATTCCGGAGATGTCTGTTTCACATCCAAACTTAAGTATGACAAAAGGAAGATAGATGAAACCTGCAGTTGCTTTGTGTGTTCTAGATACTCAAGGGCATTTATGTTTTCGATCAAAGGAACCACCAACTTCTGCATGCTTCTCACAATTCACAACTTGCATTACATGAGAAATCTCACAAAAAGAATTAGAGAGTCCATAATGGAAGATAAATATCCTGAGTTTATTAAGACTTTTATGGGAAATAGATTTAAAGAGATACCCGAATGGATAAAAATAGCTCTTAGGAAAGTTGGAGTTGAGGTTTAAGGATTCAACCATGAATAAATCCATTTTGAAGCTAGAAAGTACAGAGCCAGCTAACTTTTCTGGGTGAAATCCTTGACAATATCAAACTTCAAGAGTTTGTCCACAATGTCCACATGCCCCAGAAACATCCTTCTGCAGCATATTCTTTTCATCCCTAGTTCGTCAAGTGCCTCGGCTTCTCTCCCGCTGGTCCTTAGAAGTTCTAGATACGGCTCCCATTTGCTGGAGATTTCCTTCCCGCAAGTAAAGCATCTTATTGGAATAATCATTTTACAGAGGGCGTTGTTTTTAGCCCTATATACTCTGCAGATATCTTACCCAACTACACCCCAGGATGTGGATAAAACTCAAAGACAAGGAGACAGGAAATCCATACTTCTACAATACAGAGACAGCAGAGAAAACACAGAGAAAGCCTTCCGAGGGCTTTAGGCTGTACCATATATTGATAAAACACGAAAAATCAAGAAAGCCCGTAGATGTAAGCGTTGAAGAGGCTTTCTTAAAAATAAAGGAGATCTATGAGGAGTTAAAGGCAAAAGTTAATGATAGTGATTTCAAAGAGATCTTTAAGGAATATGCATATAAACACTCCCAGTGCTCGTCTTCAAAAAGAGGAGGAGACTTGGGGTTTGTATGTGGAAATGAAATGATGAAGGAGTTTGAAAGGCCAGCATTTTCTCTTCGAAGAGGAGAGATATCCGCCCCTGTTTCCACACCCTCTGGGTTCCATATAATTTATCGGAGATGAACCATAAACAGGATCCTCATGTTTATTTCTAAGGCTGCCTTATCAATACTCTTCCCATATCTCTAGCTATCAGCTTTTCTTGTTTGCACATGTAATCGATGGCTTTTTTGCACATCCATTCATCTTTTCCTTCAAGCCTTTTGATTAGATCGTTGTATTTTATTGATCCTCCAACTGGTACAAGCTGCTTTATCCTGTTGCATATCTCTTCGATATCGTTGATCACATCGGGACGGACCATTCCTTCTAGCATATGTCCTTGGGAAACTGCGTTCATCGTGCTTACATTAAACAGCCTTATTGCTTCCTCTACGTGCTTTTCGGAGACTACTTGGCTCAATTCCATCTTCGCAAGTGACTCTCCTATCCGTATTATTGCTTCTAGCTGCCGAACCGTTATTGGAATTGAGTTCCGCTTCAGAGTGCTTTGTTCAAACTGCCTAACCTCTTTTCTTGTGTTGACATAGTATCTTGACAGCTGCTTGGATGCCGCATCCGAAAGTGTTGGAAACACCTTGCCTTTGGCATACTGTACATATCTTTTTAACACGCTAACCGGGAGGGTCCCCGAATGCTCTTCCTCCCCAAGGACCCATTCTTCATTTCCATCCTGTGTCTCTTCAGGACACTTAGCATCCCCTCTGACCTTGTCTTGATGGACAGAGAGCACATGCTTTGCAAGAGTGATGTCATTGGGACCAAACTTGTCTTTAAGTATAAATATGCAGTCAAACCTAGATAAAATGGTGGCTCCAAATTCAATGTTTTCATCAGGAGTCTTATAATCGTCATATCTTCCAAAAACCGGGTTTGCAGCAGCAAGTATGCTTGTTCTGGTGTTTAGCATCGTTGTTATCCCAGCCTTTGCAATTGATATTGTTTGTTGCTCCATGGCCTCATGGATGGCAACTCTGTCATGCTCATTCATTTTGTCAAACTCATCGATACAGCATATTCCATTGTCTGCAAGAACCAGTGCTCCCCCTTCAAGATAAAATTCTCCACTGCTGTCTCTTATTACACTGGCTGTTAGTCCTGCTGCCGAGCTTCCCTTTCCACTTGTGTAAACACCCACGGGAGATGCAAGTTCCATAAACTTCAGAAGTTGCGATTTGGCCATCCCCGGATCTCCTAGAAGAAGAACATTGATATCTCCTCTTAGAGTGACTTTATCCTCAAATACTCTTCTGGTTCCTCCAAACAGCATGCAGGCTAGAGCCTTCTTTACATCCTCATGTCCATACACCGAAGGCGCGATGGATTTTGAAATCTTTTCATAAATGTTTGTTTTGCTAAGCCTTTTGAAGCTCTCTTCCTCCTCCTCTGTAAACATTCTTGAAATCTTGAGATTCTGATGCTCAAGCCCTACCACTTTTACAATTGGAAGAGAACTGTCACGGATCATTCTCATACAGTAGATCCCTGTAATAATAACTTTTGATCCTGGAATCAAGCTGTTAACCATTCCCTTTTCCAAAACCAGGCTGAAGTGCCTGGGTGTTTCTCCAACAGGAATGTCTTCAAAAAACTCTTGGATCTTCACATACTGCACATCTATCACCCTGCTTTTCTCAGGTATCACAATATAAGGATCGGCTGGGCATTCTGCCTTGTCGCACATCCTGGGAATCATATCCACAACTTCTTTGCTGCTAAGGCAGTTTCTGCAAACAAGAAACAGTACCTTCGGCTTTGTGATAACAGAAGATGCAGAAACAACTATTCCCTGTATCTTCACTATCTTATTTGTCCGGGATGCATTTATTTCTCTGATGGGTATGCACCTACCTCCTGAAACCAAACGGAGCTGAAATCCCTCTGTCCCTCCTGTATTGTACTTACTTACTATAGCCTCTTCAAACCACTCAATAACCTTTTCAGGCCTCTTGGATAGCTCCTGAGAAAGAAGGCTCGAATACTGGTAAATATGCTCCAGCCTTACTGTTAGAGAAAAGTTATTCCGGTTGATGTTTGACGAAAGTACATGAGAGTACTCCTTTTGTGTCGTCTTGAACAGTTCAATAAACCGAATGAATTCGCCCTTGATTGTCTCCTCGTTTACAACTGGTTCATTGGTCACCAGGTCGATACTTGCAACTCTATGCTCATCCCAAGTCATTTTAAGATGGGCTTTTCTCTGTAGAATTCAACATCAAGAATTAAAACCATCCCATCCCAAGCCCAGAGATGGATCGCATCGACTCGATGGACAGAGGAATCCAGAGGCACACAAACACCTACATACATGCGGTGATCAGCCTCTTGAAGCAGTATGATCGGCCACTGTCCTTTGAGGAGATAAGAGATAAGACAAGAATCGACTTACACAACAATTACATGCTCCTTCAGTCTATTAAGAAAAATCCAAGGATAGTTTCAACTCATAACACTTTGATGTTCAAGCCTTTGTACTCGATAAGGAGTGTAGAGGACATGAGAGAAGTTATGAAGAAGTTGAATGGAGAAGAGGGTTTGGAGATGAGCAAGTTGATGGATTCCCCAGTGAATATTGCGCCGTTTGTAGATGAGCTGAAGAAAAATAATGAAATAATTGTGCTTAGTGACCTAGATGGGTCCGAGGTGGTGTTCTGGAACGATATGCAGGAAAATCCTGTTGCTCCAGAGATAAAAGATTTGTGGAGCCAAGTTAGGATATCGACATACCATGATCTAATAAGGGAACTTAACACCGCCGGACTAAAGACAGAAAAAGTCGAAAATGTTAAGAAGAGATCTACAATCAAGATCAAAAAGGATAGAAGAAGCAGAAGACGGATCCGAATAACGAATACGCATGTAAAGGGATTAGATCTCAGTGGCGTACAGGACGAAGGGTAGCCAACACAGTTCCAAACTCTCTGTATCGAAATACATTTTATTAAATAGCAGGCTCCTTAAACTGTTGTCTTGTATTCCAAACCATCCACACTGTAAAGATGGCAATCCCTCAATAGAACATCGATGTTTTCTTTAATCTCGCTTTCTGGATATTTAGACGAGAGCATCTTGATAACCACATTTATGTGAAGCCCATTCTCATCCTGGTTCTTCCTATAGCACTCCAGTATGTCCTCCTGGATCCTGCCGAGCTTTGCACCATCGCTTTTTACCTCTTCTCTCTGAAGCTGCCTGGTATAGAATAGATGTTGATAGATACAGTTCAGAAAGTGGTAGGTGATAAGATTTGGGTCTTCTACCTGGGCTAGATGGGACACAGATACACTTCTCTTTCCATTGAATGTTCGGAGAGACCCATTGACCTGGAGAAGTCCATGTTCTTCAAGAGCCTTGCACTGCTCTTCCTCATAGGAATTACTTGGCCAGAATGTACAATCCACACTCTCTGTCCCATCCTCCAAAACAAACATCGAACCTGTTGCCGATGTTCTCGAAGATACAACCCATCCAACAATTTGAACGTTGGTGACTTCCGCAGAGTCGATCATGTGTGTTGAAGATGCCTCATCAAAGTCACAGTTGTTGATCTGTTTGATTGTGAGTGTTCTTAGTGTCTTTATTCCTAGGAATTCTCTTTTTGGAGAGCTTTGGATGTATCCTCCGTCACTTCTGTCCATATGGGTCTAGGATTTCCGCTACCAAAAATTTGCCCTCTTGAGATGAGGATTAATGAATCGGATCTCTTCAAGAGATATAGAATTGCCAACCAAATGGCTTCGAACTTCCCATTGATGCTCAGAGAGGTCAATGAGACTGTCTACATAACATCCACAACCCAAAGGAGCTATACGATATACGATGTGAAGAAGATGAATCTCCTCTTCTGCGGGCCTATGTTCAATCAAATTCATTGCACTTATCAGAAAGGAGATTTTGTCTATGTTGGGTCATACAGAGATGTGTATGTGACCACTCGGGGGAGTATTGTCCGATGCTTTACTCTTCCAGCAGGCTTGGTTCAATCCAACAAGAGGATCCGAGTGTCTGAGGAGAGCTTGGAAGGAATTATTAGACAGATCCTTGGGTTTGGAGAGGTGATTCTGATTCTAACACAAAGCGAGCTGTTTGTTACTGAGGATCTGAACGAGATATATAAGATTGATCATGATGAGATTGAAAGTTTGTTCCATCCTCATACATATGTTAACAAAGTTGTTAAGATTCTTCGGGGAGGAAGGATGGTACTGTTCAATGTGTCTACCAGGAGGGAAGTGTATGTGTACAAGCCGTTTGAGGCAACGATAACAGCGATTGAACAGAGTCCTGTGATTGATGTTGTTGGAATAGGCTTAGAGAATGGTATTGTGCATGTATTTAACCTGAGGACTGATAAGATTCTGTTTTCATTTAAGGCAGGATGTAAAGTTCATGGGCTCAGCTTTGGAGGAAACCATCTCATGGTGATAACAGGAAAAGAGATGCTAATGTTTGATCTAGACGAGAAGAAAAAGATGGGATCAATTGAAGGTTCTACTAGCAAACAAGATGGGACTGAGGAATGTTTGGACAGAAGAATTCTAAGTGGAAAGTTCCTCGATGACAAATCCTTTGTTATATCCACAAAAGATTCATTGTCTCTTTATGAGGTAGAGAACTATAACCTTGAGCTAATTAAGAGAAGAAGAACATACAACGACAAGATAATAGGGATGGAGTTTGTAGATGAAAAAAGCGTTCTTTTGTTTGGTCCCAAATGTGTCTTCAGTATGAATGTGTATAGGGACGAGCAGAACTTCATGTTCAAATTCAAAGGAGATATTGAGATGATGGATGTTAACAAAAACATTGTATGTTCTGGAAAAGGGCAATTGCATTCCTTTAATTTCTCAGAGAAGAACTCAAAGCCCCTTTTGAGAAAGGATGTCAATTGTCTATCTGTATACAAGGACTTTTGCTGTTTTGGAAAAGACAAAATTACTTTAATCAACCTCAAATCAAAACTTGTGCACAGCAAATTTTCCATTGGTGAGGAGCTGATTGATTTGGCAATGGACTTCACACGGATAATTGCGGCAACAGCATCAGGTGTATGGATATACACAACGAAGGGAGAATTTATCTCCAAATATGAGCAGAAGGGAGTAGTATCCATAAGACTGATGGAAAGCTTTGTTGTTATCTGTACTTCCTTCCAGATCTTATTCTATGACGAGGGGGTTTCGAGAGTATTCAAGATGGCAGATGAGATAACGGATTATTGTGTATCCAGCGACTCGAAATGGATAGCCATCTTGTGCGGAGAGAAGATCTTTCTCTACGACATCCTGACCACCACGCTTCTTGACATGCTTGGGATGGATGAGGAAGCAAAATTCATCAGGTTTTCTCCAAATCTTGACTTTCTTTTGGCTGTTTCTAAGAGCAATGATCTGATTTTATTTTCAAACAAGAGCAACTTCCAGTCACACTCAAAACCTGAGAAGTTTGCTTTGAATTTCTCAGACTTCAAGGAAAGAAGCAATGCACAGGAAACTGTGTGGAGACAGAAGAGAGGAAGTCTGTATTCAGAGCTTCTACTTTTGAAAGGCTTGGAAAGAAAACCAGAGGATATGGAAGGGGAAGGTTCCAACTTGTCCGAATCTTCTCTAGAAACATTAGAAAAGCTTCTAGATGAAGATTGGATAAAAGGGATGACTAAAGAGGAAGTCTTGAAGGTTATGGATATCCTTGCTCTCCATACCACTACATCCATGAATGTTGTTCAAAGGATCTTGTTTAATATCTTAAGGTACAAATCCCATCTACTGGAGCCTGAGGATGTGAGCACATTTCATGAAAGATTCATCAGAGACTGGGATGATTTTGAAGAAAATGCATTAAAGGCGATAGGATACCTCAGTGCCGAAGCTGATGGGTTACTCCAATAGATCTTTGCTCTACATGTCTATCTTCTTAGAACAATGAGTCTAGAGGTTATCAATAAACTTATCAACACAATCATCAGTAAGATTACGGATCTACTTCTAATGACAGCTAGAGTATTAGCCTTCTGACTCCAGATGTCCGGAAGTTTTATTGGGGAAAAAAGTGAAGTGAAGACTGGAGAACATACATCGTACTGGTCCAGACACCAGAGACTGCCATCCTTAGATGAGCACTTTGTGCTGGGAAATTTCCCTACTCTTTCGCACATCAAGGCTTCTGTTTGCAATACTCCTTTCTTGCAGAAGCCTTCTGGGACCGGCCTAGACCCATCCTGAGCATACTTGATTCTGCATATAGGGGATTCTCCGTCGCAGTAACTCCCCTCCTCACAGTTCATCTTGTGAATATTTGAAGATCTTTCTTTGCACATTGTGTTTTTTGGAAGTAAGCTGCAGTCTTTACAACATCTTCCATTTCGGTCATCGCACTGTGCCCCAGACCTTAACTTGCATTGTCTAGTACAGCAAAGAGAACCATTTGGAAGACCTGAGTCACACTCTTTTTCTCCCTCAACCACGCCATTTCCACAAGTGTCTATCTCATCGAACTGGATCTTGTTCTTCAGAATAAACCTTTCTATTTGCTTTATGTTTCGGTTACTGAGGACAGCACTCTCTTCCTTCTCTAACGGACCCTCTTCCTCCCTCATTAGACACCCTTTATCCAAATCGTGTTCTGCACCCAGCCCATGTGCTATCTCATGTGCAAGCACCTTCCCCTTATAGAAGTACGAGTCCGACTCCAATATCTTAACAACTCCAAATCTCCTTGTGATAGAGCCCATTCCTCCAACAAACGTCAACCCATTCACTTTTATGCTGGATGTCTGAAGAAGAAGGACAAGATTAGACTTCTCTAGGAGCATCCCTATCCTTGTATTCTCTTTTACAGGCCTGAGGATCCTACTAAATTTCCTGAGTGTTCCAACACTATCGGTTTTTTCAATCCATTCTGGATCAATGTCTCTCGTTTTTATCATTTCTAACTCTCGTAGTCTAACGTAAGATTTCGGAATCAAAGGCTTGTCTATAACATTAAGTATTCCATTCAGGGACAGCCTGATGCCATCGATGCTCCATCTGTTCCTTTCAAATATGTCTTTTGCGTTTCTGAATATTTCTATTGTGTCAAGATTGATGTCCGGACCTATCTCCTGAACTCTATCGAAGTCGTTGATCAAAAACACTTTGATAACTTTTTTAGTGTTCTTCACTTCTTTGCGCTCCTTGGAATCCTCTTGTCTATTCATGGAAATATTTCCCAGTTTCTTGATTATGACTCTCCCATCTTCTCCCGATTGGATCCGATACATAACTCCAGAGGATACGAACGATCCATAAATGAAATTACAGAAGGATATTGAGCCGTAGCACTCTTCTTCATCAAGACATTCAATGGAAAAGTCACACAGGTTCTGCCTCATGACTGTCCCATTGATTTCAAGGGATGAATCTGCCAGCTTAAGCCTGAAGTCTCTTCCAAAGGCTCTAAAGACCATAATGAGGCTGGAAGACAAGGGAACACTTTCCATTGGGATCATTTGGCCGCTAAGGTCTGCAAATTCCAGGCTTATTTCCTCTGTTTTACAGAATACAAAAGAAAGCATAGAAAACAAAAGCATATTGTTTACTAATTCCCCAGCAGCTTTGAGACATAAAACAATCGGCTTTGAAGGGAGCTCCAGATCTTAACAACGAGGACGGTCCCCTTGATGTTAGTGAAAAATTTGATAAAAGCAGAAGAAAGATTTGATGGTAGAAAGATTAAGGAAACAAGGAAGCTCGAAGTAGAGAAGATATCTAATTCCTGTCTGATCTCTATGGGGAAGTCTCGGCTGCTGGCTGTGTCCCAGAAAGGCATATCCAGGCCATATGTGGACAAATCACATGAAGGAATAGTGAACTTCAGCATATCCATGGGAGGAAAAAGACATGAAAGATTGGTGAACTTCCTCCACAAGGTGTATATCAAGCAGAAAAGTATCGATCTTGAGAGCCTCTGTATCAAGTTAAATGAAGAGGTTGTACTGATTCATATAGACCTAAGGATTCTGTCCTGTGACGGAAGTATCTATAGTCTTATAGTCCAAGGCGTGAATTCTGTGCTGGAGACCCTTGGAGTGAAAATGAACTACATGCCCCAGTGCTTTTCTTACTGCTCAATTGACAATGTGGTCATCACAGACCCTTCGGAAAATGAACAAATCGAGGAAGATTGGAATTGTGTTGTGGTGATGAAGTCGCCTAAGGAAATAGTTTTTCTTGAGAAGATAGGAAGGGAATGCAGCATAGAACAAGTGTTCGAAACCATCGATAGATCTGTCAAAGACTTCGTGGTGCCTCTCCCAGGAACAGAAGGGGAGAAATGGCTTAGAAGCACTTGACGAATAACTTTTTGTCTCTAGAATCCCTTTGAATGGGATTTCTTTTCCAGGGAGCAGAGTCGATCATTTCAGATGACGGAGAGACTATTTCAAAGAAGCGTGTAAGCAAGTCTTATAGAATAAAGACTCTGGATCAGAAGATAACAAGGAGTAGGACAAGACGGGAGGCTAAAATTCTGAAGAAACTTGAGGAACTCGGGATGCCAGCACCAAGATTAATAAATGTGTGTGATGACACTATTGTGATGGAAAAGATAGATGGAGTGGTTCTTAAGAAAAGAATCGAGGATTCCGATGACCCAAGAGCCCTCTTCTTCGAGCTAGGGACCCTTGTCTCCAAGATCCATCTTGCAAACATAGTTCATGGGGATCTAACAACATCGAACTTTATATCGGGAGACAAAATATATGCAATTGACTTTGGACTATCCTATGTTTCCCTTAAGGACGAAGACAAGGCTGTTGATTTGTATGTTTTTGAAAGGGCAGTCGGATGTTCACACGATTCCAAATTCTTGGAGAACTTTTATGAAGGTTATATGAGGGGGGGAAATGAGGATGTGGTGAGGAGGCTGGAGTCTGTTCGTCTTCGGGGTAGAAAAAGAGAGTCCATGGCCTTTGGATGAGGAAACTATTAAAGATCTTATAGGAATTTGGACCTGGGAATGGCAAAATGCATCATCCGAGAATCGAACTCGGGCCAGCCAGATGGCAACCGGCTATTATACCACTAAACTAATGATGCTTGATGCCGTGCTCTGCAACAGTCTTTTTCCCAGCCTTCCAAAAAGATGGTTCAAACAAAAACACCAAAATAACATCATACAACAATAGAACACTCTGTTTAATTCACATACCCAACTATCCAACACTTATTCCATGCTTCTTCATTATATCTCCAAACTCCTTCTTAAAGTGTTCAACAGCTTCCATGTCACCGTCTAGAACCCCGTCGATGATCCTGCTGACTAGAAACACAACTCTGTGTCTTTCGCATTCTTTGACAGAACTCCCTCTCATCGTCTTACCTCTATTCAGAATCTCGCACACATCGGAAACAAGATCTACCATGTCCGACACATGCTTTTTGCTTTCTTCTGCAAGTTCTTTCAATTCAGAGTAAACTTTCTCATTTCTCTCCGGCTCCACCAGGCCCATTCTCCTTTGAAGGAAAAGAATGGTCTTTTTTATTTCCTCGTTCTCCCTTCGAAGCCCAACTATCTCCTCTCTCTCTGTATTTTTAAGTCCCTCTATCGTTTCCTCCAGCCTTCTTATCTTTGATTCGTAGACGTGAGCCTGGTGTTCCAAAGTCCTTGGCTCGCCTATGTCTCTGGGCTCGCACACAAGACCCTCTCTGATCTTCTCATATCTTATGAATATTCCATGCCTGTCCTTGCAGTGAAAATATCTTACTCCATTGACACTTCCATTGTTGGCCCCTACAGGGTCATCCAGCTCCAATCCTATCCACTTCCCGTCCTTCGACTTTATTCTCCCAATATACCTCACTGTCCCTTTGAACTTATCTCCAAGCGTCAGTCTGTCGTTGACCGTCAGCAAAGACATACGACTTCTGCACCCCTTAACTTGGCCCAAAAAAATAGTCCCTACGAATGGATCAGGACCTTATCACTCTTGATATTCCAGAACTAAATGAAATTCCAAGCATAGGTCTTGACGATCTGGATTCCCAGTACTCTGTAGAAAACGAGTCCATTGATTCCGGAAGCGGGGAGGTTGACAGCACAAACATCGCCAAAATACATGAGTATCTAGACAAAGACTTGAAAGATCAGGATCTTCTAATAGAAAAGCTAAAGACATTTGAAGAAAAGCTAGACAGCTACATAAATGCACATGGAATTTATAGAACTTGAAGTACTGAATTATTCTTTGGGTTTTAATAGATAGGACAATAAAAGTCATCTTTTTTTCTTGTATCTCTTCTTCATCATGTCTTTATGGTTGTCATGTATGGTTTTTTTGATTCTCTGTTCTCTTTCTTTTTCTTTCTTCCTCAAGCTCTCTTCTTTCATCCGTCGAGCATTCTCTTCTTTCTCTGCTTCCTCTTTATCCTTTTTCATCCTCTCCCTCATAATGCTGTTTCTAATTTCATGTTTCTCTTTGTAGTCAGGAGGAATCGGCAGTTCAATCTTTTGGCTTACAACAGGAATGCTCCTTCTATCAAATGGAAGCTGGCTTTCGATCTTTTGAGGAAGGCTGTAGTCCTCCTCGGGAACAACACACTCTTCGTCTCCCGAAGAAGACTCTTCAGGGCCGTAGTTGTGTATGAGCCCTAAGGACTCTCTTATCTCGTGTAATCTACGAAGTCCTCTCCAGCTGGTCTCCAAGTTGTTGACCGGAATGAAAATTTTGTGCACCTCGGCAGGAACAAAGCATCTCAATGTTATTATGTCACTCATCAGCATCCTTCCTTCAAATGTAGCTCGGTACTCCCCGTTCTTACCCCGGGGCTCCTTTATTTGCCCTCTAAGCCCACTCACAGCCTTAAGTGATGCTCCCTGAAACTTCAGCACTTCAAGATCAGAAGTAAACATGTCCTGAACAAACACTGTATTCTGCACAATCTGTTTAGGATACCCAACTAGCTTCAACTTCTTGACCAGCTTTGCGTCTCCGTTGACATCCGTCACTGTCCCAAGTGCCAGCACCCTGAAGTCTCCCTTCTCACTGTATACAGAAAATCCAGTTCCTGCTGGAACAACAGGCCCATAGAAGGAAACATTGCAATGCATCGACTCGGGAGTATACTTTATCACCCTGTTCCTAGTTGCATCCTTCATACTAAAAACAGGAACACACTGGAATCTTTTCCATCCAACAGAGAAAATTGCCGGTTCGTTTGTCTTCAGAATCTTCTTGTACCACTTGTATCTTTTTATTTTTCCTTGGATTATGTTCGTTTCCTTTTCTGCAACAAGAAAACTTCCAAGGACAATAACATTGCTAAAATCAATCAATTGCGAAATATGGGTCGACAATCTAATTTTGACATACTTTCCAGGAACAACCACCCCAGGAACCATCATCTCCGAGTTTCTCTTCATTTCTTCTTCAAGCCTTCTTTTTTCTCGGAGGAGAATGTTTCCTTTTTCTTTCTCCTTCTCTTCGTATCCCTTATTAAATTTTTCGACAAGCTCCTCTTCGGTGACTGCTTCTTTTTCAAATCTATTTGAAGTCATTTCCTTCAGCTCCGACAAGCTGAAGTTCGACTCATCTTCTTCAATGCACTTTTTTTCCAAGTCCTCTTCTTCGTCCTTACTTGAAATGGAGTCCTCCTCATCCACATCCACTTCCTTTCCAACGCTTTTGCCTCCCTTGAAAATCTTAATCTCCATATCCGAATCAATTTCAATCTTTACTTTGTTTTCCTTCTCGTCGTCTTCTCTCTTGCTTTCCACTACCTCGGACATTGGAGAATACAGAATCTTGGACCTTAAAGAAAGTTTGTTTTCTCCCTGGCTCGGAACAGGATCTGCTAGAACTTCCATCTCGGCTACTCGATTGTCCCCAAGGCCGGGAATATGAATATCCATGTCCTTCTTCATAAGGCCTCCTCTTACATATCCATAGACAAACATCCCGTCCACCCTGTCGGCAATAACATGGGGATGCATGCACTTCCACTCTATGGGCCTGTACTTCATCACTCCAACAGTTCTACAAAGCTTTAGCAGATCAGCATCTGTATATCTTCCTCCTTCGACATTCCCCACATAGAAGAACTTGATTCCAGGACATATCTCCTCCCATATTCTTTTTTTGATAGACTTCAAGTACTTCGGGTTTCTGCAGTTATCGGTATTCGTCACAACACATAAAATCTTCGAAAGCCCATGAGACATCAGAAGAGTGAGAAACTCAAAAGTCTCCATTTCCAATCCTGCCATACTGTTGATGGTAAAAATTACCAAGTCCGATATCTTGGATACATCAACAAACTGGTGGATATCCACTCTCGACTCAAACAATGTGATTCTCTTTGTTTTGGATGAAGACAGTGTCACAGGACCCCTCGGCCTGTCCAAAAGTTGATGGGTAAAGTATTTCACCATCGACCTCATTAGAGTGCTCTTCCCACTTCCTGAGGGCCCTACTATTGATACAAATGCAGGAGGCAAGTCTTTGTAGAACATGTTCTCAATTGGGACCTTTGCTATTTTCTCTTCGTGTCTTAGTTGCCCGTTGGCCACTCTTCTTGTTTTTTTGCCGTCCGTCTTTTCATTCATAAGCTAGGGTAAGATTAATAAGAAATAACATATTTACCCTTCATGACCATTGGAGAGATAAAAGTCCATAAGATACATCCCAAGGCCAAGATTCCGAAGAGGCACTCGGACGGAGCTGCCGGTTATGACATATACTCTGTGGAATCAGGAAGTGTTCTACCAAACGAAAGGAAATCTATACGTACTGGGCTAATATGGGATATCCCCCAGTCGATTGTAGGATTGGTCTTTGGAAGATCTGGATTTGCTCTAAAAAATTGGATCGAGGTGGCAGAATCATGTATATATCCAGGAGAGAGCAAAGAGCTGGTAATAACTCTTATTAACAATGGAAAAGATGTATTCCAGTATGAGGAGTCCTGCCGTATAGCCCAACTTGTATTTGTTCCTGTGCTGAGTTGCGAAATAGATCTTGTAGACTCCTTGGATTCAACGGAAAGAGGCAGTCTAGGATTTGGATCAACCGGAATGAAATAAAATTTTGGGTTTAATGATCAATTTTGTTGTAGATCAGACTTTGTTTCCAGTGCTTCATGTCTCTTTTTTTCTCTTTTCTCTTAACCTTTTCTGCAAGTTTTTTCCATTGCAGTTCTGTCTTTACAGGAATCCCAAACATTCTCCGGGTGTAGACCTCAATGGTGTTTTCCTCCCCTTCCGGCTTATGTTCTCTCATCTTTAAGAGTCTCCATATCAGTCTGTCGAGCTTCATCACAATCCTTTCCAGGTCCATAAACGCCACTTCAACCGGTAGGTCAAGTTCGCCCCTGGCTGCAAACTCTTGGCTTGCAATTTCGTTAGAACCAATAGATATACACCAAACCCAAAGAGCCGAGAAACTCTTCAGATTCATTATACACAGATGGAATGTTCCTATTTGTTTAGCAAATAACACCATTTCGAAACATTACAGCACCTTCATCTAGAATAAGACTGGAGCTAAATAAAAAGACATCTCCCAGGGCTAGAGGGATGATAGAGTTCAAGTATCTGGGAACAAGGAGCGGTAAGTCGTTGATGCTATCAATAGACAATAAAAGATATCTGTTTAATCTTTTTGAAGGGTTTCAGAGGTACTGCATCGAATCAAATGTCAGCATCAGCAAGATCTCTGTAATCTTTGTATCTGAGGAGACATCGGTTCCTCCGCTTGTGGGAACATATCTTACTCTAAGAGACATAAAAAAAGAAAGCCTTGACATTGTGTGTAGTTTGAGGCTAGAGAAGATGCTGGCCTTGGCAAGTGCCTTTGCAGATCCTATGGATCTAAGAATTAATTACATGAGGAATTATTCAGACGGGTTTATCAGCGTGGAAACAATCGAAAACACTCTTTCTGGAGATTCTCGAGAAAGGAAGGAATCTTCCTTTATTCTGAACATTAGGCCTATTCGGGGAAGATTTCTTGTTGAAAAGGTTCCAAAAGACGTTCCAAAGCATTTATACTCTAGACTCACGAGGAGAGAGAAGGTGGAACATAACGGAAGAGTGTATAATGGGGAGGAATACATGGAAGACGATATAGATGTCGGAGTTATTGCTGTTGTTTTTTCCTCGGGAAATTATGGGGAACTTTTGGAAAGGATGAGAAGAAGGGCCCCGAGGTACTTCTTTTGTTTTCAAAGAGATGTTGCTCAATTTCTCTCTTCTACCCTTGAAGGCCGTTTCTTCCTCTTGGAAGATAATCACTTTGTTGAGTATGGATCACTTTATGACATCCAGATTGGCTTAGGCTCAATACATGGGGACTTTCTGTCGCCGCTTCCCTTTGAAAAGACAGCCTCCCCCTCTCCTTGGGATATGGAGAGTGTTCAGAGCGGAGACTTTCTCACATACGATAAGAATTTAAGGTCTTTTTCCCATTTCCCTTCAAAGCAGAAAGAATACATCCCATGCACACGGAAACACGAAGAAAGGTCTATATTGTTTCTTGGAACCGGGTGTGCTATTCCATCTAAGTACAGAAATGTATCTGGAATACTCTACGAGTCCACCGACAGGGCTATTATGCTCGACTGTGGAGAAGATACTTTATTTCAAATACATAGGGCCTATGGAGGATTTGACGTCCTAAAGAAGCTCAAGGCAATCTTCATATCACATTCTCATGCAGACCATATGCTGGGGATTATATCTGTGTTGAAGAAAGTAGGCCACAGGGTGAAGGTCTTTGCTCCAGTAGTCATAAGGCCGTTTGTTGAATGCTTTGGTGCTGGAGACTATGAATACATAGAAACAAACCATGCAAAGATAGCAGAAAGAGAGTTTCGGGGAGACTTGGGATCAATGGGGGAATTTTCTCTAGGAAACATCAATGCAGAAGATTATTTTTTGAAGTTTGACGTGGGATTTAGAATATCTATTTGTGGGGTTGACCACTGTTCAGACTCGTGTGGAATTAGAATTCAGGATGACACCACAGTTATAACATACTCTGGAGACTCAAGGCCCTCTATACTGTTTGGAATAATGTCCTCTGATTCTGATGTTATGATCCATGAAGCCACATTTGTCTTTGACCAGCAAGAAAGAGCCATGCATACAGGCCATTCAACAGTAGACGGAGCTGTTGAAGTCTTTAGATCATCCAGATCAAAAGTCCTACTTCTCACACACTTTAGCCAAAGGTATTCAAAGGGCGTTATAACTGACGGCCAGTGGATTCCTTGTGTGGATCTATTTAGATATGCGGTTGGATCAAGTGTCTATCCTAAGGACAAAATCAATGGTTATTATAGTAAGCTTGAATCTTCTAATAAGTAAATGATATAATTTATTTCAGTGACAGAACCCTTTGCTTCTTGGAGATGAGATAGCTTTTCCATCTCGAGAGGAGCTCGCTTGTATCTTCAGTGCACTCCTCCTCACTTGTATCGTTTTCAATTGATTCAGAAAACTCCTCCACAGCCTTTGCTTTATCTTCGGATGAAAGATGAGAAAAGGGCCTCCACATGAATAGAGTAAGTCTGTTGAACACCTTTTTCCAAAGGAGTTTTCCGTTTCTGTTGAACATTTGGACCAGTCCACTGGAGCAGTCTCCAGCTGAAACTGAGGCTGCATAAAGCCCACTATACGACCACGAGATACCTGTGCATGATGGATGAGAATAGGCACTTCTCAGCTCTCCATTGTCGTAGAACTCTATGTTTCCTGTGTCAGCATCGTGGACACAGCATATATCATCGTAAAGTGCAATAAGTAAATCATCTTCTTTTCTAATCTGTTTGGCCATACCGAACCCAAATCTGTTTCTGATGTAGAACGAAAGAGTTTGTTTTGTGTCAACAACAACAAACATCTTATCCGACACCTCTATTTGTTCTACACATCCCTCAAGCTGTGTAAGAGTTATCCCGTCGGTTCCGTAAGACTCGACGAATTGTACCTTTTTCTTCTGTATATTCTTTGTCATCAGCACAAAGCACCTCTTTCCAGAAAAGTAAAATTTGATGTCTTCGATGTTTGCATGTGTTTTTGAAAGCTTGTATTCTCCCACTTCATATCGGATTTTCTGTACCCTATCATCGCTAAACTCTACTTTCTGGCCATTGTGATGCCTAATACATTTCAGGAAGGAAAGCTTTGGATCCGGCTCTACTTCTTTGCCTTGGAGAAGTGAAAAGACTTTTCCTAGTCCTAGGAAGTACACATGATCTTCATCAAGTACTGTGTCTCCTGTAACACCTTGCTGTTTGGTGAGACATTCATTCTTGAATATATCCCATACACTTGTTTCTTTCTTTGTGGAAACCACAGCAAACCTATTATCAGGGCTAAACGACATGTTTACCACCTCATCCCCAAGCTCGATTCTACTGAACATCTCGAGATATCTTCCTGTTCGGAACTCAATCATTCTGCCTCCAACAAAACATACAAACACCCCATCATCACTGGACAGACACCTAATGGCCTTTTCAAACGTACCTATCTCCTCAAACTCCTTATTCTTTTGCTCTAGCAAGGAGAGGACTCCGTTGTTGATGACCACAAATTGTTCACGTTCAGAAAACTGGAAGTCAACAAACTCCCTTGGCTCCAGTCTTTTCAATGGAGTATATTCTCTCTCCTTCGCGCTCATTATACTGTAAAACTCCTTCAAGGAATAAGCTTGAATATCTGGAAAGCCCTCTAGCTTTCTGAGAAGAAGGCTGGTTTGCTGAGCAGTTTTCAGTTGCACAATGCATATATTTCCCTTGGAAAAGGAATTATCCGAAGAAACTTCGGGAAGACTGATTTTGGCTGGGTCAAGCCCAATGATCAAGACTTGGTTGTTCATCAAAGAAGGGCTCGTGGAGAAATTTTACCTCATGCTATAGTCTGTTGCGTGTGTCGCCTTGCAGAAGGGGTATGGACAACGAAAGGAAAACAGCCACTGTTACATTCAGGGGCATGAGATTTAAGGACTTGCTTCAAGTCCAGCAGTTGAACATGAGAAACTCTACAGAGAACTTTCTGCTTGGCACGTTTCTGAGTACTTTATCGGCATCTTATGCAACTTCCTTCGTTGCAGAGCTGGACGGGAAGATTATAGGGTACTCGGAGGCTGCTGTCTTTCGAGAGAGGAAAAAAGGACATATCTACTCTATTTGCGTGGATGGGCCTTTCAGAGGATGTGGAATTGGGAGAAGGCTTATTGGGCTTTCGATAGATGCTATAAGAACAGAGATGAAGGAAAAGGAGATATGCGAAATAGATCTTTATGTTAGGACATCCAACACAGAGGCTATTGGTCTGTACAAGTCTGTTGGATTTGTGATAAGAGAGAAAGACCTTTCCTATTACGAGGGAGGGGCTCCTGCACATAGAATGAGCCTGTACTTAGGAACAGGCACAGAATCGAGGAAACCCTAAGAAGGTATAAGGTGGCCTATTCGCCTTGAAACCTCTAAATTTTACCTTGGACTGGAATGCCCTTAAAAATGGAAACGAAGCATGCAAGCCTCATTGAGGCAAGAAGATACGAAGAACGCAAACTTCCCTCCGTAAAGGATATTTACACCGGGTCCGACCAGACATATGCAGTGCAGAAGATGATGGTGAAGAGAAGGGAAATAGGAATTCCAAATATCGAATACAGGAGATGCGGGATATTGTCTGTTATGGGAGCGTTGTGGTTCTCCAATGGCAAGAATTTGGTGATCTGGAGATATGAAAGCAATGAGGAGGAAGAGATAGGGATGTTTTCGTCGGAGGTTTTGGAGGTGATCATTTTTGTTCCTAGGAGGGGGATCTTCAACGAGAGAATATCGCACTGCCTATTTGTTGCCACCGAGAAGCAAGTGATGATCTATGGGGTCGAGAAGGATACATTTTGTCTTGTCAACACCGACTTTGTAGCATCCTCTCCAAGTTGTGTGAGATGTGCGTCGGTGGAGAATGGAGATGTGTTTATAGGATGTGAGAATGGAAGGGTATACCAGGTTGTTTACAAGAGTGTTGACTCCTGGTCATTCAAGATAATGCATGTTTACGACCCAAGCTCGTCGATTCTTTCAAGCCTTGTTCCGTCTGTTCTGAAGCGGAAGAAGTCGGCAGTTAAGGCTTTAAGCATAGGAAAGAGCTTCATGGTTTGTCTCGGCAGAAATGCCTCGATCTACAACATTGAGGGGGGGATGTACAAAGTAAGAGATGTTGTGTTGTGCAGAGAATATATCGATGTGCAGATTGTCGATGAGAAAGAGGACTCTGTGTTTTTCTACTTGGTCCAGAGGGATGGATCAAGAGACTTCTACGAAAACGGGAGACTTGCAATGACTCGGAAGTCTCCGAACATTGGAGATATGACGGAGATCAAGGAAATGAAGGTTTGCACATCGAAAGACAGGCTTTGCATGGTACGGAACGGACACTACGACGGAAGCATTGTAACGATAATTTCTTTGAACGAAGACCAGATCTGCAATTTTGACAAGTTAAAGAGCTCTGAGAGTTATGAGGTGGTTGTTATGAAAAACGAAATAGAGTTGATTGGGATTGACGGTAGAACAATTTTCCTTCTGGGAAACAAAAGAATCTTTGTGTATGAAATCCAAACTATTGAAAAGTTTCTTTTGAGCTGCAGATCGGAAGAGATTTTTAGCATGTACAAGAGCTATGGGGAGAAGGAGATGCTAGTGCTATACTATGAGCTCCTAGCAGCCAACGAAGATGTGGGAAGACTGGAGTATCTTTGTTTGAAGAACGAGGATGCACAGCTCTCTGCGTTATTTCTGTATCTTTACAGGCTGATAAAGCCTATTCTGGGAATTCCATTTGAAGACATTCTGAACGGAGAGAAGAACATATATCTCGAGAGGATCCAGAGCAAGATCAAAAACATTCGGGGGAAAGTTCGATCCAAACACTTGAGGATGGGATATGATTTTATAGATGAATTTCTGCAGACGTGCTTCTACATGAATGTATTGTACGAGTACTCGGTTAATTTAGAGGGGAAATCATTAGAGTATGTTCTTCTTGAAGACAGTGAAGAATTTAAGAAAAGAACACTTAAGTCTATTCTCGAGATGTTCAAGGTCAACCAAAGTGTCGAGCCCCTAATAAAGACCCTCAGTGCTCGATGTCCGTTGTTTCTTCCTATGGAAGAGGTTTACTACCAGAGGGGCCTTGAGATGTTGAACAAGAAGCCATCAAAAGAGGTATTGTTTGAGTCCCTTAACAACCTTAAGAATGTCCAATACAACGAAAGTCTTATTAGGAAATACAATGAGTTTGGCTTCTACTACGGAAGCACAGCACTTATCAGGGAGAACTTTAACTTTGACTTTGAGTATGGGGTTGAGATCTTGAAGAAGAGTGTTAGATGTGTTGGGGCGTTAAACCTTGCATTGGAGGATCCAAGAGAAGACTTTCTGTATGCATTGTTTGAAGCATTAATCGACATTCTGAAGGAGAATGGGTTTGGAAAGGAGTGCAGCTGCTGTGACAAATGTGGTACCATGTCTTTGAATGATTTGATCAAGATATCTGTTCCTTTTCTTGAGAAGTTCCTAAAGGAAAAGGCCATGTCATCGAGCGACCCAAGGATATTTGAGCTCCATTGGAAGTACTGTGTCTACAGAAACGACAAGGTGAAGGGGACACAGTCTTTATTGGAGTTGGCAGACAACAAGGCAGTAACGCTGGAGACAAAGATCGATCTTCTGAAGACAGCCTTGAGTGTATCTGTTAATACGGATCTGTTCAACGAAGTCAAGCTTCGGTTGGAGCTTGCAGACATACAGGTCGAGGTTTTGAAGAGGGGCAGGGTCGATCCAATGATAAGCAATAATCTCTTGTCTGCGGACGAGTTGTTCAATGACTATGCATATAAATACCCCGAACTTGCTCTTAAGATTATTGGAATATCGAGCTATACAGATAAGGCTGTCATCAAAGAGTTATGGGAGGAAGGGATGAACGGAGACTTCGACTCGGCAATGAGGTTCCTAGGAACAGTCAAAACCTCTGGGCCGGCAAAGGACTGTAACATAGTTGGAGACATTCTATGCTCTAAGATGAGTAAGGGAAAAAAACTAGGAAAGGCGTTGGCAAGTGCTGGGTTCAGCTACCTTGAGATTGTGAGCTTTCTGGAAGAAAAGATCAAGGGAGAAGAATACAACCATCCTGAGATGAAGAAGATGCTCTTAAACGACCTCAAGGAGTTTTCCAACAACAACGAGTTCTATCTCAGGATTGAAGAATATTGCAGGAAGAAATATGGAATTTAGAAATAAACCTTGAGATTTTTATTCTAACGTCTAGCCCGTAACCGTGAACCAGATAAACCGAAGATTGGATTTAATCTTGAAAATTTTACCATGGGATGCGGTGGATCTCAAACATCCTTCGAGAAGCCAGGAAATCCTGCTTTGGGAGAGAAATAACATCGACGTTTGACACGTATAATGCAGAGGCAAATGAAATAGTCACACCGCAAACATGCAGTGGTGTGAAAACCGAGGTATCAAAGACACTTGCGCCGTTTCTCCAGGTGTCGAGGGTAGATATTCTCGATAGAAATGCACACACTAGCCAGATGTTTGGGACTCTGAGCCTGAAGAACACCCTGGTACAGGTTAGCATGGACCATGAAAACAGCGTTGGGTTCAGGGCTATGAACATGTCTGGAAACCTTATCACTAAAATACACACAATAATTACAGGAAGGAAAGAAGTGTTTAGCCAGGTTGAGCTTGAAATGAAGAATCGAATCAATAACTTTGGGCTAAAGCTGATAAGCCCGGCGGTAAAGAGTACTGGGATGGTGTATGTTGCGAATACTCTTCATCAATTTGGGTCTTTGAGCCTTGGAGGAGAAGTTATAGGTGCAGACTCGGAGCTTGGAGTCTCTGTGTGTGGAAGATACGAGCACAGAAATGGGGTTTTTTCTGTAGGTTTACAACAGTTTACTGCTTTAAGTCTCAACTACTATCATAAACTAGGGAAGTATCTTGACGTGGGTACTGAGGTGCAGATTCCAAAGTCTTGCCCTCCCAGTGCTGCTGTGGGATGTAGACTAACAACTTCAAAAACTCAGATGAAAGCAAATGTGAACAGCGACATGTCCCTTAGTTTTTGCCTTGGCGAAAAGTTAACAGAAGGACTAAGCTTCAATGTGAATGCCGAAGTCAACAAGTCTGGATGCACGCATGGATTTGGGTTTTCCTTGGAATTCTAACGCCGCTCCTGGAAGGAAAAGAAGTTAGTAGTTGCATGGAACCAGCTCATAAGCCCTAAAGAAGTCTTTTACTTCCTTAAGATATTGCTCTAAAGTTATTATGAATGGGTTTGGGCCTGCATCAAATGTGTAAGCAACTCTTACTTTGTCTCTGTTGAACCTGTGGCACATTTCAATAACTTGGAAGCCATCGTCTTTTATATATCTGATTGGGGGATATGTCTCCATGAGCATACCATGGAACTCGTTGGATTCCCTCATAGTGAGGTAGGCAAACCCATCAAAGTCCTTCTGGGAAATGCACTTGGCCATAGCTTCAACCTTCTCTTTCATCCTAGCAAGTCTTTCTTGATAAAACTCACTTGTTTCTCTTGTCCGGATCATTCCTTCTGTACTCCCTATCTTCTTCGGATCTTTCGACAACACAATAGAAAGGATTTTTATTTCCCTCCAGCTAGGAAGTTTCTCCACAAACACCCCGTCAAACAAATGAATTCCCGGAGATATACTTCTTCCTGCGCTCCCTGATCCGATCCTTGCAATTCTACACAACTCCTCCTCCGATGTTTTAAGGCCGTAAAAATCATCCAAAGCCAGTGCTAATGCTGCAAATCCAGATGCAGATGATGCAAGTCCACAGGAATGAGGAAAGTTATTGAATGACCTGACACAGATAGATCTCCTATCTCCCGACCTTGTTCTGAATATCTCCACAACTTGGCTCATTTTCTTTCCAAAGGAGAGCATCTCGCCGTTCAAGTAGAACCTGTCTGAGTTGGAATATTCAACAGTCGTTTCAGTCTGAAAGTTTGTCAAGGGAAAGGAGACAGATGAATTTGAAGGGGTGTTGTTTATTGTATCTACCTTCCCCCAGTACTTTATAACTGCAATGTTAGGATGGGATCTTCCATAACCCAACGATGAGTCTTTCATTCAAGGGTCATTTATTTTCGATTGATCCGTTTTGTTGAGGCAAGCCAGAACTCGGTACTCAGATCTAGAATTCATATTTGTCTTCCATTCTGCAAGTTGCTGCATATGCCAAGATACACAACTTTCTGAGGTGTTCGTAATGTACATATTCTTTGAATACATCCCTTTTCTCTGGAGCTCTTGTTTGGTTCCTTACTTTCTGCCTTTGGTTCTGGAACCATATTTGAACTGTCCTTGGGCTTGTACCCAGGGTCTTTGACAGCTCTTCCCGAGTAGATGTAGAAGGGAATGGGTTTTCCTTAAAGGAGTCCACCAGAATTTCTACTTGCCCTGGCGACATCCTTGTTCTAGAATTCTTACTATTTTTCTTGGTGTATATCCTCATATCACCAAATAAGCTCATTATTTTATTTTTCGGATGAAACAGGCAAGCATCCTATTAAAGAAGAGAAAGCTATGCTTTTTCAGCGAGGCGAGTATAATTAGAGAGGTTGGCCATTCATCGAAGACAAAGACATAAATCTTCTGTGGCTTTCTGGAAAGAAGACATCCACATATCTTGTACTTCTCGAAGAAAACGTTTCTCAGTGTTAATCCATCTGCAAAAATTTACCCCAATGAATTCCACGCATTCAGAGGCTCAGGTCACACAGTTTGGACAAGCAATTCGAATCAACAACAATACGGCTGCCACGCTTTCTGCATTGTTTTCGTCAAGTATTGGTCCATTTGGAAGTTACAAGGCACTAATCTCCCCTGGACAGACTCTTCGTATCACAAAAGATGGAAATACTCTGTGCAGGGAAATTCAATTCACGCATCCTACATCGATCATCATCACAAGAGCAGCAACATCTATGTACACCACATTTGGAGATGGGTCAACAACGCTGATTGTTCTATGCTGTGGAATATTCAATGATGCATTCCGACACTTCGAAAATGGGGTTCCGATCCCCAGAATATGTGCTTCGCTCCAGACATGTCTCAACGACATCATGGGATACCTAAAGACGTTGGAGAAGCCGTTTGAGGAAGACACACTCTGCAAGATGGCTTACAGCATCATTAGAACCAAGGTTGATGAGGACATGGCTAAAAAGCTGTCGAAGATACTGGTTCAAGCAGTTGAGAATGCCATCCAATCCAAGTTTTTCGACATAAATATGGTGGAAGTGATCAAGATGCAGGAGGGGGATGTGTCTGAAACCACATATGTAGATGGGCTTGTGCTTGACCATGGAGGAAGACACTATGCAATGCCTGATAAACTCGAGGATGTTTGCATCTTGATAACCAACATGTCTCTTGAGTATGAGAAGCCAGAGATAAATGCAGAATTCTGCTATAGCTCTGCAGAGCAGAGGGATGAGCTTGCAGGGCGGGAGCGAGAGTTCATTTTACAAAGATGCAGGGCGATTGCCGAGTTTGGAAAGAAAATCAAAGAAAGCCATGGAAAAAGACTGATGGTGGTGTCGGAAAAGGGAATTGATCCCTACTCTTTGGAGGTGTTTGCATCCTCGGGGATCCTTGCTCTAAGAAGGGCAAAAAGAAGAAATCTAGAAAGGCTTGTGAGAATGTGTGGAGGAAGTCTTATTACACAGGTTAGCCAGCTCAGCGAAAAGGTGCTGGGATACTGCCAGAAGGTAAGTGTCAGGAAGATGGGGGACGAGATGTTTACCTTTATTGAAGGAACACCATTCAAAGGGTCTTGTACAATTCTGATAAGAGGAAACAGCCAGCATGAAATGTCCAGGATGGAGTCTGGAATCAGAGGAGCCCTGAAAAGCCTGTATATATCTTTGAAGGGTAAGACGTATATTGAGGGAGGCTATTCTCTTTACAGATCCTTGATTTCCTATATAAGAAAACAAATGGACAGTGTTTCCGAAAAGGATGTGATCGGATATAAGGTCATGGAAAACTCTTTTCTTAATGTGACCAAGGCCTTGTTAAGAAACTCTGGAAAGGACATACAGGAAGAGCTTACAAGGATCCTTAGAGGAGGGGAATGTGGGAATGTTGTTGACAATGCCTCGGTGGTCTCGGCAGTGATTTCCAATTCTACAGTTGTTGCCACAAACCTGCTGCTGGTTGATGAGATAATCAAGGCAGGAAAGCCAATAAAGGAAAACAAACCTGAAAATTAAAGTCATTTCAATCGACTTGTGGATGGTGTGTTTGGAAAGTGTCCAAGGGCATTGTCTTGTCCTAAATATTTTATTTGAACAAACTTCTACTATTTGCAAATCTCGAAAATGCATTTGGAACCGACTGATCAGATTCTTCTTCCTTTTTCTGCAGTGTTGGGGGAATAGGAGGAGGATTGCTGGTTATGGATTGGAAGATATTGGACGGAGAGAAGTTTCCGAATAGACCTCCGAACTGTGGAGAGCCTGTTTGGGAAATAGGCTGTCCAAAGATGCTGGAGTTTTGTATTGTCTGTGTGGAGGGGGGAAGATGGGTTTCTTTTGGTACCACCTCATTTGTAGCAAGGTCCTTAGGAGGTCTATCTTCTACCTTTTTGGGGAATGTGTCCCTTTGCTGCTGAGCCGGCTTTTCCTTCTTTTCTTCAATGTTATCCACAGGTCCTTGGTTAAGGCTAAAGTGATCCACAAAACTCCCTCCTAAGTCGTCATTCTCCAACTTCTTCTCTATGTAGTCAACATTTTCCAATGTCTTCTGAACTCTTGGAGATGTCATATCCAGTCTGTGCCCAACCCCTTCTACCTTCTCGATGCCGTAGAACAAAGGCTTGGTGTAATGCACAACCCTCTTTCTTCGCCCCTTCGAAATTCCCTCTATGGAGCTATCAATAAATCTTATTGCATTTTTCACACTTTCCTCATCAATCCCTTTGTATACTTCAAGGCTACTAAGCATCAAGGAAAGCTGTTCAGCCATTTCGTTTTCTATCGATTTGTACCTTTCAAGCCTCATGATATTTCCATATACTTGCTCGACAGACAATGACAGATCGTTTGCATTGTATTTGTACATCCGGAAGGTCTTCTTTTCAACCCGTATGCTTTGGAAGTCTCTGGAGATCTCATCTATCTGAGAAGCAATGCTTTCAAGTAGTGCATCCACCCGGGAATCCCCCGTTGATTTTATGCAGGAGGTGGAGGCATCTTCTTGAGGCTTATTTTCTTCCTTTTCTATCGAAGTATTGTTTTCCTTGGCAGAGTCCAATAGACTATTTAGAGATGAAAACGTTGTCTTCTCCTTTTCTTCCTTCTTATCGAGTAGGACTGTGTCCTCTTCACCTATAATCTTCAGTCCTCCTTCTTTTGAAATAGTATATCTTTTTTCCGTGAAGTTGATGTCTCCTCCAACTTCTTTTTCGCTTTCTATTCCACACGTCTCGAACCTGCTCAAAACCCCATCCTCATCAATGAGATACACATACTCTCCAGAGTAGTCCATTCCCGTCAAATATCTGACATTGAACTCCTCGTCTGTCCTCAGTCCCAAAAGTTTGATTTCCTCTTCTAATTCCAATTCCTGAAGATCACTCCCAAGAAGTAAGAACTTCGAAGAGTTGCTGGATCCCAATAGATTTACCCCATGAAGGTCACAGTGATAGTAGCACGGCTCTGAATTTCTATCGTAGTCTACATCTCCTCTATGAAGTATATTCTCAGTCTCACTATTTCCAAGAATTAGACTCTTCTCTGTTACAACTATGATTCCATCTCCGCTGCAGCTTCTTAAAAGCTTCTTCACACCTTTGTAATCCTTGAACTTCTCGTCAACTCCAACTATAAAGTCCGGAAGGAGAAAGTCTTTCACATCCTCCCATCTCTTCACATACCTCCCATCTTTGAAAACATCCACACATCCATCTTCTGATAAAATCCCCAAGTACTCTCCCCATACTTCTCCCCTTTTTATCTTAGCTTCCATGCTTATCCTTTCAATGGCGGAATTGGAGAAGTTCAGAATGATAATTTCGTTTTGCTTTGTCACAACAATCTTCTCCCCATCCTTGCTCAAGTAGATGACATCGTCCTCAAATCTTTTTTCGTTGAGAAACAATGTGCTACCAGACACAACTACTCTATAGCCTTTAACTACAAGAACTCTTGAATACTCCTTCGGCCCAGACTTCCCCCATCCTTTATCTCTTTCCTTCAATACAAAACTGAGTTTCCTCTCCATCTCTCTGGTTTCAATCCTTTTCATTTCAACACAATTCAGGCATTTCCACAGAAATATATTTTATCAGCGAAAACAGTATGGTAGGAATTATTTATTCTTAGTTACATTGTCTACTTGATGAAGGCCTGCACTAGTCACACCCAACCTTGTAGTCCAGGGCTGCAAGTGCTATTGCAAACGCCTGCAGTCCAGACCAGGGATATGTGTAGTCAAGTATGTACTTGAATCGTGAGATTTTTCCAAATGTCAGGGTTACATATGTGGGCTCGAGAGGATGTATAAGCTGGAAATTCTTCACAGAGGGTGTGGTGACCCGTCCATTGAAGTTTAGAGAGTAGCTGTTGGTTTCTGCATTGTAGTAGGGTTCCTTGTTCTTCATCACAACAGGCTCCTCTAGGGACGATCCCGACACCCCCATAAACATTACAGAAAATGATCTCGGGCCCCGTCTTTTGAATATAGATGTTGCATATTTGATCTCCAGGACCGCTTTCTCTCCTTGGTGGAGAATATACTTTGTTCCAAACAGGTTAGACCTCAAGTATCCCACCTTCTCTTCATTCCCCAGGCCGAGAAGGTATATCTCAAATCCACACATGACTCTATAGGCCTTAAATAGCTTGTTAGGCCCATACTCGTGGCTTTCATAGAGATATTCATTGAAAAACCCATGGCAGACATCCACTCTTCCCCTAGATGTTCTACCAACAGGATATGGCTCGAGGACACTGGCAATCCTTTCCTCCAGAGCATGTCCATCATCCGCTACAATGTTTAGTTCCTCTGCTCCGCTGTCAGACATGTTATCCAAGTACTCGATAACTCTGTTTTCGCTTGGGGAGTACGAAAATTCATAGACCACCGGAGACAAGGAACACTGCTCTCCATCTCCAGTGTCATGTGCATGGTCGATAGATACAGTCACATGTCTGCTTTCCCTCTCCATTCAGAGATTTGCTGCCATCTTTGCTTATATCTCTGGCTTCTCCTGTAGTTTCAAGTCTATAAACCAATTACCTCCTGGGGAAACAAACCATTACAGAGGCAAGCTTTCCCACGCTGTCCCAAGCCAGAACTGAAACAAACAATGTTCTATGCTTCCATTCATTACACAATCGAGAAATGCTTCAGAGTACACTTTCCGTTGTTATTACAGAGACCAGGGATAGAAAAGCATGCATGGCCTGCTCGCCTGCATTCTTGTGACAAATATCGAGGTGTTGTATGTATAAACCCCGACCACAACTTGACAGAAATAAGCTTAATTTCCGAAAGCAACTTTGGGATCTCATTGGGTACTTGGAAGACAAATTAGTAAAAATGGAGGGAGAGATGTTCGATTAGTGCATTCCATATATCTTAAGACACTCTCGATGTGTGTTCCCACGGCATGAACTCATTGTTTGGAAGACTGAACAAAGTATTGAAGATGGATCTTAAGAAGGCATTTCAGTCCGGTTCCAGTAGTGAGGTGTTTGGCTTTCTTAATAAGTATATGAGATTTGTCGAGGATGACAACGATTCCTACAGACACTTGTTTCTGGTTGGAGAAAATCCTTTGGTGGCACAAGAAGAAAATCAAGAGGACATGAAGGAGTTTAACAAGAAATGCCTTGAGTTTCTTTCCAGAACAATAAGTAACAGTAAGAGGTCGCATCCCTATGACTCGACGCTGTCCGAGGCAGAGACATACATGGGTCTTGGATACGAGTTCGGTCTGTTTGGGCTGCGAAAGAACGAAAGACTGGCCATAAGCTATTACTCGTCTGCAGCAAGGCAAAACCATCCTGTAGGGACATTCAGGATGGGGCATTGCCTTGAAAAGGGCATTGGAAAGCCTAGAAATCACAAGCATGCCTTGAACTTTTACAGATGCTCTGCAAAGTTAGGGTTTATTGTCGGGATGCATGCATACGGGTCTGTTCTAATCAACGGAGATATAGGAAGTAAGAAAGACCTGCAGAGCGGGCTGTTCTATTTAAAGCTTGCAGCAAGGAAGGCCTGCAAGGAATACCCATATCCATATTACGACTTGGCACAGATATACGAGTCAAGTACCGCTCCTAGTGAGATCCAAGCAGACGACGAGTATGCATTCAGACTGTATCTGAGAGGAGCAGAACTGGACTGCCCAAACTGCCAATACAGAGTGGCCAGATGCTGTGAGCTTGGGGAGCTAAAACAAGAAAAAAGCCTCCCCTTAGCGGTGGATTGGTACAGGAGGGCATCTCTCCTTGGCCAAGTCGATGCCCAAATGATATACTCAAGAATCCTATTCACCGGGATCGAAGGAGTGGTCCAAGCAAACCTAAAAGAATCGTTTTTCTGGGCACTGAAGGCTGCAGTGAGAGGCCACTCCCAAGCTGCATTTTCGGTGGCGGAGTTTGCAGAGACTGGATGCGGCATGCCCAAGAACACATTCCTGGCATTGTGGTGGTACACAATCTCCTATGAATCTGGAAATACCCAAGCAAAGTCAAGGCTTATGATGCTCCAGCATCAAATAGAGATGAAGAACGAGGGGACTACTGAGCCAAGGTGCTGTGGATGCCTCTTCTAACTCTTTGTATGTTTTTCTCTGTTCCAGGAGTCCTAGAAATAGACTCTTGACAACAACAAATTTTATTAATTGAAATATTTTAAACATTGCACTTCTTCTGTGTCCTTCTTCTATCCGTAATGCTCTCCTCGTTTTATTCCCTCTATTTCGTAGAGGAGTACGTATTCGTCATCCCTATAGTTGTTTGGAATAAAACTAAACTTGAAGCTATAGTTACAGGTAAACATGTCGTTATGGATTTTTTCCATTTCCTTGTGAAGCTTCAAGAATTCACTGTACTTCACATATATCCTGAGCCTCCTGAACCGATGGTAATCCAGAATTTTTCGGATGTAGTGCACCAGGTTCTCCAGGTCGTGTGAAATCTCAATCCTTAGAATCTCGTTGTTCTCGGGACACTGGTTTCCAGGCTTTGTGTAGCACAGGCGGTATTTCATCTTCTCGCCAGGTATCAATGGATGGGACATATACACTATCTTCTTATATTCCTCACGGCTTCCAGAAGGAAGTGTGCTTGTCTGGTTTTGTGAAAACCTTTTCATCCCCTTTGCACGGGAGTTTTCCAGTTCCTTGCACATCGGGGTGGTGTGTCCAACACAAATCACTTAAACAATTCTAAACAATTTATTTCCTGCCCACATCCAAAGAGATTTCCAGAGGTTTTGTTATTTACCAGACTTGCCGCTAATTGCCCAGAGGAAGACAAACTGCTGCATCGTAGTTAGAATCATTATAACTTAGAAGAAAATGTCCAAGACGTCTGACACATCATTCCAATAAGGAGCAATGCTCTTACCGTCTCTTCTGCTGTCGGGAAAACGACTCGCATAAGCCCAGCAAGGCCTTTACTTAAGATTTTCCGGGGCCATACATATGAGCAAATTTTGAGCCTATTTTCTCTGCTCTCTTGAAAGCCTGAGAATTGCAGAGTAATCGAAGCCTATGGTATCTCCCCTCTTCATAGATTGTTTGGGAGATGGGTAGTACTTCTCATCGCCATCAACCCTCTCCGTAGGATTTTCCATGGAATTCTTTACATCCTTGTCCTTCACTTCTTCTTTGTCTTCAGCATCCTTGCCCGCCTCCTGGCTACTCTTAACAACAACTGCTACGGCACTAGATTTCTTCTTGGCCACTGAACCTTCTCCTGTGGCAGAACTCTTAGCTTTTTTCTCTTTCTTCTCTTTGTTTCTATAAACAGGATCTTCCCCAGCCCTTCTCCCAAGATCCTCGCTTAACATCCCATTCTTGTATAAGTCTCTATAGAGCCTGTCCAAAATACTAAGCTTGGACAGCAGCTTGAACTCATAGTCCTTTAGAAGCATAACCAACTCCTTTCCAACCTCCAGATCTCTTCCATTTTTGATAACATGCGATCCTCCAAGCTCTCCCATCAGGACATCGAAGTAGAATCTCCCGTTCATGTAATAGATCTCTTTGATTTGAAGCCAATTGATTTCTTCCTGATTTTGCGGGGAGTTCTTCAGGAAATAGGAGTCAAGTATTTCGGGATATTTAGAATACAGCATTTCACTGGTCATTCCATCTAATTCATTTGTATCTGCTATTGCATCAAAATCCGACCCATAGAAGCTTAAAAGCTCGATAAATCTCTTTTTCATGCCCGAGTCCATACCCCCAATCCCAAATAATTTTATTATCCCAAAGAGCAGCCTCCTATCTCTTTAGACTTCAAGCGTCAGGTTTTGTAATGGATTTATTTGAAACATTTATCATTATAGGAAGAGGGTGTTCAAGTATCAGCATTTGTTTTCCCATCCTACAGGCACAATGGTACACATTGCCCTTATGTCTTTTATTCCAGGGGCTTTGTCTTGGTACGAACCTGCAATTGATCCGAGTAAGATCCCAAGAGACGATGCAATCCTGAGGTTTGGGGAAAGCGAGAGTTCAAACACCGGGGAATATTCTCCAGGGCATACTGATGAGAGAGTAACAGAAAACCAGCAAGACAACGATCCAGACATAAGCTTGAGTGACATTGATGAAAGGATTAACGAATATCCTTCGAAGGAAATACTTCCTCCACAGGTCCGGTCGATCCCAATTGCAGATGATGTCGAAGCAAAAATTGAAAAGGTCCGAGAACTAACAAAAGCATTCAATAAGAAGATAGGAACAGAAAATGTGTCTGGGATCCATGACCGGGAGGCATGGAACAAGTTCTATGAATATTTGAAACTAAACTTCAAGGACTTCCTAATAGACGGCCATCTCTCCATCGAACTCCACATTAGATATGTTCTGTGTTGCTATGTCGTTGCATTTATCCCAGCTGAGTTTGCATTTCTTTTTCCTGCCTCCTACAAAATATTCATCCCAAAAAGAGCAATGAAGGTTCCTATCCTTGGCGATGCCATAAAGGGGATAGACAGGTTCTTGACATTTGTCAGTGACCGCAGCTCGAAGACATTCATCATAACATTTTATGTGGGACGTCAAAATTCCCTTGTGGAGGACATAGAGTTCATAAAGAGAGTTCCGGATCTTATATTCACAAATCCCATAGAAATACTTAGAGAGATCCTGAAGTTCGAGATAAGGTCTGAAGGATATGACAACAAGAAAGAGCTATAGGGACCCACTCAAAGGGCTCTCCATCTTCTTGAGGCTTGTATTAACTAACCACAGAGCCAAGCAGGTTGGCATCCTTGAGGCACAAGGACTCAATTATCTTCGCCAATAAGAAACTGTAGGATCCGAGAGCTTTCAATTGGAAAGCATTGAAACAGGTGTTTTGCATAAAATATTTAATGGAAAAAGTATCAGGTCACAATGAAGTTTATAGTTGGAATAATCTCAATCTTTGCAGTGTCAGTTTTCTCAACATCATCGCTGGGTACTTCTTCATCCAGAACTTTCACCAGTAGCAGGTACTACTCGGGCTCTTCAAGTAGTGGAAGCGGAGTAACCCCCTATTCTTCATACTATCATGGATATGGGGTTGGGACAGGGACAACAGTAGATCCTTTTGCAGATATTAGATCTGGAGCACTGGGAAGATCATCTTCCATTCACTACTAAGGTAACTCAACCTGAGGTACGTTAAATAAAGCAATAATGCACAAACTATCTTCTTTCTTCTTTCCAATAGGAATCCTCCATTGCAATTTGTTTCATATGCGGTGTGCAATTTGTTAGAGAAGTTGTCTTGGAGCCAATCATTTTGCTCAACAAGAAACAGAAAAATATAAAATAAAAAATCCGAAGGTTTGAAAAATGAATCTAGGTACTCTCATTCCTTTTCTTGCATTAGCCCTTTGCGCAACTCCTGAGGCTTCAGGGGATTCAGGCACATCAGCTGATTCATCGGGGCAGTTGGCATTTGCAGTTCCTGTATATGCAACTTCGGGAGGAAATAGAATTGTCAATGCCGTTTATGCAATCGTCCTTCTGGTGGCCATAGCTGTGATCAACCTCCCACGTAAGTCTCTCGAGCAGACACAGTATGCTGCTACATCGGCCTTGGGTGCATACTTCTTGATCTCCCACATCTTGCAGTCCACAGGAATAGCACTAGAAATGGACATGATTGCTGCAGGTATTGTTGCTGTCCTTGCTGCCGTTATTTCTTACAACAAGATGCTCAGGAGTCTTCTCTTTGCCTTAATATCTGCTTATGGAACAACATATTTTGCTGTCCTGATAGTAAGACTCGAGTCGATTCTCTTTGCAGGAATCCTGGGTGTGGTTCTCTTCTTTGTATATATATTCCTCGGAAAGATGAAAGAAGATGGCAGACTCTTGGTTGCAATGGCCAAAGCAGATGTTTCCAGTCTTGGGTTTGCATCCTTCATAAACGTCTGGGGCGCCTTTGACATGTTTGGAGGAATGCATGGCATAAATGCAAGCGAAGGCCTGTTCCAAGGATTCCTTTTCGGGGGTATCATCATTGCTTTGGTTTTCGCTGTTGTGTTTACGATGAATTACTTCAGCGAGTGGACTCAAGAAAAGATGAACAGTGCCAGCTAAACCTTGATAGGTTCCTGTATGGATGAAAATAAACACTTTTCTGTCCAATTACATATTAGAATTGTATTCTTCCAAGCCCTAATGACCGAGCCGAGGGTTGAAGATGTGTATCGCCCGTCTTTCCGCAAATGCATTCTGAGGACCATGGGAGCATGCTTTATATCCGGCTATCTTGTGGGCTCTTCTTTTCGATTGGCTGCCGGAAGTAGATGCGACTACGGCCAATACCTTGCAAACAAGCTTTGTGCTGCTGGGGTGTGTTTCCAACTTGGAAGAAGACTGACTGCCGAGGTGGTAGGAGGGGTAAAAAAGAATTTTATTTCGTGGCGGCTTTCTCCCTGGAAATGAAGCTATTTGGGCAGGAGTTGTCGACATATATGTATGGAAGGATACTGGACCGAAAGTTTATAACTCCTTCGGGATCATATGAGATAGAGCCGTTGGAGATTGCTTCTGGGATGCATCCAGTGAGATACAACGGGAAGATAGAAATCTTTTATGTGTCCCCGATATTCAACAGCTATCTTGTGTCCCGCGAAGAGAATGTTAATGTACTGTTTTCAGCAGACGGAAAGGTTACAATCACCAACGAGGATATAGACAAAGATACTCTGTACACTTTTCGGATTGTCCGGGAGACGAGCGATCTTAGAGTTGCCGAGATCTACAAGTTTGATACATTTTATCCTGGATTCAAGACGACTGGAGAAGTCAAGTGGAAGATAGGGAAGGATGGGCGGAGGATTTACACAGTACAGACCAAATATGGGGATGGAACTCTGATTATGCAGAACAACAAAGAAAAGAATATTGTAAGTGTTCTTCTGTATAAAAAGGACAAGGAACTTCATTTCGTACAGGTCGACGACCCAATAAGCGGTATTGTAAAGATGACTGTGACGGCAGAGATGGGCAACAAATATGGGGTGAGGGATCGTAATGTACGAGGATTTCTTATCACAAACAACACTTATAAGACTGGGGATTCTGTGGCATGCACAATTAAGGAAGTCTGGCTGGGAAACTACTTGTTTACAGAGTATTTTGAGCTAGGGATAGGATCTATTATTGAAGCTCGTGTTAAGAGCTATGGAAAGAACAAGATATATCTTGAATATAAAGGCCACGAAGGATACATTTTGATTTCTGAATCCGAAGGAAGAAGATACGGAAACAATGTGAGGGGAACTGTGTATGACATAAAAGATGGTTTGTTCCTGCTGAGCACCAAGAGGATACCTGAATTGGAAAGAAAAGAGAAGGGGATTGATCTATCTGTTCCCTTCGATATCTCTGATCAGACAGAGGAATCAAGTGACTCTTTAGAAGAGGATGTGGATGGAGTGAGCAGGTCTTTAGGGGCCGAAAGAAAAAGAAGCAAGACAGTAACAGAGGACGATATCTTAATGGACATCCACGCACATCCTGGAGAAGCGATTCCTGTGATCAAATACATACAATACAAAATCGAAATTGGAGAGGAAGGAGGACCCGAAGAGATTTTCCATAAGTTCCTTCCTATGATTGAGGGGGAAGAAAAGGATAAGCTTTGTATTTCGTTTGTGAACTACCTAATGTTTGTCAAGGATCCAGATTGCCTGAAGGTGATAAAGAAGTTGTCGAAGATATGCTCGGAACGATTCCTGGATGCTGTTGCATCCAACACCGACGACATCCAGGTCCTTAGGCTCTATTTTGAAAGGACGGAGACAAGGAAGTCCTTTGGAATGTACTTGGATGGGCTATTCAAAGCAGACCGAGAGGAAGCCATGAGACTTGTTGAAAAGCATAGAGAGCTCCTTGGCGTATCGATTGGTATAATATACAAGCATTGCGAGAACCCAAGAGCATGGGTGGAGAAGCTATTGGTTGACAAGAAGGATGTTTGGATGTCTTACATCCGAAACGAAAAAGGAACGTATCTTCGGAGCCTTTACAGAAGAGTTGTTGACAAGAAGTGGAAGGTGAGTGACATGAAGGAGTTCTACAAGATGTGGATGGATTATGAGAAGGAGAACAACGGAAATATAGAAGAAGTAAAGCTAAGAGCCAGAGAATATGTTGGGAGCATCAAGAACAATTCCGTGCATAGACAAGCATAATAAAGATATCTACCGGTATTTTAATCCATTGTTTCCATTGCAGACGACAATCCTGCTATTTTTTCCTTGAGTATCTTCAATCCCTCCAGAACAATGGCAAGAGGCCCAGCTCCGCCTTCGACAACCTCCACGCACATATAAATTTTGTCGACCCTCTGCATTGGATTGGCCTCTGCTTGTTTGACTCCAGGCCATTCTTCTTCTATGGACTCCTCGAACCAATAGTTTGTCTCTCTTCTGGCATTATCTTTGTCATATTCAAAGCTTATGGCCGATACCGGAGACCATTTTGCATGGGTCCTCCCAATCCCCTTTCGCCCAATGCATCGGGCTTTCAAGCCTTGGTCTCTTGCTAGCTTTGTAATGATGGGTCCGCTCTTGACTACCACATCTTCCTCATCACAAATAATGTCTCTTGTGCTCACAACCCTCAAGGCGTCTTCAGTGTGGACCACATCTATCTCAAACACGACCGAGCATTCCGAGCAGAATCCTGAGCAGCTGCATTCGTCCTTGTACTTGAGCTCCCTTTTCGAGTACACGGGAATCAGTCCAAGCCTGTGTGCAAGAACCTCATCTGGAAGTACTGTGTTGTTTCTTTCTATCTCCACCATGTCGATTGCAATGGTCGGTACTTCCGAAATCAGTATTCTCCTCAGTGCATTTGCATATCCTACCGTTGTATTGGAGAGTGTGAATCTTATGCGTTCCGGTGTCAACTCCTCTATAGATAAGGCGATCATCCTCCAGGGCTTCCAGAATTTTTAAGAAGTGATATTGCAACTAAGTGGCCTGCCCCTAAATGCACAGTTCCTTTCTGAATCACTATTCAAAGGTTGTAAGCATGCTGTCTTTTGCCTTTGTGACTGTGCTTACTTTGATCTCGATCTTCAGAACTCATGCCGAGATGCCGAAGGCATTCAAAGTTGCTGCAATTTTGCTGCTGCTTCTGTCACTATGCCTCATAAGGTACATAGCAACAGTGCTCCATTTCAAGGGCTATGCATGGATGGGATATATACTTGCCCTCCACGGGTCGCTGCTCTTCGTGCTTGTCCTTGGAGCAAGAGAAGGTTCTTACAAGTAAGGGTTTTGGATTCTTGAGGATTTGCCTCGCCAAGCCCTCGATGGACTGGTACGAGCCGGGAGAGGACACATACACACTAATGGATGTTTTGGAAGAAGAGGACCTGGAAATGAAGGTTATTCTGGACCTGGGAACATCGACTGGAATAATAGCAGAGCATCTGGAAAAGAAAAACACTGTCCTATCGTCAGACATCAACATCAAAGCACTTCAAAACCATAGGGGAGGAAATTTAGTGAGGGCAGACTTACTTCATGCAATAAATCAGCAACATGTGGATATTGTTGTGTTCAATCCTCCATATGTACTTGACTCCGACGACCCTGTCATAGGAGGGGGCCATCTTGGAAGAGAAGTGATCGATAGATTCATCAGTCTTCTCGAGATCGGGATTGTATATCTTCTTGTTATACAGGCCAACAAGCCAAGTGAGGTAATGAAGCTGCTTGAAGAAAAGGGATATAAAACCAAAATTCTTAGGGTGAGAAAGATCCTGGGAGAAACAATCTATATCATCAAGGGGGAAAGACACATAAAGAAATAGCCATTGTTTATTCTTTCGATCTCTAGCTTTCCTGGAGAGCATCTACATAAATGGCCTAGATATAGAAGAAGCATAGGAAAGTTGTTTCATCTTTCTTGAGAGGCATCTGGGCTTCTTGCATCTTTAAGAAGCCTAAATAGATAACTTATCATCTCTTCTCTCTTGACAATCTCTTTCTTCTTTGTTGCTGTTTCAAACACTTGCACAGAGTTGGCCAGCATTTCGGATTCTCCTATCACAACAATAAACGGGATCTTCTTTCCCATAGCATACTTCTGCTGGCTTTCAAATGACGATCTTCTAGTGTAGAAAGTTTCGGAGGGGATTCCTGCATCCAGAAGAACCTTAAGAGTTGCAAGTCTTTCATCAAGAAACAAGCCCCCAGAAGCCCCGACATAAACCATTGTAGACGATTCCTTGGTGTATTCTTCATTCAGTAAAGAGAATATTCTGGAAACTCCTACAGAAAATCCAACACATGGAATAGTTGCACATCTCTCTCCTAGATTTTCTGTGAGGTTGTCGTATCTTCCTCCCCCAATCACAGATCCCACTGCTTTCCCCAGATACTCTGCTTCGAGGATCATCCCGGTATAGTAGTCCAGTCCTCTTGCTAAGGAGACATCCATTACCAGGCTCCTGCTGCATCCAAGAATCCTACAGAGTCTAAACAGCTCCTCCATGTCATGAATGGCTGCTTTACATCTTTCTATCTTGTACACTGCATCCTCCTTCAGAAGCCCCAATATATCTTCTTTCCCTACCAATTCTATGTATTTCTTGATAGTTTTTACTTGGTCTTCATTCAATCCTTTTTGAATAAACTCTCTTTCGATGTCTTCCCATTTCATCTTCTCAATCTTGTCAATGGTCGAGCAGATCGTCCCGTAGCTCTCGTAACCAACTCCAGCCACCTCTAGAATAGAGGTGAGGATCCTCCTGTCGTTTATCTTTATTCGGAACTCCCCAATTCCAAATTCCCTTAATATCCTATCCACACAACTAACCACCTCTGCATCAGCCATCATTTGGACACATTCCCCAGCAATGTCGAAGTCCGCCTGCACAAACTCCCGGAGCCTTCCTCGGACTATCGAGGGCTGATCTCTTCTGTACACCCTTCCTATCTGATACCTCTTCATCCTCCTTATCCTGTTGGACGCCAAGTATCTTGCAAAAGGAACAGTAAGATCATATCTTAATGCACAGATCTCTCCCCCTTGATCCTTCAAGTCATATATAAGCTTGGTGTCCTCTCCATACTTGTTGGTCAGAATGCTCTTCATCTCAAACGTTGGCGTTGAGATCGGAACAGCCCCATAGAGCACAAAAACCGTCCTGATCTTCTCTATAATTTCCTCGTACAAAAAACATTGTCTTGGAGGTTCATCAGCTGTACCCTTCGGAGTCTTCAGACTTATCATTCCAGGGGCTTTTGATTTGTTTTACAGGTCTTCCCTGTTTCCCTTGTTTCATGATCTGGTTAAATCTGCTGCGCAAACAACATTCAAATGCTTGATAGAGAGCACATTGTTCCTACTCCGATTGTAGAAAATCATCAACCTCTGGATGCTTTGATAGAGGAGTTGGCTCTGCTGAGGGGAGACAGGCTGTGTAAAAGCCTAGAAAGCATTCTGTGTGTAACTAGGCCTTTTACCCCAGAGCAGATGTGCAGGGTAGACAGGATTGTTTCAAGTCTCCACAATGACCATAAAGAAGCCTGGTTTTACCAGAGGATATTTGAACTGGCTTTAAAGATGTATGGCTTTGGAAACGACTGGAGAAACCGGCTTCGAATTTGCAAACTCCATGAAAAACACAAGTTTAGAATTCACAGCAACGTCCACGAGTTTTCGTATACGGGGAGTATAACCGAGATACCTAGGATATGTAAAGGGTTCATGGAAAACAGGAAGACCATCTACGACAGAGTAAATGTTCTTGGGTACTGTGTACTCGAGATCTCTGGGATGAATGATGGGGAGGAGTATGAGGGGGAGGATGACATCTTCTATCTTATAGAGTATGTCTATAGAAGGGACTTGAAGACACTTCTGAGGTGGGCAAAGAATGTCCGAGTGATGAATGACTGGTCACTGCTGTACCTGGCAAACTATCCAGATTTCTTATACACAGAACTGAAGTATCTGAGCAACCCGATGATAATTAAGGAAATCATATTACAGCAGAAATCACACAGGCTTTTTGACTTTCTTTTCATTAAGATTTCGATGTTGTTTCCAAGGGAAGAGATGGCCAACCTGTTGGCCAATAGCTACGACAAGTCCGGAGTGGAATACACAACCCGTATATTCTGGAAACTGTTTGAAGATAATGAAGAGAATGGGGAAAAGATTCTCAAGAAGTTCATCAGAAACAGAAAAGCAAAGGAGTTTGGAGGCATGTTTTATGAAATGTGTACAAGGATCGATGGAGATTATGCCGAGGCTATTGGTGTGTGCATTGAAAAGGTGCACCTGATCAAGGATAAGTGTCTTGAAGACCTTATGAATTCTCACTACTGGGCGCACGTCACCCACAGGTACGAGGACTTTTCTGTGCTCACAAGGCTTTTGATAGAGAGAGGCCTTCTGCCCAAGAAGGAATTCGACTTTCTTCAGGGCCACATGGATGCTACCCTTGAGAATCTTCGGAAAATCTTGTTTTTAGTCCAAGAGGCGCCTTCCAGACGAGAGGACGTGAGAAATGCCGTGATTGAGATTATTAAGAGAATGTTCAGGAAAAGGATGAAATGCGAGAAATGCAGGGAAAAGAAAATAGAAAAGACCTTAAAGCTGTGTCCTGTTGGGTCTCTTATTCAAAAGGGATCTGAAAGAGGGGAAGAGGACGGGTTACTGGTTATGTACGAGATACTGGAGGCTCTTCGAGATCTAGACATCCCAAAAAGGACACTCCAGATGCTTTCTCTAATGAATCCCGATCTTTTCTGCAAGATTGTTACCAACGATACTAAATACGACTGCTTTTTCATCAAGTGCCTGAATATCATCCTGAAAGATCTTGAAGGGAGGTTCCGATGGGTTGTAAGCGACATTGTAAAAATGAAAATATTTGATTCCGATGGTTACTGGGAGCAGAGTGTCAGAAAATCCTTGAAGCTTGGGAGCTTGTGGAAGGCAATGGCTTCGCATGGAGTGTTGTGGGAGAAAGACCAACCCGGGATTTTGGCCCTGAAGAAGAACGGACTCTATTCTCTCAAGAACATTGTAATCCACTCGGACTCGAGCTTCTTTGCCGAAAATGAATGTTCTTCGGAGGTGATTGAAAAGAAGGGATGGTCCTTTTTGGAGGACAAGAGGAATCTTGGATATATGAAAATGCTTGACGATAAGACAAAGCTGAGATATCTTATTAAAGAACTAGAAGGGAGAAGAGATCCCGAAAGCTTAAAAGTGGTGAAGGAGTTACTTGTATCCTCCTCCCGAGTTACGGATGGAATGGTGTTCAAGAATTCGTCTATTGTGTTCAAGGTGGCTAAAGTCTTTACATTGTATCTCTCTTTTGGGCAATATGAAGAGATAGGTGAGCAGGCGTTTGTTGAACTGGAGGGAGAGAGAGACAACCTGAAGATTGGACGAACAAATGGAAAGCTGTTTATGAAGAAACTGAGGGAGGGAAAGGAAGAACATGTTCTTTTGGGGGAAGATGACAAGCCAAAAATGAAGGAGACTTTCAGCTTCTGGTACAAATCCTCGAAGCTCTCGTTTTGCCTGAATGGGAAGATGTACACCTCCGAAATTAGGAATGTGGATGTAATAAGAATAGGAGGAGGGCTTCGAGGAATAATAGAAAAGATATTTCTGTGCGAGTCGCATCTTCCTAAAAAGTACACTCTTGGAAGTTCTCGCCAGTCGTCTTTGTATATTAGGGAGCTGTCCAAGATAGAGAAGTTTCTGGCATATAAGAACATAAGTGGAGTATACATGGACAGCACTACGCCGTACTTCATGAACAGGAGACTCGACGTCAAGGTAAACAATGTGATAGACAACAAAAATGTTTATTGGATGTGCCATAGAAAAGTCTTGAGTCTATTGAAAGAAAGGCTGTAAATGGATGGGGCCAGAGGATAGGCTTGAATACCCCTTTTCTGAAGGGACCTGAGATTTGAAGAGAGCTGACCAGTGAGGTTTTAGAGGGATTCTAGGATAGGCAGAAAAAAAACAGCCAATTACTCCAAGAAAAGATTAAGGAGATCTGCAATATACTTGGGCATAGAAAAGAAGATGGAGTCAATAACGAGGTGTGTTTCTATTGGCATAGAAAATTATAAATAATCAGATGAATTCAAGATCAATGAAGCTTTCTAGTGTGATGTTTCTAGCTCTGTCTTCTCTTGTCTCTGCTGGCTGGTGGGGATCGTCTTCTACAACCGAAGGAGGTGACAGCAATAGCTCACAGTTATTTGGAATGGGAAGTCAAGGGGAGGGGGGAAATCCCAGTACAGATGGAAAGAGTAACCTGGTTGAGGAGTCGGAAGGACATAACGACGAAGGTAACGAAGGAGGAGAAGGATCCAAGAACAACCCTGGAAAGAACGAAAACTCATCAGGCTTCTGGGAGAGCAAAACACAAGACTAAGTCCCTGTGGCAGACATTTCTTGCTCTTGAACATCCTCAAGTGAAGAAACAATAAAGCTGTTGTATTTTTGTCATATTATTTATCTGGGATATTTTTAGGTAAAACATATAAGGTACCCCATGAAGTTTTCTCGGATAGTTATGATGGGGCCGCCAGGATGTGGAAAGGGAACCCAGTCTAAGCTTATATCTGAAAGATATGGAATTCCCCACGTGAGCTCTGGAGACATTATACGGGAAGAGATGATGAAGAGTAAGTTAGGGTAGTAATTTTAGACACCAAGGAAGCAGAAATAGTTAGAGAGATTGTTAACTCAGGAGGATTGGCTCCTAACGAAGTTGTGAATAAACTGGTGCTGAAGAAGATTCGAAGCATGGATAGGTATATTCTCGATGGATACCCCAGAAGAACCGACCAGGCAGAAATGCTGGGAGACAGTGTTGACCTAGTGATATTTATTGATGTGGACAAGGATACATGCATTCATAGGATCTGCAAGCGAAATCATGGAAGGGATGATGATGAGGAGGAGGTTGGAAGAAAGAGATATGACGTCTACACGAAGGAAACAATGCCTATACTTGAGCTGTATAAGAGCTATGGAAAGATAGTAAGGGTGGATGGGAATGGTTCTCCCGAGACCATATTTTCTAAGATCTGCGGAATTATTGAATGATATATGCGATTAAATGGCATTTGGTGTGTCTTTGAATAGTTGTTGTGTCTTGAAGGTTGAGTGAAGAACTCCTTAAAAAAAGGAGCAAATAAAAGCAAAAACAAGCCCTGAAGAGAGAGGGGATGAAGAAGAGGGGATGTTCGGAAGTCTCTTCCTTTGAAAGACACATGGACACAGTTCTTTCTGTCCCGGATATCCTAGGAAGAAAGGAAGTCTTGAGGCCTGTAGTGTTCTCGCACAGGGACGACTCTGAAGATGGGTTGGAAGCAATGAATGACAGAGAAGTGTTTATGGCAGCTCTGAGACGAAGGATGAACCTTCTACTTGGTCCCAGAGTGGTTGAAAAAGCAGATTTGGATATTTACAGAGATGATAATGTCTGGATGAATGAGATTAGAATGAGCTCGGAAGAAAGGAAGGAAGAACTCTGTGGGGAAAAGAGAGTAGCTTTTGTTTCTGTGGACCCGGACCTTTATGGGATTGTTGCAAACGAAATTCCTGGGTCAGGAACGAAGGACGATAGCTTTTTGTATGTTAGAAGAAGAATAGTGGGTCTTGAGAGCCGGGTGGAGTTTTTGTTTAGAAGAAGCTGGGGGATAATGGAGAGTAAAAAGGTATTATCGCTTGCTTCGCTCGATAGCTTAGTGAGGAAGGATGGATTTCAAGGTATTGTGATGGTGGATGGAAAGTCAGTGGTTTTGAGCAAGGCTGTAGAAGAGGTGAACATTGGACTTCGAAACAGGAATGCAGGGATTATGGAAAACAATATCCGGGGCACTTTTACTATCCGAGTAGACGGACTGGATGGGTCGGGAGAGAAGCTCCAGAGTGTGAAGCTGGTATGTGGATATAGAGAAAGTGACTTCCAAGTTCGATTTGGATACCATAAGATGTATAAGGTAATGCCTATGGAGAGACTGATGAACTACTATCTGGACAACAAATGCATTCCTCTTGGAAAACTTCTCGAAGAGCTTGTCTGCATCTCGCAACCTGGGAGTCTAAGAGACAATTGTTTAAGATTCATAGAGTTGAAGGCCAGCTTGTTTTTTGGAGAAGCCGAGATATCTCCTTATGATGTTGGGAGCTCACTCTTGTTTTTTCTTTGGATGTTTGGAGGAAGTCGATTGTCGTTGATAACAAACAAGATCATAGAGTACATCGAGTATGTACTTAGTGAGCTAGACATCTGCCGAAGCTCTACCAAGGACTTTTTGTTCCTTCATGAGACATGTATCTTCATAAATAAGATCATTCTACTGGAAAGACAGGCAGGAGAGATTGGAAGCCATAGAAAGCCAAGTATTGGGGATATGAAGAAAGATATGCAGGTTGGAGTTGGGCCATCGGATTGGTACGAATGGGACGATTTTTGCCCAAAAGAGTCATGCACTGCCCTTGCCTATTACAAGGCAGCAGATTTCTCAGAAAACCTTGTACTCAGGCTAAGAAGAATAGGCCACCAAGAGAAGATGCATGAAGAAGATGCCAAGCCCATTGTCAAAAGCACAATTGAGGATCTTCTTCTTGAAAGCCTTAGGATCTCAAAAGCCGAGTGTATTAGAAGCCGATCTCCGGGACTAAGAAAGCTTTTTGGGGTGTATCGAAGAATGAATAAGATTTCTCAGAAAGGCCTTGCTAGATTTGTGGATAGGGACAAGACAAGTAATCTCATTATCTCTATTCTTGAAGAGAATACTGTGTTTGACTGTGAGACTCTCCTCCTGTGTACCATTTTGAAGGATATTTCACAGATTGTTCCAGTAAGAGTGTCTGTTCTCGATAAGGCACTAGTTAAATGCATAAGTGAGGTTGTGGAAATGTTTGGAAAAAGGTTGAGGCGGCTTCTTCGAAAGGGCGAAGAAGATGTTGAAAATGCATTTGAACCAATAAGACTGTTCTTTAAAAGACTTCGGTATCTGAACTCGACTATACACGAGGAGATATTCAAGAGCGACCTGCATCATGCCATAGAAGAGGAGTGCTTCTACCGACTCCGAAAGATATCTCGAGATGTCAGGGGAGGGCTTAGACAGCTGGAACTCTGCAGGAAATTGCATGAGGAGCATCTTCGGATGTTTAACTCAATGAATCGAGAGATCGAGCTTGGATACTGTCTGGAAGAAAAGAAAGCCTTCATGAGGCTTTATGATGTTAGAAAGATAAAAAGGATGCTGAGAAATCCAGAGATTCTAGAGAAAGAGATATTAAAGATGATTGGGGAAGGGACATTTGCAGACGATAATGTACGCAACAGATACAAGCTGTATCTGTACGAGTGCATTAAGGAGAACGCCCGGGTGCTTTCCAAGGATAGATATGATGAGACAATGATGTCTGTAAATAAATGCTTCATATGATTTGATTTCCATATTGTGTATATCTAGAATTGGTGCAAAGACTTGGTTGGCTCGGAAGAGGAAACCAATAAAGGGCTAAGGAAAAGAAAAAAGGGAAGATTTCGGGATTTTATTTGTTACATGGAATGAAAAGGAGAAGCAGATGTTTATATAGAGATAGGATAGGATGGAAACCGATGGAGGATAAGGATACAAAGAGAAAAAAGAAGAACATCATAATAATCAATGATAAGGGAGAAATGTTGAGTGTGGCAAAGAAAGATGATGGAAACATAACAGATGTGGAGAGGCCTGAGGAGATGAATACGAAGGCAGAGAGTGTTCGAGAAGAAGAGAAATCCCAAGAAAAGGAACAAAAAGAACTCTCGGAAGTAAAGGACACTAAAGACACTTCCGATATGTCCAAGGACCGTCTGGAGCACTCTGAAGAGAAGACACCGGAAGAAGAAAGTAAGAAGGAAACGAAGGAGGAAGAATCCAAAGAGAAGGAAGAAAGCCAGAAGGAAGAGGTATCAACACCCTCGAATTCCAAGGAGCCCAAAGACAACGAGAAGGCGGAAGATGCACCCACACCCTCTGAGAAGGGCGATACTTTTGTTCCTCCTATACTCAAGACACTTTCCGAGAACTCCAACAAGGAGATATTTGAGGAGAGAGACAAAGGTAGCATAGTGGCCGAGGGATGGATTTGGAAGAAGAGGAGGATCTTCAGCTGTTTCTGGCATCAGAAGTATTTTGTTCTCACAAAGGACGGGGTTCTGAAGTACTACAAGGCCGATGGAAGAAGGAAGGCAAAGGGGAACTGGAACATTAAGGAAGCAGACGATCTCAGAGAATACAATCTTCCCAGCGAAGAGAACAAGCATCCTTGCAGAGTAATGGTGGTCTTCCCCGACAGCTCCCTTCTTCTGGCATTCGACGAAAGAAACACTAAGGACTACTGGGTGGAAAGGCTTAATGAGATCATTAAGAAGTCGAAGAAGTAAAAAACCAATCTTCTGGGAATAAACATTGATTTTTATTAACAAAATCTATGAGGCTCAGTTCTTCTTTGTGATGACTGCCTCCATTACTTTGAAAAAAAAGGTCTTTACCTGGCACTCGTCGAATGTTATCTCTTCGCTGAGGAAGTCTGGAAGATCCACGTTTCTAGACTCAATAAGCTTGTAGACATAAGAATTCTCCTCGGGTGTCAACACAAATCTAATGAATTTTGTAACATTGTTCGACACAATCTCGTGGGTTACCTCATAGCTTCCATCATTCTCGACTATGTCAAACCCAACAAACTTCTTGTACAACAGTGCATCCGTCTTCAAAGACCTTAGATACTCATTCTCCTTCTTATAGCTCTCTATCAAATCCTCTTCCTTCATCTTCATTTCAATGAGGATCTGTTTGTATCTAGATGCAGAATCAAGATCTCTCCTCTCCTCTGCACATACTGCCTTCTGGGGCCTGTTCTCTTTGGAATCAGAGGCTTCGACATCCTTTGTGGGTGTCTTTGTCCCCTTTCTTGGCGTCTTAAACGTTATTCTCTTCCTAGGTGTCTTCATTTGTATTTCCTATTCGGGGATCCCCTTGATAATTTTTTACAGATCCTGAAGACATCCCAATAGACATATTCTAAGGTATTTTATTTACTACTCTTCTTTCTCCTGCTTATTCTTCTCCCCTTCGAATGCTTTCCTCCGCAGTATTTCTCTTTCTTGTCTCTCCCTCCCTTCATCGATTCCACTCTCTCCTCCTTGCTTGCCTTCCGCCGGATAAACTCAAGATTCCTCCCGCAATACTTCCTGTGTCTCATCACATTGACAACAGACATGTATCCATAAGATATGCTCTTGCTCTTCGATCCCTTGAAACATTCTATATACTTTGAAATCCTTTCTTTCATCCTATCAACCACTCCGTCTTCTTTTTTTTCGTTCCGCTCTCCGTCCTCGCTGATGGAAAGGGACTGTGTCTCCGAGTCTTCTTTTCCGCCCCCTTCGTCTCTCAGTCTTGCTGCTTCTGGATCAAACTTGCAATATATCTCCCTCAGCATGTTCAATCCATACACTACAAAGTCGTCGTCCTTGAACTCAGAGCACAGCGAGTTTCCTACAACATCGATCACTCGAAGAACATCTTGCACAGTCACCTCCTCCACAATGATCTCCATCAAGTCCTTGATATCGCTTTTTTCGGGGTTTAGCATTCCCATTGCTACACGTGCAACTGAGGCTTTCAGCCCATATCTGCTCCGGAACAAAACATAGATCTTCATTTTCATGATCTTCTCTTCTCTCTCCATCATATTTTCCTGAAGATTTGCAAATAGCATCTTTCCAAATCTTGACGCCTCCGCACTAAGTAACTCCATGGCCTTCTTTCCCTCCTCTTCAAAGTCTATCTGGTCCAGAAAGTACATTCTGCAGATCTTTCCCACTTTTCCATCTGCAAAGAGCCCTTCACACACTTCCTTCTCGAGAACACCACACCCCTTTCTAAACAGATATACAACCAGATAGTAGCAGAAGCTCCTTTGCTTGTCTGTTCCCTTTTTGTAGTACTCTAAAATACATGGAACCTCCTCTTCCGAGACAAGACTCCTTATCCTCTTCAGAACCGACTTGGGGTCTGGATGGTGCTCCATGAGGTTCTTGAGGAGCTGCTCCCCGCTTACTAGTCCTCTTCTCCGAAGCCTAAAGAGACTCTCAACAACAGTTCGCTTTATTTTGTGGCACTTGATGGTCTCCACACTTGAAACAAGAGTCTCCGAAAGCCTTTTGTCGATTGTAGGGAAAGCAAGAAGAAATGAAAGAGTCTGCCGGATAGTCTTCCCCGGTTGCTTTGGGAGCCTCACAAGAGAGCTAAACAGCTCGAGCTGTCTTCCATACTCCTCCACATAGTTCTCTGGGCATTTTTCCAGCCCAACCATCACTTGGTAGATATCCATATTATCGGGTCAAAAATTTTAGTCTTAAGTTGGCATACCTCGGACTTCGATCTTTGGCCTAACGTCGCCTCCTCGGCCTCTTACTTCCTTCCTTCCTGAAACATCAATAAAACCTTGTCTAAACATTGGAGGCAACAGCAGATGCCTCTGGTCGATTTCATTGCAACCTTCTATAAAAAGAACAACATCCTTTACGATACCTTTGTAGGTGCATGGCTTGAGCTCAAGGAATGCAAAAACATAGAGAGAAACCTTGCACGTCTTCTCAAATGCCTCAGACATGAACAGACGAGCCAGGCAAGCTACAGATGTCTTGAATATTTTGTGGAAAATGAAATGGCCGATTTCATATACAGATTGAGAGACATCGAAGAAAACCAGGCTGCCATGGATTTTCTTACTGACCTTATTTCCATTCTTCCTGCCAAATATTTCCCAAGATTCAACAACTTCCTTGATATGGTGTTCGCATCTGAACACACCGACGGTCTGGCACTGGCTCTAGCATATTCAGAAAGAACCATTGTTCTTGGCTGCAGGATAAGAACATCTCTCGTAAACTACTCCTTGAGGTTCTTTTTTGATCCAGGTCTACATGGGGACTATTCCAGAGCATGCATTGTATATCTCATATGCTCTAAAAGAGCTCTTGACCATCTCAGGTCCATGGAATTCATCCAAGCCGTCATAAGAAGGACAAATAGAATATACCTCGACTTGGAAAAAACCATGCCACTTTATCTGTCTCTTCTGAACTTCATTTCATATTATGCAAGAAAGGAAATCGATCTGTATAAAGAAGAAATTGACGCCGCTCTCGGTAGCCAAGAAGGAACTTTAGATCCAAAGAAGATAAGGACTCATCCAACAACAAGTCCTCTACTCCCCCCAAGAAGCAACCAATCCTCCGCAGAGCTATGTTCTGCCCTTCATCTCCTCGAGTTCCCCCACATGCATCCCGTCTCCATATACATAGAAATCCTGGAGAGTACTGGGTCGTCCAATATAAGGGCATCGCTCATCGAATCTATCCTAGCAGACATAGATTCTGTAGATGACCCAGGGAAATTCATAAGATTCTGTGCGGAGAACCACCCAGGTCTCTTGGCCCCTTATCTCATTAGAAACGGCGGAGAAGACTGGTCTCCCATTGTTGTGCTCAGGAGAGTTATGGAAATGAAAAGAGAGAGGTCCTGCATCACAATCCCCTACGTATGCCATGTCAATCGCCACAAATCCTCCATAATCGATTTCCTTGTTGAAAAAAACATTTGCGACGACCTGGTGTTCTTGTTCATCTGGGTTGTATCTAAGGAAACATTCCTTTCTCATTTCGGAAGGATCCAAGAGATGTTCAAAGCCCACAAGACATTCTGGGCCAATCTATGGAACCTGATCCTCTCCCTCCCTGCCTAACTTATTCTTATGTAAGCCGATGACCCCATATGAAGGACAGCACTGATTTTACTGAGACGGAAGCATATTCAAAGATATACAACTTCATTCTGATGGTCGACGACTCAATCAAAAACTCGGAACAGAGACGAAGCGAGCATCATATGTCCATTCTTGCAAACATCTTCGAGATTGTAGACAGCACAGAGAAGGATCCGTCTCCACAGAGGTATGCAAACATGGCTGCCAAAACCGTATTCCAAAGAATATGCGGTGCATATGACGACGAACATCTCAAAAACTCATTTGGAAACCAGATAAGATTGGACTATGGCACCGGCCATGAGCTGAACTTCCTGTGCTACCTCTACACTCACCATTGTAGAGGAGACATCAGCCTCGACTGTGTATTTACCACCCTTGTAAGATACTTCGAGGTTGTCAGGCTCTTTGTATCAAAATTCAATCTGGAGCCGGCCGGAAGTCATGGAATATGGGGTCTGGACGACTATCAATTTCTGCCCTTCCTCTTTGGGTCTTCTGAGCTCTGCAACACAAGGCTCAGATTCGACGAGCTCAACGACTCCATGTGCTACTTTGTTGCAGTCAAGAAGAAGTTGGGAGGCACCTCTCAAATCCTCAACAGCATCATGGATAAGGACTGGCCAAAAGTCAACAGGGGAATGATTAGGATGTACGATGACCATGTGCTCAGAAGAAGCGTTGTGACACAGCACTTCATCTATGGAGAATACCTCAAGAAGGACAGAAGTCTAGCCACTAAAGAACTCTGAAACTCACATAGTAACCAAACCACTTTAATTAAAGTCATCAGAAGTCGACATCTATCCTGAACGAATCATTTCCATTATCTATCCCCACAAATGCCTTCTGGTACTGTGACTCTCTCTTGTCGAAGAAGTTTGTCTTTCCAACCAAAGAGATGTTCTCCATAAAATCAAACGGGTTGGGAGTATGGTATATCTTCTCCTCCTCAAGATTCTCTAGGAGAGTATCGGCTACAAACTCTATATATTTGCACATCAACTGGCAGTTCATCCCTATAAGATCCACTGGAAGACTTTCACTCAGAAACCTCTTTTCAACTTCGACTGCATCCATCACCACCTCCTTTACTCGCTTGCACTTCTGTTTCAGGTAACGTCTATGCAAAAGGCATGCAAACTCACAGTGCAGACCCTCGTCCCTGCTTATCAGCTCGTTCGAAAACGTTAGTCCAGGCATCAGCCCTCTCTTCTTCAGCCAGAATATAGATGCAAATGACCCAGAAAAGAATATACCCTCCACACAGGCAAACGCCACAAGCCTTGTTGCAAAGTCAGAATTCTTATCCTCAATCCATTTTATTGCCCAATCGGCCTTGTCTTTCACAGAGGGGATAGTTTTGACTGCATTAAAAAGGAACTTCTTCTGTTCTCCGTCCCTTACATACGTGTCAATCAGCAGGCTGTACATCTCACTGTGGATGTTCTCAATTGCAATCTGGAACCCATAGAATAGCTTTGCTTCAAGCATCTTGACCTCGCTGGAGAACCGCTCCACCAGATTCAGATTGACAATTCCATCAGACGCCGCAAAGAATGCAAGAACATTGGAGATAAAGTGCTTCTCCTTTGGATTTAACTTCTTCCAATCTTCAATGTCTTTGTCGAGGAGAACCTCTTCCACAGTCCAGAACGAGCTTTCAGCCTTCTTGTACATCCTCCATACATCTTCGTGTTGTATGGGAAAGAGTACAAACCTCTCTTCTTTAGGATCCAATAGTGGCTCAATTTTTTCTTCGCAACTCATAAGCTATTTGACAGAATCTGCTTATATACTTTTTTTTGGAGGGAATATCTCCCTCAAAATAATAATCATCTAAATTCAATTTTACAATCCTTGCTCGATCTAATTTCGTCGATCCCCTCTTGGCATTTGGCTTCACCCACCTAAGCCATGGCGGGAGAGCGGCCCCAGAACCTAAGCTAGGAATGACTATTTATTGTAAATAATGTTCCCTATAAAAGGAACACTGGTATTATTTATATTTACTGCACCCTATATATTATAACTATTATTGAATGTTTTTACTCAAGATCAATAAATTCCTTTCTCATGAATGGTAATATACGTTTTCTCGCATTTGCAAACCAATTATCTATTTGAGACAATTTTAGTCCTGTTTCTTTAGAAAGTATTTTTTTTCTATTTTAGTTGGATAAGGATTAGAAAGATGCTCCTTTAGCCATCTTCTTAGCATTTTGGACACTTCTCTTGGAAAATTAGCTCTCCTAGAATGAGGACTACTTCCGAGCCAACCATTAGTTGATGAATTATTTCTTATATAACTCTCATACCTGTATAAATCCCTCTCGTTCATTACATTCATCATATCTATGATGTTGTCCATTTTTCTTTGGAGTTTGGTGCATTCTGAATCAAATATAGAAACAAGATTTTTTTCAAATAGTAATGCATACTTAAATTTCTCAGCAATTAGAAACAAAGCTAGCTTGTGTGATAAGTTATTCGGAAAAAAATGTGTATTGGAGCATGTTTCGTAATTTTTCCGAATTTTTAATAGGACTTCCTTCAAATGATGTTCATTTATCATTCCTTGAAAATATTGTTCTTTTGCGATTAATATTTGGCCAATATGCTCCACCATATCTAGAAAACTATCGGCATTTAAAACAAAAATTGATAAACTCGTAATTAACGTTATAAAAATAATATCCATATCACTTCAGAAGACTATTATAACTTGTCAAACTCATCAAGACAAGATAAAGTATAAAATAAAAAGATATTTTACAAAATATGAATTTAGGATGGCTACTGAAGATTCCAATGCGAAAACATTCAAACAGGAAAATAATTGTATATGAAAATAGCATGGCTTCGTTTTACTCTAGGACGTTTGAAATAATTGAAGAGCATATTTCTACCATATCCAATAATGAACATCATAGAGATGGATTAGTAGAGTATATAGAAATGTTATCATATTTTCAAATCTCTAATGAAGATCATGAGAAAAAAGAAGAAATTAATAGACAAAGGCAAAGCTTACTTAAGAAATTTAGATCCCTAACCTTAATTAGTATTTCAAAAGTAGAAAAAGACAATAGGAAAATATTGAAATCTTATCATGGAGTATTACATCTTTTAGATTTGATTGGTTTTGGTGTAAATCCTTATGAAATGGTTTTAAAAAAATGGTTAAACACCAATTGTATGATAATTAGTGATGTAGAAAGACATGCCATAAGAGGAAATTTCGAAAAAGTGATCGAAGCATATCCCTATTTAAACGAGGCTATTAATAATTATTTAAACTTAAGGAAGACGTCAGGAAATGAATACAGGAAATTATTTGCGTCTTGGAAGATCAAATATTTTAAAATTATTCCCAATAATTTAAAGGAAATTCTTTTTCATAATATTAACGGGGATGGTATTGACTGGATTGATCATATTTGCTATAAATCGTTTTGTATGAACACACAAAGGAATGGGATCGATCTTATAAATAGGGAAGATGAAATCGGAATGATATTAACACATAATTATGATGCACTAATAGAACGTTCTAAAGGATGGATTAGACTAGTATTATTGTTCGTTTGCCCTCATACAAAATTTGATTTATTTCCAAGAGCATTTGAATCTATCGGGAAATTCCTATATTTATCAGATTATCGCTTATCTTTGAGATTTTTTTCGTACACAGAGAAACTAATCTTATACTTTAATCACTTTTCCTGTAAGTTTTCTAAAAGTCTTTCGGATTTAGAATTCTTGGTTGAGTATTCCAAAAAAAATAATATTAATGGAAATTCTTTGTTAAAAGAGTACTGCCAAAATCTTCTTTCTAATCAAGAGTATTATAATCTTTTTTATGTTATATCTAAATATGAGCTCTGCGATATAAACATAAATTCCGAGTTTATAGAATTCTGTATTAGAAATACAACAATACTAACTGAAAACTTCACTAAAACATCGTATGGAATTTTTATTGGAAACTTTAGGAGATTTCTTAGTGGAATAAAAGTTGGTGAAGGTGAAATTATAGCATTGATAAATTCAGATTATTTTTCAGCTCTAGATAGTAGAACATTTGAAATAATACTAGAGAACAGATGCATTACTGTGAACATGCTTTATAAGCTTTTAGAAGGAATGTTAAATGTGGAAAGAAAAGGGAAGTCTAATCCCATATTGAAAAGCAAAAAAGCTTTAGTTCTCAATAAGTTAGCGGAATCTACAGGTCTCGGGAAGGACATATCAATTTAAACTATTAAACTGGTAGTATCAATTTAAATTACAAATACTTTGGAAATATCTCCTTCTGTTTATTAACTTTTCAAGGGATTGCCGTTTTTTAAAACAAACATATAAGAGTGATGATACATAACTTCTTTTTGTATTCTTAAGTAAATTCATGTAAAATTTTAGAATAAAATGTCCGAAGATATTTGAGTTCCTATAGCAATAGCAGAAACACACCCTATCTCAATTCATTATACTTCCTGGGAATCCATACTTTAAAGATTTAAAGTAAAACTAAAAAGGAAGGGGGTGTTTATTTCAATAGATTAAAATCGAAATATTGTATTTTTAAACTAAGAGATTTAATGAGCAAACACTCTGGAGACATATACCGGCCCGAGTATCTCATCAATAGAGAGGTCTTCTTTTGCTATCTCGTTGACAGCCTCAACAACTTTCTCTTCATAGCTCAGGTCGATTATACCCCTTAGATACTTGTTCCATATGTCGGTGCTGTAGATTTCAAAGTTTTTCTTCCTTTCCCTGAAGAACGAGATGACTCCGTTTCGGAACTCTTCAAACTGATCTTCGCTCATCTCTCTGAAGTATTCGTCCAGGTCTTTTACAAACTTCCTTATCCTCTTTTCAAGGAAGTCTACATCCTTCTCGCTTTGCACTATGAATTTGATGTACTGCTCGTCATCTAGATTCAGAACCCCAGACCCAACTACATACCCAAGCTCTTCCTTTGTCCGCAGATCATCGAAGAACATCGCTTTGCATGACTGTTGTACAAAGTGGGCTATGGCTGCATCCTTGTGGTTCCTGCATTTTCCGCAATAGTAGTTCAAGGAACATGCATTGTTCACCTTGTCGCTTGTTTTCACATCACATCTGTATTTTCCATCAAGAAGATCTTTCTTTACATAATCGTATACTTCCTCCTGTTTCGAAAGAATATTTTCAAATATCTTCTCGGCATCTTGATACTCGATGTTCCCAATCACAAACATTTCCAAGAAGAACTTTCGGCTCATCTTGAATTCCGTGTCTACAGAGCTCAGCTTCTCCATCAGCTCCTCTGCCATCAAATGTCCGGGAATCCTCATGCACTTCAGCCCTTCATTGCATCGCTTGTGAGGGCTTTCGTTTCTCTTTGTCTCAAACTCATTCCAAATCCGCTCCTTCACAAGGTTCCGCCGTGACTGGTTGGGCTCTTCAAACAGAATGTCGAAAAACTGCCGGGAGATCTCAACACTCATGTGGTTAAAGCATTCTATCCGAATCTCCACCCCATAGTGCTCGACACGAACATCGATGTTCATTCCTGTTCCGTGAAGATATCCATCGTGCCTTCTAAAGAATTGGCTCTTGGCATTTCTGAGCAGAAATATCAAGTTAATCATGTTCTCATTGATTTGGTCCATTCGAAGAAGACATCCTATAAAGACCTTTGGAACCTTGTAGGTATCGTTAAACAGGTAGTTGATTTTTCCTCCAGAAACCTCCTTTGAAATAATTTCTGAAGGGGCCTCGATTTTTATCATCTCTCCTTCCTTCCACTCAACTGCCTTCTCCAGTGAGTCTTCAGAGACCACTTTGTCTTTTTCATTGTACTTCGGAGAATACACCTCTTCTGTTTTAAACTCCCCCTTTAAATCCTTTTGCCCTTGAAGTTCGAGCCATTTGGAGAAATCCGTCATCTTCTGGACAATCTTCTTGACTTCTTCTTTCTTTCCTTTAGAGGACTTCTGGGGAAGGACATTTGGGAACACCTTTTCTTCTTTCTTTGGTAAGTCCAACTCAAATATCTGGTCTCCCACATTGTATCTCACCCCATATATCTCCTCGCGCATGTCAAACATCCCTGTTCCCTTTGCAACATGGAACACAAGCCACTTTGGGAAGTTCATCATCTTTTCCACAATCCCCTTGATCTCGTTCTTGTCAAATTTCTCAAAACAGTGTTCGTTATCAAGAACATTCTCAACCGGGAAAAACTGCATGTTTCTAGAGATCTTCTGTGCCTGGTACATAGGCTCGTCACTCTCCTCGTACTTGAACACATATCTCGATCTCTTTTGGATCTCTTCATACTCATCAGAAGAGATGGGGATGTCTTTGAGATACCTTACAAGTTCTAAAAGAACTCTTTCAGGTCTTTTGTTTCCCTCGGAAGACAGATGCATTGTTATTATTATCAGAGAATAGTCTGTGTAGTGGCACATCTCATACTCAACCTGCAGAACGAGCCCTTTGTCCTTAACCCTACATGCAAACCCCTTTGTATCGTCCCGAAGAAACATATTCATTACATACTCGTAAGGATTGTTCTTGAAAATCTTGTACCCCGACTCAACAGTCATTGTAACAACAATCGATCTTGTATCTGCAATAGGCTCCACCCTGATCCATCGGTTGGTGTATTCAGAGTCAAACACAGTCCATTCCTTGTCTGCTTCAAGTTCTATGTTTCCACTGCTCTTCTTCTCCTCGGTCCCCTTTGGAACCCCCTCAAACATCTTCAACATCTCCTTTAGCTCCTCCAGACCTTTGTTTCCACAAATCACTGTACACATTTTATCGCAGGAATACTTCTGTTTCCAGAACTCTGCCATCTCTTCCCATATCCCTTCTTTTCGAAGTGTGTCGTAGTTTCCTGTGCTGAACATAGATATCGGCAGTTCCTTCTTGCAGCATCTTGAAATCATCCTCCAGATCCTCCAGTCATCAACATTCAGTCCGTTACAGAACTCGGAGTTCACAGCCGACACCTCTCTCTCCACCGAGTTTTTCTTCAGCAGTGGTGTCTTGAAGAAGTCTGCAAGTCGGTCCACCCCTTCTTCAAAAGCCTCAGGAGCAATATCGAAGTAATACACAGTAACCTCTCCATAGGTGGAGGCATTGTATTCCCCGTTGTTCTTTGAAAGGAATTTGCCAAAATCCTCTTCATCAGGGTATTTCTCAGTCCCCATAAACAGCATATGCTCAAGGAAATGTGCAAGACCTTGAGTAGATACCGGGTTATCAAACGATCCAACCTTGACAGAGACTGCACAGCTGCACTTGTCCAGTGAAGGATCCGACATAATCAGCCCTCGCATCCCGTTGGGCATCTCGACATACTCATATTCCATCGAGTCGGTGAGACTCTTGTGAATCTTTTTGGCAACTTTAAGACAATTCATTAAAGCGGAAAGCCTAACCATAAGGGCTTCCAAGGTTCTGTTTATAGGAAAATTTTGTCTGGCACTACTGGAAAATACGAGAAACCGCCCCGGAATGACCCTGAAATAACATGGAGACTGCAAGGAAGATAAGGAGACACAAAATACTTGCATATGCACTGACTGCGGTGGAGGCCATGGGGCTGTCTGTGGTGGTTAAACAGGCCGTCAGGAATCCGCTTAGAGTTCTTTTGAATCCACCGAAGGGCCTTGTGCGAGGTCTGTGTTCCATCCCTACTATTATGCTATGGATTGCCATATACATATACCTTTCGGGGAAAGTTGCACAAGAAGCAGGAAGGCCTCGGACGGTCATCTTCTTCTATCATCTTACCTCACAGATAATGTTTTTGGGGTACCTTTCCAAGCCGGGTTCAGATGTTGGAATGAATAGTAGATGGGTCACGCTTATACCAACAAACGGATGTTCTGTATACAGCGTGGCTCTTTCCATATCCTCGGCAACACTCCAAACATATATTGAGGAGATTCTATGGATGAAGCCAAGATACACACGAGTTAGAGGATTGTTCAACTACATGGGAAGAAGTATAGGAGTGATGGTGCGAGACATGTTTTATCTTTGTATTGGCAGCGAGTTCATGGCAATAGGTGCTCTTACGATGTGCTTGGTAGTCTCGAAGACTCTGTTTCCATGGTCACGCCTTGGACCTTTCTGGTTATTCCAGGGAACAGCTTGGAGGATGTCTGGGGGGTTTTTGGCTGCCAACATCTCTACTGCTGCTTATTTTCTTCTGATGAGTGCCATTGATAGGCTTCTAACTTACAACATGTCACTGATGAATCTTGGCTTGGGCGACTACTGCTGTAACGAGGAGGAGAGCATCAACACCTCAAGACTGAGGTTTTTCCAGATATCCGAGCTTTCAATGAAATATCCCGAGGTTTTCAAAAAGGTGGCAAGATCAAACAAAGCTGTTTCGTCCCTTGGGCTGTATGTCCGTAGAGAAGAAAGAGAGATTTTAAAGATCATGGAAACGATGAGGAGAGAGAGGGAAACACTTGAGTCCCGAATGTGGTTTTCTGTTCCCCAGATCACCCAACCTCTAGACAAACCAAAGGCGTTGGTTGTTCAAAGAAAAGTTCAGTTTGTAAAGAGAATAAGATCGTATAATTTCATTGAGATTCTTGCATCCAGGATCGTATACTTCTTTAAGATACGTATTTTGATTAATAGATACAAGGGCACCAGAAGACCGTTCCTTCTGGTAAAGAGCTTTATGAAGTTTCTAGAGAAATATAGAAGGGACTACCTACTTCTCAAGGATCTTGACGAGACGTTTGAGGCCTCGATGAAGAATCTGCACAACGAAATCTCCAACACCGAGGAGGTGATTGGGATTGGTCTGGAGTCGGAGCTGTTCTGTAAGTAACCTCGGGGCTGTTAATAAAGTTTTGGATCTTCTAGACTACTGTAAAGGTTTCATAGGAATGATAATTGAGACACAAGGATAAACAAACAATGGGGATCAAGGATACGTTTGGAATGGAAGGGATAAGAAGACTCTTTGAAAGAGGTTCGTTTGTGGAAAATCCCCTGGGCAAGTCATTGATTGTGAAGCATCTTTCGTCTCTGAATTCCAAGAGGCAGATCAAAGGGGCAAGGAGTCTGGTGAGCAGGATGCAGCGTGGAGAAGATCTCTTTGAGCTCTGTAATGATGTCATCAAGGCGATGGACACAAGAGATCCCGAGCTCAAGAGAATGCTCAACCTGTATCTGGTGAAGTATGTGCAAGGATGGCCTGCAAAGCAACTGATATGTATCAACACCGTACTGAAGGATCTTGGAGACGTAAATAGCGAAATGCGACATTGTGCAATTCAAGATAGTGGGCTGCTAGGAGACGGAGCAGTGATCAAAAACTATGTTAATCCTCTCAAGGAGCATGGGGTTAGTGCGCTGCCTGAGACAAGAAGGAAGGTAGCAGACTCATTGAGGAACTATTTCAGGAAAGATCCCCGTTTGTTCCATGACGAAGACCTTTGCGATCTACTGAGAGACTTGGTGTTTGACGAGGATGCAGGTGTGTGTGCATCTGCACTAAATAGCGTTCAAGCCATAGAGAAGGAGACAAGAGTCCTTTCTACCAAAGACATCTATATCCTCTTTGGAAAGGCCATTAAGACAGGAAACAGGGAAATCCTTGGAAGTCTTCTGGAAGTGATGAATAACAGAGCAGAGGACTTCCTTGATGCTGCTCCATTGGTTCCATTGTTGAGATCGTGTAGCCTTCGGATATTCCGTCAGGCATCTGATCTGGCCATTTCTATCGATCCCTCTTACAGGCAAATTGTGTTTGATCACCTCAAAGGGTTTCTTAATTCAAAGGACGAGGAGTTGTATCTTGTACTTGACTATGCCGAGTCTCTTCTTGATCATGTGAAGTACGACAATTCATGCTTTGCCATCTACCACAGCGACAGGAAATACAATAAGATAAAGAAGCTTAAGATTCTATTCAAAAGGCTGGATAGCATCTCTGTGTCGGAAATAAAGAACCAATGCAGAGATGAAGAACTTCTTGGAGTGATTTTGAAGGAGTCTCTTATTGCAGACTATCTTATAGAGGAGCCGTTCAAATACATACGCAAGGCAGATGAAATAATAAGAGTTCTGTACAGTGAAGATGCTATTTCAGAAAAATGGTCGGGACTGATTGAAAAATTCTTGATGAGTGCGAGGGAAGTGCAGGAAAGGCAGAAGTATATCTATCTCTGTGGGAGATATGTCCACGAGATTCCTTCAGAAGTTATAAGAATCCAAAGTCTGTACATTCCTTCTCTAGTCAACGAGACGGCCAGGTTTTATCTTAGCCTCCATAGAAGAGGAGTGGTAAATCTGGAAGAGACCCTAGGGCACCTCCGTCTGGTACAGAAGAGCCCAAAGGACAGAATCCGAGCAGTGATCAATGAACTGAAGACCCGGGGAATAGGAGTGTTTTCAGCATTTTGTGACATCAAAAAGCGGGATCTGAACAGCACTAAAGCCTGTAGATCTGTTGGGATAAAGTATGAGGAAAAGACCACTTCGATACTCGATGGCAAGCCATACTATGGACTAAGTGAAGATGGATTTCTAAGGGAAAATTCTGGAGAAGCATTGGAGAAGTTCCGCGAAGAGGAGAAATCTCTACGTGAAGAATGCTCTTCTCTTGAAAGAGGAGAGACACAAACAACCGAGCTCTCTTCTGCAGGAGAGAGTAGTCCATTTCCAGGAAATGGCTCACAATGTCCAGCTCTGTTCTTGGGCAAGGAAGACGAGGAAAATGTTTGGCTGAGGTTTGCTGAATCTCATCGTCCTGTTGAAGGTAAGAGGGCCAAAGAGAAGGAATCCACCAGGCTGATAGACACCCTTGGGCTAAAAGGGATTCTTGCCATTGCTGGTGAAGAGGTTATACTTCAAGTGGATGTGCTAGAAAGTCCATTGGTTATTTATTACAGGTGTAAGGGGCGACTCAACAGTATCAAAATAGACGGCGAAGGGACTTTTTCTCTTTTCACAATAGGTCTTCCAGTAATCAACTCGGAGTTCAGCCTAACAATAGGAAAGTCCAACTACGAAATCTACCTGGGAATCAGAAGCTTGATGAATCCATTTGAGTGCTCGAAGGATGAGTTTGAAAGGAAATTCCATGAGCTCAGAGACCACATACTCCTAGGGGAAATCGACACTGGGAAGGCATATGCCGTCGACAACCATCGGTTCTCATTTTCTGTCCTTGGCTCAAAATTCTACGGAAAGCATCTCAATGGACAGGCAATCCTCAAAGGCCCGAGGAAGCTGTTGGGACTCTTTTAAATATATCGAATAAACAGGTAAGAGATAAAGAATTTATTCCCAGTAAATCCAGGTTCTGTCTTAGTGGCATTGGAAATGCCCTTCCACCCGATACCACGTGGAGGTGCAGAGATACATCAGGCACGAAGTCAGATTTTGCTACATCGTCAGTTTTCAGTCTGGGGCGGCAAATATCATCACTCTCCGGGGGTAACAAATACAAATGTTTTATATAGACAACTATTTATTACCAAGCTTACCCATCACTGATCTTAACGTTTTGCCATGGCGTTTATTTGTTCCTCCCTTTCTCAAGTACTCGTGGCAGAGGTCTCGAAGCTCCTTGCTTCTTCCCAGAACCTTGGCCATCGAGTCGGAATCAAGATATGCAATCATCTCGGTTGCCGGTGCCCCAATCATCTCAAAGCACTTTATCACACCCTCCACCATCTCCTCCTGCTTCCATATGTTTCTTCTAACTACCCTGGATAGAAACGAAACAACAAAGTTCTTCAGATTGGGAAATTTCACCAAGGTTTGGAGTAGAGTCCTCACTATCAGCACAGGCAGCTCCTTCTCCAGGGTTGTTAGTGTAAACAGAAAGTCGCTCTCTCCAAACTTCGAGGATTTGAAGCAGAGATCGAGAATCCGGATGGCTTTTGAGACTTCTGGAATTCTGTGTACAAAGATCAGAAGTTCCGAACACTCCATAATTCTCAGAAATACATTTAGAGACTCACTGTCAACAACATAGTCGGGAATATACTTGTACACGTCAGACTTCTCCAAATACGGTAGGAGGGCATACATAAAACGGCTGTCCTCGAGGTAATTATCTAACAGATATATTCGGAGCTGGCCCTTGACCGCTCTCCTTCGAAGGATCGTTTGTATCAGACTTTCCTTCTTCGGCCCATCCTCCAAAGACTTGACAAGATCAACCACTACCGTATCTTCCTTCTCTTTCAGAAGGTCAACAAAGCTATTCATCCCCTCCTGGGACTCGACCGACTCCAGAGTAAGAGCCAAGGCCTGGTCGTTGGACTTGGAGATCTCAATCAGCTCCTGATCGCTTAGCCGGAAGTAGGAGGCATAGTCCTTAAGAGCCCCATAATTCTCCTTGAAAACCTCCAAGAGGCCTTCTCTTCCTATCGCTACCTTTTCCTCGGAAATCATTTCCACAATCTCCTTAACATGTGTCTCCCTTTCTCTAATCACATAGCTCAGCACATCCACTGACTCGTCCGTTATCTTCGGTATAATCCTCTTCACATCGAGCTCGACAAGGCATTTTATAACATCCAGCTTAAAGTACTGCTTGTTCTCGAGAATTATATCAACCATCGACTTGTAGACCTCTTTGTTCAGGAGATATGCATACAGGAAAAACGAAAGGCTGTATCTCTCGTTTTTTCTTATAAACATCAAGGTCTCTAGTGAGTCTTCAACACTCAGCGTCCTTACAATTCTTGAAATCCCCTTGTCTACCGCTCCCGGGTCTCTTATCTTCCCAATAAGGCTAAAGGCCTCAGAAACAGGGCTTGGGAACTCCTCTTCCTTCTTCTCGTGGAAATATGTCTGGACCGTATTCTCAATCTCAATGTTGCTGCTCTTCACAAGCGTCTCAAAAACCAAATCAATAAGAAATCTAAAGGGATCAAACTCCTTCCTTGCCTCCTCTCCTCCCCTTCTTTCCCGTGTCTCTGTAAAGTCAAACAGCTTCATCTCAGGGACAAACCGGTTGAGTGTGCTTGGAATTCTCTTCAATATTCTTTTGTTCAACATGTGCACATGATAGTTCAATGACCTCTGTGCATACCGAGGACACTTTATCCCTCTACTTTGTGCATGGCGCAGATATGCAAGAAGAGCCACAGCACTTCTCCTGTCTAATATTTTCGAGACTGTACAGAAGAAGTATATCACCTCCATCGGGCTCATGTTCTTAAGATAGAAGATAAGAAAGGTCAGGCCTTCTTCAGAAGGCCTCTCGACAAGATGATGTCTTATCTTTTCCATCAACAAGGCCTTTGAGAATCCAATCTTAAAACCAGTTTCCAAGAAAACTAAAAGAACAAGCCAAAACCATTTACTAAGGGTAGAGTCTGCTTGGGTCCCTGGGGAACAGCGAGAAGCATCTTATGTCCCCCATTCCAAAATATGCCTTCATCACCCTCTCAAGTCCAATCCCACATCCCCCGTGGGGTGGAACCCCATATTTGAACGACTCCAAATATCCTCCAAGAGAAGATGGAGATATCCCATGCTCCGAAACATACCTGACCAAGTCCTCATAGACATTTACTCTCTGTGCTCCAGATAAAATCTCCTCTCCCCGTAAAATAAAGTCGTACGACCTTGTTATTCCTTTCTCCTCATTTCTGTATGTGTAGAACGGTCTTGCAGATATCGGATAATCCTTTATCACAAAGATGTCGACATCATGTATCCTCTTCACTATCGATCCCAGTCTCTTCTCGTTTTCACTGTTGAAGTCATCTCCATATCCCATCTCAACACCCTCGCCCAAAAGAAGATCTACACATTCCCTGTGCGTCAGAACAACAGGCTCCCGATTATACTTGACATCTTCAAATCGATGGAAAGACCTTATTGTATCCAGCTCTTCGCTGTACTCCTTTTTCAAATTGTCGAAGATGCTTACAAACATAGAGTGGATGAACTTGATCACATCGTTATAGTCTGTGGATATCTCCATCTCCATGTCAAGCCCAACAAACTCACTTAGATATCTGTTGATGTTGGACTCCTCTGCACGATACACATGCCCTATCTCATACACCCTTTTGAGTCCTCCTGCAACAGCCATCTGCTTGTACAGCTGAGGACTCTGAGCCATGAACGCCTTTTTCTTGAAGTAGTCCACACTGAAGAGATTTGCCCCTCCTTCGCTCGAGCTTCCAATCAGCTTCGGTGTCTTTATCTCTACAAATCCGTTTCTACGGAGATAGTCCCTGAAGAAGAACATCACCCCATCAATCACCCGAAAGGTGGCTCTTGTCTGCGGTGCTCGAAGATCCAGGGATCTGTTGTCCAGTCGGATGTGGTATGCAACGCTTTGGAGTGTTGGGTTTTTTTCCCGTTCCTCAATCGTTGCAGAAACATCCTTCATGGTGAATGGAAGGTTTTTGTCTGCCATGCTGAGAACAGAAAATCCGAGGATGCGGATCTCCACATCCTTCTTGCTACATCCAGATATTTCTGTCTCCTGCTTGACAACCCTTCCCTTTACTTCAATATAGGACTCGTGCGCCACCTTCTTGAGAGAGTTGAACTCCTCTATAGACAGATCCCCTTTCCCATCCTTGGGTCTCTCGCACATGCACTGGACTGTACATCCATTGTCTCGCAGGACTATGAAGATATACTTGCCTGTGCAAGAGGACTTGAGAACAAACCCTCGGACAATCACGTGTCTTCCGTCAAGGTCTCCGCTCAGGTCCTTGATTTCACTTACTCCGCTTATGGAAATCTTGGAAAGTTGGTCTTCCATGGAAGGGTTGAAAATTCAACCTCTTTCTTCCCCAAAGCTCCAACTTAGTTCTTGGCCAGAACAGAAATTGGCCCGGCAACTCAGGACTGGTGATATCGGCTGGTTTAGGAGTCTTTTGTCCATTAAGGGGAAGAAAGGAGAAAAAAGTATAAGTATGGAAAAATGAAAGCTACCAATGCAAGAGAACAAGACATCAGAAGAACTCAAGAAGAGACATATTCCTCTGGATTTCATCCTAAGTATAATCAACTTTTTCGTTGCTGCTGTACAGCTGGGGTATGGAAAGTTTAAAGGGGACCAAAGTAAGGATAGCGGGTTTAGCAAGTATTCTAAATTTATAACTGCTATAGTTCTTCTGATTCCCATATTCAAGATCTTTTACCAGCTGAGTAGATTCAGAAGAGAGTGTGGAGTCAAGAAGATGAATCGAATTAAGATTCTTTGTATGGTTGCGTATTTGCTGGTCCTTTCTGCAGCAATTGTATTGCTTTTTAAAGATTCACCCAGTTTCTCCCTGGAAACCCAAGGTATGATGGTAGCTCAAGCATCACTTTTGGGAATGGTCATTTCGTCCTTGCTGATAAATTACAAGAATCTCCAAAAAGGAAACTACATAGACTACTTCATCATATTGGCTTCTCTTGCCTTTGCAGCCAGGCTCGTAGCTCTCTTTCCTCCTTTCAAAGTCTATGGTATAGTGGTGGCAATATCCGAATGGGCCTCCATAGCTATTGCACTTGTTCTCCCTGTCCTCCAAAGCCTCCTCTATCCCGAAATCATCTCCTTACCGATCTCTTCAGAGGACTTTGCTATGCTAAATGCCTTGAATGCAGCTATTCTTATTCTTGGAGCAGGGATAGTAGCATCTCCTTACATCCAGAATTGGTACTCCAAATTTAGAAAGGATGGAAATGGCACTCAAAAAATACCAGCAAAGTAGCAAGCAGCGTTCGAACACCAAGTTAAAGTCCCCAATAAAAGGCCATCATTGCAATGAATATAACGATAATTAGACAAACTTTCGATCCAAAACATTTTAATTGGAACAAAGAACACAGTGATATCAATCGTAGAATCTGGTATAGAAACAATTTAATAAAGGACGTACCAACTATTCAATTTCTGCAAACATCTCATCAATGTCATCAATTTCTTCGTCGCATCTAATGCCACCTGCTAGATAATGAATCCTCGAGGAAAGCCCCAGGACAATCAGTGTGTATCCAATCAGGTGTCCCTCTGGAATGTTTGATGTCCCCAGGACATAAAGTTCCTCAGCTACCCGACGTATCTTGTCTCTTTTACTTCTGGATTTGTCGAGTAGGAACAGATTCCCAAGCCTCTTTAGATGAACAAGCTCCCTAAACAGCCTTGATCCTCGATGTCCATTCTTGGACTTGTATACAACCATCTCTAAAATTTTCAACTCTTCTGCCAGCTCCTGACTATTATCTCTTGCCTTCTGTGTCTTTAAGGCCATTCCAACCAGGGGTCCCCAACCCTGGCCTTCAACCCACGTTCTTCAGGATAATCAGTTGCATTTCTTAATGTTGAACTGCCACAGATTCCCAAGCTGGGAGGTCGCTCCTACGTTCTTCAGCTGATTGCTTCCAATCCCTAAGGATTCAAGGACATTCAGCTTCGACAGAAGCTTGGGCCACACATACTCGTCGATCGTTCCTCTTGCAACCAAGTATATGATATCCACACTGTTCTTCTGCCCTATCCTATGTATTCTATCTTCGGCTTGTAGAAGAACTCCGGGATTCCAATACAGCTCTGCAAACACCACTGCTCTTCCTGCAGTAAGAGTAAGCCCCGTACTGCATGCCGTGATACTCAAAAGTGCAGTTTTTATCTCTTCGTTCTCCTGAAAGCTTTTGACCAGCATGTGCCTGTTACTGCTAGGTGTCGATCCGTCAATCCGAATAATCGAAACTCCTTTTTCTCTGAGAAACTCTTCAAGTCCATCCATCATCTCGACATGGTGGCAAAAGATGATGAACTTCATGTCTTTTTCTACGATCGTTGATATATACTGTTTTACCTGGTCTATCTTCAGTTTAACCGCTTCTCTGTACTGTGCAACCACATTCGTGTCTACATTCTCCCCCACAAGCTCTTTTGCCGGATCCCTTTGCTTTCCTTTGCATTGCAAAACAACCTGCCTTCGGAACTTGGGAGGTAGTTGGCTTAGCACCTCGTCCTTTGTTCTTCTGATCATCAGACATTTCTTCAAGATGTAATGAAGTTCCTCTGCATTGCTGCAACCCTTGTAGTCATACCACTGCCCAACCTTTCTACCGTTACAGTACCTGGCTCCATACTCGGCAAACCGTGGAAAGATCGTTCTGTCGATAGACGATATTATGGGGTAAAGCTCCAATGGCCTACTCACTGCAGGTGTTCCCGAGAGTAGGAGCGCCCTAGATGCCCTCTGCAACAACGGAACTATTGCCTTTGTTCTCTTGGTATTCATACTCTTGAGATAATGGCACTCATCAGCAATTACAACACCTGCTTTGCTCCCAAGTAGTACAGATCCATTGCTAGAGGCCATCTCGTAACTTACAATCCCAACCACTTGCCCAAAATCCTCCTTTCTCCTCATCACAACTGCATCTTCTCCTAAGAATCTTCTACAGGCATCTGCCCAGTCTTCAAGTAAAGATGCAGGAGCAATGATTAGAAGAGGCCATTCAGACCGGTAGTAGTATGAAACTGCAAGTGCCTGGATGGTCTTTCCTAGCCCCATGTCGTCTGCAACAATTATTCTTCCCCCTTGTCGAAGAGCGTACTGCACTCCTTCCCTTTGGAATGGAAGGAGCATGCCGTATATATCTCCCAGAAGTTCAAACTCCTGGCTGTCCGTCTCTTTCTTGGCAATCCTCAATGTCCCCTTTGGAATATCATCAAATACAAGTCCGTTTCTCCTCAATCCTCCCTTCACGGCCATATAGTCCTTCACACTTATCCTCCACTCGTTACTGCTAACATCATACACGCTTTCATCCAACCTGCTCAGTTCTGTAGACAATCTCTTGTTCGACGGCTTCAGCACAACCTTTCCATCTCCATTCACATAAACCTTTATCTTCGTTATCTTCATACTTTCCTTCCCCTCGCTCTTCTTCTCCTCTTTGCTCCTCTCAGACATCCGAAGTTTGGCCTCAATTGCTCTTTCCCATCTCTCCTCTCCCATCCTCAAACCCTATGCCCAAAAGAATAAATAGCTAAGACTCCTCTTTATTAACAAAAATCACTCCTCATCAAAGTTCACAACCCTTCTCTCAACCAGGTAGTTCTCGTCCATAAGTCTTTTGTAGAAGTCCTTGTCGCTCTGGATACTTTGTCCCACCTTCTTAGACACAAAGATAATATATCCAACAACCACTCCAAGCACAATAAACTCCGTATTGCTCAGCCCAAGCAGCAGGGTCACTGCATTGTACATGTACCAAATCCCAAACAGAACAGAGATAAAGGCATTGACCTTGCAGAGTTCTCTGACAAGTGCTCGGAAGGTATAGTTCTCGGGAGATGAACTTAGAATGGTTTCCACAATCGAAGTGGAACTAAAGAAAAACAGAAACAGCCTCAGAGGCCGCACTCCCGTGATGTTCGTCCCGTCATTCGACAGCACAATCACCATTAGGCTCCCGAAAAGAGGATACACTGTGTTTATGTATACATTCACAACCCCGTGCTTGCACAACTCTCCAATCGTCTGCAGGAAGCCCTTCTCTTCCTTCACAATGCTCGTTGTAACATGGATTACAATCCAAGAAATCCGAAAGAGAAAAGCTAGTGCCAAGTAGAATAAGATGTCCCCGGAGTCTCGGATATATGCATCTATATTGATTCCCCGGACAATGTGCTTGGCTATAAAGACATATCCGGTGTAAATACAATAGAAGGACAGAATAACAGATAGACTTATCAACCCGCACCTTAAGGCAAACTGCCTCGGAACATAGAAAATGGCAAAATCCGAGGACAAGCGGGAATTGAAGTATCTGCAGATCTCTCTTTCGGTTGGCCTCCTTTGCTCTCTTGCTCTGATATGCTGTCTCCTGAAGATCTTGTTCCTGTTCACACACCACATCAGCATTCGTTTATCACATCCCACTGCCCGGGCATTGTAAAGAAAGTTTTCCATCCCAAGCATCCGGGCTTCCAGCCTTACAACCCTGTTGAGCCCTTTAACCACATAATCACAAAGGATTCTGTTGGAATACAAGAGCATTGTAAAGGTTTTATATGTAAGAGACAGTTTCAGAAAGCTTCTTATCGAGAACCTTATCTCAATTTCCCCACAAGCCCATCGCATCATTGTAAGCCCTATCCCGTAGAACAGGGAAAAGGCCACCAGGTAAGTAATGACCCGGAGGAATATTCTTGAGATTCCTATCTTTGATGCCTCGTACAGTTCGTCCATGCGAGAGTCGTCATCGTCGGGAACAAAGTGCAGGACACCAGGCCGGAAACATCTTTTGAATCTAAGGAAGACATTTCTTATTACAATGCTAAATGTATATCCAATCGACATGTGGAATACCAGCGAAACTCCTCCCTTCAAGACAACACTGTGCTCACTGCTCAGATGTAGTACATACACTCCCTTGTTCAGTATGTTTCCAAACATGTAGTGGAGAACCAGACCAAACGTTAGGTTCATGAAGAATATGTTCAGCATTATTATAAAGTATATCTTCATGAAAATACATACATACTTTATCTTACTAATGCAGAACCTTTTCCGAACATCTTCTGCAAGGCTCATGATTGCCCAGAAAACCATGCCGAATCCTACTAGTCTAGTGTACAAGCCTTCGAGATTCATTGCAGAGAGGAACTCATTAAAGGGCCCGTAGATCTTGGGAACGGAAATGTATCTCCCCATTGCATACATTAAAGGTATAAATGAAACAGGTAGAGTCATCCCAATGGCCCCTGATATTATTGGCTTGAAGAGAAAATTGTTCATAGGATCACTCAGCCTTCTGAAATTAGTTCTCTCAACACCTGTGGTCTCGGAAATCTCTCTAGAAACAGATACGTTGGAATCCGAGGATAGATTCTCATCTATTCTACCCCCTTCATCCTCTCTAGACCCCTCCTCCCGCGGCTCTCTCTCTAGAGACTCTAGTATTGCGCGTGGATTCATCGTCATCCTCCTCCTTCTTATGTCTTCTCCAAACCTTTCTCTAATTTGGTTAAATAAACATCGGTTGACTTGCGCCAGCCATGCAAACGGAATCCCAACTGCTATCCACACCAGAATGTCTCCGAGCTCGGCCCTGGCGTTGGAATCATACAATCCTGTTGACACCATGAAAAAGTATCCATTGAAATAGAACACTACTATCCACTTCACCATCTGTAGGATACACCATGCAAGCACAGTCCCAACCCTCTGTCCTATACCTGCCACCCCCTTTATAAGTACCGATAGAGGCAGCACCTGGGGAGTGTCTGGCTTGTAGATGTCTCGGAACTTGTATTCATAGTGGCATATATCGCACCTCTTGATCTTCGAACACTCCATCCACGACATCAAGCATTCCTTATGAATATACTTGATTGTTCCTGAGCACCGGCATGGACTGCACAGCTCGTCTCCCCTTACATCTCCCGTATGGCAGATCTTGCAGTTCCTTTTTTCTTCGCTCATAGGGGTACTTCATTTTGCCGAGAATCAAGCAATAAATAACATAAGTAGATACAAAAAACACCAATCGAGTGGTAAGAACTTTATTGACCCCGGTCTATAGATTCACAACAGTAAACAGAAGCATCACCCCTTTTCTCTCGAAGTGTTTCTTCAGCGCCAAATCCACGGCATAGCTCAATCCCTCCTCTTCCAGAGAAAGCACATCCTCTACAAACTCAAGTATCTCCTGCGCCCCTGTGATGGCATCCGACGGTGTGTCCTTAATATCGAAGTTCACCATGAAAAAGTGTTTTGTGCACGAAGGCGTATCTACATAGTACTCAAATATGCTGGTAAACACCCTCTCCTCACATGTTATCACTAGATCAAAGTCTTCACACCTCTGGAAGAAGTTCTCGGGCTTCTCCTTTACTCCCATGTTTCGTTCCAGTAGATACAAAATCCCAGACTCTCTGTAGTAGTCTTCGTTTTTCATACACAAATCGTTATAAATCTTTTGGTAGGTCCAGTCAAAGCTATACACATTCGGCTTATCTATTGCTTCCCCCGGGAGTTTTATAACGGGGCTGGTGCCAAAGGACTTGATTGGAATTCCCTTCTTCATAAACAGGTCATGTGTCTGCATGCTTCTATTCTGATTCATTGCACAGCTGACTGCAAGCTTCATTAGGGGCATCCCATTCATTCAAGGTAAAGCAAAGAACTTTCGCTATCTTGTGCCTACAAGCTCTAGTCTTCTTGGCTGCTTTCCGAGCTGGAGTCGTTCAGGAAATTCACCATGGGCAATGAAGGAAACGGAGGAAGATACAAGCTGGTGCTTTCATACCCAGGCGGGTACAATCTGTTCTGCCCCACAATTCCAGAGTGCGACACTAGCCCTCCAAGGTCCACATCAAACTCCTCTCCATTTTCCAACTTCTCCATTGTTTTGATCCGCTCCTCAATCCATAAGATTCCATCGTACATCCTCCTTTTCATTCCAAGGGCCTCAGACGACTTTTCCTCAATCACATCGTTCCATTTGTGGGCGTTGAATGCAAGGGTCTCCCTTAAAGAAAGCCTCTCAAGTTCGGAATACGATATTTCGTCGTTCAGATACCTCTTAAGGCCTGCCAGAAACTCCTCGCTAACCTCCCTGTATAACCTGTCCATTAAGGGATAAAAATCCAATAGAACCATTAAAACTTTATTCCTCATTCACATTCTTCTTGGTCTTGTCGGGCTCAGGACCCTCATCCTCTGTCTTTTCCTTGGCCTTCTTGGTGCCTTTCCTTTTCTTACTCACTCTTGGCGAGGACTCAGAAACCCGCTTTCTTCCTCTAATCGAAGCTTTTCTGGGTTGTACAGTATCATTCTCTTCGCTCCCCCTTTCCAGGAGTCTCATCGCACTCGATCTCTTTTTCCTTCCTACTCCCTTCCCTTCTGTATCTTCTTTTCTTTCCTCGTCTTCCTTCTTTTCTTCTCCTACGATACCCCGTTCCTCTTCCTTATTCACTTCCCTTTCTAGTTCAATCCGGCTTATAACATCACTAGCTATTGCATTTTTTATGTCACTCGATGATAACACTTCCTTAACCTCTTCCCTAATGTCTTCTTTGACATCTCCCATAAACTCTCTCTTCAGATCTTCTCGCAATTCCTCCTTGATATTATCCTTGACATTCTGTTTCAACTCGTCAAGACCCTCTTCTATAACCCCATTCTCATTCCTCATCTTCTCATCAACCACCTTTTCTGCTGTGTCCAGAATCTCCTTCTCTATCATCACCTCTCCAAGGTCTCTTGAGTTCTTCCGGCCCATCGATGGAAGAACAGGCGTGTCAACAACAGATATCTCAATCGATTCCTTGATCTCCTTATTAAGAACCTCCTTCTGCTCCTCAATAGCCTGCTTCACACATGATACCCCTTCTCCATCTTCTCCCTTGCATAGTGAGATGTTCACTCCCGCTACCTTATTCAGTGCAATCGAAATAACCGCTTCTCCAATCCCCTCGTTCTTTTCAGACTCTCCTCCTAGGGTCTTCTCCTTCTTTTCAAATTCTAAACAGGGTCTTTCTCTCCCCTCTCCATTCAGGTAGCTCAGTTCCATCGTAGGCCTTCTAATGATCTTGTCCTCGTCTACAAAGTCCCCAGGCTCCGTCAAAGAAAACATAAACCTGTATCTGTTTATCCTTAGAACATCTCCAAATCCGAAGCCATATACAGATTCCTTCTCAAGAGCCTCCTCGTTCAAAAACACATTGTTCCCAAGCACCCGGATCTTCATTTGCTCAAAGTACACCATCACATGGTTTTCCTCCACCGATGGCTGTTGCAGCCGTACATCTGCATCTAGCCCGCTCCCTATTGTTATCTCTGTCTCATTGGTAAATGCAATGCTCCGCACCTTATCGTCGCTCCCTAATGATGATAGTTTGTATTTCTCTCCCATCAGTTCAAGGGCTTCCAAAGAGGATTCACATATCTTCAAACAAACACCGCAGATAGTAAAAGAGGGATTTATTCAACTTTGATCACAATACTCTTTTCTGCATTTCTATTCAGATACTCTCCACACCCCACAAATACCTTACATTCACATGCCTTCTTTAGCTCTCCAGAGTCAATGCTGAATCTAACCTTAGCCTTTTTCGAAAAGTCGTCTATAATCTGTATCTTCCCATAGATAACATTGTCTATGGTCAACATCACAATCCACTTGACAAAAAAGGATTCCTTCATGAAAGGTGCATGCACTATAACTTCTCCTTTCTTTTCATCAAGATAGCACTCTCGCTCAAGGGTCACGTTGATTGTTGCAATGCTACCCCCGGGAATCACATACACCGCTTGCTCAGACCTCCCGTTCCGTACCCCTTCCTCCCCTTCATTCCGGGTAACAAGATTTTCTGTCTCAGACTCAGAGACATCACTAATGTCCTTGACAACCCCTGTCTCAATCACAGATGCACTGAACTCACTTATCTTAATTACAGGAATGCTTCTGTATACATTCATTCCAGACTCTAGATTGCTTCCTGAGAAGAAAGCCCTTAGACACTCCTCCTCAGACATCTTCTCCTTCCTATTCTCCTGGATAAATAAGTCTTCAAACCTCACAAAGGGAATCTCCAGCATCCAATACTTCGGATCAAATACCGCCTGGATAATCATCGACTCAAGAACCACAAGGCTCTTCACAACATTTCCGTATCTCTTTGCAATTCCAATCGCCTTCATCCCCTCTATCAGCCGAAGAGATGCTTTTTGCACATACTCCACATCGCTCTTTGCCGCCTGTCCAGTCCTAAACAAATGATCCATCAACACAAGATATCCCTTCCCCTCCTTTCCACAGTCTCGTAGTGGATATCCAAATCCGCTTTCAATCCGTCCCCGAAGACCCTCTACATTGCTCTTCCATCCATACTCCATAAACTCAACCGACCTCGTCATAAGGGCCATCAGCTTTTCCACCACGTCATGGTTGTACTTTCCCTGGTTCATCCTGTCATCGATCTTCTCATAAAACATCTCCATCGTTCGGAAGTTCACTCCCACCCTGTTAAGGTCACGAATTTCCTTCCACTTCCTGTATGCCCACCGGGGAAGCAGTACCCCCAAAAGTAGAGAGTACAACACAAATGCGTAAATCCCCTGGCTAACAATCATCTTAGGAATCGCTACAATCTCCCCAGTCTTCGACTCCCTGTTCAGCCACGTCTCGTATTTTTTCTTGTTGCTCACAAGCCCATACGCCCTGTTGATCATCTTCTGCTTTTCTTCATACTCTTTCCGAAGCTCCTCCGGTGCCTTTCCAAGGTTGTATTTCATCAAGAGCATTCTCAACCTCTTCTTAATCTCCTTCTCTCCCGCATCCTCGTCTATCCCAAGCACCTCCAAAGGGTTAAATCCCTTCTTGTACTCAATCTTCAAAGTTCGGATATTCCCAACCAAATACGATATAACAATCCATATAATAATTGTAAATACCTTCCTCTTAGTCTTCCTCTTCACATTCTTGTTTTTACATCCAGGGCAAAAGCACCGTACCCTTCGGATCGGCGTACTATCAACCAAGTCGTATGTCATATACAAAGCCACAGGAACCAGCATCGATAGCAACAAATAGCTCGAGGCAAGCCCCGACTCATCATACTCGTAGTCATATGCCATCAAGGGCATTTGTTGATTTCCAAAAAAACAAAAATTTAATCTCTATTCATCCAGGGTCTCCATCCCCTCAGGGAAGGTACTCCAGATAGCCTTCATCAGCTCTACAATACTCCTTCTCAATCAGCTTCCCAATGGCCTTCATCACAGTCTTCTCGTCGTTCCCAGACTCCTCCTCGATAATTTTGACCATCCCAGGAACTTCAATTCTCTTTCTTCTCTTCAATATTCTCATGATCCTAGCCTCCAAAACCGCATCAAAAGCCCCCACCGTTTCCATCTCTCTCTTGGTTGTGGCTTCCCCAAACTCAATTTCAAACAGATCCACAATCTCACAGCCTTCTTCTCCCTCCATGTCTTCTCCATTTCTATCCAAGGTCAGATTCCACTCAGAGTCCATAAGACACACCCGGTCCTTGTATTTCTTTCTAATATAGCTGTACTCCTTGAGGGAAAACATCCTGTTCAGTGACAAAACCCCGTCCTTGCACCCAACAAATCCGTTCGATAGAAGATACTCAAGGTTTCCCTCAAATCCAGAACCTCCGACACATCTTCCAGCATCACTCATCTCTCTATCAACATCCAACCACAGCATTATCAGAACCTTGTCCATGCTCATCCGGAAGTAGAACCCGTTGATCGAAAATATCATCCATGATAGATTATGGCAGCACTCCAATTCTCCCCGCGGATATTTCATCATCTTTGGCCGCGACACAATTCCCCAAATGTCCTTCAGGGGCTGGGGGAGATTCTCTCCACTTGCCCTCAGGTCGTAGAACCCCTTTGTCAGAAACCTTGTCTCTGTAATCAGTTCTATGTCTTGCCCTGCGATGCAGAAATCGTTTCGGTCGTAGTTCACCTGATTTTCATACATTATGCTCATACTTCTGTTAATACTAGTCCCTATATATCTCTCCATCAATGAAACCAACATCCCTTCTCTTTTTTGTGACCCTCTCCATCCCAACATTCTCCTTCTTGCATCTTCTGTTATCTTTCCAACAATCCCTTCCTTGTTTGACATAAGGCTTGCAAACACAACAAGAACCTCTATCTCTCCTTCCGTCTCCTCTCCATTCCTTACTGCCCTGTCAATGTGCTTGTGAATCTCATCCTCAAACCCAAGTCTGCCCGAAATGTGAAGGTACTTCCTTATCTCCTCGTTGAGATGCAGAATCAGTTCCTCCTCATTCATAAGATTCTCCTTCATCTGCTTGCGGATCCGAAGATACTCCGTCTTCAGATCCCCCAGACTCTCAGTCCCAAGTATCTTCCTTCTCATAACTTCCTTGTACTTTTCCGCAACCCTTGCCATATACTCAGGTTCCATGAAGTGGATGATCTTTACATACAGCTTAAACTTCTCAAACTTCTCCATCCTCTGCACAACCACCTTCAAAACATCGTCAAACCTGTCCTGCACCCTACATGCAATCCCCTTGTACAGCTTGTTGTTATCTGGATCAAAAACCTTTGAAGCAATGTATATCTCCAGATACACCCTTTTTAGAACCTTGTTGATCTCTCCGTCGAAGTCCATCGATGCATGGAATCCCTCGAGGTATTTCCGCATCATGTCCTCATACTCCAAGGATTCGTCACAGAAAAACAACATTCTCTTGAGAAGCCGGACTGTCTCCGCTAGCCGCAGGAAGTTGTAATCCTTGCATCCCCGTGAAACCCCAATCTCAAAGAACACTATGTCCTTGGCTTGTCCCACCACTCTTTCCATGTATCTTCTGTAGAAGACCGTATTCCCAAGTGTCCGGATGTCCTGGATGTGTCCATCCCTTCTCTCCAGGCTGATCCGGATAAAGTATCTTTCCAAGTACGAGTAAGCCTTGGCCACCAGATCCAAGGCATTGGAGAACTCCAGCAGCTGGCTGTGCAGGGTCTTCAGAGATGTAAAACACCTCAGCCCATCCACATACGCCAGAAGCGTCTTCTTCAAGCACTCATAAACTTTTGCTCCTCTTGTCTCAAATATCGGAGTCGCCTCTGTGCAGTGACTGTATATGGTGTCGTATACTTCCATAAAGTCCTTCGAGGAAGATGCCTTATGGTTACAAAGAAGAGACATGGTTAAATCCTCCAGCCTCTCCAACTCCTGTATACCCATTCGTGGGTATGTCCAATAAACATAAATGCTTCCTCGGACATCGAATCGAGCCGCAGGAACAAACGGCATTCGGGAGACTCTTGGCCCAAAACAATCATTATATCGAGTTTATTCTTTCTCTTATCATGTCCTCAAGATCACAAGGCTGGAGTACATTGAACATCTTCATCTTGGACAAGGCAAATATTGTATGGAGGTCGTTGTATTCGTTTAAAAAGTATGATAGCACCCCCTCTCGGCTTTCGCCTCTTCTGTTCTGCTTGATCACCAAAGAGCTTTCCAAATGGAGATAATGGAACTTCACATTGAACAAGACCAGCCGAAGAAATGCTGTGGCCTCTTCATCCTCGCCCAAAGACCCGATGGCCCTACAGATGTACTTCCCCAGGCTCTTCCATTTATAAATCATGTCGACTACCTTGCACTTTCCACTTTCCTCTGTGTATCCCTTTATATACATCATGATTGCCTCCATAAGCATCTTTATTCCCTCTTTCCTAGACTCCCCCATCATTGCATCTGCCTTGGCTCTCAAATCCTTTGCCTTTTGAAGAAGCAGACTTGTATCTGGGGCCTGGGGTTTCTGGAATGTTCCATATCCAAGCTTGTCGATTTCTGGGTTGCGGAAGATTTTTGACTCGACCAGCTTCTTTATCCTGGAGGATATAGAGCTGTCCATCAAGGGATGAAAATGGTGCTGAATAGTGGCTACCCCAGGGCGAGGAGGAAAGGCCCTGGAGGCCGAAGGATATCTTGAAAAATTTGCAGCCCCAGGAAAATGGTAAGTGGCACATGGTAATTTTAAGAGTAATGCAAAGGGGACCAGGAACTACCACAAGAACTTCCAGGTGAAGAGAAGAAGAAGACGAGAGGGCAAGACCGACTACAAGCACAGAACCAATATGATTCGACAGGATTCCAACTCATACGGGTCTGTGAAGCACAGGCTGGTTGTCCGGATTACAAAGAGCCGGGTGATTTGCCAGATCACAGGAGCCTACATGGATGGAGACCGAGTGATGGTGTATGCAGACTCGTCTGAGCTGAAGAAGTATGGAATCAACTTTGGGCTTACAAACTACTCTGCAGCATATGCAACTGGATTCCTGATTGGAAGAAGGGCACTGACAGCATTGTCTCTGGATGGAGTATATGGGCCCAAGGAGATTGACGGGACATACAGTATTACGGAGGATGTTGATGGAGAGAGAAAGGCGCCCAAGGTGTTCCTCGACATTGGACTTGCAAGGTCCACAAAGGGAGCAAAGGTGTTTGGAGCAATGAAGGGAGCATCTGATGCAGGACTGAACATCCCACACAGCGAGGTGAAGTTCTATGGGTACCAAGAGGATGGGAGCTTTGATGCAAAGGAGCTGCACGACAGGATTTTTGGATACAACGTCTCTGAGTACATGCAGAAGTTGCGGGACAGTGATGAAGAGAAGTACAAGACCCAGTTTTCAGACTATATCAAGAAAGGCATCTCGGCCGAGGACATTCCACAGATCTACAAGAGTGCTCTGGACAAGATTGCATCAGACCCATCGAAGGAAGCAAGGGAAGTGAAGGACTACTCTTCGCTTAAGAAGTACCGGCCGGTTCGACTTACATATGAGGAGCGCAAGGAGAGGATACAGGCCAAGCTTTCCACGATTGAGAGCGAATAAATTCTTTTTATCTGAACTTTTGGCTTTACTAACTGGATGAGGTTAGTATCTGTAGAAGGGTGTTTGGTGAAAAGAGGGTGAGGAGAGGGGCATTGCTAGACGGTGTGGCGCAATGGTAGCGCGTCGGATTCCAGTCCCGAAGGTTCTAGGTTCAAATCCTAGCTCCGTCATTTCTTTTCTCTCGGGAAGTCTCGGAATGTCTTTTGTCCCAAAGGAAAATGGCCATTGAACCATAGTAAATCAAAACAAAACAATCCCCTATGAAAGCCGAGGAATCTCGGGGCCAAAGCCCTGTCTCAGACCAAGGGTTATGGGAATATGCAGTTTCTTCCATCTTCACCGGAGCTCAAAGGAAGTTTAGAGAAGCATTGGTCATCCCAGGCCTTCGGCCTCCGGGACCTAGGATTCATTTTGTACCCAAGGATGTCTGGAAGGCCATAAAGGAGGATCTTTCCACGGAATGCAACCCTTGCTACGAGTATCGGGAAGAGCCTTGGAGAGCAGTTTTTGTTACGTTTGTGATAGATGAGCTTGTCCCTAACACCAATGCCCCAGAGACCGGAAGAAGCATGGTTGTCAAGGTTGGATGGATACTTTCCATACTCCAGTCTCTTGTTAGCCTCAACGACTTTAGGTCTTACGAACGGCCTTGCCGTACAGGAGGAATGGGGAAGTCTAGAAAGATAGTAAATGTCCTCTCCAGTTCGACAGATAGAGTGTTTGATGTGGTGCTGGAAATAATGGGCTTCGAGGTTGGGCTGGACGAGTTTATGAGCCTGTACAGAATTATGGCGCTGGACGGGAGGGTGATCCATCCCTTAGTGAAACTTGAAGGCTTTGGAGATGGAAGTGTACTCCGGATCTCAAGGATTGTAAGGATGCCTGACGGAAGGGCTCTGTCTGCCGACAGCCACATGAAGAACATAGCCCGGGGACTTAAGAATCAAGGGAATACGTGTTTTATGAATAGCGGGCTTCAATGCCTGACAAATTGCTGGAAGCTCACGGAGTATTTCATGAGCAAGGAGTATGAAAAACATTTGGACGAGACAAAGCCTATTCATGTATCTCTGGCCAATGCATACTATGATCTTATCTCGGAGATGTACAATGGAGATCAACAGTCCATTGTGCCATCTGGGATCCGTGCAAGCCTGGGATCGGTTTATGAGGAATACAAGGGAAATGAAGAGCAGGATGCAGCGGAATTTATCGGAAAGACACTAGACATGCTTCATGAGGGTCTTTCAAAGGGATATGGGGACAGCGAGAAGAAAGAAAGCTGGAAGCGGTCGATTGTCACCGACCTGTTTTTCTTCTCTCAGAAATCGACGTTGACATGCAAGGAGTGCGGAAGAAGCAAGACATCTGTCGAGCCCTCGATGTGTCTTTCTTTGCCTATTCCATACCAAAGGGAATACAAAGAGAACATTGTGTTGTTCTATGAGTCTGGCAGGAGACAGCCTTTAAGAACGTATGCAGACGTGTCTTCCAGCATTGGAGATCTTAAGAGGATACTGAGAGCAGACTATGATGTGGCTGGAAAGGTTACGTGCATATGGTATGGCGCAGGACGGAGGATGTTTGAACTTGGAGATGACGTTATTCTGAAGGATGTTCCGCAGACCTTGTTCTGCTACGAGTACTTTGAGGATAAGAAATACTGCTGGGTCCATCTGAAGACTAAGAAACTGTTTATAGACAGGTCATTTAAGTTCAACATATTGATCCGAGCCTTTGGAAGTAATGAATCGCTAATATTCTTGGAGATGAAGAAGACGATAGCCCATCTTGTTGAAAGGGAAGCACAGTGCATTCTGGAACGGGAGGACATTTCCCCATACTTCAAGCTAGAAATAGCGGCGTGGGATTATGGGGAGAAAACAATCGACTCTCCTGTTGTGGTGGCGATAAGTAGATCCCACGGGGGGAAAAGGCTGTTTGGGGCTTCCTGGAACCCTCTGGACACGATTCGGGCGATAGATGCACCATCCATTACCCTTCAACACTGCTTAGACAAGTTTCTGGAGAAGGAAGATCTTCATCCCTCGGAGCTCTTACATTGCGAGGGGTGTGGCAGAAAGAGAAGGTTCAGTAAGAAGATGGACTTGGAGTGTCTCCCTGTGTATCTGATAGTCCAGCTGAAGAGGTTCCAGTATGTCAACTCCTTTCCCGTAAAGATCTCAACTCTGGTTGGATATTCCCTGGATAGATTTTCCATTTGTGGAACGGAATACAAAGTCATAGGAGTGTGCAACCATGACTCGGATACAGTCACATCTAGTGGACATTATGTAAGCTATCTTCGAAAGGACGGATGGTACCTTTGCAACGACCAGAAGATTGAGAAGGTCTCGAAAATAGACCAGGAATACACATATGTTCTCTTTCTTGAAAGATGTGTCTAGAATAATAAATGGTTGTATTTAGCTGTTGAAGCCTAGGATTGGTTTTGGTAAAAAGATGGGGAAGGCAGTCCCCATGGGATTTGAGTCCACGGGGGACCTTGGATATACTGACTATTTTGAGCGGTTAGGAACGGTTGTTGGGAGAAGTGACGAGTTAGTGGTAAGGAGGGTGATGGAGGTGCTGTGTGGAGATGTAAGCTGTAAGCAGGAGATTGTTGAGGAGGTTATTGGAAAAAGCTTAGCGAGGGAAGACTTTGAAGAGATGGTGAAGCTAACAGAAAGATTCCTCAACAGAGATACAAAGAAGATTGACTTTGAAGATGTTGAGCTATTTGATGTTTTATTTACTCTTCGAGAGAAGAAGAGGCTCCTTGAGATTATAAGGAAAAGCACGGATCTTGAAAAGGATCTCCTTAGGGCTCTTGGGGGCCGGAAGATGTATTTTATGAGATACATACTCGACAACAAAAAGATGTTTGAACATTTTCTTGGCTATCAACTGTTTCCAGATACAAGAAGGGAGATACAGAAACTGATGAGGAGCGAAGGAGGTCCTCCAGCCTTTATCAAGTACATAGACAGCGATGTACTGAGTCTTATGAAGGGGAGCAAGGTGATTGATTTGGAAAAGACATCAGATGCCAGCGGTACACATATGATAAGAGGGGAGTATCCTACAGGATCAAGTGTAAGGTACGAAGATGGAGCCAAGATTGTTTTTGTTCCAGGGCAAAAGGTGGATGTTGAGTTTGACGGAGAGCCTCCGGAAAATGTAAAGAGGCTCTTTGGAAGGAACTTTGTGTTCAACTATGTCCAAAGTGTAGTCCAGAGCTCTGTGCTGAAAGGAGATGGGAATGTTCTTGTGTGTGCACCTACGGGGAGTGGAAAGACAGTTATAGGAATGATGTGTATTCTCAAGGAGATTGAAGCAAGAAAGAAGGTGCGGGTTGGATACATTGCTCCCATGAAAGCACTGGCAAGGGAGATATGCAAGACCATTGGAAAAGTGTTTTCAAAACATGAGGTTTCTGTTGTAGAACACACTTCGGATATCTACTCTGGATATAGGCGTCTTGAGCAGGCAGGGGTGATAGTATCCACACCGGAGAAGTTTGATATTTTGACAAGAAACACGGACCTCCGCTTCGACCTGGTGATTATTGACGAGATCCACATTATTGGGGATTCAAGGGGTGCGACAATAGAAGCCATTGTGGCAAGAATGGCCATGCAAAAGAAATGCAGGATTGTTGGGCTCAGTGCAACTCTTCCTAATTACATGGATGTCGGGACATTTATTGGATGCAGGGATTCGGACATATTCCACTTTGGGCCAGAATTTCGAAAAAACGCAATAGACTACGAATTGATAAACGTTGGAATGAAGGAAAGGGAAATGGGAGTGGTAATAGAAAAGACGTTGGAGAATCTGGAGTTAGATAAGCCGGTGATTGTGTTTGTACACTCCAGGAGCGAAACTCTTGAGGTTGCAAGTGAAATAAGAAGGTATATGGAAAAGACTAGTGATTTGGAAGTGGATGTGAGTGCAGGAGTCCGAGAGCTTCTGAAGTACAGAGTCGGAATTCATCATGCTGGACTGGACAAGAAGACAAGACAAACAGTTGAAAATCTGTATCGAGATGGAAAAATAGATGTGATGGTGTGCACAGCTACGCTTGCATGGGGAGTGAATCTCCCTGGAAAGACTGTGATAGTTAAGGGGACCGAAGTGTATGATACTTCTTGCGGATGGAAGGCTATAAAGCAGATCGAGATGCTCCAGATGTTTGGAAGAGCCGGAAGGTTTGGCGATGGCCGGTGCAAAGGAATACTGGTATCGAGCAAAGACAACGAATTTCTTATTCAACGGAGTATAGATTCTAGACTACTTCCTGGATTGTGTGATTGCCTCAATGCAGAGATAGTAAGAGGAATGAGGAGATTTGAGGAGATGGTGGACTGGTTCAAGCATACCTTTTACTATACAAGACTGGTGAAAATGAATAGGGAGCCTGGGAAGATGGTTAAAAGCCTTGTGTATAGTGCTCTGAAGCTTTTGGAAGGAGCAGGACTCATTGTGCTGGAACCCGATATACACCCCACAGCTGTTGGAGAAGTAGCATCTAGATATTACATCTACTATAAGGATGCAAAGAGGCTGTTTGATGGCCTTTCTCAAAACATGTTGGAATCGTCTTTACTGCAAATCCTAGAGGGAACAAGGGAATTCTCTGATCTAAATGGTAACGAGAAGGAGATGGAGTCCCTCAAGGATCTTGTGCCTATCCCCACTGAATCCATATTTGGGCTACAGGTACAGTGTTATATAGCCAACCGAATGAACTCAGCACCTCTCTCTCAGAATCTCTGCAGGGTGTTCAGGGCGCTGTTTGAGATTGGAATGAGAAAGAAGCTTGGGATCGCAAAGACAATACTGGGGTGGTGTAAAGCAGCAGAGCATAGGATATTTCCGTACCAGACACCTTTGAGGCATTTTACAGACGATGTGGAAGTCCTGAGGAGTCTGGAGATGAAGGAAATTCCTTTTAAGGTGTTGGAGGTACTGGGCAAGGATGGGCTAGATGAGATAGGAATTGGAGGGAGCATCATAGTTGAAGCCCTAAAATATGTTCCCAAATTCAATATCTCTCCGAGTATTCGAGTTGCAGCACCTGGAAACTATGTCATAAGCATTGGAATCGAAAAAACGTTCTGCGACAGCAAGATCGAAAGTAATATGTACCATCTTTTCATAACCGATTCAAAAGAGTCGAGTCTGGTTGTGTGTGACACAGTAATATTCCAAAAGGAGTGTGAGTATGTATGCCAGAATTATGGGGTATGCACAGACTCTCCATTTCTGAACATCTACCTTCTCTCTAGTCATTATCTGTGTCCCATACATCCTGTAACATTAGATCTGAGGAGTAGTATGGAATCTTCTCCTTCGGTATTTAGTAGAGTGTGGAGGTCTTTTATGGAAAAGAAAGCATCTGGGATGAACAATTGCGTCAAACTGGATCTATTCCACAATGAAATTTCCACAGAAGTGGTGGTTGTGCCCAGCTATGCTGAGAAAAGAAGGTTAATGCTTCTGGGCTACAGGGCATACACTTATGAGGAGTTTGTTTCTTGGAGGGTTATTTCTGGCCCTGTTACTATTGTGGAGGTGGACGGGATTATTTCGAACCACCTTATAGAAGCTTGCATGGCACATTGTATCATAAGAAATATTCGGATGGTTCTGGTAGGACTTCCATTTACAACGGGTGGAGGAATTGAATCGATCGGAAAGATTGAAAAGAACCTGAAGGAAATAGGTGTAGAAGTTTGTGAGTCTTACTCTCCTACATACCATGGCCAGCTCTTTGACTTCAAGATTAGGATAATCGAAAATATCCGTGGGGTGGATGTGGAGGAGAGCTCATGTCTTATCATTTGCTCTACAATGAAGATGATTGGATATTTCAAAAAGTTCTTTGAAGATGCAAGGATTGCTTCAGAGTATACAGGAATCCATAAGGGTGTGTACTTCGCTACAAAGAGAGTGGTTGATCTATGGGTAGATAGGAGATGGAGTCCCGAAGTATCCCAAGTCCACATTGTCGGGACAGACTACTACGACCACGAGACCTCATCTTATGTCGATTACTCTCTTGCGGATGTTAAGAGGTATTCCCTCCTTGGTAAAAAGGCAGTTCTTTACGTGAGGGAAAGTAAGAAGGCGCTATACTTTGGAAATGGAACTGTTCCTTTGCACTATTGCTCGTCTGAAAGGAAAGAGCTCTATTTGTATCCATACTGGTTGGGATGTAAACCAGAGAAGAGCCAAGGAAGTTCTCTATTTGTTAAGGACCAAGAACTAACGCGATATGGGATGATACTGTGTAAGTATTGTGTTGGAATCGACACTGTTGAAATGTTCATTGAAAAGGCCAAGGATAAGATGGGGTTGAAGAGCATTCGGGCTCTTGTGTGTGGGGCAGGGGAGCTTGTGCTTGATGTTGATCCAGATGAGTTGGAAGCATTATCTAAGACAGGGGTGGATCTTTCGTTTGGAAAGGCATATGGGATGACTTCATACGTACTGGATATGAGTGAAGGAGACGAAAGGATTCTTCAGCAGTATGCTGGGAGTATACTTCCGGTGGTGAATAGGTTATACTTGTGTCTCGTGGAAGTTTCATTAGAAAAAATGTATCTGAAAACAGCATTCAACACCATGTTTGGACTCCAGAATATTATGAGTGTCTTTATCGAGGACAAGGACAAGTTCTACAATGCAAAGCTTTGCGGGGGAGCTGTGCTCATTGAAGTTTTGTCCGTCCCTCGAAGCCCGATGGGATGGGTTGTGTTCTTTCTATTTGACGGATCGAAAGAGTCCGAGATTATTTATATCGAATGCCCAGGAACATACTCCACATCTTGGAACCACAAGATCTGCTATGTGATGAGCGACAGCTACCCTGGCTTTGAGAAGATCGAGGACAAGGCATAAAACCTTGAGACTGTGGAACAATTTGACACCACGTCTATTAAATCTGAAGGGAGAACCCATATCATAATGAACAGGAAGGAGAATAAAATAGTCACATCCAAGTATACAGCCATGACTTTTTTTCCTTTGAACATATACCATCAGTTGTCAAGGCCATCAAATCTATTTTTCCTTCTGACTCTTATTCTTCTATCAATTCCGGCGATATCTCCTTTCAGCCCATTTACCTATCTCCTGGCGTTTGTTGTTGTTGTTGGGGCATCGATGATGAAGGATGGAGTTGAGGACTACAGAAGACACAAGCAAGACAGAATCATAAACGAGAAGCCGGCCAATGTAGTTCGGAGACAAGGGGAAGATGCAAGGGTGGAGGAAATACATGTGGAAGATCTCAGTGCTGGAGATCTTATATTTATAATGAAGGATCAGGAAGTACCTGGAGATGTGGTTTTGCTAAACAGCAGAGTAAAGACCTCTGATGGAATCAAATGCAAAAACTACTGCTTCATAGAGACAAGCAACCTAGATGGAGAAACAAATCTGAAGAAGAAGACGGCACAGCATCATATTCCGTGTGAGGAAGGAAGGACTGTGCTTGAGTGTGGAGAAGGAAAACTGGACATATGCAGTTGTGACAAATATTACATGGACAGTATATCCGAGTTCTATGTCGAGGATACGGGGGATTTACTTAACAAGTTTGAGTGCCAAGTGACCATTGGCGGGGAAAACACTCTATGCAACGAAAAGAATGTTCTTTTGAGAGGATCAAGAGTTAGGAACACAGAACGTGTTCTTGGTATTGTAGTGTCTGTAGGGAAGCAGACGAAGCTGGGGAAAAGCCACTTCAAGGTAAAGATGAAAATATCTCTTTTTGAAAAAAGAATAGGAGACTTTATATTTGGAATATTCATGATATACCTGGGGATTCTGGCAGTGACCTCTATTCTTGGCGCTAGATTTCTTAGGAAGGATGACATCGAATATTTGTACTTGCATGAGTATCTTACCAACGACTCCCTGAAGCAAACAGGAACCAACTATATTCTGTTCAGCTACTTGATTCCTCTGTCTCTGTTTGTAACTCTTGAGGTATCCCGAATGTTCCATTCGATGTTTATATCTTATGATGACGAAATGGTTGGGAATGGAATGAAGTCCATGTGCAGAAACTCCAACATTACAGAGGACATAGGGATGATTGAATATATCTTAACGGATAAGACCGGAACTCTCACAAAGAACTCCATGGTCTTCAAGTATTGCCACGTGTACAACTCTGAGGATCTTATTTCTCGAGAAGATTTAAAGGAGGAAAGCCTCCATGTGGAACTTGTAAACGACCTGAGTTTGGAAGCTAAGAAGAGCCGGTCGAGAATGATGTTCATACTTGCGCTCTTGTGCTGCAATTCGATAGAGCCTCTCAACAACAATTTCGAAGGGATCTCGCAGGACGAGCTGTGTATTATTCAGGAATTAAAGAACCAGGGCTATGTGCTAGTGAAGAGAGACGAAGACTATGTTCTAGTGGAGATAAACGGAAAAAGAACCAGGTTCAACATAGTGATTTCCCTGGACTTTACTTCTGCAAGGCAAAGGATGTCTGTGGTGATGGAGGTGTTGGGAAGGTACATTCTGTTCTGCAAGGGCTCTGACCAGAAACTTCTCGGAGACAAGAGAATGGTTTTTGAGCAAGGAGACATGGGAACGATCAAGGCACTTATAAACAACAACTCGGAATACAGGTCCCTTGTTGTCGGATACAAAGAACTGGACAAAAAAGTAACGGATGAGCTGAAAAGGAAGTATGCTGGGGTTTCCTTGAGAGACAAGTTCCTGGAGCAGGAAAGAATCTTCGACTCGGTGGAGGAGGAGATGGTTTACTTAGGAACAACGTTTATCGAAGATGAGCTTCAGGAAGACGTAAGAAGTACTATAACTTCCCTCCGGGATGCAGGGATCAAGATATGGATGATCACAGGCGACAAGAAAGAGACTGCAATCAGCTGCTCAGAAGACTGTGGAATTGTTCAGAAGAACCATGAGGTGCAATCTCTTGCCATAGATGGTAAGGAGTTTCTGAAGAGGCTCTCAGACCCAGGGATCTTCGATTACAAGTCAATTGTGATATATCGGGCAACACCCTATCATAAGGGAAAGATAGCCGAAAAGATAGTCGAGCTTGGGAAGAACACACTTTCGATTGGTGACGGAAACAATGATGTCCCCATGCTTACAAGCTCTCATGTTGGTGTAGGGATCATGGGCAAGGAGGGCACACAGGCAAGCTTGTCGGCAGACTTTGCCATCCCAGAGTTTAGGTTTCTAAAGAGGCTCATACTTGTCTACGGGCGCTACAACCTCATAAGATTCTCCAAGATAACTCTGAATGCATTCTTCAAGAACATATTCTTCATCTCGATACAGTTTCTGTACAATTTCTTCAACGGATACTCGGGAAAACCCATATACAACAACTTCTTTCTGAACTATTACAATGTACTCTTTACATCCTTTGTCCCGCTGTCCATAGGACTCTTCGACAAGGACAAGCCAGAAAACTACCTAATGTCACATCCCGAGGATTACAAAAATGCAAGAAGGCTCTTTGGAAGACCTTCATTTGTGTTTGGATTTATCTACACGATCCTTCTTGGGATTGTAGTGTTTTTGCTTTCGGTCGGCACTGTCTATGTGAAGGACATGGTAAACAAGGAAGGGCTTGTCGGGGGATATATCCTCCTCACGAACTATTTTTCCATTGTTGTCTTTCTGGTTGTACTGTCCACACAGATCCGGGAGATCTCCTTCTTTGTTGTATATTCATGGATAGCAATTGCTCTTAGTGTCATTCTTAACTTTGTAACTCTTTTTTTCATTCAGGAGTTGGATGCCACTGCAAACAATGCAGCCTTTAACCTGTTTTCTCTCCCTGTCTTCTACTTGACTATCCTCTTTGTACTCTCAGGAGTACTGCTTGTCGACTTTGTTATTATGAAGATGCTTTCTGCAGTAAAGAAGAATCGGGGATGGCCTTGAGAGGTCCTATCTACTGGTGTGTATCCTGGAGTTTGGTAGTTAAGGAAATTTTTGTATCCCCCTGGATGAAAGAAAGCGATAGACAAATATTTTTTGATGTCAATGCTATCCACAGCTCCACGGAAACAACAGAAGAGGACGAGATATCCGATATGTTTGATGAAAGGATGTTTAATGACTCCCTTGGAGGAGGAGATTTCATTAAGCTTGAAGAGGAATTAAAAAAGGTAAGGAGCATCAAGAAACAATAGGCATATTTGCATTCATACTATTCCTAAATTGTGAATAAAGGCTTAAATGCTCTCGATATTCCTTCTTCATGTCTAGCAACATTTTCTGAACAATGCAGCCACCCCATGGCCTCCACCCACACAAAGAGCTGCAACTCCATATTTGCCTGGTTGTTCTTTCTCCATGGTGTTTAGTAACGTGCAAACAATCCTTGCTCCAGAGGCTCCTATTGGATGCCCAAGGGCTATGGCTCCTCCGCACTTGTTAACCCTTTCTCTTGCAATCCCTAGTTCCTTCAGACAGCAAAGAACTTGAGATGCAAATGCCTCATTTATTTCAAAGCACGAAATCTGCTCTTTCTCGAGACCGTTCTTTTTCAGTAGTTTCTCGATCGCGAAAACAGGTCCCAAGCCCATATCTCTGGGCTTAAGCCCGACTGTTGCAAAATCGACAAACTCTGCAATGGCTGGAAGACCCAGGTCACTGGCTTTTGCTCTTGTCATCAAAAGAACTGCAGAAGCTCCATCAGATAGCTGTGAAGAATTTGCCGGCGTGCAAATCCCGTCTTGGCGGAACACAGGTTTTAGATTTCCGATGACTTCCAAAAGCGTTTCCCTTATGCCTTCATCATGCTCGACAGTTTCCCCTTCAATCTCCATAGGAATGATTTCCCTGAGGAATATGCCCTTCTTTGTGGCCTCGGCAGCCCTATTCTGGCTTTCTACTGCATATTTGTCTGCCTCCTCGCGTGTTATTCCATATGTTTTACCTAGCATCTCAGACACTTCTCCCAATCCCAACAGACAATCCTCGGCATCTGTATTTTCTTCCTTTCTACTAAGATTGTATTCTTTAGGAAGTCCATAAGACGTCATGGATTCAAATCCCCCTGCTAGTCCAACCTCTATCTTCCCCAGCTTGATCTTCTCTGCAATAAGCCCAATAGACTCGAGTCCCGAACCGCATATTCTGTTTATGGTCATAACCGGTGTTGAGGCCGGTATTCCTGCTCTTAAGACTCCCATTCTTGCAGCAATACTCCCTTCCATCGAGGAAAGACAATGCCCAAGAACGACCTCTTCAATGGCCTGAGGATCAATCCCTGTCTTTTTGATGACTCCATGGACGGCTGCACCTATCAACTCATCATTCTTGAGATTCTTGAACTTGCCCCTTCCTGCCTTTGCAATGGGTGTTCGAAGTGCACAAACAACAACAACATCTTCCATAAGTATCATTCCTCAGGGCTTTTCAACATGTCCTTTATCAAAAAGCCTCTTGTCTAGGTTGTAAGGAGAGAGGAATTGTTTACCAGGTATAAATACACAGATCAAAACAAACAACATGGCCAAGCCATTGCAAACCAAGATCAAGAGCTCTCGCTCAAACCAACTAGCCCAGGGTGTACTTATAGTGATTCTGTCGATTCTTCTGTTCAATAAGAAAGCATCTATAACAAGAGATGAGACCGAGTTTATAAGAAGTCTTAAATCTTATGAACAAGGGAGATTCTGTCTCTACAAGCATCTTCCATTGCCAGGCATACTCTGCCATGGCCTGAAGAAGACCTTCTCGTATATGAATGTTCCTTTGCTATCCTTGGTATTGGAAAGCCCTAGACTGGTCAGCCTTGGACTCTTTGTTGTGACCATGCTGCAGATCTCCTGGCTATCCCAAGAAACATACAATCTGGAAGCTTCATGGATGGTTTTGGTGGTCTATATGGTCAGGTTGTTGGTCAACACTCAAACCATATTCTCCACAAACGAGATGTTTTCTATATGTTTTCTTGCAGGAGGGATTGTTCAGATAAAAAAGAAACGCTCCTTTACCTCTGGGATTCTGATTGGGCTTTCGGTGGCGTCTAGCTGGGCATCTCTGTGTATTTTGCCTCCTCTTGCAATATTTTACGGCATTGAACTGTTCTCATTTGCAGCGAACCCTGTAAATCGGTTAAGCAAGGCTTTTCAGAAACTTTTCAAAGGAATTATTGCATTTGCAGTCATCCCAGCTTCTATATATTTCCTGTCGTTTCTTGTGCACTATTCTATCCAGAACCAACATGCAAGAGATGCCGAAAAGTTTTCTGTCGAATTCCAAGCAACACTGAAAGGAAGCATGCACGAGCCCACAGACAAGTATCTCATGGACAGAAGCATAGTTACTATCCTAAACCAAAAACACAACGTGTATTTAAATATGAAGGAAGGCATTCCCTCATGCTCTGGACAGAAGGCGGAAGACTCCATGTGGATGATCATTAAGGTTCATTCCAACCACTCGGGGGGAGAAGTTGAGGAGGAGGGTAGATACATTAATCATGGAGATCTTGTGAAGATGGTGGAGTTTGGAAGTAATATGTGTCTGAGGGTTGTGAATGAAGACACAGAAGACAAGTTTAGAAAAGTTCTTGGATTTGTCCAGGAGGACAACGAAGCAAATGAAGAAGATATATGGCAGATAATCGGAGATGGACCAGTTGTCAGCAGGAACTCGTTGGTAAGATTCAGGCACTACAAAACAGCAATGGATCTGTGTATCAGGAGCCTCCGGAGATCCGAGGAAAGCGAAGATGGAGAAAACACTATTGAAAAAGGTGTGAGTGGGTCGTTGTACAGCGATAACAAGTCTAGACTGTTCTACATCAGTGATAACAGAAACCATGACTTCTTCAAGAAGAACTTTGAGGATGGAAGGCCTAAAGAAGAAGTCCTTAACTTTCCCCAAAAGGGCTTTATGTCAAAGATGTTTGAGCATCATAGGAAACTCATAAAAACGTCCTCTGGGTGGAAATGGGGTTCACCAGGTTACTCCATGCTACATCTTCAAAGTGGGGAGAGGTATTTGATGAAACACGACATAGTTTTCAATATCTTTACAGTTGTATCTTCATTTTTATTTCCTGTAGTACTTCTGGCCAACCACATTTCTTGGAAGAAGTACGATAAAGGTTTTAGAGCGAGAAAAGACGATTCTTTTGTATGTGTGATGTACTTCTGTGCAGTTCTTATGGGAAGCATCCTCGGTTTTGGCCTAGCACCCTTGGAAATGTTAAGCACCTGGATGATGCTGAACCTTGTGTTCCTTCTTGGGATGAAGCCAGCCTTGATTTTCTTTTCTGTCCTCCTCTCTACTTCGATGAGAATCTTGAGATAAAAACTGAGATTAAAAGTATGATTGACTATATACTTTACAGGTTTTATTTATGAATACAAAATAGATGTTTCTTGGCGTTCCAGGAGTAGTCGGGTATCAAACAATTCTCTAAGATGCAGATATTTCTATTGGAATGGTTTAGCATCTCAAAGGTCTTCTCCACGACATCTCCGTAGATTTCAAGAAATTCGTTGTGCCGCACCATAATGTGTCCCTTGCTCACAGCTATCCGAATCCCTATGGGAAGGAGATCTGTCTTCCTGTCCCCAGACTCTTCATAATAAAGATTTTTTAAATTAGAAGAAATGCACTTGATCTCTCTATAAAACTCTATAGAGAAATCAAGTGCATTTGGAATATCTGTAAACACAAACAAGAAGGAGTCTCCTTCATTTCGCACCTCTAGGCCTCCATGCTCCTTACATAATCTCCTTGCAATTTCGTCGTGAAAGACAATTGTTCTATTCATTGCATCAGGGAAACAGTTCCAAAGGTTCGAACTGTCAACAATGTCCGTTATAACCAGGATAAGGTTTCCTTGAAGAAACCTCCTGGGGATTCTTCGAGAAATGTATTTTCTGTAACAAAGCTTCCCTCCCTTCTTTCCCTGGGGAACCTCCATCTTTTTAATCTTTAAAGGCTCTTTCCCTTGGCTCCGAGAAATAAGCATGCATTTCACTCCGTCGATTATCCCGACCTTGAAGCCACAGAACACCGACCCGAGTATCCATACCGGATTAATTGCCACCCATATCGCACATGCAATCATCTGTGTATGCATCCTAAAACTATATGCCACTAGCTGAAGAATAAGCGTCATGTTGTTCTTCAACATGGGGGCTTTTTAAATCCGTTTACTTTTATGTCCTACCGTTTTGACAGATAATTTTGGCACAATTGCAATTTTGAGAAATTAAAATTTAATCCTCTTTCAATTATACTTCACATTTTTCCATAGGATACACTCCCTGGATAGATTGAATTCTATTCTTCGGCCAATTTCCATAATTGGAAATATAAATAACAATATTTACAAATAAGGAATAAAAAGTAGGTAGCGGTAATAACGAAAGATGTGATGGAAAATCTTCACTCTACCATTTTCCAACCAAACTCAACCTCCATGCCCTTTTCCCAGTTATATTCCTTTACAACTCCCACAGTAAAGCCGATGGTTAACCTTGTCCCTTCTCCCATTACACTGCATATCTCTTCCCTAAGGCAATTGCTGTAGACAGCCTTGAGATCCTTCCCCAGAAATATAACGTTGTTCTTACTGTCGCCAACAATAATCAAGTCGTTCCATATAGTAGAGGCCTTGATATTGTACGGGAGCTCGGTGAACGAGGCTTCTCTGGTCTTGGGATCAAACACAAGAACCTTTCTGTCAAACAACGATATCACCAATGTTTCTCTAAGAGCACCCATCGATACTATAGGCTCCTTTAGAAATACCAAGCATGGATACTCATCCATCCAAACTTCTCTCTTCCTCCTAAATATAATGTCTTCTATCTCTACCTTCTCTATACAAAATACCTTTCCATTTTCAAACGAGAGAAATAGTCTGTCCTCACTAACCATTCCATATGTGCATATCCCATTGGTTGATTCCATCTTCGTCTTCTTAACCTCAACATCCTCATCTTCAATGCTAATTACCATAATCTCTTTACTGCCCACAATCAGGAGCCAATTCTTGTATACAACAGAGACATCTAATGGTCCTTTTGGCGTAATGTCCTTGATCTCGTACCCAGAAAGGAACTCGACTCTGATCTTGGACAACAGTACCCATCCATCACTGAAATACTTGATATCAACTATCTCCTTGTTCAGAGCCACTTCCTTAAGAATCTTTCTTCTTGGCCTGTTCCATACAACCAACTTGCTTGATGTTGCAACAAGAAGAATGTCCCCTTCAGAGCCAAGAGCGAGAATCTTATCTCCGTGTCTGTATGTAAACGAACCACATCTCTTGTCCATCCAGTGGGAGACTTGGGAGAGAAATATATCAATGCAGTTTATTTGAGCTCCTCAGAAGTTTTTGAGGAAGTATCTAAATCCTGTCTTCAGCAGCAGAACATAAAGCAGTTCTTCGGGATCGCAGTCTTCATTAACCTTGACCATCAGGACAGAGTGTCTGGAAGAATAGAAGAAGTATCCCTTACTCCGAAGACTTGGTGTCAAGAGCTCCTCAATAAGTGGAGTTCCAAAGAGAAACGGGGGATCCGTCTTGTCCTCAACCTCCTCAAAGCCTGTTCTGGAGTAAAGGCTAAGGATAAAGTCGTAGTCTCGGAAGGTGGGCTGCAGTAACTTATGTGTTTGGAGCCTCATGTTTTCATCGAATAGGGGAATCTTCAGCCCTAGCACAGTTTTCTTGAGCCCGTTCAGCCTTTGCACAATCTTCAGAGGTGGGGTTTTTATAACTACTATGTCATGCTGGTACACCACCTCAAACCTCTTGTTCTTGTTCTCCGTAACTTTCAGCGTCTCAAGGTTGAACGAATACCCCTCAAGTCTGATTCGATGTCCCAAAAACTCTTGGAAAAATCTTCCAAACGATCTTATTTCTCTCCCAATCATCAGACATATCAGCTCCACAAGTCTGTCGTCAAAGTACACAGGAAAATATCCATGGCTGTCTAGAAAAATCTTGGTAATCATCGTATTTTTCTTAACCACATCAGACTGCTCGCTCATAATTTCAGATATCCGCTCGTTAATTCTAAATTCCGCCTTTCGGTCTCCTTTTATCATAATCTTAAATTTGAAGTACGATCCTCGGTACTTCAAGAGAACATGGCTATACCCAATCGCACATCGGTACTTGCTCTTCTTATAGATCAAGCAATAGAGAGCTGTCTTTGCACAGTTAAGTGCATCCTGATCCTGCGGCCAGTTTGCATACGATCCGCAATGTAAATAGCACTCGTGGATGTTTGTAACCGAGGTGCTCATATGCATTGTACCACTGTCGATAATTTCCACGGGAAGTCTTATCTTCTTGATGTGCTCAAGAATCTCAACATATTTTGAATACTCGTCTCCCATCAGCTTGATCCCAAACACTATCTCATTCCACACAAAGTCATCCGCCTTGAATCCCTTCAGTCCATTCACTAGCAGGAAGTAAGGAATAGTGCTCTCGGGCCCGTTATAATTCGGTACAGGACTGTATCCTCTGTTGCTGAGCTTGATCCCAATAAAATGCTTGCCTTCAGAGGTATTAACATAGACATATCTCATCCGATCTCCATAGATCCGAATCACATCCTCCTTAAGCTTCTCGCTGCTGTATAGGGATTCCTTGTCCCTGAGGACTGCTTCAATGTCAAATAGATATTCCCCGTTGAGAATCGACCTGTACACCTCATCCTTCTTCCCTAGATGCATCAAAAGTACACTGTATACAGAACTTGGAGGCATGAACTCGTTTATCTTGTTCGACAATGTAAGCTCCTCAATCACCGAGTCCACATCTATTTTTATCTTATACTTTTCCAGTCTATCCTCTATGTACCTCTTGGCATTTTCCATAACAGAATGGGTTGGGATCCAGGAAATCTAAATTGAAGAAGAAAGTTCTCTTCCTCTTTCACAAGAAACAGAAATAACCTTTAATCATAAAAATCAGAGATGACATTGTCGATCTTGAGAACCATTGTAACAAGCTGTGTTGCCATCTGGAACTGCCGAATCTTGCTGCTGAGAGCATCAAAAACCCCCAACTTCTTCATGTCCTGCTCCCCAACGTCCAGGCAATCAACTCCAAGCCTGAAGTTCTTACTTTCCATTTGCAATTTCCGAAGGTCCGACGAATACTCAATCGGGTTGTAACCACTGTTTCTTGCCAAACAGAGCGGAATCTCCTCAAGAGCCCTTCCAAACCCAAGGATCGCTTCTTGCTCCTCTCCAGAATACTTCCCTGCTTCCTCTTCCAAGGAAAGAGAGCACGACATCTCAGAAGATCCTCCTCCGTAAACTATTCTGTTGTTGGTAAGGATGTTCCGAACGGCACAAAGAGCATCTCGGATAGATCTTTTGGCTTCCTCAATAACTAGATCATTTGCTCCTCGAACAAGAATAGTAACGGCCCTGCTACGCTCCGGGTTCTCAACTACAATAATCTTGTCGTTTTCCGTTCCAAGACTCTCCTCACGGATACTTGCCTTTCCAAGATCAGATTCGTCGAGATCTTCAAATCGGGCTATTATCGATCCTCCTGTATGGACAGCCAGAAGCTCAAGCTCGTGTCCTCCAACCCACCTCACCGCTGGAAGATCATTCTCCATAAGAAGAGAGTTTGCTTCGTCATCAAACCCCCATTGGCACATAACAATGTTGGCTCCGCTTTTCCTGACACTTTCTATCATCTCTGTAAACTTCCTTCTTTCATATTCCTCTAGCTCCTTGTACTCCTTAGCATTCCCAATAATAAGACTATGCTTGGTCTTCAGCTTCGGAGGTTCAAAGGGACAGCTGAGAAGTGCTATCCGTCCGTCCTCAATCTTCTTCTTCATCTGAGGATGGCTGATCTCCTTGTTAAGAACAACCCCCTTCACAAGCGTGGTGTCAGATATATCCCGTCCAACCTTACCTTCAATGTTGATTAACTCAAAGTCAAGGTCCTTTCTCTCTGTATCCGCAACCATCAAAACTGCAGATGTACATATCTCTGCAAACTTCTCAAGAGACTTGCTCACTATCTTACTCCCTAGGCTTGTCTTTGCTGCTTTCATCATCGTCTCTCTTAGATCGCATATCTCTTCGGAAATCTCATTTAGATGCTTAACAGCACACTCTAGAGCTAGCTCAAAACCCTCAGATATCTTAACCGGATGTATCCCTTGTCCAAGTAGTATCTGGGCCTGTCCAAGGAGAGCAGAAGCAAGTACAACTACCCCTGTGGTCCCATCTCCTATCTCCTCATCCTGAGATTCACTTAACTGCACTATAAGCCTTGATATCGGATTCTCTGTCATCTCCATCTCTTTAAGTATGGTTGCTCCATCATTGGTCACAACTATATCGTCGTCCTTGCTCTGCAGTATCTTATCCATTCCAGTCGGCCCCAAAGAAGTTGAGAGAAAAGCTGCTATCGACCTAACAACTCCAATGTTTGCAATAATACATTGATGTCCCTTGGTCCTGCACATCTTGTCCTCTTCAGTTATCTGAAACGTCTGCCCTAGTTCGTCAGTTAGAAGATCCGGCATCCACTGGGGTAATTTTTTCCAGGACTCTTTTCCACCAAAACTTTAGTCCCGCTTGTTCAACACCATTTCATAAAACTTATTACATTTATATTCCTTGTTAATCTCAAATCCATTTCTTCTGTAGAATTCCAGGCCTCTTGTGTTTTCTCTGTACACATACAAAACCACTCTCCCCACAATCTCGTTGTACTGCACCTTGCACTCATTCAGCAGCAAGGTTCCAATTCCCTGCGACCTATAGTTCTCCTCAACATGGAGCTCAAACACATACGCAGTATCTTTGGAAAATCGGAACGTAATAAATCCAGCAGGCTCCTTTCCAACATAACAGAAGATGTAATTATTACTTCTATTTGTCAGAGACTTATACTTTGAAAATCGAAGCAAAGGACTTTTGCAATATTGGCGTATATTTGAGACTGCCAGATCTAAAGCCCACTCAATCATATTCTTACTAGGTTTTTCCACCTTCAGGACTCTCCTCTCCATTGGAAATATTTTTCTAAGGCTTCTTCCCAGCCCAGCCATGGAAAGCAAAAGAAAAAACACCACGAAGGAGCTTCTTAGAAAAATAGAATCACAGATAGACAAAGTGGCCTTTCTTCATTCTAATCCTACTCAAGCCAGAGAAATCGGAAAGGCTCTCCCCCCTCTACACCATCCCCAGGAAATTCTTGGAAGGTGTATTGCGAGGATGGACCGGCTGAACTCAATGATGAATCCAATGAAGTGCTTCACAACATCTATTCCTTCAATAGAGAAACAGGTGGAGTACTTGTACCAAAGAAAAAAAGAATTTGACGAGGACAAGTGTTATTCTCTTCTTACAAAAAATAGAGTCGATGGAATCCTTTCCAACAGAAAAGCAACAATCAGGACAAAAGGAAGAACTCTAAGCTACGAGTTTAAGGAAAAGCTCACAGGATTCTTGTCAAAGAGAGGTAATGCTTCATGGAGCAATGAGAAAATAGATGACTTCATTAACTCGATGATGAAGTAACTCATATAAACCATCCTAAGCCTGTTTATTTATCTTTTCTGGACTTTGTTCTACCAATGTACTTGGTTCTACACTGGATGGGGTTTCGAGTCATTACATGTGTGCTCACGTTTCGCCAATCTCCCTCTCCATATATGTTCACACCTTCCATTAGTCTTTCATTTTCATCCTCTGTCCATTTGCCTTTGCGAAAATTTTTGTTGAGGAAATAAAATCTCATGGCACATTCCTTCCCAGTCTTTGTCTTAACTATCTTCGATACATATCTCCATTTCGAAAGCCCGTACTTCTCCACTCCCTGCTCCAAAAGCTTGTCTTCCTCCACACTCCACATCTTCGGTACAGATATGGTATTTGACCGAAGATGCTCTGTAAACACTTTAAAGGGTCTACATCCAACTTCCTTGGATATTTCAATCCAGTCTCTGCCCTCCTCGCTCATTTCCTTGACTCTGGCCATGTCGCTCTTACTCAGTTTCTTGTCGAGGCTCTCCTCCTTGTTGATCCATTTGTTAAAGCATTCATTTCTTGAAATGCTGAACTTTTCAGACATCTCCTTCCAGAAAGAGTCCTTGAGATCAAATCTCATGCAGTTCTTTGTTTTCTTGTGGAACTCCTTGTCCCGTTGAATGTCCGCTTCAACAGATATGGATACTTTTCCCTTCGGCTTAAGCCTGGCTATTGTGTTATTATAAGAGCATTGTCTTTTTATGTCTCGAAGCCTCTTCAAAATTTTCTCTATCTCTATGTAATCCATGTAAAGTCTCTCCAACCTTTTGTTCAGAGACCCCTTCTCTACCATTGGGCTGTCTTGTCCATCCAATTTTCACTTCAGCTGTCTGCTTATGTTCGTAAGCCCACATCCAGGCCCAAACACAGTATGTCCTTGTGCAGTGTTCCGAACCTCGTACTCAAACCCAAAAAACCGCTTCAGCATTTCCAGGATCTTTTCCACATCCAAGTCAACCTTTCCAACCCACAGACCTCCTACACTTGGAGGTGCCAAGGACATTAAGGAAAGTGCAAGATAAAGAAGCTTCTTGTCAAACATCCCTCCATATTTGATGCTCTTTAAAAGATCTTTGCAGGCTCTTGTTGCTGTTTCTCTCGGTGTTAGACCTTCCCCGTTCATTACAGAATAATAAATCCCGTTCTTCGATTCCGCAAAAACTGCACACTGGAATCCAGGAGACGGCCCCGAATCTAGTCTATTCGACATGTTGGAGAACACCTTTGTGTTTGAAACATCCTCCATAAGTTCCTTAATTCGCTCGGTCATCTCCTTGACAGGTATGGAACTCACTCTGCTGCTCAGAACTAACCCTCGGATCTTGAGAATCTTCTCTGGATTCTCCAATGAAATGGTAGTTATCTTCCCAGGCATGTCTACTGTGAATATAACCTCTCCTTTCCCTTCAGGCCCAAAGCCCCTCTTCTTGACTACAATCTCGCATCCCTTGATCCCAAATCTCTTCAGCACTCCAAAATGTGCAATTCTAATAAGATCGACACACAGCTTGTCGTTTGTTACTCCTTTAAACCTTATCTTCAAGGGCTCCGTTATAAAGGGACACAGAATAAGAAGGGGCTCTATATACATCGAGATCTCATCTTCACATCTTGCAACAACATCTCCTCCTTTCAGCGACCCAGGAGTAAAAACCATCTGGCCCTCCTCCCAAGAACAAGTAGATCCATGGGATATGCTCCGTAGAAGTTTGATAAACGATCTTGCCATCTTAAGTCTCTTTTCTACTGCCACCCTGACTTTGTTCTTGGACAAAAGACTAAAGACAAGAATAAGCTCCAGATTCTCTTCGCAGTCAAAGACCATCTCTTCTATGCAATTCATCCAGAGGGTTAGGGGCAGTGCAAAAAAGAATCCCTCGAGAAAGGGCTTCCCAGAAACTGCTCTGTGATCTCTTCCAGGAATCTTTTTCTATCTTTAGATCTGAAATACCCAGACCCAACCACTGCATAATCCACTCCCCTAATCTCCTTGATATTTTCAATTCCTATTCCTCCATCAATTCCAACTATCTTTCCACTCCTCTGGATCTCCTCCACTTTTGCCAAGCATTCTCTTTGGAATCTTTGCCCTCCAAACCCTGGACTAACACTCATTACGAGAACGAAGTCTATGCCTTCCATCCCCACCTCTTCCACTCGAGTCTCAGGATTGATGGCAATCCCAAACAACACATCTCTTTGCTTTAGATATTCCCTAACTCCTCTTTTGTTAGATATCTCATGATGGATTGTCACCAGAGTCACTTTCCTCAGATCTATCCTCATAATAACATCCAGAGGCGACTCCACCATCATATGTATATCAAACACAAAGTCATGCTCAAGGATCCTGTTGATTATACATGGCCCGAACGTGATGTTCTTGACAAAGGTCGTGTCCATGACATCCAAGTGAACATTGGTCACTCCATTCCTCTTTAAGTCTTGAAGCTCCTCTTCAAGTCTCAAGAAGTCGCAATCTAGTATGCTTATTCCTATCTTTCTCTTTAACATTCAGGATGGGTCCAAAAGCGTCTATCCAATATCATTTATTTATCTTCTTAGAACGTCAGGTCACTATCTTCACATGGAATAGGCTCTGAAAGGAACTTGTAAACCCAAATCCTCCTTATCTTCATCTCATGTAGGTCCTGTGTCAGGCTATTACAACAGCAGAGGCTTTTAATCGCACTTGTTTCAAAACTCTCTCTATATTGAAGCTTGTCTTGCACATACCTTCGGATTCCATATACACTGAACGGAACAAGAAAGAACCCAAATGCAGAAAACCTTTTGTTCCTGAATATCCTTGCATAGACTATCGAAGATAGATAGCATGGACATAAAGTAGATGCCAGGCAAAATCTGGGCGAAAGTATAGGACACACGAATGGAAGATCATAATCCATTACCAAACCTTGAAAGGAAAAATATATCCTCTCTTCTCCTATTCAAATAGGAGATTGCCCAATAGGATCATCGGCCTCATTAAGGAGGACGATAAGGAGATGCCATGGCAAGTCATGCCATCCAGAATCTTCCATACACTGCTTTCCCACACACATTACATTCATCCCCATCCTGATACTTCTTTATTGCACACAAAGAGCAAAAGCTATGCCCGCATTCTGTGAGGACTCTTTCCTCAAATGTCTTCTTGCATATTCCGCACAAAAGATCATCATCTGAAATCATCCCCATCTCTGAAAATCCTATTGATCTTTCATGCAAATATTTGCAGGAATCTCCATATCCGCAGTATCCCGTTTCTCTAAATGGCTTGCAGATGATTTTGTGTGTCTCTACCATTTCATTATCTTTGGCCATAAGCCCCAAGGATAGTCTTGATGGGTCTTATATTTTTCCCAAAGCAATCTCAACATTCAATCAAATTCGTCAGACAACGGGGCTTCTCTGGGAGGCTTTGTCCACCATCCATAAAAAGATTTCGAGGCTTTGGAAAGACTCCCAAGTGCTTGAGGAACATACTCTTGAACCTTATTCTTAATGGTACTTCCAAGTTCTTGAGGAACATACTCTTGGATCTTTTCCCTAACGATGTTTTTAAAATTGGGAATATACTCCTGCAATATCTTCTTTACAATAGATGGAATTATCTTCTTTGCATATTCTAGAACAAGGATCTTGGCCTCTTCCTCCGATAGGGAGGAGCCCTTCTTTTTTGAGCTGTGCTCCTCATTTTCGATTGCAATGATCCATTCAAAAAAGAGAACAATGCATCTCTTTGCTATTGGATATAAAAAGGGAAAAGATACCACGATCAAAAACAAAAAAGTTATTGGTAGTGAAAACTTTTCAAATCTAAACGGAACTCTCTCCATTCTCTCTTCAACCTTTCTCTTGATAGTCGACTCCATTGCCATCAGAACAACACCCACCAGATAGGAAATCTCTGAGGGAATTCCTTCTCTTCCGTGATTCAGAAAATCAACTGCCAGTGCTGTTCCAATGATCAGAATAGTCAAAGATGAAAATATAGTCTTACTGGCAGAATAAGGAGTAGTGGAATTCAATGTCTCACAAGCATTTGGCAGTAGATATCCCATCGACACAAAAATGGCACACTTGTGGATTCCAGCCTTTCCAGTTTTGAATGCAACAATTGCCCTGAGAAAGTATATTGTTAGAACAGCTATGCAGAATAGCTTCATCATAGTTTTGATATTTATATCATTCAAAGCAGACTTCCCGTCGCTTCTGTTGATGGAAATCAATCGCAATAAGAGTCTTACTTGGTAAAGGAAATTCACAAGCATAAGAATCCTAATTATCCAGCTAGCCAACACCCAGTTTACATTTGCGTATTGTATTCCAACTATAAAGTACAAGGTAAATAGTGTCAAAACCTCACTGCTAAACGGTTTTATGTTTATGGAAGCGATCTTCTCCATTCCCTACTTCTGAGAGAAAACCAAGATAAATTAATTACAACTGTGAACCAATAAAAACACTCTTTCTCTCCTTATTAATCAAATTCAAAAAGAAAATCCATGTTATTCAGGATCGCAGGGCTAAGTAAAGATGTTTATTCAAGACGAGACTGCTCTGTTCGACAAGTTAAGTGCCTCTGCCTGCTCGGCAAGCTCTCGGGCTCTTTGCTCATCGGCCTTTCTCTTGATTATGCTATCTTTCATGTGGAATCTGTGCTTGAAAAGATGGCCCTTTGCCTGCTTGTAAAACACTCGGAAGTCTTCCTTGGTGATCTCTCCATTGGCCCTCATCTCCTTCAGCATCTTCCTCATTGCACGAATCTTCTTCATCCATAGCTCCTTCCTTGGCATTCTTGCATTGGCCGTACCAAAGCGCTTTCCAGGCCCCATGTGCCTCCCCTTCTTCTTGGCTGCCAGGCGCTTTCGGAGTCGTCCTCTGCTGGTGTGCTTGTCCTGCTTCATAATAATCACATTGTCTTGTATCAGCTGCCTAATCTGATCCCGAGTGGTTGCTCCGTTGAGCCTCTCAATTTCGTTGTTATCCAACCAAAGCTTCTTCTTCCCACATCCTAGGATGTCTGCTGCCAAACGCCTGACTCTCTCCTCGTTCGACCTTCAAATTAGAAATGATCCATCACTTACATTTTTAGGGTGCAAATTTTTCCGGGCTTTTGCCTAAAGGCCTGATCAAACAACTCTCCAAAAACAAGATTTATTCGTCCGAGTCTCTAGGCCTCGCATCCACACTGCCAAATCTCATCAACGGTCCTGCAATCAACAATAGTCTTTCCAAGTCTCTCGTTAACTATGTTGTGGACCTCGCACAGCCATGTCTTGAATTCCTTACCACTTCCAACTCTTGGAGGATGATCTTGAATCAGCTTTTGAAAGTGCTTAGTACACTCACCACAGGGAAACAGAGATGACAGGAGATGAATGAAGCTTAGGGTATCTTTCTTCTGCTGGAAGCTTGGCGACGCTGGATATCTCGACCCCATTGTGTGGAGTAGTGTCCATGTAGCCCTTCCCAGCCTTTCTCTTATCTCCTTCTTGTTCATCTTCCTCACCTGAAAGTCTTCAAGCCTAACTCCATTCCAGGAGGATAGGTTGGAAATCTTCTTTTCTCTATTTCCTGCTACAAACTCGTAGCATCTATATATAATCCATGCTGCAATCAGTACTGCTAAGATCTTTCCATACCCCTTCTCTCTCTTCATGTTTATACTCCACACTTCTTTATTTATAGACTTTCATGTTTCATCCTTATCACTCCTCATCAGTTTTCGTCCCTTGGATATTTACTTGACAGAGCTCTTGAAAGCCGGATATCCAGTCATACTCGCAAGGAATAAATATAGCTGGTTGGCAGACCCCAAGGATGAAAACACTTCCGAAGTTCAAGCCGTTTGTCCAGGCTTGTACAGACTGCGGAGAAACACAGAACATAGTCGAAGACTACAAAAACGGATACCATGTGTGTGGAAGATGTGGATGTATTGTGGGAAACAGAATCATAGACGAGGGAAGCGAGTGGAGATCATTTGGAGATAGCAATAAGGTAGATCCATGCCGAATCGGAAGTGCAAGTAACCCTTATCTCGAATCGGAACAGCTAGACACCATTATAAGCACAGGCGGAGGAATGAATTCCTATATGCTGTCGAAAATCCAGATGAAAAACAGCATGAGAGGTCCAGAAAGAGCTCTAAAGCATGGGATGAATCTTATCACTGCATTCTGTGAGAGGTCGAATCTTTCAAGGACCATCATCGACAGAGCACATTACATCTTCAAGAACATCGAGGAGAGAAAGCTTCTGAAGGGTAAAAACGTGGAAGGGATTGTTGCAGCCTGCATATACATAGCATGCAGGCAAGAGGAGTGTCCCAGAACATTCAAGGAGATAAGTGTGATGACTGCTGTACAGAAAAGAGAGATAGGAAGATGCTTCAAGTTGATATCTCCCCACTTGGAGAGGATGGCAACAATGTCTACAGAGAATATAATAGCAAGATTCTGCTCCGATCTTAATTTGAACATCAAGATCCAGAAGATTGCTACAGAAATAGCAAAGGCAGCACATGAGCTGGGATGTCTTGCAGGTAAAAGCCCTGATTCCATAGCAGCAGCAGTCATATACATGGTAACAAATCTATTTCCCGAGGAAAAGAGAATCCAGAAGGATATTCAGTTTGTAACCAATGTCACGGAAGTTACAATCAAGAATACATATAAAGAATTGCTGGCCTTCAAATATGACATAATCCCCGAAAACATGGTCTGCAAGGAAAACATAGACAAACTCCCTGGATATTGATGAGATGCTAAGGACTGTAATTTCTAGGGATAGAGATATGCATAAGAATTAAAAATTCCTTTATTTCTTTCTTGAAACACCCATGGACTTCCCACGTCTTCCATTTGACTTGGTCCTTTGTCCACGGACCTTGAGGCCAACATCGAGTCTGCATGCTCTGATGCGCTTGTTCTTCTTTCCTCTTTCAATCATCATTCTTAGATCTGCATCGAGTTTTGTACCTATGAGATGGGATGTTGTCCCGTCAACAGGATCCTTCTGATGGTTTAGATAAGATTCCGGAATTCCTAGGCTTGCAGGGTCGAGAATTGCATCTGAAATCCTCTTCATCTCCTCCTCAGACATTTCTCCGGCACGCCTCTTCAAATCAATCCCAAGGCGCTTGCATATGGCTGTCGAGATTCTTATTCCCACACCTCTGATCTTTGTAAGAGCAAAAGCAATTCTCTTTGTCCCGTCAATGTTGGTGTTGTGGATACGAACGATGTACTGGACGTCAGCCGGGTCGTAGACATAGTTCATTTAAGGGATTAAATTTTTCACGGTTCAAAATGAAGGCAGACTTTCAAGATGGAAAGACAACAGGACGTAGTAACAGATAAAACCAAAAGTATACTTTATTCCTCCAGAAGCATCTTTGTCAACTTCTTCATCCTCTTTCCTGCACGCTTGTGAGACCCCAATCTCTTTCGGAGAATCCTCTGTGCCTTGCTATTGTTCTTTGCCTCAATAAGCGAAATAACTTTCTTCTCAAGTGGAGAATAACCGCATAACTCCTCTGCAACTGAGGCTGCAAACATGCGTATCTTTCCAGACTCCTCGCTGGGCTTCTTGGCTTCTCTCTTCACATCGGGCCTCTTTACTGGATAACGTACTCGAACTTTCTTGAGAGCGTTCTTCATTGCAGGGCCGAGAAAAATTTTAATTCTACAAGGATGCAGTCCTTGCAAACCAATGCTTATTGAGAGGTTCAAAGAAATAAGAAACAAGATATATGAGGATATCCATGCAGCCTCTGAGACAGACATAAGATTTATGAGGGATGCTCTGGGTCTACAAGACATGGCATATGGAAGGATCAAGACGTATTCTGCCGAGGACAGCAAGGTTCTGGCGCTTTTTACATTGAAGTACAATGTTGCAGTTCTCTTGGAGTTTATTTCCCGAAACGGAGTCGAGCTTGGGAGCGATATATGTATGGCGCTTTGCAATGCATTGTTTGAGGAGATTCCTCAGGCATCTCCTGAATGTTCCCTGGAGATCGAGGATATAAAAGCACGAACGGACGAGGTGATTGTAGACATCCTGTGTAGCATTGGAGAGGGGATGCATGTTGAGAAGATCAAGTCATATTTGAGCTTGCAGGAGATTCCTGACGGGGTTAGCGTCAATCTTGCAGTGGTGTTTACAGCTCCATCCTGGAAGTCGTATGACCTCCGTGTGATTAATGAATTGGTTCTTGGGCCTGTTTTGGTGGAGCTGCTGAGAAGTTTTAAGGAATCTCTCCGGCCGCAAATAAAGGAAAGAATATTGGACTCTTGCAAGAAGAGACTTAGGAATGAAAGAGATCGGTCGATTATTTACCAAATATTCTACGAGCTTAACACAGGGAAGGACATTAAGATGTTTGAAATTGAAGAAGACGAGAAAGAGGAGGCATATGTTGGATTTATATACTCTCTAATGGTTGATGAAGAAAGTTGCTTAAAGGGATATGAGGTTTTGTCAAAGGCAGGTCTTTTTAACGACCTAAGAAAGGCTCTTGAAATGATAAATGTTCTAAGCCAGGCAGAATATAAAAGAATTAGGCCTGAAGATGAAAAGCTCATCTATCATCTTATGCAAGTGATTGAGAGGCTTGTATCTTCAGACTGGCATGGCCTTGGCTTTGTAAGGCTGTACTTCATGAGATTTGTCGAGCTGTTTCTTAACACTCTTGTAGGGCAAATTTCTCTAAGGATAAAAGGGCAGATATACGAGATCCTATCTTCATTCATGAGAGATGGAGACTGTAAGGAAACAATCTGCGAGTTTATGAGAGGAGTTGGGATATTCAACAAAGAGGCCATCCATGCTGATTTCGAGAAAGAACTTGAGAGTAAGAACTTCTCTATGGCTCCGAGTTTCCTCCGGTTTTGTACGTTTCTTGGAAATGAGGAATGTATCAGATTTGCCATGTACGCACTTAAAAGCGAGGATCCATCAACAGTCACCCGGTGCTTTGACGTCATCGAAAGGTTTGTGGACAAGAAAAACACAGAGGGGGGGAGTAGCAGTGAGTTTATTGTTTCTCAGCTCTCCTTGATGTCTCAACATATTCGAGTAGCAATGCTAAACAACTCACAAGTCACCAACAGGATTTTGGAATTCCAGCTGAGCACGGGCATTGTGATTGGAGATGTGTCGATAATCAATGTGATCATAAATACACCGAACCCAAGGTTCTTTGAGTATGTAAGGCTTTTTGAGGACTTCTCATTCTTCATGAATGAAAACTTCCTTGAAAGGCTTTCTGAAGATGAAGAAGAAGGCTTCAAATATCTCTGTGAGGTGACTGCTAACAACCATGAAGCATGCAAGTTTGTGATGAACAATGAAGATTGGTTCAATGCTTATGTCAAAAACAATCCTTGTGTTCAAGAAGCAGCCATTAGGATATACGAGAACCTGGTTGATTATGACATCGAGAATGTGGAAGTCAGCTTTGACAGAGGGTTTATCCTTCCAGACATACCACATCGGTCAGTATTCTCGATTCTTAGCAAGTTGATTCTTTATTCGGTTTATACAAGAAAGACTTCATACTCAAGATATATCACAGACAAAGACTACAGCTTGGATAGCTCAAATATCAATGAGTACTGTTTGTATATCAAATGCAGAATAGTTGTAGGAGACAATGTTGAGGATAGGATCAAATATCTTATGAAACAGTATACAGGAATAGAAGATCTACTCGGATATTATGAGGTTTCCACTGGGATATCACTGAACATCTCCTCCTCAAAGAACCTCTTGGTAAACATAGGAAAGAAGGATACAAGCATGTTTATCAACATGTTTAGCAATGCTAGTAACTTCGAGAAGTTTCTTTTATTCTTTTTCATTGGAGAAATTGATGCAGAGGAAGGCAAGGCAATTGAGAAAATAGTCAAAGAGGAAATCACAAGAATAATGGTATCCCAGTCCTCGAGCACATCGGAGAAAATGATTCTGAGGCAATGCTTGATAACACTCTTGTCTCTTAACAACATAGACTCGATTGTGAGGTTGATAGGCGAATATGACGACACCGATCTACTTCTAAAAGCCAACATAAGAAATCTTCTGTGCGGAGGGTCATACTTCAATAGCTCTTTGGTCATGAAAGGCCCATTGGAGCTGCAAGTCTATGCTGTTCTCCTCCTTTATTACAAATCAGTCTGGGACTTAGCTGCTCTGAAGGATTGGATCCTGTATCTTAGGAGAGAGTGTAAGGATAACGACGACCTGGAATATCTTATAAGCGATATCAAGAGCAAAAACATACGGATTGAGCTTGAGTAATAAAATATCTTAAAGCACGCGATTGCGCTTCCTGTGTAATCTACTTCTCATCAAAACTGAAACAAGAAAGAGGCCGAAGCTATTTATTCAAGAAGGGCTTGACTTCCGTGCAGGCCCGTGGGTCTGGCTCAAGGCTTGCTTGTATTCTCTTGCTTCTTGATCTCTCTCTGCTTCTGCCGCTCCCTTAAGAAGTTCCTCTTCTTTGTCTTTAAGATCTTGATCTTGCTAAGGAGGCTCTTTCTTTCCTCCTGCTTCTGCTGCTTTATTCTCAGCCTCTGCTTGAAGGAGAGGACTGTATTGGGATCTTTTTGTTTCTTCTCCTTCCATACCTTCAAGTAAGTTTTGCTCATTGCTGCGGTTCCTTGAAAAATATTTTTATCGTTAAGACATTCAAGCCAAAATAGTTGTGAGGGTGGAAAAGCCCTTAATTCGAAATGGACAACACCCTGTACACAGCCTTTATAGGAAAGGCTGTTAAGGTCAAGATTTGCGACGGCTCTGAGTTTAGAGGAACATCGGCAGCAATAGATGCATATCTCAACATATCCTTGGAGTCTGTATTCTACCTTCAGAAAGGCCAAGAGCCCAGATATTATTCCTCTCTATTCATCAAAGGATCGTATATCGACCACATAGCATTGGATGTATGAGGTTTTCAGGCCGAATAGGCAAGTCTTCTATCTAAAATGAAGTTTATAAGGAAGGTTTATTTCTTTTGATCTTACAGACTATCTTACTGCTCATAGCCTGGATGTTATGCCGTATGGACTCGATGTCATTCATGATCCTTAGGGTTTCTCTACGATACTCCGTAAGAAGTTTTCCTAAGTACTCGATCTTCATCATTAGATTCTCACTTTTACTATCAACAGCCTCGTGGCGGAGAAGATGTTTCTTAAGAGGATCGCTTCGTGTATAATCCTTCCCACACAAATGACACTCGAAGGGCCGTTCTCCCGTATGTCTCCGTGCATGGGCAAGCAGTGCGTGCTTACTAACCTGGACTTCTCCATATCTCGGACAATCTTTCCACAAGCACCTAGCCTCCTCGTCCTTTTCTATGTGGGAGAGCAGATGACCTCTCACATTATCTTCGATGTCTTTCTGACACTCCTCCCATTCACATCTCATTGCTTAGGAGGGCTACCATGGGCAAAAGCTCTTCTCCAAAAGGAAAACAACATTTTAGCTTTATCATCATATAGATCATGTTCTGTATAGATTATTGTATTTCTTGAAAGCTTGGGCTTCAGAATCATACTCGCCTAGGCATGCTCGCTCCCTAGCCTCTTGGATTCTTTGCTTGAGTAGTCGAATCCTTGTTCTGTCAAACATAATGTCTCCAATAGTTCCGCTTGCACAAACCACTCCATCCTTCGGAGATTTTCCATGTCTATCCAGTATCTTCCTACCCATCTTCTTCCTTGCTTTCCTGGAACTGTTCTTCATGAGCAAACAAAATGTTTCGAGCAAGCTGCACTCCACATCCTCCAGATCCCTTTCCAGCTTGTTTCTCTTGCCATAAAGCTTGCACAATGCCTCAAGTAGATGTAGCTCTTTCCACATCCTTTCGACCTTCTCCTTCGAGAGCTCTTCACTTCTTCTACTTCTCCTACTAGGCTTAATAATTCTCTTGCGGAAGCACACATAAGCAAGAGGATTGAATTTCTCGTTTCTGATTAGTATTCTGGATGCAACCATCCTGGAGAACTTTTCCTTGCCTTCTAAAAGGTCTTGCTTGTTGGAGATCGTAGACAGTATCCCATAAAACTGCTTTTCATCCACTCCAGACTCCTTGCATATTCTCCTATCTTCGTTGTTCATCAAGTACTCGTTCTCGGCATCTCCAATCCATTCGACATATTTGCGCTTGGGAACATATTTGCCATAAATTTCTCGTGCCGGGTTATCCACTTTAGTTATCACCGGAATCGGGATGTTTCCCTTCTCTCCCTCCATTATCTTTTTCAGGTGGAGCTCTTTCTCTTCATCGGCTTCCATCCCTGTGTCAAGCGACGGAGGAACATACTCCTCCAAGGAAGACACGTCGAAGGACCCGGGTTTGTAAATAGCATATGGCAAGCCATTGTCTATTTTCACATTTCTCTTTCTCTTGTATACCATGGATAATTTTTCAGAGACCACGTTTAAGCACAACAAATTGAGTTTATTGGGAGAGAATATAGGGCCGGAAGTCTTTTGGGCCCTTGAATGGAGAGAGCAATAGAGCTGGTGATGGAGGAGCTAGGAAGTACTCACGACTCTGAATGCATAAGGAATTGGTACTTCTCGTATCTTCAAAGGAAAGAGAGCCCAAAAAGCAAGTTCAAGGATGTTCTATCGATTATCAAGGCAGACATTGAAGATATCAAGGTGCTGGAATCGACGGTCATGCTCTTTGAAATTTCACAAGAGACAGCAGATGAGATTTCCTTGAAAGATGTGGCCCATTCTTACGAGAATTCGATGGAGATCATCTCGATTTTGTCTTTATACAATTCTATCTTCCCTATAATTCAAAGATGCATCAGGAACGAGAGTGTTGGAAGCCGAGTCTCTGATCTCTACAATGAGGTTAGTATGCATTTGAATGGGCCACGGGAAGGATCCCGAGAAGTCCTGGAAGGGAGAAGGAGGTTTTTCTTTGATTTCTATATTCCTGTTGAGATATACTTTATGTCTGTGGGAAAGAACTATGAAATGAAAGAGAAGGAGAAGAAGTTCGTCGAAATGTATTTGACTAAGAAGAAGCTGGATAAGAAGGGTTTGGCCTATGGAGACAAATTTTATGAGGAGATGTCGTGCGGGGACGAAAAGGTTTCCAAGGCATTAAAATTTCTCTTTGAAGAGGTTTATTAGATTGGAAAATTGCAAGATAGTATAGATGTTGAAAATCCGGATGATTTTTTGACCCATGACGATGGAAATTAATAATAAGGAGGATGAAAATCTCTCTAGCTTTAAAAGGAATCTCAGGAAGATGATTCAACTGGAGGAGGAGGCCAAGAAGAGGAGAGAAGATCAAAGGTCCCGGAAGCTGGTCTCTATCAGGGTTGGGAAGATTGAGGGAATGGGAGAGTCACCTGAAAGAAAATTTGTTCAGGACAGGAAAAGGGTATTTGAAGAGCCAAAGGTGGAATATGAAGGAGAAGGAAAAGTAAGAGAGAGGATAGAAAGTTTCAGCAAGAAGGATGATGGTGTGGACGAAAGGATTTTAGGCGAAGAAGAAAAGAAGGGTTTTGTTTATGATAAAGACCATGGAAGGAATGGAGAAGAGGCCCAAAACAGCACCAATGCTGAGAGGAAGGGTAGTGAGAGCCTGAAGATTGTAGAAGAATGTAAGATAAGTGTCAACAGAGAGGTATTGGAATCTGGACCTAAATATAAAGACGAAGAAGCAGAGGATGAATGCTTCAAAGAGATTTCCGTTGAAGACATCAAAAAGAGCCTCCTTGCAGAATTAGATTCGGAGAGGGAAAGTGAAGCAGATATCATAAGTACTGTGATGAAGTCTGAAAACTCAGCACCTTCGCAGCAGGAAGTTATATATGTTGACAGAGAAAGTAGTTCTTTGGAAACAGAAAAGAACCCATATAACATAGGGTGTAATGTATATGCTTACGACATCCACTATAAGATCTCTGATCTGTCTTGGGGGAACCCATCTGGACATATAACTCCTAATGAAAAAGAACCATCGATTAGTAGCAACAAAAGTCCTGTAAGGGAACATGGAGACGTTAATCTGGAGGATGGACCTGTAACTTACCAAGATCTTGACGAGGAAAAGGAGGAGAAGGGATGGTTTTCTTTGATATTTGAGTCCGTTTTTTCTATCTGCTGTGGTAAGTAGAAATAAAGAGTTGTAATAGTTTTTAGCTAAGCCTAAGGGTCTTTGTCTTTATGCATCCAAGTAATAAAATTTATAGACGAAAATTCTAGCCCTGAGATGGTTGACCGAAAGGTGCTGTTTGCAAGGTCTTCGAAGTCAAATAACTTGAGCATGGGAATAGTTGGACTTCCAAATGTAGGGAAGTCAACTCTTTTCAACTTTCTTACAAGGAACAATGTTCCTGCGGAAAATTACCCGTTCTGCACGATTGATCCTTCGGAAGGTCGTGTGGAGATTCAGGACGAGAGAGTGGACTTTCTGGAAAAGAAGTACTCTCCTCAAAATGTTGTGAAGGCATATTTAAGTATAACAGACATAGCCGGACTTGTCAAGGGAGCTAGTACTGGAGTTGGGCTTGGAAATCATTTTCTGGACAACATCCGAAGTGTGGATGGAATATTTCATGTTGTAAGATGCTTTGAAGATACAGGAGTGGCTCATTTTGAGGATGGGGTTGATCCAATAAGAGACATAGAAATAGTCAACGAGGAGCTGAGGCTCAAGGACTATGAGACTATGGTTCGCCATGAAGAGAAAATGTCGAAGGATCTGAAGTCGAAACCTTCTGACAAAAAGCTGAAGGATCAGGTTTTGCTGGTCAGGAGGCTTGTGGAGATATTGAAGAGCGATTGGGTAAACAAGCATTCGTTCAACGAAGAAGAGATTGGATACATAAGCACTCTGAATCTGCTCACAGTGAAGAATGTAGTGTATCTAGCCAATATCAGTGAGAAGGATTATGAAATGCGGCGGGCAAACAAGCACCTACGAGCGGTTATGAAGTATTCTGAGGATGTTATTGTGTTTAGTGCTACATATGAGGCCAACCATGAATCCAAGGTATTTTTGAACAAGCTTGTAAAGAAGGGATATGAGTCTTTAGACCTAATAAACTTCTTTACTGTGGGAAAGGACGAGGTCAGGAGCTGGACGATAAGAAGAGGAATAAATGCACCTTCTGCAGGGGCAGTAATCCACACGGACTTCAAGAAATATTTTATTATGGCCGAGGTGATGTCTTTTGAAGATTTCAAGACATATGGAGGAGAGGCTGAGGTCAAGAAGGCTGGAAAGTACCACCAGAGAGGGAAAACATACATTGTTAATGACGGAGACATAATTCTCTTCAAGGTCAATCCACCCAAGTCCACAGGAAAGAAGAAATGAATATCTGTTCCGATTAAATAGAATTTATTTAAGTTTCTATGCATATACAACTAGAAGAAATAGAACTCAAAGTCGTCGATTTCCTTTGTTTTTTCCTGCACGTGCTCCTCAGGCTTGTGTGCCTCCTTTCCATCTATCTTCTTGAGAATGTCCTGAAGTCTTTCGATAAGCTCGTTTTTCTTACCGGTGTGGTTCAGTCCAAACTCTTTCATAAGACTCTTGAGTTGCTGAACTGTGACATTGTTAAAGTCAAGCTCGCTTACCGAGTCCTTGAAGTTTTGAACCACTTCCTTAAACTCGTCTGTAACGCCTTTATTGGAATTAAGGAATAGCGGAAATATAGAATTTCCGTTGCTTCTCTCTGGAGAACTCTTTCTCATTGTCCCAAGATACATCTTTTGGCTGTCATCGACCCCTTGGATGAAGTCCAGACTCGAGTATTTTGATGGATGAACAATTCCCGGGTGCAAACCTTGGTTACTCTTTATGTATTGCCACAAGAGAGGATTACTCTTCCTCTTTTTCCGGTTCATCCATGCATTGTTTTGTACAGGTACATCCGTATACCTCTGCTGGAAATGCGTCCTGAAGGCTGGATTCGGAAAGAGAGATGCCATCATTCTCCGGTCATAGTCTGCTCCGTCCACCTGCCTGTGCATTTTTTGGCCGCTTCCGAAAGAGGCTTGGCTATGACCGAACTCACGGTCGCCAAGAGTATGTGGTGAGGAAAATGCTCCACTATGTAGGTGATTTCTTGGTCCTTCGGAGCCATGTATTCTAGAAATTTCCCCAGGCCCAAGGGGAACAGCTCTTCCTTCATAAAAGGAATGCCTTTCATTATTTCCAAATCCTCCTTCATAGTAGGAGTCAGGCCCCATCCTCACTTGAAAAGGCCCTTTGCGAAATCCTTGATTTAGTTCTTCGCCTTCCTTATACAAGAGATGTGTTGGGCCTTCAGAAAGCTTTTCCTCTCCCATACTCTTTCTTGAGGGCCCATATCTACCATATTCCTCTTTTCCTTTGGAAAATTCTTGATGGAAATTCCATGGTGTGCCTTGACTTCCAAAAGATCCAGTATTACCGAATGCATCGTCTTCTTGGAACAGTCTTCTTCCCATTTCTCCGAAGTTGCTATCTTGTGAGCCTTTGGGCTCTCCCGGGAATTCCTGAAAAAAGGATGGAAGCCCAGTGCTCTGCTCATTTCCAGCTCTTCCACTATAATATGGATTTCTATTCCCTAGGTAGTCTCCTCCATCTTTCCCCACCCCATTCAGACCGTTATTGCTATAGGTCTCCACTTTTTTTACATCTAGAGAATTATCGGAGTTAATGCTATTGTTGCATGCTTCATTAGAAGAAATATCACCTGCTCTGGAAAATGGCTTACTAAATCCAAGAAAATTAGTTATGCTATCTGAGGAGTCTCCGGCCCTGCTGGTCTGTAGATATTCGCTAGGTAGGGAATTCTGCATCCCTTGCAGTCCTCCTAAAGAGAAATGCTCTACTTGATTTGTAAACTGCTTTTGCCCATAGTCAACTTTGTCTCCAAAGCCATTTCGAATCTGGGTAACATGTAGAAAGGATTCCACATCTCTCTTTCGAGGCCTTCCTCTGGATGGAATTTCTATTGGCTTGGAATTCTGGTCGTCATCCATCTTGTCTCCTTCCTCTGTCCTCCATTTTGCTTTTAAATGTTTTAGGTACTCTGTTTCATTTCTCACAAATAGGATCTTGAGACTTCGTTTGTGGCCAGTAGCAGGGCGAGACTTGATTCCCAAAACCTTCATTTTAGTAAAAGACAAGCGCAGGTCCAAATAATTGTTTTGTTTATGGATGTCCATGGCTAAAGACCAAGAGAAGGTTTACATGCTTTTGGAACTAGAAAGGATCCGGCAGCTGAATATCCCGCACGTGTATGCATTTCCTACTGGAACTCTGGAATTCACATGTGCAATGTTCCGAGGCTCGGACCATACTGTCTTCAAGCTAATAAAATCAGACATTTATGAGAAGTGGAGTGTCCTAATCGATGGGGAATGTAGTGAGGAAATGAACAAGATGTCTGGCTCATGCGATGCACATATAACACTAGAAACAACTGTACAGACACTAAGCAGATGCCATAATACCAGTCTCTTTGGAAAGTCTAAAAACATCTTTCCATTTATTTCCGAAGGTTTTCCAAACAGAGAGAAAAATATTACAGCGCTTTTGCTCTTTGTTAAAAATAGATGTTCCAAGACAAATGGTTGTGGAGAGAAGATGGCTATTCAGATAAAAGAGTAGAAACAAACAGAAGCGAAGATAAGATGTTTAATCATGCCAGTCCCTTTTCCTTTAGGAGCTCGTCCTCAACTCTTTTCCTCAGCTTCATCTGGAATCTCTCGAAATCATTGGTTGTATCCTCCTCACTAATGCTTTCTGGAATGAGCTTTCCTATCTCTTCTGGACTAAGATCCTTAATGTCAAACGACTCATCCTCAAGGTGGAGATTAGATATAGAGCACATTTCCCTCTCTCCATCCTTCCTCTGGAGAAGTACAAAGGTTGCATCGATGATGCCAACAATTATGCCATATGTTTTTCTTTTTTCTTTGAGTGCAGGTGTCACAATCCTTCCCAGCCTTACTGTCTTCTAAAGTTAGCCAAAAAGAAGCTCACTTACCATTTTTAGGGCAAATTTTTGTGTAGATTTAACCGTAGGAAAGTACACTGGTGAATCCCCAGGCACAGATGAAGATAACAGACTTGCAGAATGAGGTCAACCACCTCCTGTTTCTTTATTTCACATCTATAGGGGTCATCCAAAGAGATGCGGGACTAGGAGACATTTACGACAAGATGGAAGAGCTGAAGAGAGAGATTGATGACTGCCGAAAAAGGATTATGCGGCTCATGGACTCTGAGGAAGTGGATGTAGAACTCTGCAATGACTACAAAGAAATCATCACCGAGGGTAAGGAATTTGTGAGAGATGGGCTGAGTTTCCTTGACAAGCTTCTGAAGAAAGACTATGGACCTGGAAACTATTAACATGAAAGATTTCAAGCTGCCCCTAAAATGGTTATTAAAATTTCTATGGGAGATGGTGAAGATATTAGCTTTGATATCGAGAATCCTCCTCTAGATTCGAAGTTTGATGAGCTGTTAAAACTTCTGGATACTAATAAGGTTTCTCGATCTATACAACATAAAATAGTATATGGATATAGAAGACGTCCAGAGCTTGCCATGAAGATACTTGAGCAGCTGATCAGGGCTGACGGTGAGGATCAGATCACACTTCTACTTCTACTTGCATGCAAGCTTCAAGCAGGAATGGATGGAGTTGACATAGTACAAAGGATGGAGCTTTTTGAATCTCCAATGCTTGATATTCTCAAAGGATTTGCTTCTCTAAGGAAGGAGAGCTATGACGGAGCACTGTTTCTCTTTGGAAAGGCAGGGTTTTCTCTCGGGATCCAAATCTGCAACTATTATCTTGGGAACATTGCAGAAGCCAAGAAGTCTGAAAATAAGGTGGTGAAGGGATATTGTCTTCTAAAGGAAGCCAAAAGCAACGACGAGCTCCGGGAGGTTACACGATTGTTTCGGGAGACCGGCAAAAAGGATCTTCTGTTTGGACTAGGAGTCGGAGAGGATTATGAAAATCGGGAGAATGTTGATGTGAAGATGAGACTTATTGGGGAATTTGTGGAAAGAGGAGAGTTTCAAGAGGCATGGGAGGAAATGGAAGGGATGCCAAGGAGCGCAGAAGTTCTCTATCTAAGAGGAAAGGTAGAGCACATGAAAGGGGATTTCGAGAAAGCAAAGAGGTACTACACAGAAAGTCTGGAGTGTGATAGAGATTTCTTTAAGAGTGAATACAATCTACAAAGGATAGTCCAGAATAAGATGAGAGAAGCGCACTATCGGTCTCCCGAGTTTTGTGATTTCAAAGCCTATCTCGAGCTCAAGAACAAGATAGTTGATATAAATCTAGACGGATGCAGTGAAGAATTTCGGAATGTGGTCTCTGTGATAGCCAACAAAGGGCTGAGGAGAAGAGATACTCTTCTAAGAAGATATATGAAGCTGATAGGGAATCCATGGATTGAGAACTTTGTAGTGATGAACAATATTGGATATTCCCTGTGCAGTCACATGAGACCTTTTGACGAAACAGAAGAAAGGACGGAAGGAAACGACCGATTTCTTATTGGATCGATTGGAATAGATGAAGAAGACAAGAAATGGAGGGGAGAAGGAGAAGAGGGGGAAAAGAGAGCAAAGGAAGGAGAAAAGTATTTGAGAAAGGCATTAGACGAATGCCCTGATGAGTACAGGGAAGTGATAAGATACAACCTTGGATATGTGATGGAAGATAAAGAGTTGCTAGCAGATCTGTCATTAAAAGAAGCAAGGTTGCTGCTCTCAGTTGAAGGAGAAGGGATATCTTCCATTCCCAACGAGCTTGAACTAGCAGGGTTTTATCATATGAAGAGAAAGGAATTCAAATTAGCAAAAAAGATATTCCAGAAGTTGGATACATTGTACAGTAGCATTGGGCTTGGAAATATATACATTAGAAGCTTCTACAAGGACAAGGACGAATCTGCATTAGGGAAGGCTATGAAAGCGTTTTCCAAGGGGTTGAAGTCGTACTATTGTGGAAATGGAGTTGGGATATGCCTTGCATTGAAGGGGAGGATGGAAGAGGCTATCGATGTGTTTAATAACGTTTCGATTGACTGGCCTGGAGGATATGTAAATCTTGGAAACACACTGATTCTTTGTAGAAGATATAGAGAGGCTATGGATGCCTTTTTGAAGACCTCTTCGATGAGATATTCTCGGAAGATGCTTGAAAGGCTCTGTAATATTGTTAATGAAATTGACGGATATAGACTGTGTGTGGATGTGGGGATAGCCGGGGCTAGAGAGAAGGCTTTTGAGCTTCTTGTTGAGCAAGGACGGTTTGAGGAAGCTTCTAAGCTTGGAGTCTCTGATGAAAGGCTTGTAAGAATATACGACGAAAAGAGAGAAGAGGAAAGAAAGAAGAAGGAGGAGTTGAAGAAAAAGGCTGAGGAGATGAGGGAATACAGAAAGAGAAGAAAATAAATACTATTAAAGCTTCATGGGGTGGTTGTTTCCTTTTTAGAAGGATTTAATGTCCCTTGTATAATGAATGATTTTGAAACCATAGGAGTTAAAAGATTCTTCAATGGGCATATCAAGGACGGAGAATGTGTACTAAAACAGGAAGTATTTGACTTTATAGTTCAGGAGATGACACCAACTAGGCTGTGTGGAATACTCCCTATTGTCGACCATAAAGGATTTCTGGAAGGAAAAGAAGTAGTCGGATATTCTGAGGGTCTAAGTATTGAGGAGAAGGAACAACGCACTATAATGCACAAGAAGCTAAAGTGTTATCCATTTGTAAAGGCCAAAACTATTGGGGGGAAGATATGTCTTGAGCATACCGACGAGGATGTATATTCATTTGTTCTCCAGAAGGTGATGTTTAATACGATTGATGCAGGAAAATGGATCTGTAAAAGACTTGGAGTTCCCGATAATGCATTTCAGTTTGCAGGGAATAAGGATAAGAGAGCTGTTACATTCCAGGAGGTTACTGTTCAATGTTCCTTCATGAAACTCTACAAACTTGCAGTGAAGTTGAACAAGGAAGAGAATTCTTTCGAATGGGAAGATTTGATTGGGGAAGGTTACAGCAGGGAAAGTATTGAAGAGGAAAACAGAAAGGTGGAAGAAGAAATCCTAAAGATTAAGGGGATAAGCTCAGAAGAATGGAAAGAAGAACTTGAGAGGAGTTGGCCGGAGGAAAGAGAAAGGATAGAAAAGCCCTTAGATAGAGAACTAGCTGAATGGGAAAGATTCAGGTCTTCAATAAAGATCTTTGATATCAAGAAGTCGTCAGTAAGGAAACTGGGAGACTTAAAGGGAAATAGGTTTAGTATAGCATTGCGAGGCTTCAAGGACAAAGGACTGATAGAGAACCTAGAAAGGGGCTTTTTGAATTACTTTGGACAGCAGAGATTTGGAAATAAGCTAAAAAATCACGAGATAGGATATGAAATTCTGACAAAGAAATACGAAGAGGCTGTTAATAAGATTATGAAGGGAGGAAAATGCTATGAACTTTATATAGACGGGAAGTACGAAGAAGCCATGAGCCTCGGAGATGGAGTGGAAAAGTACATTCTGAAGTGCAAATCCAAAGGGATAAAGGAAAAGGATATGATATATGGACTACGCAGGGAGCTTCGGATGTTATACCTCCATTCTTACCAGAGTCTAAAGTTTAACGAAGCTATTAACAGCAGGATGGAGTATGGAACAAGTGTTGTTGAGGGAGACATGGTTTATGTGGATGGAGAGGTCAAGGCTGTGGAGAATCCATCTGAGTTTAGTATATTCGATGTGGTCCTACCGTTGGAGAAATTCAACAACAAGATGCTAAAGGGTGGGTATAGAAAAATAGTGGAAAAGGCCAACAACGTCATTATGACTGAGTTTGAGGATCGGGTTGTGGTTAAGTTTTTCCTGAATAGCTCGTGCTATGCCACAATGGCTCTGAGAGAGGTAATTGGAAACTCTGTACTGAATAAAGTAAGCGTTTAATTCCGTATTAGTTGAGAAGTCCTTTTTCCAGGTTCTTTAAGATTTGGATTCGTTTCCAAACGATAAGCTTTTTTACATACCAAACGTTTCGGTTGAAGATCTTTTTGTGTTTATCGCAACGCCTTCTCCAATAGTTGTTTAGTGATTCTGGGGTCTTGCAGCAGCTTAGCAAAGACTTGAAGTCTTTTATATTTTTTTCTATAATGTAGTTTCCAGTCCATGTAATTTTTGATATTAGGGTTTTGAGATAGATCTGGAGTCTTTCTTCTTCCCCTCCAAAGATTTCCAGCTGTTCTTGGGTGGTTTCCTCCACAGAGGTGTCGTAGGGCTTGTGAAGGATCTTGTTGAGGTTTTTTATGGCTCTCAACACATCAAAATTCTTTTTGTAGTTCATGATATATATGTACAGAAAGGTTGATATCTCTATCTCTGGAATGTGGATGGTCCAAGTGGTGTCGAGTGCATAAAAAAATGTCTTGAACTTCCTTTCAAGATCTTCGGTGATCTCCAGGAGAAAGATTCCACAAATCCTTTGAAGATACTGGAAAAACATTCCATAATCTCTTCTAAGATCCTGTCTGAAGCAAGCCTTGTTATTTTCAATCTCTTCATCAGGAATTCCTGTTTCGTTGTAGAATTCCACAATGCGACAAGCATGGCGATTCTTTTGAATGCTAGTGCATTTTTCTCCAAGACGTTTAAGTATTCTATACACAGGAATTAGGCCTGTGTCTTCAAAGCGGGCCGTAAGGAATCGGGAGTATTTCATTCCTAAAGCCTCAAGCCTTTCCCTTTCTCTTTCTTCGCGTGGATACAGCTGCATCGACTGATAATAGTCCAAGTAAAGATAAGTCTTTCCTTCGGCTTCCATCTCTATTCTCTTCGAGTAATAGCCCAGTGCTCTGAGAACCGGATATATCGGCAAGGGCTTTGAAAGAGCTCTTCCCGGCATTTCTTTAACTGTGTCCGCAAAGATATCGAAGTATCTGGTGGATTTAATACCTAGATAGTTTTTGATGTCATCAAACAGTACATAGTAGATCAACAAGTTCACATAGTCCTCGCTATATTTCTTGATTAGGAACTTCCTGGGCTTTTCCTTGTTGATGGTTTTTCCAACAAAAGCTGGTAGAATTTCGCTTGAAACTTCCATTCTGTCTTTTATGATATGACCCTCCTCACAGATATAGTCGTTCTCTATCATCTCGAGGGGAGCACCACATATTTCACAGACAATCATTCTGGGATTTCCAAGGGCATTTTTATCTATGTCTTCCTTCGCCCATGGAAAAGAACACAAAGATCAAGGGCGGGTCCTTCAAAACCATGGGATTGGATTACAGACTTCTCCGAAACATTCTTTACGAAAACCCAACGCCAATTCAAAGAAAGACAATTCCGTTGGTTCTGGAGAGAAGGAGTCTAATGGGGGTTGGAAGAACAGGGAGTGGAAAGACACTATGCTATCTCATCCCTGCTGTGCAACGAGCCATCGAGGGAGAAAGAACACTTGTGATTGCCCCTACCAAGGAGCTTGTCACCCAGGTCAGAAGGGTACTGAAGAGACTGGCAAGAGGGATAGAGGATGTATGGAAGCTCATTGAAATCAACACTCCAGGAAATATTCAAAGCACAAGTGTTGAGATGCTGGTGGTTGATGAAATAGATAGAATTCTGGAAGAGCCAAGCCTGAAGTTGGTATTTGATAGGATAAGCGAAGAGGTGGCGTGCCAGAAGGTATTCTTTAGTGCAACACTCCCAGATCATCCATTGAACATAAAGGTAGTTGAAATAGAGGCCAAGATAAACGAGACGGTTAAGCATTTTTTCTTCTATGTTCCAAGTGAGAGCAAGGAGGCAGCTCTGCTTCGAGTATTGGATAAGACAAGAAAGACAATTGTGTTTGTTGCAACTAAGTATGCTGTGGAATTGCTTCTAGAGATCCTTAACAAAAACAATTTCGAGTCACGTGGAATTTATTCTTCAATGGACGATGAGGCAAGAAGAACCAATTTCAAAGACTTCAACTCTTCCAAGTTCAACATTCTTGTTGTGACGGATGTTGCAGCACGTGGACTAGACATCCCATATCTTGACACTGTTGTAAACTATGATCTGTGTGACGAAAGGACATTTCTGCACAGGGTTGGGCGTGTTCGGGGAATGGGAGTGCAATACAGCTTTGTGACATACACAGATGTCTTTCACTTCTTCAACATACAGGAAACATATCTTCCCAATGTTGAGATCGGAACAATTCCTCAGGAGTATCTAGATGTTTATGACTTCGGGGAATTTGAGCATCTAAAGTCTGTTGCAAACAAAGGACATCAGAAATGCCTTGAATTTAGAAGAAAAGTCAGTGTTCCGGCCGAGTACAAAGACAAGATAAAGGGATTCAAAACTCATTCTATGTTTGAGCATAAGGAAACACTTCTTGACCAGCTTAAAGAGATGGAGAGCCGCAAGACATTACCTCGAAAGGAAGATGAAAAAGTAGAAAACAAAGAGTACAGAGACCAGACATTTATACCCTATGCCCGTAAGGACTCTAGAATTCATTCATCTGCGTTTGGAGTGGCGAAAGATGATTACGTCAGAGAAAGAAAGGAAAAATTTTCTTTTTCCATGATGAGGAGGAGAACAGCAAAGAAAACGGCGGAAACAAGTAAAAAATAAACGAATTTTATTGGCAAGTAAGTTGTTGTGTCTTCTTAGTTATAAAGGTTTTCAAGAAATCAGGGTTTTGGAATTGTGTATCTCCTTTAAAGTAGGAGGCCTCATAGCTCAATGGTTAGAGTGTCGGCCTACGGAGCCGAAGGTTGAGGGTTCGAGTCCCTCTGGGGTCGGCTGTCTTTTGTGCTTCTTTTTTTCTTCCTAGACTTTTTCATCCACATCTCTAGTGCATTGCTTCTGTATCTGCCCTGCACATCTTCATCCAACGAGTTCCACATCTTAATGAACATACGAACGTTTTCTTCTGGAGACACATTTATGTCGCCACAGATGTCGAAGAGTTCGTTTACAAAGAAAAGATATCCTGAACACTCCCATCGCTGTATATCCCGTATTTTAACATATTTTCTTAGCTTCTTTATCGTGTTTGTATCATTGACTAAATTGCCGTCGTCACAGCCATCCAACTCATTGGCTTCCTCAAGATCTTTATTGCATTTTTCCACATACATATTCCTCTCCTCGTCCGGCATTTCCTTCCATACAGCCATCATATTCAAGGCAGTATCGACACAACTTGTGTATTTGTAATTATTACTTTGGAAAAAGTCCCTGGCAAAGACCGTGAATGGAGATCTCTGCTTGGTAGGCATTGAATACAAGGATTCAAAAAATTTCATCTCGGGGGTATGTATCTTCGAAAAATACACCAAAGGAATTAGATAGTACAGTAGAGGCCAATAAATAGAGTCCATTTAATCCCTATTTTCCCACCAGGCCCGAATTCACATTCTTTTCTTCAGCAATCTTGTTATAGACGGCCTTCTCGTCGTCGCTGAGTTCTTTCCATCTCTTTGCAACAGCAGACGTAGTCTCCATCATCGTGAAGCTGGGATTCTCTTCAGAAACAGCTTTTCGGACTGCCTTAAAGAACTCGTTGTACCCAGTTACTTTCTTGGCTCCTTTTTTCTTTCTTCCAGCTGCTGCTTCATCAGCTGCAACCTTCTCAAGATAATCCTGGTACTCATCGCTCTTCTTGTATTCCTCAACCTTTGCCAGATATAGCTCTCTCTCCTTGTTTGAAATCTTGTTGTATTCCTCTCTTTCCTCATCAGAGAGCTTCTTCCACATCTCAGAAATAGATCTTCCTTGGTCTGCTACGGGTAGCTTGCTCAGTTCCTCATTCTTCTTCCTTTGCTCCTGCCCAAAAATAAAGTACCCCGACATAGGCTTCTTCGGTGCATTGGGGTCCTTGCGTTTTTTTACTGCCGCTTTACTCCTTGGCTTTTTGCTCTTCTCAGTTACCATAATGATGGGGGTAGAAGAAATAGCTTATAAAATTTTAATAAGAACCAGCCCAGTCGATATTTTACAGTTAAATCGCCCTTCTAACCTCTTATCATATGCAGTAGATACCAATTGATAGAGTGTCTTTTACAAAATATCATTCTCGGGCCTGAGTCTCTCCTTAACAATCTCAAGTAGCTTCTTCACCTCGGAAAGCATAGCATGTGTTGAAATGTATTCCTCTATGACTCTGTGTGCCTCATTCAAGTCTCCCTGAAGTGCATTACATACCTCCTTCTCATCTCCACTGACATCAAGATCTAGAGGCGTCCCCTCGATGGAATAGCAGAGAAATCCACAGAAGGTGTATATGTTTTCCTTGAACCCCAAGAATATTTTAGCTGCCTCTCCATACCTTCCAAGTTCTATATACACCTCTGCAATGTCTCTCATTGCCTTTTTCTTATGATGCTTCCAGCTGCTTCCACAGTAGCACTCAGCAACCTTCTGCAGGCATTCCAGGCATCCCTCGAGATTTCCTTCCTTTCTTAGTATCTCAGATGCTCTTTGGAAACTCACTGCTGCCAAGCTCTCTCGTCCACATTGCTTGGAATACATCCCAGACTTCTTATATGCCGAAATGGCTTTTTCAGGATATTCATCCTCACATGTCTGTGCTATCTTCTCATACACCTGCGAAGCTTGATATCTTCCATACTCTCCGTCCTCCATCTCATAGGTCTTTGCCGCCTCCTCGTAGTATCGTATCTTTTCAGATGTCTCCTCTTCCATATTTCCAATCTCCATGAAAATCTCCGCAGAGCTTTCATAGTCTGGCGATGAAAACAGATTGAATGGAAATGCTCCCTTTGTCCTCAATTTCTCTGCTTCCTTTAGTTTTCTGGTTTTGGATTCAGCATCCATGGGCCCCTTCCCGTGTGTTTTTTTAAGCACCTCCGCTTTTTCAAATCCAGAGAGCAACCTGCACAAAACTTTATTTAATAAACATCAATAAATCTATCCTGAAGACTTAATGGGAGCAGAAGGGCTTTCTGCTGAGATTGTATATTAGTATCCCCACAATACTTATGGCTAATCCTGCATAGTTCAAACTGCTTAGGGTGATATCTTTTGTTACTATTGCATAAAAAATAATTATCAGCTCCTTAACAATCCCTGCAACACTTAGAAACACAACACCGGTTTCCGAAACAAGCATGAACTCTGCACATAGTAGCGTAAATGATAGGACCCCGCAAAGAGAAATATACCCAAAATTTCGTAGGGCAGCATCAAACGTGTTGAAAAACCTAGATGTTGCTATCTCCATGAGACCTTCAACATGCAAAGAAATTAAGAGGAGGAGGAACGATATGGGAAGGCAAAGGTCCCTTATGGTTACAAGAATTCCTTCCTTCCGGACTTCCTGATTTCTAATAAGGTATTGGACAAACGCCCATCGGAACCCTGCCATCAAAGAAGCAAACGAGATGGTTCCGAATCCAATAATATCAAAGCTTGTGTTTTTTATTGACGTGAGAAACACTCCCACGCCAATGGTGAATATCGTCAGAAAAAACGTTATCGATGGTTTCTCGATCCCAAGTGCAAATCCAAATAACAGAATAAACACCGGAGAAGAAGACTTCACCATTGTGTAGAATGCAAGGGTTGCCGACCTTAGAGATATGGATGAAAGGCCTATGTCTGTGGCTCCTGCAAGGGCACATGGAAACGAAGGCCCAAAGTAATTAGGCTTTGGAGCTTTTTCCTTCTGAAACCTCAGGGCTGTGGATGCTCCGAAAAAATGGATCAGGTTCTGCATGGACGCCTTGAACAAGGGAAAGGAGAAATTGTATGTCTTTTTGGAAAGCAGAAACGATGTTAGATATCCCAGGCTTAATGACAGAACATAATACATGAGCACTAATCCCAGTACTCTGATTCTGTTCATTCCTCTTGAGTGTATTTTCTTTGGAGAGTCTTTTCTTCACAATGTTTCAAAGCCCCATCCAATCACATTGTTGTGTCTGGAACAAATGAATTCTGGTTTCTATAAATATGTTTTTTTTCCTAGGCCCTACCTCTCAAGCCAATCGGCTTTGATCAAGTGTAGTATCTGTTCTTGCCAGTGTAAGAACTGGCATTATCCGTAAGGATAAATTCATCGAATTTTTGGATGGCAGGGTGATGTAGAGGAGCTTGAGCGCTTGCGTTTCGGCCAATCTACTTGAGGTCTGCAGGCTTCTGGGCTGTAGAGCCTAGGAAAAGCCGTTTTTTTGTAATGTTTTCTGTTCTATTTCTTTTATCCAAGGATCCCCAACTCAAAGAAATGAAGTATGCGGAGATCATCATAGGGCCTCCTGGAAGCGGGAAGTCTACCTATGTCATGAATAAAAAGACATGGCTCTCCCATAGAAGTCCATACACAATAAATCTTGATCCGGGGAATTCCAACTCCAAGGAGTTTGACTATTCGATATGCTCCATCTCGTCGTCTTCGGTATATCAAGAAAAACATGATGTTGGGCCTAACATGTCCACAAAATGCATTTTAGAGGAATTTGTTACTCGTATCGATGAGTTCTTCCGGGAGAACATTGAAGATACAGACCACTACGTCCTAATAGATTTTCCAGGACAGGTGGAATTTTTTATATCCAGCGATATTCCCAACAGAATCATCAGATATCTTAAAAGAAATGGATATTCGGTTGTGGTTTTGAATCTTATCGACCTGGTATTCTTCTCGAACAGTCACTCGCTGGTTTCATCGTATCTAATCTCGACATTGTGCCTCTGTCTTCTTGAGTCGGCCCAGATCAACATCATCAGCAAATGCGACAATTGGAAAAGTCTTGAGATGGAGTATCCGTTGGAAGAGATTGCATCGTTGGAATGTCTAGAGGAGATTCCGAGGAAGAAAAAGTTGTATAGTGAGATGATCTCTTTTGTCCTCAACCAAGGACTGCTACTGTATGAAATCCTGGACTATGACAATCCAGACTCTGTTCTAAATCTTCAGGTTGGCATAGACAGAGCAAGCGGGTTGTTTTTTGAAGACAACTACTTTGACACCGAGAAAATAACAAGGATTCCTTCCAGAGATGAGGTTTTCTCAAAATACAAATCCTAATAAAACTTATAAGTAAGCTTTTTGTTTTCATAGTATTTGGGAGTGCAAAAGAAATACCCTTCTCCAAAGCTACGGAACAAGGACAATTCCTACTTCTGCCATTTGGAGGCACAAAAAGAGCTCCAAGGAAACATGAGCCTAATGAGCTCATGTGCCATGGAGTCATACATTTTCATTTAGAGTTTTTACCACAAATCCAGTTTACCCAGAAACCGATCAATGGATAGTATATCTCTCCATATGCCTATTTGCCATCTAAAAGGGAAGGAAATTCTGATTGGTGATATCTAAGAAGATATAACATCAATTAAAAAGATGTCCATGAAAAGTATTCCATACGATGGCGATCTCGAGATGAGTGAAGAACAGGATGAAACCAATGTGTCTGTAACGATGCCTAGAGAAACCATGGAAGACTCTAGGTTTTGTAAGATTTGCTACTCATTAAGAAACCCAATAAATATGAAGGACGACTTAATTTCTCCTTGCAATTGCAAAGGATCCATCGGGCTTGTCCACGGGGTGTGTCTGAAGATGTGGAGATACAGAGGTAAAAGAATCAAGGACATAAGAAAGTGTGAGCAATGCTCTTCATTCTATAAGCTGGACAACGAAGTAGTCCCCCACAGGATTGTTGTCTCGCTTGCAACTATCGGTGTCTTAGTCCTAATATACCTGGTGTCGACCATCTTGTTTAAGTCGCTGGTCGATGCATTTGCCATAATAATAAGAGACTTCTTCTTTACAGATGGCCATGGATTGGTAGACCTTGAGATGGGAAGAGGCCGAGGCCTTGACTATGTTTTTTTTCAAAAGCAATCTTTCACAGAATACAAATTTATTGAGACAAATGGATTTATATATCTTTTTATCACAGTTATGCTCTACCAGATCTTTTCAAGACTAAGTTTCTTTTCGATATTCAACTACATGTTCACATTTTGGAGGCTAAACCAATTTGACTTCGCAGTAGACAAGATTCTCTTTGGATTTATGTCTATGTATTACATGAAGAAGGCATACAACGACATCTACAGTAGGGTTGACTCCGGGCTTATCTTCTTTCTGAACTATAAATAGAGACGGCATAGCTCGGGATGCTTCATCACAATTAAACTATCTTTTCTAATACAGTAGACATCTAGAAAACACTTTATATCCCTGATGTTTGTGCTAGTTGAGACGGTGTATTTTATTCTCTTGCCAATAGTAACAGTTGCTTCTCACATGTTCATGAACAACCTGACAAGACACGGACACATACCCCAAGGAATATCAAAGAATAACTATCAGTATTTTTACGCATACGGCCTGATTCTATCATTGCTACTACCGATGAAGAACATCTATCCACTTCATCTTGGACGTAGGCTTGCAGAAACCAAGGTTTTCAAATACTCTAATAGAAGCAAAATGAGTATCCTGCACTTTATTCACGGGCTGTTGTATTACACATTCGTTTGTGCACATCTTAGGAACAAGAGAATTGGAAACGTATATGTGTTTCTATTTCTCAATATCCTTCAGCTGGTTTCCCACTACTATGTCTTTGTCCGAAAGACGTTTGTGTACACCCATTACATTGTTGAGGTGATGATATACGGATTTATTTGTTGGGAAGTTAGAACAATACAAATGCTCTTCAATTTGCTGTATGTATTGTCTTTTGTATTTTCGACAATTATGAACAGAAGGACTTGCAGAAGTAAGATATTTTCCAAATAACGAATATCCCCGTGATGGATTTCAATCTTCTTAACCAAAAACTAACAGGGAAAACCGAGGTAGGACTTCTATCCACAGAGGATTATAAGCATATGATCAAAGATGTTTATGACTACATAAGAGAAAACCATCCCCGTATAGACACATTTCTACTTCATGGAGAGGGTATACTCTGCCCTTTAAAAGCTCGGAGTTTTGAATTTTTCGTGCTTCTTGGAGTTTATTGCCCTATCCATCCTTTTAAGGACTTCATAAGTATAGAAACACACATGTCTCAGGAAGACAAGAACAATCTGGAGTCGGACTCTCGGTGTATAGTTTATGATTCAAGCTATGGAGTCCTTTCCTTGAAAGAGTCTGAGGAAATGTATTCCAGAGATGTTCTTGTGGTGACTAGGAATCAAATGTTCTATGACTATTACCTCTACAAATATAATGCCAGGTCTTTCTACGAATTAGAAGGGCGAGACCGAATGCAGTACCTTGCATCTAAATGCAACAAAGGAGAGATGGTTCGGGATCTGCAGGTATTTGCAATAATATTTACATCGAGGGTCTACGAAGAGTTGGCAAGGTCAATAAGGAAAAAGCTTATTTCCAGGCGTAAGAATGCATACCTCCTGTTTCTAAAGGATCTTTCGTATGAAAGAATGATAACAATAGAGGGAACCGAATGCATTGTGATTGTTGATTGCCCTTTCTTTGAGTGTTCTCTTGAAATGCACATTCCTGTTGTAACGCCTTTTGAAGTTGAGTATGCGCTTTCCAGAGAGTGGAGAAGATTTGATAAAAACTCATTTCGTGTGGAGGATGAGGCTACGAGCAACTGCAAAGAACTGGATCTTGTGGAAAGAGCCGGGAAGATTCTACTAAGATCTTCTGGACAAATTGTTCCGTTTTCCTATGAAGAAGAAGACATGGATATCCATAGCGGAGAAAGTGGGATTGCATGTAGGTACGACCATGAAGGCGTGTGAAGGGCTAACAATAGAGGAGGCTATGGGCAGTATTATTTTTGTAGTAGGACATGTTTTTTGGATAGAAAAAGGTAGCAAACAAACATATGGTATAATTTAAAGATAAAAACTTTTGGCGATCAAGATTCCATTACTTTTTAATCAAGGATCTTATTGAGCGGAAAACATTTACAATCACCATTGATGGCTCGGATTCCTTGATTTTCTTGGAACCCTTCTTCTTCGGGGCACTCTTATGATTGGCCATGAAGGCTAGATATTTAATACCGAAATATATCAAGTCGAGTGCTAACAAGCCAACCACAATGGACATTAAAATTACATAAAGATTGTTTCTGAAGTTCTCTTTTCCCCCAATATATAGGTATGAGTTGGCAAGTATAAAGTCATATGCAGGTTTTTTGTTTTTCAAGATGTTGTAAGCTTCAGTCAGGAGAGCTACAGCATCCTCTCTTTTCTCGATGCCAGGAATAGGTCTCGGGCGCTTCATCATTTTTTGGTATAGCTTCTTTACAGTGTTGATAGATGTGTTTTCTGATACCCCAAAAACCTCGTAAAAAGTGCTGTACTTTGTCTGTTCGTGAAGCCTTTTGATGGCCATAAGTGTGGAGTTAAGATCTTCTGGAATTGCCATTGCAAGTGCTACAAAAAGAGACAGATACTTCATCTGGGGTTACAAACAAAATCAAGGAATTTACTCAAGGCCCTAAAAATGTCCGGAATAATTTATGAAAACAGGGGAGTAAATACGGAATACACGGATGTCTTTTCTAGCCTGGTAGAAGACCTGAAGAACGATGTTCTATCGTTACAACTCACAAACTTCGATGACGTAAACCATTTGTACAAGACAGAAGGAAGATGCTCTATGAATGTAAAGGATCTGGAGGATTACACAGAAAGCACCCAAGTAAAGAATATCGATTATAATGGCCAAAAATACATTTTCATGAGAGCCATCAGTGATGATGCACAACCTTCTTTGATATTTATCAGCGTGGATGGAGACGAAAGAGGACGAAAAAGAGGACTGCTGGTGACATCCTTCTGTGAAATCCTCAAGATGATTGTTACTTTCGATTATCAGGTTGCCAACAGCGTAACAGCCAGGATCTTCAAGGTTCTTGAAGAATATTCTTGCGAAGAGGAGTGAAGGAAAAAGCCTTTAGAATCCTTCATGATTAAATATTCATGATATTTATATGCCCATTGGTACATTTATTAGGCCTTATGAGGATAACATCGTTCAATGTTAACGGGATCCGCTCCTTCAGTAAGTATATAATGAAGAGCCACAGGCTGAGGTTCAATGATTATGTCAAGGAAACTCTCAAGGCAGACATTCTATGTGTTCAAGAAACCAGAGGAAACAAGAATGCCTTGAATGAGTTCCACTCTCTCAAGGACTACATCACATTTACAAGTACAAACAAGAGAAATAGTGGAAGGTCGGGTGTTTCAACAATTGTATCAAAAAAACTGTATTGTCGAGGGATCCTCCCCTCGCCATTTTCGGAAGAAGGGAGATCGTTGCTAACCGACCACGGGGATTACAAGGTCCTGAACCTGTATTTCCCCTTTTTCGACGAGAATTCCGGGAAGGATAAATCCGAAGTGATTAAGTTTTATAATGAAGTTGGGAGGTTTATTAGGATGCATGAAAACATGGTTATCTGCGGGGACTTTAATGCAGTATATTCGATTGTGGACCATTACCAATTCTACAATGAACTTCTACGTATACAACGCATGGGGAGGACGGGATGGACGAAGGAAACAAGACGAATGAAGAAATGCCCGTCCAAGACCGAGCTTCCTTATGAATTTTGCAGTGAAGATGCATTAGAAGCCTATTTCTTTGAAGTACAACAAAGAAAGTGGCTAAAGAATCTAGTGGACTCGGGGGAGTATATAGATACTTACAGGATTCTGCATACAAGGCCTGAGTCGTACACATGCTGGAACACCATGCTTAACCTGCGCCCTCGCAACTTGGGTACGAGAATAGACTACATTCTTATTCCATCGGGTTTCTTCTACAAGCTCAAGGATTGCGATATACAACCTAAGATCTACGGAAGCGACCATTGCCCAGTGTACGCAGAGATGGATTTTAAGATCACAGACGATGGAAATAACATCCTAGACAAAAGAAAAAACAACATACTTGATTTCTTTGGGTCCTGAAACAAAAATGACAGTCCTACTTAAACAGCCTTCCTTATGTTTTCAGAAACTATGTTTAGATGATTTCCATTAATCTTCCATAGAGAACAATTGGACAGTACTATAATCGCACCCACCTTCAATCCAAATTCGTCAACCACTCTCTGGGAACAAGACCCGTATATGGAGTCGCTTTCGTCTACTAGCTCTAAACAAGCTACATCTCCTCCAAACATGTCTAGTTTTTTGATTATCCCTGTAAACTCTCCTTCAACCTTATACTTTTTGCTTTTCTTTATTTCATCTATGTCCATTTTGGCCTGTATTTCTCTTCTTATCTGCTTTAGTACATTAAAATCTAACTTCATGATGTGAAGCGGCGTAGAAACTTGGGAGGATGTAAGCTCATGGATATCTTCTTCATCTTCATCTAAGGTTTTTTCGACTTCCTCCTGGTTAAATGGGTTATGTGGATCTTCGTCAGACAGGTCTTTAGATGCGGTGTCGTCCATAGGATGGTCACTATCATTTTCTAAGGAACTTGCTTCGTCTCTCTCTTTTGTTTCTGTGTTTCTAATCTGTGAAATTAACTCGTCCATATAAGCAATGGTAATTGAAGGGATTCTATCTAAAAAGAATTTGGAAACTGATTTAATGTCTCTTTAGCAAGGACTGATCAAATAGGAACAAACCTACGCCTTCTCCTCCACATCTTGTGCAGTTGACATATAAGTCGTTGAACTCCGAAATAGATTCTACCTGTTCGGCGATAAAATCCTCCAAGAATTGGACAATGGTCTCATCTCCTGCTTTTGCAGCTATTTCAGAAATAGTCAATATATTGTCAAGCACAGTCTGCTCAAACTCTTTGGAGGCCTTGAGAATATCACTTGTCTTTTCATACTTCTTTATGTCTGGAGCCTCTATGGTCCTGAACTCAATATTCAATCCTCTCATGTTCATAAAGTCAATGATTTTTTGTGCATGTTCGTTTTCCTCAAGACTGTTTTTCTTGAAGAAGCCAGCCAGTCCTTTGAGGCAGACATTGGGGTCTTCAAAATGGGCAGCACATGCAGTGTAGAAGTAAAATGCATTGTACTCCAATAACAATTGAGAAGAGAGGAGTAGGCCTGCTTCCATTTTCCATTCATCAGTTGAAGCTTCTCTTGTCTCGGGATTCATTGTATAGTAAACAAATATGTTGTTAAGAGTAGTTTCATCTTCTTTGAGATGATACTTACTCCAGAAATATTTGCAGAAAGAAAGAGCCCTGATGAAGCAGAGATACACCTTTTTAGACATCAGAGCAACAGTCAACGAGTTGAAGCCTAGACTGGTGGGAAAGTTCATCCAGAACTTCTATACGACATCTCAGAGAATCATCTACATAAAGTTCAGTAACAAAGATATCCTCCTTGTCGAGCCGGGTGTTAGAATCCACTTGACGCAGGAGCATGACATGGACATTTCCCATTTCTGCAAGATTCTGCGAAGAAAGGCCAGAAGAGACAAGGTTGTTGATATATATCAATGCGGATTTGATCGGGTGGTTGTTTTAGAGCTTGGAAGGCAGAAGATTGTATTTGAATTCTTTTCAGGGGGGAATATTTTGATTGTAGAAGATGGAAAGATAGCAGAAATATTTCGGGTTGTCAAGGACTTAGATATTGTCAAAGGGTCAGAGTATGTGTTCAATAAGGTTGACTTTGACCTTAGCATTGATGCTTTTATCAAGAACGATCTGAAAGATTTTCTCCCCCTAGACGACCTCCTGGTCAAGAAGGTCTTGAACGAACTAGGCACCCGGATCAAGGCTGATCCTATAGACATGAAAAAAGCAGCACAGAACGGTATTCCGATAAAGGAAGATGTCAAGAGCATATTCTTGGAGTTCATGAGTGAGTTCCGAAAGACGATGGAGGATATTCAAGGATATGGAGGTGTTATCATGGAAAAGGGAAAGCCATCGAATCTGATTCCATTTAAGGCTGATGGGGCAAAGGACTTCAACACATTTAATGATGCTGCAGAGTATTTCTTTCAAGGGAGAAAGAAATTTGGAAAGAACGATAGAGAGACAAAAGTGGATAAGGTGAGAAAAAGACAAGAAAACTATATGAAGGAGATGGAGCAGCAGGGAGAATGTTATAGGAAGAAGGCAGAGCTATTGGAAAAAAATGCGGATCTTGTTAACCGAATCCTGGAGATCTTCAAAGTTGTTAGAAAAAACAAAGTGAAATGGACGGATTTTGAAAAGTTCCGAGAACAAGAGAACAAGAAAGGAAGCGAGGTTTCCAAGGCTATTGTGAAGACGGATTTTGTATCCCACACATGTTGGATAACTTTAGAAGGAGAAGAGATTCCGATTGATTTTAATATCTCACTATTCAATAATGTAAGCGAGTTTTATCAAAAAAGTAAGAAACTCGAAGAGAAGATTAGGAAGACTAGAGACAGTCTTGGAGAAGTGCTAAAGAAGATAGCGCCAAAGGTGGAGACTAAGAAAATCACAAGAACTCTGTATTGGTTTGAGAAGTTCCATTTCTTCTTTTCTTCAGACGGTGTACTTGTGATCGGGGGGAAAACTGCCCAGCAGAATGAAATTCTTGTTAAGAAGCATCTAGAGCCTACAGACTTGTACTTCCATAGTGATGTACATGGTGCTTCAAGTATTATTGTCAAGAAGCCTACAGAGAAGACTATTGTAGAGACGGCATCGATGGCGCTTTGTATGTCAAGATGTTGGGAGACAAATGTTGTTTCTCCTGTATGGTATGTTTATGGTGAACAGGTTAGCAAGACGGCACCTTCAGGGGAGTATTTGGGAAAAGGGTCTTTTATGATAAAGGGAAAGAAGAACTATGTGGATTGCCATAAGATAGAGTATGGGCTAGGATTGTTATTTCGAGTTTTCGAGGATATTGAAAAGCAGGTTGAAAACATGAAGGTTGATGAGAAGGAAAACCACAAGTTTGTGAGCGATCCGGAGGGGATGGAGATTGTCCATTCGATGCCTGTGTGTGGGCCTTGGAGTGTCATATCGACCTACAAATATAAAGTCAGGCTTGTGCCCGGAAGAGAAAGAAAAGGAAAACTGGTGCAGGAAGTATCGAAAAGATTTGTTGGGCAGGCGCCTGATAGCGAGAAGAGCTATGTGAGAAGTATATCGGTAGAAGAATACATTAACGTTCTTTTTGGAAATGTCCGAATAGGAAAATGATGTCTGATTAAAGATTATAAAGAATGTTTTTAGACGCCCCTCAAAGCAGAAGAAGGGATGTAGCTTGTGCAAAGTCCTTTAAACGCTTTTAAACAAAGCACCAGAGGCAAAACATTCATGTGTTCCTAATAGTGCATGAACACCTATCCTCTGGAACATTTTTATTGTAATTTTTCGTTGTATAAATTTTTTTCTGATGGGCTTGGAGGATGGGAGAGCACGAGACAAAGAGAAGGTACTCGCTTAGAAGAAGGAAGGATCCTTCGAAGGAGGTTACAAGGGCTAGAGGATCCAAGGTTGAGAAGGATTTAGACTTGGGTAGAACAGCCTTGATCGGGAAGTGGCTGGAGAAGCTAAAGGACCTTGGGCTGAATAGCGAAGAAAATACAATTCTAGAGAAGAAGAGTACGAGAGATGGGGAAGAGGTGTTTGGAGCTTCTAATAAAGAGGATTCCTGTATTGAGGAATGGAAAACGACATCAAATGAGGAGAGAAAGGAAAAGATTCGGCAGTTTGGTGGGATATCACATTTAGAATTTAAAGGACTGAGTCTAAATTTCCATCTTTATCTTCCAAAGACTCTCCAGAAGTTGTCAAGAATATTCCGCGTCTTAGAAACAATTCAACGCTTTAATACAGCAAGAAACCTGACAACGATTTTTATAAAATCGTTAGGATGTATAGAAAATCTTGTTAAACAGCGAGTGCAGGTGGAGGACATTGAAAGAATGTATTACATAGCTCCGAGGCTTTTTGGATTCAAAAGGATAAATATTCACCATGACGGAAAGGAAGTTAGGACTTTTGTCATTTATATTAATGGAGAAGCAAGGGAATTTAACGAAGAGCTTGAGAGGTATGTTAAAGATTGCCACCTAAAGTTTCTCAAAGAGAGGGGATATGATTACAATGGAAATGGATTCCATCCTGAATTTGACTTTGAAGAGATCCCCTTGTATAGGAAGCCTTTATTTCCTGAAGAAGCTCAAGAGGAAGAAGCCTCTGGAAACGAAAACCTTATTCCGGTGAAAAGAAATCTTAAAATAGAAGAAGTAGCCAGGAAAAGAGCATCTACCATATTGGAAAGGATAAGGGAGAAGGAAAGGATGAGAAGAGAGGAGTTTATGAATAAATCTAAGGAGGAAGAGGATAATGTTCTTTTGAGCAATAGAATCCAAATCCTATTTAAGTCAGAAAACAAGCGTGCAATTCCAGTTAGTAGAGTCGTGGAGCTATTGAAGATATTTGATGGAGCAAACACAATTAACAGAATCATCAAATGGGATTCCTCTCTGTTTTACATAAAAACCATGAACGGAACGGAGTACCTTGTCTCTAAAGGCTAATGTAAGCTTGAATGAATATTTAGATTTTTATTTTCTTCTTCTGGACTCCATGGTATTATAGCCCCCTAGGACATGGAATAGATCCTTTATGAAATACTTTAATTACTTTAAAAGTCTCGGATAGGCTAAATGTTCTTTCGCCTAGCATATGTTCTTGGGGATGATATACAATTAGGTTATAAAGCTAAGACATTTTGGGCAAAGACCCAACCAAAAGATTTCCGTCCTTCATGGGAATTGGCGGCCGGTTTATTTCCGTAGTACTCATGCATGCTGAGAAGTTTTCTGGTAAGAATCCTGTGCTTGGAGATCCTTTGTCTTTGGTTTTATCTATTCTCAAAGAAAAGAGATTTTTTTCTAATTTATTCTGGAGAATCCTTGGAACCTCGAGGCTGCCTGAAGCTTTCATCAGGGTGGCAGTTAAGGCCTGTTTTTTAATAACTTCGTACTCCAACAAAGAGGAATTGAAAGAAGTAGGACGATAACCAACTGCTCTTGGATTTAAACAGAAGGACTTGGAGCCTGATTTATGTTTCCAACTGGAAGTGTACCCTTGCTAAGTTTTCCCACTCTATATATTCTGCATATGTAAATGTCCTTATGGCAATATCTCCAGAGGAAATTTTTCATATTGCCCACGAAGAGCTTGTTGAGATAGAACCCACAACGTCAATACCAGAGCTGTGTCTTCTAGAGAAGACTTATCCGGCGCTGATGCCCTTAGATATAGCAAGAATTCCGCTATATGCAGCCCTACTTCTGAAAAAATCGAACATGTGCAAGATAAGACTTCCATCGTATCTGCAGATAGAAAATCTTAAGGCGACAATGGATGCCGAAATACAAAAAGTCGATGAATACTCTCAGATCCATCCATATTTCTTTCCTCTTGCAGAGAAGCTTCTGGAATGCTGCTACAATGTTGAGAACATAGAAGAAAGTAAGGTGATTGTTGAAAAGATCAAGGAAATAAGACTTGCAAAGACACTCAAAGGTATCAAATGCTTGGATGGAAGAGCTTTAAACATGAATAATATCACACTATTTGAGTTTAATGAGGTTAAAGAGCTTATCATCGGATCTGTGGAAGCAGGGCGGAAGATTGAGGCCTTGTCAAAAAACCAATGAAGTCAGTATACGCATTACAAACGACTGAGAATTGGAAACCTTGTTTCATGGAGGAACTCCCTGAGTCGTCTTATCTGCGATGAAACAAGTAGGAGTAGTATATAACTACTTTGAAAAGGTTTAGTAACATATGAGATTCCAGAAGTATCTGAGGAGAAATGTATATGCACCGTATAAGTACAATTACCTTGATTACGAAAATCTGAGAGAGAAGTTTAGGGAGAAAGAGTTTACTTCGAGCGATGAAGACGAGTTCGTCAAGGACCTAGATTCCAACATAAAGAGAGTTTTTGGGTTTGTTGAATCCAAGCATTCCGAATTTGTACAAAGGCTGAAGACACTAGAGAAAAAATCACATAGAGAGGCAAAGACCAAGATAAAGGAAATGGCCGAGGAGATGCGGCATTTTGCAGAGTTTATAAGAATCAACGTCATAGGATTCAAAAAGCTCTTGAAAAGACATGATAAGCACACCAAGTACAAACTTCTTCCCTCTTACAAACCGATGCTAAAAGGGAAGATTAGATCTATCGAGGGTCTTGACGAGTTGATATACAAGGCAAGTAAGATTTCTCTTAAAGTTTCAGAGATGAAGAAAAGAGAAGTTGAAAGCAACAGCACGTTTATAAGAAGAACCGACAAGTATTGGGTCCACAAGGAAAACTTAGTACCTGTGAAGTTTTATATTACCCAGCATCTTCCAATATATGTTTTCACAAAAAACAACGATGGAAAGAGTCCGTACAGTTCATGGGACAAGAGTTCGCATGACTCCTGCATATCGTCTGTTTACTTTGATAACGTAACATTCGATCTTTATAGTGAGAGACTTAAGAAACTGCATCACTCAGAGGCCATCAGGATAAGGTGGTATACCTCTGAGGACCCGGAAGTGGTGTTTGTCGAAAGGAAGAGACACGAAGATGGATGGACTGGAGAGTCAAGCAAGAAGTTAAGATTTATGATAAAAGAAAAAGACGTGCTTAAATACATTAATGGAGAAGATGTATGGGAGGATGTAGAGAAACTGAACAAAAATGAAGACGTAAGAACATTGTATGAAGAAATACAGTCGTCTATTATCAATAGGGGGTTAAGGCCTGTTGTCAGAACGTTTTACAAAAGGAGTGCGTTTCAGCTTCCAAATGACTCCAGTGTCAGAGTCAGCCTTGATACAGACTTATGTATGATAAAAGAATGTAGTGATGGTGAAATAGCCGATCCAACCGGTCCAATCCGAAAATGGAGAAGAAGTGATGTGGGATGCGACTTTCCCTTTAGAAATGTCCCAAAGAATGAGATAGTTCGCTTTCCTCATGCAATACTCGAGATCAAAACACAAAGTTTTGACGAGACAAATCCTAAGTGGATTGAAGAGCTTATCAATGGCCCATTAGTGGAGCATGTGCACAAGTTTTCCAAGTATCTCCATGGTTGTGCAGTCTTGTATCCATTTATCCAGGATATTCCTTATTGGCTTCCTCAAGTAACTGTAGACATAAGGAAGGATCCATTTCAGCCAGATGTGGACAAGAAGTCTTTTAAGGATACGGTTCTAGTCGATATTCCTGCAGAAAGTGATCCCAGCAACAGTGAAAAGCTAAGTCCTATAGAAGTACATGGAAAAAGAATATCGATTCCTGTCCGTGTTGAGCCGAAGGTATTTTTTGCTAACGAAAGAACGTTTCTGTCTTGGGTCCAATTTGCCATCTTCTTAGGAGGTATAGGAAGTGCTTTATTGGGCCTTGGGGATGAGAAGGCTAGTCTCTCTGGTTTGATTCTGGTCATTGTAGCAATAATCTTCTCCTTCTATTCTTTGTACCTTTATCTATGGAGGGCCAAAATGATAAGAATGAGGGATCCAGGACCATACGACGATATATATGGCCCTGCTGTTCTTGTCTGTGTGTTTTTAGTTGCTATGGGACTCTCAGTTTTCTTTAAGTTTCCACTAAAGAGAGTCTGAATAAAACAATTTATTTGCCAATGGTTCTTAGAAATTAATGCCTTGGGAGTGGTATTATGTGGTTTTTCCTTACATAAAGAAGTCCATAGCGGGACTGGGGTTTTTACGGAAAAACCTAGAACCGTCAAAGCAGTCGAGAAGCCATTCAAGAGTAAGCCTTTCCTCCACCTTAAGGCTTTCCATCATCTCTTTCAACTTATGATTATATTCTATTACATTTGCAATGTCCTCCTCAAGCTTCTTAAGCTTTGTTTCTAGTTCTTTATTAATTTCTTCCCTTGATTCCATGGAAAGGGTATTTTGGAGTTGAGTTTATTTGTTAGCGAGACTTGCATAGTAAGAGCTTCTCTTATCATCAAACATTCTTTTAAAATATTCCTCCAAAAATAAACATATTCTTCTTGTGTCGTCCTTGCTTGTTTCAACATACTTCTCATAGTACACGACTGCTTCTGTATACATCTTCATGTTCTTATAGGCATCTCCTATATATAGATATCCATCGGGATCGTTCAGCTCTATGACGTTTTTGAAGCATCTAATAGCATCGTCCATCTTATTCAGGTTCATATAGCATTGCCCTAGAGTTGTCCAAACAATAGGGTCGTTACTCTTGTACTCCAAAGCTTTCTTGATAAAGAAAAGGGCATATTCATACATTGTCATCGTTGCATATGCCTGTCCAATACTATACCAGGCCCGGTAGTCCATAGGACACATTTTCAGAGCGATGTTGTAAGAGTTAACCGCCTTTTCCATATTCTTCATTTCAAGATGCTCATGACCTATAAGCGTATGGACTATCGAAGAAGAAGGGTTCAGCCTTACGCTGAGCTGAAAGTATTCAATTGCTTTCTTATGCTCCTTTTTCATAGAATAATAGTTTGCTATGCAGCACATTGTCTCGGATCTATACTTGTTTATGTTCAGAGCATTTTCTGCAAGAAGAAGAACTCTATTATCATTCTTTATGTACAAAGCGTTTGAATAGAGATCGATGTAATCCAAATCATAGTAAAAGGAGTTTTTTGTAATCTTCTCAAACACCTCGATGCATCCTTTAAAATCCTTCTGGTGATATAGAACAGCCCCGGCTAAGTTCGGATATTTCATGTTAATACAGAGTCCGTCCGAGAACTTTCTCCACTTACTTTCGCATACTTCATTTTCAGGAACAAAGGCCGGGGTCCAGGTTTTCTTGATCATCTTTGTACAAAACAGATGCATGAAAAAGAAGTCGCTTAAGCCACCAACAATGCTAATTGATCCTATAGTTTCAGGGGTGGCGATCTCTGCAAGATCCAGATATGCTTCCCAAAACCATGGATTTATCAAAATAACATCGGAGAGAATACGGCAGTCTTTTTTTACCTTACCTTCTATGTAGAGTAAAAACTCGTCTTTTTCGCATCCACACCAATGGACCTCCACAGGTTTATTGAGATGAAGAAGTAGATTTATGTTTCTTATGAAGTTGATTCTCTGGGAACAACATGCACAAAACACGACTTCTTCAAGATGGAGAAGACTGGCCTTGCAAAGGAGAGAGACGTATGCTTTTCTGTACTCCTTTATGTTTTGGTAAGTTAGTGAAAGATACTCCTTCGAGGACAATGTTACTGAAATTTCATCAGATGTTATTCCAACCTTGGACAAGAAGTCAACTGTTTTATGGAGATTGCGTGCAAAGAACTCGGCCATCATCAGGGCTTGGAGCTCCAAAAATTTGTTGCCCAATAAATGGACTTGAAATTGGTCCCTGATGGATTTGGAGAAAGTACGTATTTCTCAAAAGAAGGTTATCAACATTGTATTTGTCGGCCATGTTGATGCAGGAAAGTCAACGATATGCGGGCAGATCCTTGTTCAAATGGGATTGGTAGATCCAAGGACATTGGAGAAGTATAAGGAGATGTCTCGAGAACAGAATAGAGAAAGTTGGTATTTGAGCTGGTGTCTGGACATCAATCCTGAAGAAAGAGAGAGGGGAAAGACTACAGAAGTAGGAACGGCATCGTTTGAGCTTCCTCACAGAAGAATAAATATACTAGACGCACCGGGGCATAACCAGTTTGTATTTGAGATGATAAATGGGGCCAACCGAGCGGATGTGGGGATACTGGTTATATCTGCAAGGATAAACGAGTTTGAGGCGGGGTTTGAAAAGGGAGGTCAGACTAGAGAACACATCTTTTTGTTAAAGGCCGGAAGTGTCCAAAGGTTGATTGTACTAGTTAATAAGATGGATGATCCAAGTGTGGGATGGAACAAGAGTAGGTTCGATGAGATCAAGGACAAAGTCTCGGCATTTGTTAGAAGGATGTTTCCTGTCCCTGTATTTATTCCTGTTAGTGGATTTACTGGAGAATACATCAAGGACAAAGGATCATGCCCATGGTACGATGGGGAATCTTTTCTTTCGGAGCTCGACAAGATAACAATCCCAAGAAGATCGGATGTGCCTTTGGCAATTACTGTTACAGAAAAGGTAAAGCTAATGGGAATGACGATTTTGTACGGGAAGGTTGAATGCGGAAAGGTAACTCCCGGGATGCCAATAAAAATCCTGCCACACAATACAAAGAACTTCATTTCGTCTATAATGGATGATGAAGATGTTGAAATTGAGGAAGGGAATCCAGGAGATGTTGTGAAACTGAAGCTAAAGGAGGATCCAGATGATGTATCAGTTGGAACTAAAATACTAGATCTCAACAACATGGATTACAGATCTACACAGGAATTTACATGTGGATTAAACATACTCGACGTCGATACAATAATAAGCTCTGGGTATACATGTATTCTTCATGTAGGAATTGCTACCGTTCAGTGCAAAATAAAAGAAATAAGGGACATCAATAACAAGAAGATCAGATTCTGCCGCCATGGAAGTAAGGTTCTTGCAAAGATAGTGGTTTCATCTCCTATCTGCGTTTTTCATGGTAACAAGGATGAAGAAGAAAGACAGAGATTTGCACTGAGGCTCGAGAGTAAAACCATTGCTGTAGGTGTAATAAGAACCGTAAAAGAATAAAACACTCCGGCTTAAGAATCGCTGACTCCTGGAGGATTTTTATGAAAGTTCGGAAAGTCTTTTAATTATGAGAGCTTACCCTGTTCGGATTGAATCCATATCTGATCTTTCTTCCTTGAGAAGAGCGGACTCTAACTATCTTGGCGTGGCACGCACAAGACACGCAGAACTGTGACTTATAGCCCATCCTTGGAACTTCAAACACTTCGTAGATGGTTTTCTCTTTCAGATCATCAAATGAGGCCTGTTCAATGAGAGACTGAATCCTAAATCTTTTGATTGCCTTATCCTTAGGTGTTACACTGCCGCACTTATCGCACTGGATGGGCTTCACACTTCCTCTGTTCTTCTTTGATCTCCCGTGGTTTCTTCTTTTAACTGTCTATAAAATTAGAATGCTTCGCCTATCACTTACCATTCTTAAGGGCAAAAATTTTCGAGTCAATGAACTTTGCCATTCGCAGGTTTGATCAAGTGCAGAATTCTGTTCCACCAGCCATTCCATTCTTAAAGACGGAAGAGAAATGATCCAATTCTATTTTAGTTCTTTAACTTTTAAATAAGGTACGTACTTACCCCAAACAATAACAGAACCTTGCATTTGGATGAGCTTTCTAGAATACTTATCAACAATAAAAAGACATCTTCTATCCCAGAAGCTCCCGGGGACCTATAGATCCGAATCCAATAGGAACTTCCAGGCAATATTCTTTACCTTAGGCCTTCTAAACCTGATCTTCGGGGTGATGGCAACACTTGTTTATGCCAGCCTACTGGAGGAAATCATTCCATACACAGACAGTACAAGTATCGATGTCTATCTTCCCAGTGGGAAGATTTATCTTTTTTTGGAAATGAGAGAGTTCTACCAGACCAATCTGAGATACAGCAAGAGCATCAGCCATCCTCAGCTCCAAGGCAAAAGGCCGAAGAATCTCCAAGCGGCTAGACCATTAGCTTACGACGATGGAAAGGTTATATATCCTGCAGGACTTCTCCCAAACAGCTTCCCTCACGACACATATGAGATTGATGGAGTAGACGTTGAGACAGATGGAATTTCATGGGAATCAGAAAGAAGCACAATGAAGCCACCGTCTTATACGAGGGATGAAGTTGTTTCTCCTCCTCTTTGGCCTGTTTATGATGATATTCCGGACCTAAGCCAAAATGAGAGGTTTATCAACTGGATTTATATATCTCCCTTTCCAAGCTTCAGAAAACTCTGGGGAGTAGCTAATGTAGAAACAGAAGGAACATACAAACTGAATATCACATCTATATTCCCATATGGAAAGAAAAGAGTGTGTCTCTTGCAATCATCGGTCATAGGGCCCAAGAACTATTTCTTGTCTATTGGGTTGATTTTTGTAGGGCTGGGGATGATTCTACTCTCTCTCCACGGCCATTTTTTGTGATGAAAGTCCTACAGATAGCATTCTTATGATTGAATAAATTAGATCCTTTTAATTGTAATACTCTAGACTTCCAGAACGCATTCTTTGCTTACCTGTATCCAATCTAACTAGTGGTCTTCATAATGTCCTTATAAGATATCATCGAGTCTCCCGTAACATAAATTCTAGACTTCCCTTTCATTTCTGTATTATAATACTCATACAAAGCCCTGTATTCCGAGTAGGTTACTCCTCCCCGGACATATACTATCATGTAGTCCATTGGATTCTCCGATTCTCTTATCTCTAAGAAGTATCTATCATCAAGCCTACTTGTCCACCAGTGGCGAGCAATTCTTTTGATTGCAGGCTGATATCCTAGCTTAACATCAATACCATCGTGAAATCTGTATCCATAGCATCTTGGTATGGAAGCTCCAATAGAATATCTTCTTGTAAACGACTCCACTTCTTCTATAAGGTCTGGATATTTCTTAGCTTCGTCATTGGGATTTCTTTTGTTTCGGAGCGAGTATATTATAAGCAATTTACTCCGCTCCATAATAGAAATATCCTTTCTTGTAAGGTACTCGCCAACCTCTTCTTTACTAGTCCTGTTGTTTTTTAAGATGTTCATCTCGGTTTCGCTTAGGTCCTTAAGCCTGAGGCATGCTCTCATCACATAGCCATGCTGAGAAAGGTGTGCCTCTAGCTGCCGGGAAATCTTAGTGTTTTCTTCCAGATCATCGAAGACAAAGTCATGAAGCTTCTTCTTCTTAAACTCGGCCTTTTTGATTAAGCCTTTGATATCTTCCGAAACTTCATATATGTCCTTAAATTTAGAAGCATTGAAAAATGAATCATCCACTACCGAATAACTTTTCTTTCCTATTTGAACAACACCGTTCTCATAATCTGCATGTTCATAAAGTAGAGATTGATACCTCCATTCATATAACAACGGAGTATATATATCGAAAGTTCTGTCTAGGATTATGAGAGTCCCTCCTTGCTTGCTCCCAAGACTCATAAGCCTGGTGTTCAGTGAATCTGCATCTTCTAGCAGCAACTTGTCTCCCACTTGAACCTTAATTGCTGGGACTCCTCCTAGATTCATGATAAGGGAAAAAAGACCATCCAAAGTTCTTTTTCTTATGGAAGGGGATACTTGATTACTTGTCTTTGCTCTGTGGAAGGTATACAGAAAATCATCTTGTCTAAAGAAGTCAATATATATTTCATGAACTTCGGAGATAACACAATATATATCGCTCGTAGCCAGTATTTCCAGCATCAAGGAATCCATCTGATTCGTAAATAGAACAATATATCTCTCATAGAATGGATTTGCCACCTCTTCTATCAGCCATCTTATACTCTCAGGCCGTATTACTGCCATGCAGGTAATACCTTGAATCTTTTCCCTTCTTTTGTTCATTATATTATCAAATAGGAAGTAATCGTTCTCGAGAAATCTTGAATGAGGAATTATGTTACTAAGGATTATCTTGGTGTCTTCATCAAATAAGAGGGCCTTAACACCCTCTCCCATTTCCAATATCTCATCAATCTTTTTGCTGAGTAGATCATCGTGCATGGCTTCCAAGTGTTTGTTGGATTGCTCTATTTCTCTGTTTCAGAATCATATCCAAAACTAGAAATCACTCTGTTTCGAAACCACATCCATTAGTTTTACATCTTTTATTTCTTAGATAGAAAGCTTGCCTCAAGAAAATGGAGCTGGCCTTTAGTCCTTTCTTCTCTCTCACTATTGAACAAGGAGTTATATCCACGTCCAAACAACCATGAAAACGCAGACATTCTCTCGACGCCTTTGAGCCAATGCATTGTAGAAATTCTTTCCAGAGGAAGCACTTCTGTGGTTTTTATGAACCATTGGCTGCTATTTCTTAATTTAAATGTAAGATGAGGCCCAATATTCAGGCTGTAACTGTCGTCCTTTAGATAATATGATGTGCGGATCTCAGAGCCTCTGACAACGGCTTTGTTATAGAAAAGTCGATATACCGGGTATCCTAGGTCATAGAAGTCGTGCAAAGATACTTCTGTTTCCAAACCCTTTGTATCATCTTTGAAACACCCTATCAATCCCATGACATCATTCCTCATGCTGACAAGATTCTCGACATTCTTCCGCGGGGTTTTTATTACAACATTGTCCTTGTATGCAGATTTCTTTCTCTCTCTTTCATTCATGAATTTGATATAGACACCATGCTTTTTCATTATCTTTTGGATATTCTTCCCTCCATACCCAATGATCCTTTTATGATGTTTTTCATCAATATAAAAGGTCAACTCTTCAGGAAATTCGTCTTCAATCATTTCTAAGGCATTTTTGAATGCTTCAGAGCGCCCATTTATGACCATATGGACCCGGGAGCTCCCCGGCTTCTTATGTATTCCAATTCCACAACATACGTCTCTCATGATCCTTGTGATTTTTCCATTTTTCTTTCCGCAGAGGAACTCCACTGTTTCTGTCTCTATGTCCATCTCAGCCTCCACATACCCTCCGTTTTCTTCTACCATCCTCAGTAAATTTTGCTTCTCGCTAATGACCAAGAAGGAACTCGTGTCGCTGATATGAAGTACAAAAGCATTATCATAATTCAAATGCTTCATGTTTTTCATCACAACCTTCATTATGTTGTTGTACAATAAATTTATCTTGTTCTTTGCTCTTCGGACTTCATAAAGGTCAAAGCCCTTCAGAACTATCTCTGTGTAGTCGGAGCATATCTTTCTTGTGTTTATGTATGTCTGGGTGTCAGATAGAATATCCTCGATTTCTTTTCCCTTGTATAGAAGCAAATACATAACCTTTTGCGAATCAAGCACAAGGCTTTCAATTATTTTCTCTGGCTCCTTGATATCAAGACCTAAGCCGCTATGGGATATAAGACATTCGTCAGAGTTTATTCTGGAGTGATAGAATATCCTTCCTCCTTTCTCAATAACTTCTTTTGTGGGTATGAGAATTCTCCTAATCTCTGTGGTTCTCCCAAAGGCTTCTTCGATCATTAATAGGATCTTCGTTCGAGCACTGAGACACGCCTTTCTTTTTCCACAAATAAATATTTCAACCTTCCCGCTTATCTTAATGCAAATGGAAGTGTCTGTACTACTCATTATTTCCTTAACTCTCTCCATTATCTCAGCTTTCATGGAGTAAAGACAAAGGGGGATTTCCAGTCTGTAGCAGTATCTAAAGCATCTACTAGCCAGCTCCATCATTTGGTGAATGCCGTAAGGATGGCCCATACTCAGAGATACCTGAACCTTGTTTCCTATGCTTTTAGATACAGAGACATGGCCTATTCCCACAAGAATTTTATGGAGGTCCAAGCATATTCCATTATACATGGACGAAACCATTTCCCTCGGCGTATGTTCCCCTAATGGTATTATGAAAGACAAGGAGGCTCCGTCGAGCTCGGGCACAGTGAAGGACTCGAGCCCCTTTCTACGGTGCTCCATGGTTCTAAGGAACTGTCTGTCTTTTATACGCATAAGCATATGAAACATACATCACATCAGGCTTCTAAAACACGGATTGTAATACCTTATGGATGTTTATTGGATTCCAACATGGAGCAAAGGCTCAGTTTAGTAAGAATGTTTTCTCTAGCTACAGCAGATAATATAACTACAAATAGAAATTCCCATTAGCGATGCAAATAAGGGGACTGAAAGTGGAAGATTGAAGGGCCTTTCCTCAGAAGGATACTTCAGCTTGAGAAGTACAAGACCTATGCATGACAAAGAATAAAACAGAGATATTCCAAATGCTATCTTGTTTACCATCCAGGTTATGCTCTCCAGCTTGGCAAATCCAAAGACAATGAAAGAGAAAGCAATAAGTGACATCACCTCCGTCTTCTTGTTGAATTTCTCTGGAATAAGAGACTCGATAATCCCAGAACCAACAATAAATGAGCATATGAGAGATCCAAAGGTGGGGATAAGTGTAACTATCACCGATAGAATTCTAGGAGTAACTGGGATTCCCACTGCTTTGAAGTATTCGTCGATAAAAAAGACGCTTCCAATAATGTGGTCGTATGGTACCACACACATCATCGATAAACTTATGAGTATGTAAATGAAAGCTACAGCCCATATAGATCCAACTATAGCCCTTGGAAAGGTCTTTGCAGGGTTATGTATTCTGTTTGCAATGTAGTTTCCACAGTTCCATCCGTCAAACGAAAATTGCGTAAAGCACAGTCCCTGAACTATTGACGTTGAGTCTATCTCCACAGTATTATTTCTTTCGTCCAGTATTGCGGGATTTGCAGAATTCTTAATTACGGTAAACGACACCAAAGAAATTCCCAAAAGAGAGACAACAGTGGCAACCTTGAGGAAAAACAGTGCCCTCATTGTCCATGTGACTAGTCTCCCTCCAAAGGATAGAAATATAGTGCATAGAGCTAATACCACGCCAATGCAACAATCTCTTCCAATGTCGTCCTCAAAACACTCATATATCTTGATCGACATAACTGCACAAGACAGTGGTAGGATCAGTAGTATGGAAACCATGGAATAAATAGTTCCTACATGTTTTGAATATGCTCTTCCAAGATAGTTCAAGTCTCCTCCCGGATATGGATAGGTTGCCCCAAGTTCTGCGTAACATAGTCCAAATACTGTTGCAATTACTGCCGAAGCAACTATTAGAAGGATGGAAGAGACACAAGTTCCCGTCTGTGATAAAATATAGTGGGCCATACTAAAAACTCCTATTCCAACCATGTTACATATGGACAAAAACATAAGATCAAACGTCTTGATTTTTTTTTTCATTTACGGGGCTTTGATTCGGAGCTTTTAAATTAAGGGATATGCCGCTGAGCCAAAACTAGTAAAAAAGAATGCCCTATGGATATCGAGTCCGCAAGAGACAATCTAAGAAATGATAGTGTCCCTATAGCAAGGAGAATGAGATCTCTGTTCTATTTACGAAATATATTGGAGCCTGGGTCTGTAGATGCTATTTCTGGGGCATTTACATCCAAGTCCGTTCTCTTGAAGCATGAGGCTGCATATGTTCTTGGACAAATGTGCATAGAAAATTCTATTAAGGTACTTCTAAATGTTTTATCTGATGAAAGCGAGAATGAAATTGTTAGGCATGAGGCGGCGGAAGCACTGGGGAATTTCAAGGCAACAGAAGAGATTGTAGCAGCGTTAAAGAAATACTCCGATCATCCTTTGAAGCCTATTTCCGAGACTTGCTATCTGGCACTTATGAAACTGAAGAACGGAATAAATATTGTGTCCAAGTTTGGATCTCGGGACCCGGCATCTCCAATGGAAGGAAGTTTTGAGGAGGCAAGAAAGATTTTACTGGATAGAAATGAATGTCTGTATAGAAGATACCAAGCGATGTTTTACTTGAGAGATCTAAATACGCTTGATGCTATACATTCTCTTGGGGAGGCTATGAGAGACGATTCATCACTATTCAAACATGAAATATCGTTCGTTTTTGGCCAGATGAGATCAGTGGAATCTATTCCATACCTTATTAAGGGGATGGAAGATGAAAAAGAACATGGGATGGTTAGGCATGAATGTGCAGAAGCTTTGGGAGCGATTGGAAATGACAAGGCTTTGGAGGCGTTGGCCAAATACCTTCACGATCCATGTGACATTCTGAGAGAAAGTGTAGAAGTGGCGGTAGACATTCACAATTATATGACCAGTAACGAGATAGAGTACTGCAATGTACAATGAGATGAACATAGTGAGTTGCATTAGAAGAGAACATGAAACTATGTTGCTTGGGTATTTTCATTAAATTGGTTCAAGATCTTTGGGGAAACTTACAAGATACGCAGTTTATTTTCCAGACAGAGTGGAAATGTAACCTTTTAGTAAAGGAATGAGAAAACACCAATTGGCTAGTACGGTCATTACATGGAATATCTCGTGGTATCCAAATACCTGAGGATATGGATTAGGCTTTTCGATTCCGTAAATGAGTCCTCCGATTATGTATATGGCACCACCCAATATAAAAAGTGAAGTATCCCCGACTGTAATGCTACTCGCAATGATACGGAAGAATGGAATAACAGAAATACCGTGAAGTATATAGACCATAAGATCAAAATGCAGATGCAGCTTTTTCATCAGAACGATCTTTAGAATTCCTGCAAGTGATATTGTCCAGGTCATCAATAGAGCGTACTTTGTATATGTGCCCACTGGAACCAAGGTAAGAATCACAGAAGTCTGGGTACCCGATATCAGAAGGAATATAGAGATGTGGTCCAGCCTCTGGAAGAGGGATCTTATCTTCTCATCCTTCCACGACGTAACATGGTATGTGCTGCTTACACCGAACAAGATCAGCTGAGACAGAAGATATATCATTATTCCAAAGTTGCCTTTTTTATGAAAACAGCAAATAGTGTACAAAAAGGTCTTTACGATGGTGAGATAAAAAGCTATCTGGTGGATCCGTCCACGGAGCATAGGTTTTGGCTTTGTCATTTTGTTGGGTATGAGTAAACTAATTTTAATGCACATCAATCAATGTTGTTGTTGCTTTAAAACAATCCTGAAATGATCGTGCATATGAGAGGGGAGGAGGAATAGAGGAAATTAAAAAGAAGAAGGTAGGCCCCGAATATGAAAAGATCTCAAGATAATAAGAAGGATGAGATACGAAAAGACAAAAACATGAAGTCTCCTTCACTTAAAGAAAAGCTCACACCGGAAGAAGTGTGGAAAAACGCAGCTATTCTCCTAGGGACAAAAAAAAAAGAAGTAGCGCCAAAATCAACACAGGGCATGAAGAGTTTTGACTTTAACGAGGTTTGTACGGAGATTGAGAAAATAAACAAAGAAAGAATCCAGCTCTACGGTAGTGAGCACGAAGAGGGGATAAAAAGGTTTTATGAAATAGAGACTTCAAACTCCCTTGTCCACATTCCTAATTTCAAGAGTTTGGAGAGAAAATATGTTCCAAGAACTCCTGTGGAGACTCCCATCTTCTTTCCCAAAACACCGTTGTATGTGTTTGAGAGCCAGGACATATTTAAGAAACTAGATATAGACACACTTTTCTTTATTTTCTACTCACAGCTCGGAACTGTTCAGCAATACTACGCTGCAGCACAATTGAAGATGTATTCATGGAGATTTCATACAAAATACTTTACGTGGTTTCAGAGGTTGGACGAGCCCAAGCTAATAACAGCAGATTATGAAAGAGGAGATTTTCTATTTTTCGATTATGATGTCACATGGTCCTTCATGAAAAAAAGTGACTTTACATTTGAGTACAAATATCTGGAATGTTCCGAGTGGTAAACTCTCCTTTATGTACTTGTAACCCATATAGCTATCTTGGTAGAAGAAATAAATACTTTTGTTCCTATTTCTTTTTTCTCTTCAAAATTTCCTTGTATATCCTTTGAATTTCTTCTCTCTGCTTTGTGTCTTCAATTTCCTTTCTAAACCACAAGGAAATCAAAAACTTCTGGGGCGGAATCTTCGCCTTGAGAGCCATGCTCATCACCTTGTATGCGTGCCGGAATATTTCAAGCACCAACTGGGAGTTTCTACAAACCGCTGCCACGTCGCAATCGGGATCAGTTGGATCCTCTATGGACAATGTTCTTGTGTCATTCTTTACATATCCGGCCTTGTTTACTGAAATCCTTGCTATTTTGTATGGAAAGTCACATCCATAGTACTGGAAAAAGTCCATAAAAAGAATTCCGATATTCTTAAGAGGGGAGATTTGATTCTCTTGGACAAGCGGATGTAATTGGAAGAAACTCAAAAGAAGAAGAAATTGGGAGTAACTGTTGAGACCTCCTGTTGCTGCATCCGATTGGTTTCTTATTGTAAGAAAGTGCTTTAACAGAATGGCAAACACCTTCATGTAAGGATGCTCCTTCAAGGTGTAGCTTACGAACTTGGCTGCTTCGATTCCATTTGTCTGGTTCACAGAAATATCTATTTTAAACCCAAACACTTTATCGCTAAACTTAAGGATAGGTATTCTGCATTTTCTGATATGAAATAGAGTTTCTTTTCTGATGAAGTCTGCCTTAAGCATGAGGCTTTTTATCTTTGATAGGTACCTATTAGAATATTCCTTATCGTGGTTATTCCCAAGCTGGATATTTATGTCAATATCACTTGATGGAATAATAAGTCCGGTAGTATAGCTTCCAAAAGGCTCTACTTCGGCATTTGGAATCTCACGGACTATTAGCCTTTTGATTTTTTCAAATATATACTTCCGAGAGTTGATTTCTGTTGTTGTAGGTGCTAACTTTTGGTACAGTTGGTGTAGCTCAAGATCGAGTTTTTCCAAGTTTCCAAGAGAAACAGAGGACATATTTGTATCAAGCAATGATTCTATCGAAACCGCCTTGTGAACTATGGGGTTTACTCCTGCTTTGTTGTCTCGAGTTGGCCTAATAGACATCTCTACGGCACAATTTGTATGAGGATAAAAATAAGATGAAATATTATAGAGAAGAAAATTTAATAGACCCATTTCTCATCAAAGAAGGACATTGGCAGAGCTTCGTCCCCAATCCAAAGCTTGATTTCCTTCTCGGCATTTTCAACCGAGTCCGAGCCATGGATGATGTTTTTTCCCGTAGCCATTCCATAATCTCCTCGGATAGTTCCTACAGAGGCTTCCCGAGGATTTGTTTCTCCAATTAGTTTCCTTCCCACAGATACAGCATCTTTACCAACCCACACCATTGCTAGAACCATTCCAGACATCATGTGCTCCACCATTTCACCAAAAAATGGCCTGGCAGACAGATGGGAATAGTGCTGTTCTAGAACCTCTTTCTTTGGAATTACACATTTGGAAGCGGCTAGGTACAGTCCCTTTTCCTCGAATCTTTGGATCACTTTGGACATCAGCCTTCGCTTGATACCTTCGGGCTTGATCATGATAAAAGTTCTCTCCATTTAAAGGGATTCGTTCTTTTCGATTAAATTTTTACCAAGGTATTCAGAATACTAAAACTATTAATTCATCGGTTTATTACTTTCTATAAAAAGCACATAGATATCCCTGCCATATAGAAATCACTTGGTATACCGTACCTTATGTATTTTGGAGTATCTAATTAAACAAAGTCATTTAAGTCGCTGTTTGTCAGAAGCTCTCGGAATTTATCTATAAAATCATCATCCAAATTTAGCTTTTGATGTTTGCTTGTTTCTTTCATCTTGGAGCTTAAATTTTTTCCGTTGCTTCTCTTCTCCTGAACCGGTGAGTTGGTAGTAATAGAAGTTACACCGGTGTCAGGCTTTATAGTCTCTACGCTAGTTCTTAAAGGAATATGTATTTTTTCTGGATGCAAAGTGTTTCCTGCGGAGTTCTCTAGGGAATTTCTTCGATTGTAGTCCATGTGAGCATCTTTATCCAGTCGGTTGGCAAGATATTGGCTGTAACTACTCTTGAAGCCTGATTTACCATCCATTATCTTAGAGTTTGTAGAGTCATGCATGATATCTTTGGAGAAGTAAGATGGCCCCTGTGGACCTTTATAAAGTTCCTCTTTCTTTTCATCCTCACTCTCTGTCGAATCGAGAATAATAGCCTCTTGATTTTCTGTTGCTTTGGGTTCCTCCAAACTAAAGGATTTTCCCTTCTTTAGTACCTCCTCAGAGCTTTCTAGCTTGAATATCTGCTCTGGGGCACGCGAACATGGCATAAAGACAAACGAGTCCTTATAATACGTCACACAAGAGTTCTTTCCCCCAACTAATGTAAAATGGCCCTTGTTATCTACTTCTGAGACGGCCACATTCTTTATGACATATCCAAACTCATGTTCATCCATCTTAGAATCACTTTCAACCACATAGGACCTCTTAGGTGTTTCAGATTTTCTGGGGAGCCTTATATTGTGTAAAGTACTGTTAACTTCCACATCCAACTGCGACTCTGACGGAACGTCATATACCTTCTTATTATCAGGATCCCCTATCTCGTCGGAGATTTCACCCGGCGATTTAGTTCCCTCCTCAGCAACCTTTGCTTCAAGAGACTTTCTCTGCTTTGCTTGCCGAAAACCTCTCTCTTTCCACCCTCCATGTCCTATGCCATATTCTTCCTGATCCTTTGGAACGGTGGAAGATATTTGCTCTCTTTTCTTTGGAGCTGAAAATCTCTCTCCTCCCAAGGATAACTTTTCCGATGCAGGTTTCCTTTTACTGCTTGGGACGTCTTTTGTTTTCTCTATTTCATTTGGATTGTCTTTGCGGCCGGGATGCGATAGGTAGCCAAACGGATCTATCTTTTTTCTGTGTGGGCGAAACGATGGATTGGAGGAAAATCCTATGCTTTTTTCTCCCATTGCATTGTAAACAATTAGCTTGATTTCCAATTCTCCATGCACCATCGCTAGTGTATAATATATTCCGTCCTTGAGAAAATACAAGACTCGGTTGTGGACTACAACTCGCTGATCAGACAGGCTAGGTAGCAATGGAAAGTCGAGCTTCAGAATTCCATTATTATTGGTGACATATTGGCTATCCTTATGTTTAAGTCTTAGTAGTCTATCGCATATCACAAAAGGAAGAAATACAAGCATGGATATCATTGCTCGTAATGCATTGTTTATCTCTTTCCGCTTTAATTCTCTGTGTTTCATGTTCAAAAACTGAAGTATAAACAGAATAAGAGTTAGAAACGTGTATCTCAATAAATAGAATTTATCCCAGAATCATGGTTTAGTGCTCGAGCCCAGACGGTGCACTCCCATCAGTTATACCTTTACACCAGTAGTGCTGACCTGAATGGCCTTAAGCTGTGTAGGTCTGTAGGTCGTTACGTATCCTGTAGACCAATCATTTCCGGTGGCATAGACATAATAGCTTCCGTTTGTGTTAAATCTTCCATAAGTTATAGGCTGGCTTTCCGTTTGAGTAAACATTTTTGTCCTTGCCTGCGAGTCAAAAAATACGATGGTACCATCACTTCCTGCGGTAACAAGTATGTTATGGTTAGTTGGAAGAAATGATACAGAGTTGACAGCATAGACCTTATTGTCAACTCTGTGGCATCTAAAGATCATCTTCTTCACAGGAGAATTGACGTTGAATATTTCTGCCTTTCCTTCTATTCCTCCAACTGCAAAGGTTTCGTTGTCCTGGGCACAGGCTATAGACCTAATCATCCAATTTAGTTTTGAGACATGAGGTTTCTTTTGGTTTATGTTGTTCAGATTGTATGTAATCACTTCGTTTCGTGAAAGAGACATTGAAAGTAATTCTTTCTCAAGATCCATGGCATAAACCTTTCCTGGAAGGTCTAGAGAAACCACAAGCTTGGACGACCTGACGTCCCAGAACTTAACTGTCTTATCCCATGAGCCTGTAATCAACATGTTTGAAAAGCATCTTACAGACTTGACTCCTTCGTCGTGTGCTTGAAAGGATGAGACCTGGTTAGTCTGGAGGTCCACCATTTGTAAGCTTCCGTCAGCAGCACCTGCAAAAGCCAATGAAGGAGTCTCTTTGCTGAAGCAACATGTAAGAAGAGGCTTGTTCAAACTCACAACACTGCTGTTTGGACTGTATAGATTTTCCAGGTCATATGTCCGAATTGTACCATCCCAACTGGATGCTGCCATCAAGCCATGCATCTGGCTAAATGCAATCTCCGAAACTGTATCGGACGGAGGATTGGGAATGTCCGAAATCTTAGCGCTGTACTGAGCCATTCCGTGGGGTTAAAAATTAGGCCAAAGAAATCTCACTTCAGGACTTCCACTTAATACGTTGATAGTCACTTTGCCAAGATGGACCGAAGGATTGTTTTATTTTATTTACGTTCAATCAGAAAATCCCAGGCTACATTTTCTTCTTGAGGAGCTGGAGATACTGGCTATACTCCTCAGGATATTGTTCCGCCGTGCAGACGTTAGTCCATAGGCATCCCGAGCTCATCTTTTTGATCTTTTCAGTGTTATCCAAGATGATCTGTCTATAGTCCATTTCCTCTTTCTTTTTTAACTCTTCCAAGCTTTCCCTGCCAACAAATTTGTTTCTATATATAAAGACCTTGTCATAAATATTTCTAAGAGACTCGTCTAAATATGTCCGATCCCCAGTGGTGATAAGCAAATGATAATACAAGGCGGAAGCTTCTGTACTCCTTCCATTTGATAGGAGGAATGATATACCTTGCTCAATTCCTGGAGAATATTTGAGGAAATATTCCACCATGTCTGAAGACATCAATGTTTTCATCGATTCGGGGAGTATGCATCCAACTAATAAATCATATCTCCCGCCTATAAATTGCACTATATCCCTAGATGCTTTACATCTATCCTTACTTTTCTTCCACATTTCACAGAGACATCTAAGAACATCCCATCCACTGACTATGGAATAAGCATGCTTTTGTGATATAAGATAAGCAAGGTTGTGTTTGCAAATACACTCAAGAGAAGAGTCTCTGCCGAACCCGGTCTTCTTCCACAAGAGTATAATTTCGGCTATTTTATCGTTTTTTTCCAATATCCTCACCACATCGTCAAACAGCCCAGTACACTTGTAAAAAGGTTCCATAAACTCTTCTCCTTGCTCCATAAGCTTTCTTCCCTGGAGAAGGAAATATCTAGGAACTTCGATAAAATCAATATTCCTGAATGAAATCTCCGCCATATCCACTAGGAGCTCCTCATTGATGGCTTGAGGGTGAATTATCTCGGTGATCTTTCCATATATCTTCTCTATATCCACATTCATGCCCACAAATCTCTTATAAACCCTGTGTCCAAACTTCATGGCCTCGTTAAGAACCTTCAATTTTTTAATGGCTTTACTGTCTTTCTCTACTTCATTGAGCGTATTGCAGATCAACTTACAACATTCGACTTTGAACCCACAGTACACCAAAAAGCCCAAGAAATATCCTATCTTTCTTTCTTTGCCTTCCTCCTCTGCTAAGTCCCAGGAGTTCTCCTTTGTCTTGGAAAACTTGAAACTTCGGCACGTGTAAGGAGTGAAGTTTCCATTGAGCACATTGTTCAGTAATCTGTATTCGCTGTCTAGGAGTTTTAAGTCGAAATCCTTGTCATTGGGTAGAAAATACAAAAAAGAAGAACTAACGCCAATAAAGCAACCTCTGTAGGACCCAAAGGATTGTACAAGGTCGTTTGTATCAAACAAATATCCGTCAACATAGAGAATATATCCGCTATTGGTGATGCCACTCATATAGAGTAAATTGTTCTGATACTTCAGATACTTCCATTTGGCGCTTATCCTTACATTAGGATTTATTCTTGCAAGAAGCTCAACTCCATCCGACACATCATACAAAAATATCTCGTTGTTCTTTTGAATAGCTACTCCTTTGTCGCTTATAAATGCTTTCTGCGTGCAGGGATACTTCTTTAGGATTGGTATACCATCAGTAGAATAAATACTTGTGTAAGAATCTGTCTGGTAAACAATTATGTCTGTATTCGACGTTCTTCCACAAGAATAGGTGACTATAGTTCGGAAGTACGGGGAAATCCGCAGGTTTTTAAATCCACTCTCGGTGAGTAAGTAGAACGAGTTGCTGCTAAATATCACCACAGTCTGTCCCCAGGCGCTGATTTCAGGGCGTGAAAAGTTGTGTGCCATCTCACTGAACGAAGACAATCCATCCGTAAAGTGATAGAGCTTGGTTGCTGTTATAGCAAACACATGTAAGCCGTCGTCTCTTTCGGAAATAGCTGCGTCTATAACAGGTAAGGCTTTGGAAACAGAAGTTTCTTCCCGGCGGCCCAGGAGTGGAACAGTAACTAGTTCTATATACTCCTCATTCCACAGAAGTATGCTTAGCTCATCACCTATTACAACCATTTTACTCCTTTTTGGATCAAACCTTACAAGAAAGTTCAGATTGTTTCTTACTGACAATGGGACAAGAAACATTCCTGGGGATAACCATTAGACAAGGATATATGTAAGTACTTGAGGATTATAATTCTCCTTTAATATTCGACGAGGGAAGCCTTTCGGATATTCCAGACTTCCTGAAAACATGTTTGTAATATACTGCAAAGAAGTCCATATAAAGTAGGGTCTGAACAATCCCACATGCAATGGGAATATTTCCTGTGTTCCTTATATTATAGAATCTTTTGACGATGAAGTATACTGTGTACGAAGCCCTGTAAAGGCCCAGCAGAAGAATGTATTTAGAAGTCATTGTCTCTGATTCACCGGCTTCTTGGAGCTGAACAAGTTGTGGAAGAATAGAAACGCTTTCAAGGAACAAAGATGATATGTACAGGACTTTGGGGACATATTTGGAGAAACTTCCTGAATCCCTGGCAAAGTACAACGAAAGCACAAAGCACGGGATTATCAGAACTAAGATATTAAACTTGTCCCACTTCTTGTCGTAGGTGGAAAAGTACTTGAATCTCATCAAGAAAAGAATGAGGACTTGGAACCCGATAAATAAGATCTTCATTATGAAGTTGTAAACTTCAAGAGGGCTTTCGACGTGGAGATCAAGGAGATCGATATATCTAAATACAAATACCATGGCATACAGGAATTGAGTCTTGAGTGACAGCCCACTACAGGACCTTGTTTTTGTTATCTTTGTTATTAACACAATTTTTGAGGCCACGTGAAGGAAGTCCCCACAAAATCTGAATGCATCTGCTATTATATATGGAAGAAACATCTTTGGGGTTAGGAAAAGTTTTGAAGATAGGTCTTAGTGGGGAGAGACATGAGGTTGTAAGGGTTAGGCCTGGAAATAATAAGTTTCAAAAGGGAAGTGGGACCGCAGCCTCGTGAGGAAGGTTGCGTGGTGTAATGGTTATCACTTCAGACTCTGAATCTGACAATCTGAGTTCGAATCTCGGCGCGACCAATAGCTTTTGGCCCAAAGCTTAATTGTTTAAATTTTGCTGAGGACTCTTTGTATAGAAGGATGCTTTGTTCTTTCAAAACAAGAAATATGGGCACCACAAACTTTTCGTATCAGAATGAAAACAAAATCGCTTTGAAAACTTGTTTTAACTGCAGAATAAAAGAGAAAGGAGTCTGTTTTTGAATAATGTTTAACCACCCAGAGTGGATATCATATCACCTAAACAGCATCTGGAACGAGACAAACGAGAAATGGAATGAAGGTGATATGGAATGGAAGACCGTGGGTGTAACCCCGAGTAGATTTATCGATATTCCTGGAGATATAGAGACAAACAAAAAAGGGCTTCCGCCAATAGGGTTCAGGGCCATGTTCCCTGGAAGGTGGTACTCTGTTGTTGAGTTTCCCAGCGGAAGACTTGAAATAGGCTATCACACGAATATAATTGATTTGGATACATATGTGATACTAGAAGCGGACCGAGGAGAGGATTGCGGGAAAATAGTTGGAAACATGAGTGAACACGAATTCGAAAGCTCTGTTGCAAAGATAAGAGATACAAAGATCGAGTTTGAGCTCAAAAAGATACTCCGAAGGGCGTCTCTTGATGATCTTAATAAGCTGAGACAGAGGAAGAAGATAGAGGCTGAGTCTCTGAAGCAATGCAAAGACCTGGTCAATGCTAGAAATCTAAATATGGAGATACTGAGCTGCGAGTATCAATGGGACATGAAAAAAATAACATTCTACTTCAAAAGTGACCGGAGAATAGATTTTAGAGATTTACTGAAAGAACTGTTTAAGATATTCAAAGTAAGAATCTGGATGTGTGCAGAAAGAAGAACCAATAACGATCTAATTAAAAAAATATTAGGATAAATTCCACCAATGAGGGAGACCAATCTGTTACATAGAATTGTCTCACATTGGAAATATTTGTTAGGATATTGTTTGTTTTAAGTAAAAGTGAAATTTGTCTCACCCTTGAAAGTGAAGGAGAAAATGGAAGATGGAGACGGGATGGAAGACACGGACGGGGAAAGATTTAGCGAAGCCATGGCAGCCTTAAATAGAATATCACAGTCCATTAGTCTAATGGATAAAAACAATAGGGATTGTTTGGCATGCGATAATACCATTGAAATCTCGACGATTGGAGATGTTGTTCGGATGTATTCCTATCTTCTTGCTTGTGTGTCTGATCATGTGGCCAAGGTTCTACCTATTGACTTCCGGGATGCCTTTATTGTGGAGAGTCTTATTCTTGACAACATCTGCGAGAAAAAGGTACTTGACTTCAATAAGATCTTTGAAGAAATAAGAGAACCCTGCGACTTTGTAAAGAAAGAAATACGGGAAGCAGCTGAGAAATGCTTACTGAACAATTCTATAAACATCGACTGCGAACAAGAGCTGGATTCTCTGATGTACAAGGTGTACAAGAAGTGTGTGGATTCCAATTTTTCCAAAAACCTCAGTCTGAAAGAGGTGGAACTTCTGCTTGTGATTTTGTTTAGAAGATCGGAATCTTCGAGATTCTTCAAGGTTTTTGGCAGGCATAAAAAAAGTAAGGGGATATTTAGACTAGGGCTTCTTATGAGTCTTAAGGATGGAGACGAAGCCAGCATGCACAAATTGCTGGAAGGATATAACGAAGATAGTCTTTCAGTAGAAAGCTACTTTCTGAGCAACGAGAGTGATTTTCTTAGGAGGTCGATTGATCCTGACTGGATTCTCCTTGGGGAGGATAATAAAGAATGGATCTCTTTTAGAAGAAAAGAAATGGAATGGGAAGAATGCGTTCATTTCTGGGCTGTAAACAGAGAGGGATCCTCTTCTGCACTAAATAAGTCAATGATGGACCTCTGCATCAAACACGAGAAGTATGAGGAGGGATGGGTTGTTTACTCCCGAGGATGCAAAAAAACACTCTATGTTATACACAAGGCATGTCTTCTTTCGCTGAAGGGGCTGAGACAAACCAACGATCGAAAGTGGATTTCAAGGCTGTTTGAAGTAGTGGAAGCCTCAGGACCTGAAGAAGACGATGCAAAATATTTGGTCGCAAGTGACGTCATTGAAAACCTCTCGGCTCTCTCTGAAAATACGCGGAATCTTGTCCTGAAAGAATTTATAACCCGAATGGATCTTCTTGGAAAAAACGAGAAAATAGTGAATTTGGTTATAAGAGGACTTCTATCCCTCTGCCAGAAGTGCGAAGAGAGCCAGAAAGCACATACTTCCCTTGGGAACTATGCCGACATTCTATACACTAAGTGGAAAAAACACAAACTTTGCGGCAACTATCCTCTAGACAACCGAGACCAAATCGAGTCAGAAATATATTCAAATGTGCTGAGTGTTTTCGATACTTTGCAAGATAAGGAAAAAGTCCTTGGAGTTTGCAAAGACGTGGTTAACAGCAATGCAAAGATAACCAAAGAACTTTGCTCCAAGATTCAGGCACTCCACACAGTGAACCTTGAGTCCCTTAAATCGGAACCTACGTCCCTGGAACAGTATTCTGTCTTAGAGCGGCTAGTATCGCTCGTTCTGCAGAAGCATTAAAGATCTTGGGTTCCTCCTCTGTATCCAAGCCCTTGGGTTTCTCAAAGATTTTTTGCTTAGTGTTCATAAGTTGTCGTTTTCCTTCTTCCACTTCTCTTCGGACACACGGAGTTCGTTTCCTAAGAATTAATAATTTAAATTAAGATGAAAACCATAATAAAATTTTATTAAGTAAGACCATACCACACAATGGAATTCTTTTCAACTTGCAAAAATTATATATATAAAAGATGGAGATATATCGAAGATCTTTTTTTTACGATATGTATAGCTCTTCAATACAATTGTGACACCAACGATAATTCTACACCCTTTGTAATAGCACTTATAACTATGATTTATCTTTTGATCAAGACAATTTATGGACTATTAGACGGATTTGAGGTAGACAATAATACGCCATTCACGGTATTCGATTTGATTCAAACATTTCTTATAGTAATACACATCTTTGTGTATTTTCTGGCCTTTGTTTCGATTTGTAAGATTTTCGAATGCAAAGATCCCCAATGGAGATATGATATCGACCCCAAATCCTTGATTATCTCCCAAACATCATACATGTTTTTGGCATCTCAATCTATCATGGAGAATATTGGCTCAAACTTCGCAATAGAAATAGTCCGCAGTATTTTGGGATTTTATGAGATAACTAATCTCTCAGGCATGGCTAGCTACCATAACTATGGAAGCATCTTATCTCAAATATATCCGATGGCCTTTTCATTTCTTCCTTTTATCCTGGGAGAAACCTCTTCAATTATAGGAAAGTGGCTGTCTCGGAATAAACTAGTGGATTACATTCCCAGAGTAGCTAAAACAATCACAGTTATTGCTTCTATCATGTGCATCGTTGTGGGTATTTATGGAACTTTCACAATCCTAAATTTCACAGGAAATATTACTCCAACCAATTTAGTTGGTGAATCTAGCTACAATTCCTCCTTTAGAAATTCTGTTAAAAAAACTATATTTGGAATTGCAGAAGAATGTGGACATTACCTTTTTTTCAGAAAAAACCGTTAATCACAATCTTGGTTACTTTGAAAGTTGAAAGGCCATCCTATTCTCTTTCAAAGGCTTATACGGCGGCCATTAAGGACGTTGTAGGGCACCATAATTAATTTTTTGCTTTGAATCTATGATTGTATGATTTCTTTGGTGCCGATATATCAAAAGGTATTTTTAATATAGGTTTTACCAATGAAAAGGAAATAGAAAAGGAAGATGGTATAAATCAATTCGGAATCACGCCCTAGACAGTTGAATGCAGTTGGTATGGATATTCATTTTGTTTGATATATTGTTTACTTCTGCGATTGAAGAAGTAAAAAAAGCATGGGAAAAAGGTATGTCCCGTGAGCTAAATAGCTCGGAAGTCAAGAGGCTAGAAGAAGAACTTGGGAATGTTGCAGGGATGGATATGAATGGTTTGATTCCATTGATCTTTCATGAAAACGAGGTTATTGTGTCACCTGTTACTAAATACAGGGATATCGAAGATAGTAAAAGAAAATATGTCGAGAACATTATCGAAAGACTTCCAAGCCTAGCATGGGAGTCGATGGTGGGCATCTATGTCCCAAAACACGCTGATTGGATCTGGAAGTTAATGAATGATATCTTCTTCAAAGGAAAATACCGTGACAATTTTGATGTTCTTGATACGTACCGAGGAGGGAAATCAAAAAGGCTTGAGCCGAGGTTAGTGGATCTGATTATGAACATATTCAAAAGAAATGCTGAAATGTTGAAGGACTTTGGAGAAAGTCTTTCTAATGAAGCAAAAAAGAAGATGGGAGAGATATCAAAGAACATGGATAGCAAGAAACGAGAGAAAGAGGAGGAGATATTAACCAAGGTCCAAATATATGGAAAGAGTCTGTGCACCAAATCAAAAAAAGAACAAATAATAAAAGCACAGAAAATAGTGTGTGATGCATGCGTGTATCTTTGGGAGAGAGAAAGACAGAACAAGCTTCCTTCTTAAAATTTACCTGAGAAACTTGGAGTTTAGTATGATGGGACTAAGTCAAGATGAGACCGAACCGTTATTTCACTACATAAGCCACGAAATCCTAGTAAATACGCCTGAGAAGTTTAGAAAGGAAGTTGTAGGAGAGTTAATCCAACTAGCTCTCCTAAAGAATGAAGAAATTCCCCCAGAGCATGCCAATATGATTATAGAGGAAGTCATTAAAAGAAAAAATGATGAAATGAAGGAAGAAGCAAGGAAGATAAAAAAACAGGAGGAAGAAAGACACCGATATGAAGAGGAGCTGATAAGAGAGGAAGAGAAAGAAAAAAGAGAATATCTAAGGTCTAAAAAAGAAGTAAAAAAGGTAAAAAAAAATAATAAGACGAAGAAAGAAGTAAAGAAAGAACAAGCTGAAGAAGAGGTTCTCGAAGGGGCTTCTAACTATGCGAAGAATAAAGATAGGAGTGTCGTACATTTCTACAAAATTCACAAGAGGGTCTTTCGATGGATGATGGACACTCAGAATATCAAAAGAGAATTAGATGCCGGGAGCGAAGAAAAATGGAAAAAAAGAAGCATTAAAGATATAAAGAAACAAAAAGTGGTACACGACATAATAGAAGTTACGAAGATACTCAAGAAGGATTACTCCGACAAGTTTTTCATAGATACTGAAAGTTATCTCAAAAATGGTAGTAAAAGACGGGGGAAAATAGCAGTTGGAATGCTTGAAAACGAAGGAAGTAAAAAACTGGGAATAGTAGAGGTTGGGATTTTTGAAGACAGAAATGGAAGAGATGTTATTTATCATTTAATGTTCAAATCCATAAACTCAGAAAATATAGAAAAAGTCGTAAATTCCGCATTGGAGAAGATGGATAGCATAGACGAAATAAATATCTTGGATGATCCTTCAAACCTAAAAGGATTCAATTATTCAAAGAATATACGCTCAGAGACTATAGAAAAGGAAAAGCATATTAAAATAGTATGGAGGGATCCCAAGGAGATTTCTATAATAATAAAGAGTCTCACAATATTTCACAAGCCATTCGGAATACAATAGAGACGCTTAATCCAGCGTATAGTGATTAAAATAATAGGATATTTCTTAAATATATTTAGTCCTCAGGTTGTAAATTCAGTTCTTTTCGGCACCAGTCTGGTTTGTTCTGGAAAACAAAAAAGGCTTGGACAAAGTCTAAGTGGAATTATTTCCCAGAATTATAGAAGAGCATCTAGAACCATAACTTCTTTAGTATTTTCATTCAAATTAGTACGGTTTTTTATTTACCATAAAGGGTAATGGCATTATAAAAGTACTCTTCGATTTAGAAATAGATGATATCGATAAGGGCTTTAGGAGCTGCTAGCTTTCTGTTGGGAATGATAAGAAATGCAGCAGCAATCAACTTTTTTGGCAATAATAATAACAAGAAAAGCAGCCTTGAGCCTTCGGAACTCAATGAAAAACTAATGTCAGGAGGGCGTCTTTTCCGTGTGTGCCTGACCGGAGGCCCGTGCGGAGGAAAAACGACACTTCAGATCTCGGTAGCAGACATGTTTGAAAACATGGGATGGCATGTGTTTCGATCTCCAGAAGTAGCCACTATTCTCTTAGGAGGAGGAGTTGAGTTTGGAAGACTAAAACCTTATCAACAGAAGGTGTTTCAGGTGGATATATTGAAAGTGATACTTCAAATCGAAGACGCTTACAATA